CAGAAAAATTTCAAAAATTTTTCAGAAAATCTTTTATCTCCCGCTTTATATATGTAAATAATATTATACTTGAATATCTCGGCTGGACCTGCAAAGCATATGAAATTTGTAAGCAAAATCTGAACACCCCGCCGTTTCTCATAACCTGAAATTAACCTGCAAATTTTTTAGCTCTTTGCTGAGACTGCTTCTACCATAGATCTTTCTTAATTTTCGGTCATAAAATATTAAAAGTTCGCTAAAATTTCTAAATATTTTTCTGAATTTTGAAACTTTTTGTCTCCCAGACCCCTTCAGTTTCGTCTTTTATTCACTCACCCTGTTCCTTGTTCTCTTTTCAGCTCATTGTTTATTCATTAACGGCCAAACCAACTTGTACTTTTTTAATCTTTTACCTTCAAAAATTTCGCATAAACTATGAAAAGTATCTTTTTTGGATGTTATTTTAGGATTCAATGTCACAGGTGATAGGCTGAGTGTCCCGGCAATTATTGAATTAACAAAGGAGGAATAAATAATTCATTCCAACAACTTTTCTTTTATTGGCACTCCGCTTGAATTTCCACAAAAGGGAAAGGGGGTCTTTTGAGGAAAGGGCGGGAGGGAATTGTAAAAACAACTTTTTACTGTGAATCTTAGAGCTTCTCCTGAAAAATGGCAGGTGATTTTTGCGCCATTTTTTAAAGGAAAACATGTTTGTAGTCTTGAAAGAATTGAGCCGTATTTTATGTGTGTGTTTTTGAGAGAGGTCCCAAAGCGGCCTTTCTAACCTAAAAATTGTAAGAATGTTCCCCTTCGATTTTGATGAAATTTGCCACAAAATAACACTTGAATCTTATAATTGTGAGATAGATTCGAGATGTTTTCCCTTGTGTTTTGCAGAAATCGCGGTGATTTTATGCTTGGAAGTGCACAAAATAAAAATTTTGGCAATTTCTCGATTAATTTTTGGTCAAAATTCAACGTGTTTGGAATCTTCAACGGGGTTTTTACGTCACGGTAAAAAGCCAAATTAATTATGCGTGCTCTCACCACGTAGCCATTGAGCAGAGTTAAGCCAATTTTACACATATTACAGCAAAATGGAATGTCTCTCCGGCTATGCCCAATTATTTTAACCTTTACTTTGCATTACTTTACTCGAGTAGACCCTTGACTTTTTATTGAGTTTCAATTCTTCGCGGCCAAAAACATCTGTCGGCGTTTTAATTCGGCCCTTAGGTGAAGAGGCAGTTACCTCGGAATGGGTGGCCGAATAAAACTTTCCACCCATAAATCTGCAATTATTTGGCATTTATTGAAGCCGGAGGGAGTACTGCAAGTTTTGATCCCCTGGGATATTCTTAAGCAAAAAATTGCAAAAATTTTTAGAATTTATAGCTTGATATCCATAATACTTGTAAATTCTCTTCCATATTTTAGGTATACTAATTTGAGAAAAGTTTGGGGTCATAGCCGAGATATTCAGCGACATTTGGATATACGAGACTGAGAAATAAGTGGAGAAATTTCAGTAGTTTTTTCGAAGATTTTTTTGTAAAAATACATATTATTACTTTTAGTTTACTCCGTGCTGAACTTTCTGACGGGTTCCAACCCCAGAAAGCATGATTTATGCCATAAGCAGCTTTAAAAACAACGTTAGCTCCATCATACTCTACCTTCAAAAATTCATTGAAATCCCCGTTAAAATTCGTTGTCTTCTTGTCAAATTTCTTTTGTCTTCCCTCAGAAAAATCTCGGGTGTCTTTTTACAATCACTTTTGCACTTTCACAACAATCTTTCCGTACTATTTTGTAGACCATAACGCAAATCCTGTATTTTTATTCATCCGTCATTTGAATTCTATTGCCAGAAGGCACGTTTGGCATCAATATGCAATTTTTTCAACGTATTGTTCCAAAGCTTTTGAAATTTAAAGAAAAATTTTTATTCTGATGGTTTGTTTACAACGGAAATTGAAAATAATTTTTGTATGTGTTCTGTAAAATTGTAAGATAGGTCGTCAAATTTTTTGTAGATTTTGATTATTGGTCTTGAGTGTTATTCCTGCTTCCAAATCTACTCTAAAATGTACATAAATCCTTCCCCAAAATGCCAATTAACTATTTTTAACAACTCCGAAATTGGCCCGGAATTATCCTTTGCGGTTGGCGTTCTCCGAACGTTCTTTTCCGCCCATTACCGCCCGCCTAATCAACTTAACGTAGCCTGAAAATTTTTTTTCAAAAACAACTATCAACAACGCTGTTGGTGCTTTATAAAGTTCACACTAAATAATTGTGAATTCCAGCAGAACGATGGCTCTAAAATTTGTTTTAATTTTTTGCCATTTCACGCGGCTTTTATCAGTTGAATGGACACTGACTCGACGCTGGAGCCGGCTTCGAAATGACTCCCTCGAGGCCGGATCCGGCGGAATTTCGGGGCCCGGAGGGAGGAAAGTTTTTTCGCGCGAATCTTTTGACAATTTGTTTTTTTCATGGGGGATCTGTTAGGGCGGGTTAATCAGAAAATGGGGCGTGGGATGAGTTATGACAAGGGGAGGTCTGACAGTGATGCCTCAGGGTTAAACTTTGAGACTTGATTGTTTTGATTGGTTACGTGGTTGGGCAATTACACGGTAACCGTAATCTCTTTCCGTTTGTTTTTCTCTTCGCTTTTTTTACTTCAAAAAAAGAGCCTAAAGCTTGATTTGCTTGGCAATTATAGGCATAAAATTAAGAACAAGATTTTTTCTTTCCAATAAAAGTTCAAAAATATAGCTGGAAAAATATTTTTTCACTAATCTTCTCTCTTTAAGATAACAGGAATATCCTAGGTGAGCTTGAGTTCATATTTCCAAAGAAAGCAGCAATTTTTTTACCAAGTCGTGTTTACTAGTCCTCCATAAATTTGCATCGCTCAAAATGGCCTGAAGGCACCACAGATCCTCGAAGATGTTGTTCCTTTTCCCCAGTGAAAACAACAATATATCATTGGTCATTTTTTCGGCGCTTTTCTCCATAAAATTAATTTATTTTCCCGCCCAGTCTGTCTATCATTGCCTTAGGGTATTACAGATATCTTTTTCACGTTTTTCTTTACCTTTCTCAAATTGTCTCTAACTTATGGCAAACGAATAATGTCTGATCTGGAGATCTAAACTTTTTTCTGAATCCAAAATTTTTTTGTAACTTTTTTGAATTGAAAACACCGAAATACCCAAGTAATTCCAAAAATAATCTCATCCAAACCTCTTCGATTCAACTTGTTTCTGTTCATTGCATGTCCTCGGGGTTGAAAATAGATTTAAACTGTTATGTGAGGATGTTTTCGGGAAGCTTTTAAAAGCATTTTACGGTAAATTCTTCGGATGAGAGAGCTTAAATTTTGAAAAAACTAGGAGCAAATTGAGATTACAACGTTGGAAAAGAAATCTCATTTCATTTTTAACTCAACTTTTATAGAAATCGTTGAGATTTTTAGATCGGAAATGCGCAAAAGCGTTTTTGTAATCAAAAATTAAACCTTTATGGTTTATTTAATGAAAACACTTAAATTTTTCAATTACATAAGACTCATTGTCTACCGAATTGACGGCCAAACCGCCGTCTTTCCAGCAAATATTTACATTAGCGTGGATTTCTAACTTTCCCACCCTGTATTTTGTTGTTGTTGAGACCTTTTTTTTCCTTCCGCCACAACGATTTCTATGATCTAATGGCCCGGGAATTAGACGCAATTTTTAATATTACTTCCTTCTGTTTGAGATATTGCCATTTTTTACATTTTTGGGACTAATTGGATCTGTTTTTATCGCCATAAAAATGGAGTTTAATTTCCTCTACAAATTTATTCAAATGATTTTCAAATTTAACTCCGGGAATAGTATTTAAAATCGATTGTTTACCGCCCCTAACCGTGTTATTCCATTTGCTTAAAACGCCGCAGGGCCTTTGTTGAAATGGATAATTAAATTTGGTCAGGTGAAAAATGGCCGCGCTCTCCCTACCTTTATGCCAAGTCCGGACGATGGATGGTTAATCGAAAAAAAGGAAAAGTGGTGTTTTTTCCGTTTTTTTGAAGACTAAATTGAATCGCCGAAAAAAAGATTTTTTAATTTCCATTTTTTTGTCGGGGCAAGGCTTTTTTAGGCTAGGGGTGCTACTAAAATGCAAAAAATTTTTTTGGGAGCTACGCAAAGTTCGGTGATTATTTGGGTTGAAAGTTGCAATTGGTTAGTTTAATGCAATTTGTAGATTTTTGGCTGACGGTTTTTTCAAATTCCCAGGATTTTTGGTTGAAAATTACAAAAAATTTTATTGCTTTATTTTTTTTGGTTGAAAATTACAGCGGCTAGTCACAATGAAGGGTACTGTTTATTAACAAAAAAATCCATTTCTTCCGTGAAACATAAAAAATTACGACCGAAAATTTTTTCTCTCACCGCCTTCTTCGTCTGGCATGCTCTCTCAAAACAAAATGAAAATTAAAATTTTATTTGATTTTTGACTTTTACCAGTTATTTTCAATTTTGAAAAAAGTGCATGTGTTCTGTTCACCCTTCTTCCTAATCCACTCCGATGTAGAGACCATAAAGTTTGACATTTTAGTGTGTAAAAAGCGCGAAAATTGTTTTCTGAGCATCGGAACGGAATCCTCGTCCATCTTGTGTAACTTGACAGTTTATTGGTGTCCCGGGTGTCAAACAACTGGACTATGAAAAATGAAGTTTTTCTCCGTTTGGCATTCATAGGGTTCCGTTCTCTTCGATCTCTGAATTAGTCACTGTAAGAATATGTGATTTCTATTTTCTGAACTTTTATCAAGTCGTCTACCTTTTATGGACTAGCTATTTTTAATAAGACTTTTTAACGCGTGCTTTTTCAATATTTCGGATATTAATTTTCAAATGTTTAGCATCTAAACCTCTAATCTTGCTTATGAAATCATCCCTTCGAAACCTGGCCTAACCTAATCGACCGCTCGTAAATGCCGCGGTCGCTGTCGCTGTTTGATGCCGGTGCGACTGTTCCCGTCACAGAGCGCAGCCGCCGACCCTCAGCAGGCCCAGTCCAGCCAAACCAATCCTAATCATCAGACCGCCTTTGTGTTGCGTCAAACCGACCCCGATCCCTGGTTGGAGTTGCGGGAGCTGGCCGAGAAGGAGCCTGAGAGCACGGGTGCTACTCCATTTACTGGTGCTGCCAGCGGTGTCAACGAGACCCAGCCATTGTTGGGGAAGAAGAAACGGGCCAGTTCCGGAGCGGAGATCAAGCCTTGGCCGTTGAAGACTCGGCAACAATTCGAGAACGTGTGTCCTAGAAGTGTCTCGTGGTCGCTAGCCAAACCCAATCCCAAGGATCCCATCAAACAACGGCCGTCTTTTGGAGACTCTGATAACTTCAACAACAATCACAGTTTCGAGAATTTCGAGAAGCGACCGGCCGATCTCAGGCCAAGAGGAAGTTACAAACGAGCTACTCATCGACCTCCATCTTTCCGACTTAAGACATCACCACATCCGAGCAGCCTAATTCCCCCAAGAAGTCCACGTTTGGTCCCGAACGGAGGGCCAACCAAGCCCAGTCCATTACTCACGCCCGATCCTTTGTGGTCGCCGGCTTCACGGCATCTGAGTGCCGTTCCTTTCGCACCTCTAGCGCCGCCATTTAATTTTTTCGGTGGTGGGTTCGGACGGCGAGATTACTTTGGAGGTCCATATCAGGTGGGTTTTAATTTATTCAAATTTCATGTTTTCGAATTTAATTTACGCAAGTTTTGGGGTAAACAATCAAAGAACAAAAAGTGATGCTGAAGTTCTTATTACATTATACATACCACCATAACTCACGGCAATCTTGGCTTATAAAATTAACATTATATCCGCAAAAATAATATTTTTGTTGAACAAACAGCATGATTTGTGAAATGATGTGTTCAAAGTAATTTCCCGCCTTAGTGCAAGACTCCAGCGGCCATTTCAACACAAATTTACCATGTTTCCAACTGTGCCCTCGGGGCAATTATCCCGCTGCTGTAAACATTCCTTCCTTTCTTATCCGCATCTTTCAATATTTCCATTTTACATTGTGAATTCTCCGCTCAAGATTCTCGCTTCGTAATTTCACTGTAATTGACAACACTATTGAAGGAAAAGAGTAAAATTTTGACCCAAAGATTGGAGACATCTCCAGGTACGTAACTGTTATGACTGAATTCCAACTTATATCCAGTTGTTTGACGACGACAACGAGAAACAAGTGCCGAGTGCATCTTGAGTGACTTTCAACCACAATTTTCCCACATTTGGATTGCACGGAGGGGTTTTCGGTTTCGGCGGTTTCCCTGTTCAATCTTTACGAAGCGCCTTTTCTCGCTGGAAGCGAGATCTACCAGTCTGGGACTCGCCTCTCAGCAGGCGTATTGCAACTATTCCTAGAAGTTTCCCTTTGGGCGATCTGTATTTTTCTGACGTGAAATATCTTATAGTAGTTTTGCAACTCAGCCAGAATTTGGGTAAGAACTCAGCGCTTCAATATCAACGAAAATTTAGTCAACAATTTTCTCAGCCCGACTAAAAACTGGACCAATCCAACATTCCAAAAATCCAGCCAGTTAAGCGTTTACAACGACGTCAGAGTCTCGCTCAAGCCGCCGAACAACTCGAAGCCGAGCAATCATTCGCTGATATTCGACCATTTGGCCGCCGCCGAACCTTGGCTTCTTTGGCTTTGGCCAAATTCAAAACTCGAGTAAACTCCAAATCTGCGGACAGTATCTCTGATCTACAAAAGTCGTTGGAGACCGAGGAGACGCAGAAAAAAGAATCAACTGATACCACCAAAGAGAATCCCTCAGTCTGTGTAGCTGAAGATTTGACAAAACCGGACAGCCCTTCTGAACCTACCAACCCTTCTTCATCAAGAACTTTACGGCCTAGGTATCTGACACGTCAACGCAGATCTCTGCAACCGGCTTACGAGCCTCGGTTTGAGCCGACGCAAGAAGTTTCCTCACCGAAAACAGAGCGACTACAGCCGTTGCTGACCTTTACATCAGGCAAAAAAGATAAACCAACTGCTCCAGTGCGAATAGTCACACCTCCATCCAATATTCAATCAATCCATCCAAAACCCTCGATTCCTATCGTCCTTTACAATCAGCCAGAAACTGAGCAGGCCTTGGAAAAGTCTCAAACAAGCGATAGCACTGCTACAGTTCCAAAATCAACTACTTCTCGAGCAACTTCTACCATCCGAAAGCTTCCTTATTACCCGCCAAAATATACCGCACCATCTCAACGGCCACAAAACAATCGACCGGTATATCAACGGGCTTCCAGTGGGTACAGTAATCGACTGCCATCTTCGAAGTCGGTTACAGCGCGAGTTCATCCACCCGCCGGTCGTATGTGGACAGCCGAAGACGAGAGTGACGGCGAGGAATCCCAACCGAGCTTTGATTTGGACAGAAACGCCAACGAGGTGGGTTTAGATTTGGAATTGGAGGATTGAAGACAATTTTAAAACGCGTATTTTACAATTATTTAAATCCTGGCAAAACCAAAAATCAAGAAATTTCAAGTTGATTAGTAACTGAAGATTCTGGAATAACTTCTGCGGAAACTATTGATTACGTGTTCCGATCTTCCCCAAATTTCACAAATTCAAAGTAACCATTACATTCTCCGTATCAAAACAGAACCAGACATCCTTATTTTGCGTCTAGGATTCTCTTTTTGCCCTTAAATTTGTTCTCCGTTCACTCGGTTCGCGGCTTCTCTCTATCTCGTTGGAATGTCATTTTCTCTTTGACTTTTACACACTCATCTCTTGACACATCCTCAAAGCTGAGCGCAGAAGGCGAGCAAGAACACATTCCCCCAGGCATCATGGGCTTTAACCTTTTTTGTTCGTCTTCAGAAGCTCTTCGGATGTTGTCATTCTCCAAGTTTTTTTGGTCTCCCTTTATCCGCTTATAACGAATTGTATTCTTGGGGATTAATATTCGAAGAGAGGAGGGGAGGACTTCGTTGGCAATTAATAAGCGATTAACAACTTGTTGTGTAACAGTTTTTTACGTCTTTGCATCGGTTTCGTCAATCTTTTAAAGGCGTTTTGTAACTTATTTTTCAATATCTCTTACGTATTTAAAGGTACAGAAAAGTCTGGCCGGTCTTATGATAACTTTTGTAGAGGCCTCTTTACGTTTGTCAGGTATTGCACGTACAGTTTACAACTTAAAAACCGTTAGTACAGTTATTGGCAATTTCTGGGTGTAGGCATATTGTCTTTTACGTATGACAAAGGAAATAGTCCGTGATGCTCGGATTTTGATGAAATTTAACACCGATATAGATTGTCGATGTTTTCAAGGTTCTTACTGCTCACTTTGCGGACACCACCAAGATTTTTAGAGCAAAAGTTGGCAAAATATGACACTTTTTTTGGGAATTTTGACTTGAAAAGTTTCGTACCTGTCTCATCCGCACAAGGTAATGTTACCGCAAAAAATCTTACAGAGATATGACCAAAGAGGTCTTTTCGGTGACCTCCCTCTATGTCTTGCCCTCTCTATCGGCCGCAAAGACCTTTTAACATTTTGGCCGCGCCTGCAAAGCAAGAGCTAAGGTTTCCAGAGATTAATGCGTGGCCCATATCCAAGGTGTGTCCAAAATTTTAATAAAATTTGAGGGTTGCACTTATGACCCCTAGCTTTTAAATTACATTAGTTTTTTTTTGGTTTTCTGAGCTTTAAGTTTGCCAAAAATAGGATTGCCTCACCTTTTGGTTAGGTACTTTCCTCTCGTACCCTTTCAACCTTGAAGACAAAATAAATTCAATATTTTTTGGTACATAGTGTAAAAAATGAAGAGCGCTTGGTCGATCTGCATAATTGATTGGAAATTTATTTACCACGGCCGACGGCGCACAATTTCCCAGGACTTTCGGACTCCAAAGTTTTGGTTTGTGGATGTTTAAGAGTTCTGGACGTTGCATACGTTTGACTTTAGATGATTTTTTATAAATTTTTTGACTTTTTTTTGGCTTTCAAATCCAACCTTTTTATTATATCGCATTTATATCGTTCAATCAAATATATTTTTACGTCTTATCGTAGTCCATAAGCACACTCGTTTTATGAAAATCCATCATTTCCTTTATGGCCGTCTCCATTACGGCCATAAAGACCACTCACCTTGGGGCACGCTCCTCATTCCCCACTCGTTTTGGATGCCAATGATCTTGTTTTTTGTTTCATTTTATTGCATTGCCCTTCTGCGCGCCGCTGGGCACAACAAAAACTTGAAGCGAAAAAAGTGGGAAAAACTGTGTGCACAAACAATTTCCGGACGCGCGAATTTCCAGCCAAGAAACAGCGGCTTCTCGAAGGACTTGAAGACACACTCGATAAAGCGCGTATTAAGAAACGTCAACGATATATGATCCGCAAATAAAATGGCCTGGGCCAACCGTCTTCGAGATCCCTTCTTTGTTTCAAATTCCTGCATTGGGTTCTGTGGAGGAGAATGGGGCTATAGATGGGCTCGGAGGTGGCCAGAATGGAGGGATTTGGGGTTGTTGTCTACTTCTCTTTGAATGCAGTCTTTTAGAGTGTCAAAAATCTTTGTAGACCTCCTTCGAGGAATTTGTTTTGTATTCAAAGTACAATTAGAAGAACAAGGGACTCCTTGAGGGGCAATTAGCACGCTGTCTTCTTCTCCTATTGCTGAATTTCTCCCTCTAAGCTGGGCTTGAAGTCCAAAAATTACCACTTCCGGTTTACAGGGGGCGGTCGAGCCATTCAAAGAAAATTTCAGCCAAGTAATGGATAATCCCCATATAGCAAGCTCTTCCTCAGAACCTGTGAGATTTTCGGCTGTTTTCATGTTTTACATCTTTCTGCAAAACGCAAAAAAGAAGCTCAGAAATGTCTTATAAAGTCTCAGTCTTACCTTAAGACAACTATTCCTCAAGCATCACCCTAGCAAGAAACCGGTCCAAAAAAATTGATCTTTGAGATTCTGCAGGTAGATTATGATTACTCAAGTAGCCTGAGGCCTTATTGCTCATTTACTGTGTTTGTAAAAAGAATTAGTGCGCTGAAGGATGAGATCATAAGAGTTAAAAGGCAAAAGTTCAGCGAGTACGTTTGTTTTGCGAAGTGATTCAACTTGCTTAGCCGCAGGACGGCTTACACTTTTTTGAAACAGCGGCTTCTTTTGGTCTTAAACGGCGTTAAGACGGATTTAAACGTTGGTTTATGATGTTAGAGGGGAGCGAAATTACTGAGGAAGGTCCACATAGCTACAAAAATACTCTGATCATACTATGTAGAATTACGTGTAGTTTTGGAAAAGCTTTATTTTGTCCAAAAGTTGCGCACGCTTTTTCGCAGATTTGTATGGGCATTTCGCTGCCGTATCGCCGCTTGCTGAAGAGAAGTTTCAGCTCTAATTTCGTCAGCATCCACTTTTAACTCACACTTTTCCCATACCGGAATCTTTTCTGGAAGTTTTCTTCTGACCGCCGGCTTCTTTGTTTGCTCAAAAAATTGTAATTCCGATTCCGACGGCTTTTGGCTTCGAGGCGAAAGGACGAAAATGAAACGCTTCGGACGTATTTCCTTAGGTATATGGGCCGGGCTGATATTTATTGTTATAGGTTAAATTTCCAGTCCATTTTTGCGGGTTTTAATGAAGAGAAATTCGAGCAGTGTTCGTTTGTGTCACAACGAACGTAGAGATGAGATTTTGTAGGTAGAGGGCGTTTATTTGGGGTCCGTTTAAGGTATTATAGAGGTTCTTAATTCCTACGAAGGATAGATCTTCTTTGTCTGTTTGCTTAAGACGTCCAAATTTAAAGATGTATGTAGATTAACAATGTTATCTACAGACGCCTTTACAGAGTAATTTTGTATCCAATCATTACCTCAGTCCTTATCAAGGGTATATCTTTGTAATCTATTCGAAATAAGTTTTATTGCCAATGAAATCCTCCTGATGAATGTTGTTTTGTCCGAATTTGTCACTTCCTTCCAGACTTAATCTATTTGATCACAAAACTTTTTGCAGGCATGTTTTCGGTTTTTGAAATACTAGTATGACTTCCTCATTACCAGCATTCTACAAGGCTCTACCTTGTCCCTAATCCGTGGAATTAGCGACGAGTCCGAGGAGTGCAGTCCAATGCTGTCCCAGTCAGTCTTTTTTGTTTACAAATCATTACTTTTACACTTTTCTGTGTGTAAACAGAATAAGAGGGCATTGGCCCCGAACTTTTCGTTTTGGAAACTTTAAAGTTGGCAAGGTATTCCAGCTCCTTGCGCCCTCAGGGCTTCTCGAATTCGGCAGTAAACAAACAACATTTACTCGCGTTTTTTTGTCTCTCTTCAAGGATTTGCGGTCAATTTGGGCGTTTTGAGTCGTATTTTCTTGAGCTGCTCGGATCTTCGGTCATCTTCTCTTGCCTTTACCTCGCGAACTTTAGTAAACCGTTGCTTTTAAAGGGTAATATACACCAATCAGAGGCGTCTTTAAAATCACTCTATTCTCCTCAACAAGTACCTCAGAAAGCTGTGGCTCCATTTTGTTATCACCAACCATACTCAACGATCACTTACGTAGTAGAAAGTAGTCCCAACTCAACGAAAATGATCCCTCTGTTGAACGAAACGACCGAATCCGAGTTCGAATGAAATTCGTGGACAAACTCGTCTTATCGACCGAATTCACTACCCTTTTGGCGTTGAAGAAACCCCCGATTAATAAACGAAGCCGATCCATCAAGAAGCGAAGACTCGACTTTCTCCGGTCCGCGGCCGCCAACGGCTGTGTGAACCGGCCCTTTCATCAATATTATGTACAGACCCCACAAGGTAAGTGCTTAGTAAGTGCTTCTACTGTTAGCAAATCCTTTTTTTTTCTTGCTGCAAGTCTCGCCTTTATTTTAAACTTAAAATTTATTCGTTTCAAACAATATGTCTAAACCTCTAGTATCATTGCAAATCACTATTATGGAGTGCTTTGTAAATGTTTTTACCGCTTTCATAAGCACTTTAATTCGACAATTTACTCTGTTTCTCATTCCTAAACGTCCATAAAGTCTCTGAAATCAAAGAAATCGCTTTGAATTGTCACCGTTTTCTCAAAAATCGGATAAAATTTTTATACTTGCAAATTATATAGTAAAAATTACCACGAAATGCAAAACCAGAAAAATTGGAAGCCCCTGAGGGGTTTGTCCATCTTCTTTTTCACCTTGACGACCATCATTTGTGCCCGGGCTTTTAGCGGAGGATAAGCCTTTTTTTGTTTTTTTAACTACCAAATTAAGGAGATTTGTAAATTTTCTCACAAAACAAAACGCAGGATTCACTCCATTTTTGCTGTAAATTTTTTTCAAGATTTTTTCGACTACTGGTCAGAGAAAAAATAAAACTTTTTGTGATGACACCGATTTTCGTAGGAATAATTTTTCGCTTCTTCTAGGGTTTATTTTCCCTTTTTTTGTGCGAAATTACATTAAAAAAGGCTCGTCAAAACATGCCAACTTATATTATCCATAAAAGTGGTGATAGTTGAGTACGTTGACATCGGTGGGCGATGACATGTTTTCGGTCCATTATGTGGAGGCGGCCATTTTTTTCGTTTTTTGCTCCATTTTTAATGGGCCATTCAAAAGTCGAAGTTAATTTTAAATTTTTCGTTTGTGGACATCCACCAAAAAGAGGACTTCGACGTAACAAGTTATCTTTGCGGATGGATTACTAGAGTAAGAGATTTTAAACGACATTAGGGGATTTTAAGCAGTTCGGGGCTTCTGTTACACAACGCTGTGACTGTAAGCTGTCAGTGGCTTCTTTTCAGAGTTTTGCGATGCAAAAAAGGCAAGGGTCCATATCAGGCAGTTTTCCATACAATTGTTAGGTGTCAATTTTGATGATTTTTTTGATTTTTTTTGCCAATTTAAAAATTTTCCCTTCAACCGAAGTCCAGTAATTTTGGCACCATTTTTACCCTGAGGAATGTCGACTCCCAAAAATTGCCATTTATTTACTACTATTTACTTTTCATTTCCCCTACTCACTCCCAAATTAGAACCAAAGGCCTCCCGGACTTTTACTCTCTGAAATTTCAAGAAGAAAAAATCCGTGAGTCGATTTACTAATAGCAATCTTCCCCGAAATAATTACACTTTGCATACTTTACAATGCCATTTTTCTGCAATTACGCAACAATTTCGCGCAAAATTGCCGAAAATTGCGGCCAATCGTCCAATTGATGGGCGATTTTTTACCCACTCTCCCCCAAAAACGGCTGGCCTAATCAGCCGTGTTCGGGTTCGGCCTGAGGGCATTCCGCGGAAACAAGTCTTTATTGGATTAAATTGAGGCCATTTTTTCTGCATTTTTGTGGCCAAACCCCGGGTTTGAAATGAAATTCCGAGATGCGCGGGGAATAATTGGCAATTCAGATTTTTTTGGCCCACTAAAATTTTAATGGTACTGTCAAAAAACTTTATTTTTTGTTTTTGAGTGACACGGTTTAATTTCGTATTTTACCCGGTTTTCAAAGTAAACAAACAGTTTAATTAATTTTTTTCGCAAGCAATGTGAATCTGTGGCCAGCGAAAGAGATTCCAGAGCTGTTTTCTTCCACATATTTGCTGGAACATATCAATTTAAGGACGAGAAATGCCCAATTATTCCAGAGATGGACGATTCAAGGTGATTTCTTTAACTTTTTTCTGTCTTTTCATTGTCTTTCAAGTCTTGAAAAATTTCTTTTTTTTACAGCAGAGGTTATTGCAGAATTTTTAGATTTTTTTTTATTTTTTGTGGCAATGGTACTTAAACTTTGCGTATTTTACATGTTCTTAAAGTTATGGGCGGCAAAAAATTGCAAAAATTTTTTTAAATGTAAAAAATCGTAAGTTCAAAAAAATTTATAATGAAAAAAAAATACAAACCAGGAAAAAAGTTCTTGAAACTGTCAATCAAAAGTGAAGACGAAGGCGAACTCAAGGGTTATGGCTGCAAATGATTATGAGTAATATCCGATGGGGATCGCTTTTGATCCGCAACTTCCCCCGGATTCTTGGTATTATATTTTTATCTTGATGGGTCTAAATTTTTTTTTAATTTCAAAAAATTAGCAAGCATTACGATTATAAAGAAATTATATTTGTACCCTAAAGGAATGCTGTTTATTTTTTGAATTTTTAATTTTCAAAAAAATGTTTTAAAAAGTTATTATTAAAGCGGCCGTAATCTTGACCTGTTCCCTGATTTACTGTCCCCTTAAAAACCACTGTTCGCTTGATTGTCCCATCATTTATTTATCTCCCTTCCAGACCTCTTCAGAGCAGTAACAAACACAAAATAAATGGGTACTCTTCCCTCCTGAAGACCCCCTTTTTTTAATAATTCGAACGGCTGTTTTGTCCGCAGGGCTTTGTCCTTGAATTAGAGGCAAAACGAGAGAGTGATCTGGCCCCCCGTTTTTTGCGGTTTTTATGTTTTTTGGGTGAATCTGCAGGTGATCCGTCAAATTTTCGGAGAAGTTCCAAAATTATTAGGACTTATTTACACGCTGATTTAAAGGGAACGGGATTTTTTGCGCTTTGGCGGGGTTTCTTGGGCTTTTTAGGGTTTCTGGGTAAATTTAAGAGCTGTTATTGAGTCCCCAATCGCTCTAAAATACATAAATATTAGACCAAAATTACTTTTATCCGCATTTATCAATCTTGGCAGAAAAGCCGAGGTAATGAGTACTCTTTAGCAAACAGATTAATCAAGTCGGCTGCCAAATGACACTCCCATCCATTATCAAACACATCCTTGTTGATAATTTTCCCAATTATTTTGAGATTTTATAGCCTGAGGCGCCAAAGTTTTCGAGCCCTTTTTTCCTTACATTCTTGGCCATTAAAAGAGCGCTAAGTTTGAATTAAAGGACGTCTCAAGCGGGTTTTGGCACGGCATTTGTGTGGGGAATGTTTTAGATGAATGGATGTAAGAGTAGGCAGGTCGTTGTAGCCGGAGGGCACGTCGCTGTTATCCCACGTATAATCAGGTTAGGGCCTATTCAAAAAAAGTAATTGGCTTAAGAAGGTTGGAACCCTTCTCCGGCTATATTTCAAAGTCATTTCGGGTCGGAAGCCCACTACTTTAATGGAATACCATCTATGTTTGGCCATAATATCGTAGCTGATACCCATATTCGCGCAAGTCCGGTAAGGTTTCACCTGATTTATGGAATTAAGTTGAAAAATCAGATTTTCTGATATTATACTACGTTTTTCTTGGGAAATCAAGAAGATTATAGATACTAAAATTGTTCAGACCAGTTAAAAATCTCTTTACGATGATTTTCGCAGATTTTTACGTCAATAACCACCATGGCTCGAGGGCATAAAACCGCCTGATCCACGGGATCGCGGCGATTTTGGTCCTCAAACTTTTTTTGGAGGTGCATCTGGTTCGAGTTGGGCCGGCATAACTCTATTAAAACGTTCGACTCTCAGCTGGTGTCAGATTTTTTGAATTATAAAAATATTTTTAGAAGTTGACGGCCTTTCTTCCGCCGTCCCTTAATCTTGACTTAAAGGTCAGGGATTCGTGGGAATTTGCTGACCGCTGGCCATTTGCATGGAGGAATTGGGCGATTTGACAGCTTTATTTTGACTTAAGGAAAGCGGGGATGGGCTTAGTTGGAGTTGATGGGGACTTGTTAGGATGGAATGATAGATATTCTTGAGGCAGATCAAGAGTGCATTCTTTGTGGCAGAACTCCGTTTTCTCAGCCTGCAATCGCTTTAGAGGACGAGTTAACTGTTCGCTAAAAGGAGATTTTGTAGTACTGCGTTGTAGCGCTGTAAGTTCAATAAGTAATAAGGATTTTCTGTCTCTTTTTGCCCTTTAAATTCACTCCAAACCTACCCCTCGTTTACAGCCGAACAAGTATCATTTCTTACAACTTGGGCCCATCCTTTGCGCCGGGCCAAGTTCATTACAGCAGCCTGAACCCACAACTCTCCCGGGATATTAGCCGAAACCAGGCCTCTCCTGTAGCCGCCTGCATATTCATGCAGTTTTGAAAATTACCGCCCCGAACCAGCTTTAACTTGGTTTTCGCGGAGACTCACTTAAGACGGCCACAAAAAATGGGGGAGGATATTTGTTCATGGGATTCCGCGGGTTTTCAAGGTTTTCGGGATGATGAGACGAGGGCCGGGCATCGGCCGCTAACGGCCGAAAATTGCAAAAATTACTGTTTCGGGTTCAGGTGGTCCATTTTGGAGGTGTGACATCAAAAATATAAAATTTTCATTTTTATCAAAGCTTAGGGTTACTGTAGCTAAAAAAGAATCAAAGCGTTGCCCACCGGATATAATACATCAGTAAAATTCAAATCGGAAACGATTGGCTGTGGTTTACCTCCCATATTGCAAAGATCTGTTTCTCGTAGCTTCCCATTGCAACACCACTCTGTTTCTTACTCTCGAAAACTTTTCAAATTGCCGTTTAAGCGGCCGAAAGCCTTTCGCGGCCCTTGACGCATCCCCGGAAGAAGTCAAGAAATTAGTGCGCGAGAATGGTCACTCCATAAAAGTAGGGGTCGAATAAAAATGAACACTTTCCGGCCTCATCCAGTTAGGGATGCACGGGAATTTGGGGTTTGATTTGGCCGGTTTTAGAGCCATTAAAAAAATTTTTTTGGGCTAAATTGGGCTTACCTTAAACTTTTTTTTGTAACGCTTACTGCTCATATTTGCTGACATAATGTAAATTTTATCCGAACATGTTCGAAACGCATTCCACTCCACTCCAAACAATTGAATTGTCGAGTTTCGTCAATGGCTAGCCGTCTCCCTCCTTCGTATCCGAAAGTTTTGTTTGTTCAGTCCAAAAAAAATTGATTGGGACGAGGGGAATATGTTTCGGATAATGGCCAAATAGGGTCAGACCGGTCCAAACGGTGTTTTATCCCTCCTCGTTTTGACGTCAGCAGCAGGTTTTAGCGTTTTTGGAGAGGAAGGAAGGTGAATTTGGGGACAGGCGAAGGAAAAGTGGAAGTTTGTGGCCTGATCTTTGGGGCTACAAAGTTTTGGGGCATCTAAATTATTTTAACTACCTAAAAATTGAGAAATAGTAGTAGTAAAAAGGGCCGACGTGATTTATATTCAGTTAGATCCAACGATTTCTGGTCTAAATCAAATCCCTTGACCTCAGGGAATATAACAAGCCACATGGCCCATGAAACCTTTCTTGAACTTTAATTTCCCCTCACAACAACGGTATTATACGAGAATTGGCCCGGATTGTACTTGTTATTTATCCTTCCAGAAGCCACTTACTTATATGTATGGCCATGTAATAAATCTAATTTTTGATTTCAAATTTTTCGCATGAATAATTAACCGAATTCAAATTGCCATTTTTCGAAATTTGGCATTAATAACCCGTTTTAAAACAAGCTCCTGAGGCCCTTCTCCTTCATATTTTTAGATGATTTTTTGAGTGCTTATGGGCAATAAATTTTTTTCTCGAAATCCCGCCAAAACGCATCGAAAAAAGTATAAAACGACGTGATATTGAGAAACAGGTCATACTCGTGCTCTCCAGTATAACACTCGAAATTGTGCCTAAAATTATTTTGGGGAGCTTTTGGGAGGGTAAATACTGCGCTTACTATGCATTTTGTACTTTTTTTTTTGAAAAAAATTTAAAAATTGTATTGAAAAATGAATTAAAAAGTTACTTATTCACTTGCATATCGATGAATTTTGCGTTTTCGACTGATATTACCTTTTTGAGTTGTAGGCCTACTAGTTATCGCAAAATCTCAGTGCCAAAACCCCTACACTGCCATAAGATTCCTTTTCCGTGATGCTCAGATAACCCTCTCTACCTCACCACTACATTCTACGCACGTCCGGCCGATTTCTCAATTTTTGGGGCGAATATTTTATGATATATTGCCTCAAGCTGGACCATTCCCAAGTTCTCTACTTTGTCTCGGTTCAACCAGCTGAACGCCGTCTTCTCGGATCTCGCTAGCCCAGTCGGATCCCCGAGACGGCCCTCAGCGCACCGTGATCTCCATTCCACGCACGTCGACGGATCAAGATTTCATCGGCGTCCAAGTTCGAAGAGCATCATCATCGCGCCTCGCTGAACCCCAACCCCCACCACTACCAGTCCTTTCGGCGACGCAGCTCGGCGCAGGGCTACGGCGGGGCCGCGGCCGGCCCCTTGATCCCGGCCCCCCGGCCATTCGTTCCGCTCATCAGTAAACTTCTCGGCGTCCCACCACCCGCCCAGCCGCCGGAGCTTCGGCAACGCTACGGGTTCCTGAACGCCGCCGCCCATTCCGGGCCCAAAGTCCAGCTCAGACAAGGCGCAGGGACAACAGGCGCGGCGGGCAATCGCCAGCGACCACAGTCGCTCGGAGGCTACGGCAGGGTAATGGTTTGAATTTGAGTACTAACCAAAATAAGGGTTAACAGAAGGTAAAGGTGTATAAAAATTTTAAAAAACTGCTAAAATTAGAGCTCTTACCCAAAATACTGCATGAATTAAGGTCTAGAATAACATGTATAAACATGATTATAAAATTATTTATAAAATTATTGGGGCTTTGCTGCTATAAAGCATAAGGAAATGCCGAGGGCAATTTACGTCGTAAGAATGCGACAATAAAATTCCTTTGCCGACCCATAGCTATAAGAACGTGTATGTACGTAAGGTTAAAGTAATACTTTTCAGAGTTCAAAAATACACTTTGATTGTAAAATACGGTTCCTTCGATCTCCTCTCTAATATTCTTTGGTCTTTGCCATGCTTGTTATCGTAAACTGTGTCATTTATTACCGTCAAATTTTAGCGCACACCGCTAGAAAAAGCCAGACACTTGGACAATTTACCCGCATATCAGGTAAGGTAGTACTTGTTTGATCCCTAAAAAACTTTCACACTCTCTTTGTAACTAAATAATAATTGAATTGGGAGGGTTTTTTACTTTGGATTCTTGGGCATTGTAGATGTTCATTGTGTTCAAAAGAGACGGGAAAATAATTCTGAAAGTACTATGCAATTATGAGGTTAATTTTATATTGTAATTAGGGGTTTGAGCTAACGTAAACGGCCGATATAAACATTCTTTCAGTAACATTGTAATGTCTTTCTATAACTTTATTTCTTGAATTAGAAACAATTTCATTTGTAGTCTTCTTCTATACTATATTCCTCTACTAACCTAGTATTATTCTGTTTCAAACACTCGAAACATTTTGTTTTATTTCTGCGGCACCGCTCTCCATACCTTCAGGCGGCGCTCCAAAGGAAATATTCCGAAAAAGGGAGGCAAAAGAAAAAAGTGCGCATTATTCTCCCGATATATATACATAAGGCCGATTGAATATCCATTTCACCTTTTCATCAGAATTTCTGGACACACAAAAAGTTGGTGTCAAAAAAAACTTTTTCCGCTAATGGAAAAGGCGGGTTGTTTTGGTTATAAGTAAGGGTCGAGGGCGCGGATTCTGGAAATGTAATGTCGGATGTGCCTGAGGGGGAACGACGGGACGTTGAGAAAGGTGAACGTGCCAAGTCCGAGTGCGAGGAGGGCGTGGGATCCGACGGGAAACCAATTATTTCTCAGCCGCCTTCTTCTGCCAAGTTGACCCAGAATCCATCGACCAGTCGATTATCTATATTGACCGCAGTTGAGGTCAGCTCACCTTCTACTCGAATTAAACTTCCTGACCAACATTCCAGCCTTTCGTCGGACACGTTGCCCATTTCTGGTCCTTTTTCTTCGTCTCCACACCGGATTCGACGTCAATCTACGCTCGACCTTGAACCTACGCCAAGGCATCGTATTGATTCCGGAGAACGAAAGCTTGGCTTCTCTACGAGCCCCATTTTCTACAGAAGTCGACCACGCGCGTTAACAGATCCAACGAAGACAAAATTAAAGATTTCCCAAGAACTCGACGATCTGATTGGAAGCAACGATTCTGAAGGTAAATCTGATTCCTTGAAGAAGGAGATTGATCAAGAAATCGACAACGAGGAGAGCAAGGAGAATAATAAAGTTCATCAAAAAAGGAGACCAACTTTGGAGCAGATTGATCCGAACTTGGAATTGGCGATTGATATCCCGGAGGAGCCCGATCATCTTCAATTCTTGTCGGTTCCCAGGCCAAACAATCACAACTCTGAAGCCGACTCCAGTTGCGACGAACGGCCTTCTGACTCGTTGTTGAAAATCCAGCCACCGCCCTATCTCCCTAATCTTCAAGTCACTGCTGTCAGTGATTCCGATTCCCTGACTGATGCCGAATCGGACGTCGACAAATTCCTCGAGAATCTAGCGAACTCCCGACGTCCTTCCGGCTTGTCAACGCACAGCTCTCGACCATTCCCACCGAACCTTCTGCGGCCAGCACCTCGATCCTCATCCATTTCTCCGAGTATTTCAACACAAAGTCGGCGAATCGGCAAGGATTTCGGCGAAAGGCGGAGGAAACAACGCAGTGTCAGCGTCGTTAGTTATTCCACCAAACGAAGGACTTCGAATACACCAACTACCTTCTCCTTACCCACCCGATTACGGCCGCGGAGTATTGCTGCCGAAAGTGGGGCCGAAGAGGATAAGGAAGACAAGGAAGTAAGTCGAGGGTGGGACAATCCAAGACTCTAAATTAATATCCCAATCAACCGCAAGTTAATTTCCAGAAGCCAGTTTTTTATTCCAAGCTTCCTTTTTGCCTCAGGGTGCAAAAAAAGTCTTAAAAAAAGGTTGACAAGTCTCTCAAAAATCCTTTGCATATCAATGTTTCGGTCTTTAACGAGTTTACGAAAAGGTTTTGGAAACGAAACCTGTCAGTTCAACTTCCCCAAGTCTGTCTTAAATATTTGGCCATGAACATACGAACAGAATTCGGAGTTCAATAGTCTCGATTCATGTGGACGGTCGCTACAGCGCGATCTCAATACGTGAGTCCGATTCCATCCATCTTCACCTAGTTAGTCAGCCAAATTTCATTAGTTTTCGTATGGTGCAGACTGAATGAAGGTTGTGCCATTTAAAGATAACTTTTGCTAAGCATTTGGAAGTTCTTGACCGACAATAAGGGCCCTTTCTATTGTTTTATCCTTCAAAATTGTTCCTTCTTTTCATACGTTTTGCTTTATGTAACGGAATTTTTTTTTTTGTTTCAAATGGCGCGGTAAGTCGAAATCTTCCCGTGGCATATCTTGTATCGCCTTGAGATGACCTAACCCAAACTTTATAATATTTTTATTCCCCAAACTTCAATAAATTACCTGGCCTCATTTTTCACCCCATTTTCGACTGCAATAACTCCCCATTTTACTGTACTCGGAAACTCCGGCCAGCCGCTCTCGCTTCGGCCAAGGGCCAAGTCGAGAGGTTGAAACGTCAGTTATAATTTAAAACCGTTATTAGATTGATGTAAACGAGACTTGTTCTTCATGAAAAATTATTCGCTCATTTCTGCGGGAAAAGGATCCGTGGAAACCGACAAATTTTTGGGGGAAAGATTTACCGCGCCATTCTCCTGGGCCCATTCTCATGCGCTTTGTGTAATTTATGGCCGACGAGGAGGTAAGCGGAGAGAGAGGAGTTTAATTCGACGATAATTCGGATTCGGTTTGGATTACTGTAACTTAGGGACGTTGGGATGGGAATTACTGTATTCTTAAGAGCTTTGGGATTGTTTTTGATGTTACAATTTCATTTGTTACATCTATTCATAAAGATTATGACAAAAATTCCTTATGACGTCATACATCCCACCCTCTCTTTTATGGCTTATCTCGCAATGTCAGCCATAATGTCGGCTAATCCCATTGTATTTGTTGTCTACAAGTGTAGATTACTGGGTTTTTTGTTGCACTTACCCACTTCTCTCTTCATACCTAACCTACGTTTATTTTACTTAACCTATCGAAACAGTTTACTTTATAAAACACAGACGAAGTGCATCTATGCTCGGTGTAGAAAGGATTTCGGTCCATTTTGTGCTCTGAAGCCATTTGCCAACATCTTATAATCTTTGTGGGGTAATTAATTCCATTTTATGACTTATGTAATAGCCATTGAGTCGGGATATAGGGGCTGTTGGGCTCGTAAGATGGTGATTTTCAGATAATTTTTAGAAGCTTTTTTTAGTTTATAGGGCTCAGAGAAGAAACCGCAGCTTTAAATTCTTCTTAATCTAAATTAGTCCCCAAAATAGGTAATCTTCATTTCCGTAGGCCTTTTATGTCCTCACGACTCCTCCAAGTTTTGCGAGGGCATCTTTCGTCCCTGCCAATTTGCATAAAATTATGCGAAAAAACTTTTTCCGCAGTCCATTTGTTCCAGATTATCCTGAAAACGGAGCATTAAAAGTCGTTGACGGGCGTTGTAATGAAACAAATAGGGAGGAGGAGAGGAGAAGATGCCCTCGGGGTAAAATTAAGAAAGTGCTGAGAATCCTGCGTCCCAAAGCTGACATCCAAGACATTTTGGGGGAAAAATTGCAGAGATCGGTTTACAAATGATGACCTAGGGGAGTTAAGGGGTTCAGAGCAGGGTAGAGTAAAATACGTACATATCCTTGACTCTTCTTCCATGAATGTAGAGACCAGTTGCAGTGAGTACCATTTTATAAACAGTACTTTGGCATTGATTTTAGCAAACCAGTATCTGCAGTTTTCAGTAATGTTTTATCCCTTTTCTATAGTCCCCCGCACAGTAAATTTGCCGTATTTAAGTTGCTATAGCCCCTTCCTATAGTCAGAAATCAGAGCCAACATTTATTTCGGGTTCTTCCTCTGTTTGCGTTTAACAATAAGAGAACTAAAATTGACCCGCTCTTTTCTTTAACACGTCGCGAACTCTGCCCGGAAACACGGTCCATGAATCGGGCTACAAATTGATGGTTGGTGGATAAGTAAAGAGAAGAAGAAGAGTAGCCCGTCATCGGCATCTTCCACATTCACATCAGCTTTCTTTTTTTCATTGTGTAGTTGTAGAGCAGAATCTTAACTTCGTGACAATTTAGCTGTCTAAAATAAGACCTCTTCTTTTTATCAGCTCAGAATAAATACTCTAAAGACCTTACGTACATACCGGCCTTAGTGGCAACCCATCTCCACTTGCAATAAAATGCCCGAACATCCAACGAATCGGAGTTTCGGCATTTTCAAATGAAATCACAATGAGTTATGGTGGTAGGTCAAAGAGTCATGTAAAATAATAACCGAAACCTACTTTTATTGAGTCTAGGAAGGATGGAAAAGTGTTGGCAATGTCTGTGTACTAATCGTTTTCTTTTAGGCCCACAAACTTCTCGACGGTTCACACCAGCTCCGCATCGACGGACATCACGTCGGAGGGGCCGGGCACGGCGGAGGTAGGTCGAACATTGCATTGAACATATTCCTAAACTCCGTCGTATCCTAATACCTTTACAAAAACAAATCTGCGGATATTTTTTGTTGACAGTTATCCGTGAATATCCGTAACATCTCCCACCTGTCTCATCGTTTCCAATAAATTATTCAACTACACGCAATACGACGAAATTGTCTAATCTTCTTCTACAACTTGCAATGGCTCTCATTGCAGATAACAGTCTTGCAATTTATGTCATTTTTTGGCCAAAGTTATGACGTTTTAGGCCACGGCCACAAGAAAGAATTTGGACCGGCCATGATTTTGTATTACCTCGCCTCGGCGTTTCGCGCCCTCTACCCTCGATTGGACGATGATTTCGTGGACAAGCTCAACTACTACTACACAACGACAATACGTGAGTTTTGGGGCTTGGAAATGGAGAGGATATAACTGTTTGTTCCTTTTTAGGGCTTTTGCCGTATTGTAGACCAAAATTTTTAACAAAGATTATGTTCTTCGGGTCTAACTCGACCTTTTCCAACGTATAATCAACCATTTTCAGTGGCATCGTTTGCCCTCCTTGTGTCAGCCAAGCAATACGTCGGCTTCCCCATCCAATGCTGGGTTCCGGCCACATTCACAGACGCTATGGAGCAATACACAGAGAACTATTGTTGGGTTCAAAACACGTACTGGGTACCCATGATGGAGGAGATCCCGCAAGAAGTCTACAACCGGCGGAATCGACAGATCGGCTACTACCAATGGGTACCCTTCATTCTGGCGATTCAAGCCCTCTTCTTCTACATTCCATGTATTTTGTGGCGAGGATTGCTGTATTGGCATTCAGGTGGGTGAAGATGGGGAGTCGGAAACGGTCGTATTTCAGGGATAAATCTTCAGGGATTAGTGCAGATGGCTTGTGATGCCAGGTTAATGGATCAGGACGTCAAATCGAGGACAGTTTTCACAATGGCAAGGCATATGCAAGATGAAGTTCAGGCAAGTTGTAGTAAATCATGATTTGCTAAGAGTAAAATTTTAAAAAATGCGGTTTTTGAGATACCGTATTCTTAATTTCAGTTGACGCAGATCGAGCGCCAAACGAATAACCGCTTGGCCTTTCTGAAAGTCGGCAGGCATTGCGGTTGGTATGTGACGGCACTTTATATTGGAATAAAGGTAACACCGTATGCATAATGATTCATTCGTCCTTTAGGTGTTATACTCACTGAATGTCCTGATGCAGTTCTTTTTGTTAAATCATTTATTGGGTTCCAACGACCTGGCCTATGGATTCTCGTTGCTAACGGATCTTGTGGCGGGGAAAGATTGGGAGGAAACGGGGATGTTCCCGAGAGTAACGTTATGTGATTTTGAGGTAAGTTGAGGAAAAAATTTTCTAATTTATCATCCGTTTTCTTTCAGGTCCGAGTTCTGGGCAACATCCATCGCCACACAGTCCAATGCGTCCTGATGATCAACATGTTTAACGAGAAGATCTTCCTCTTCCTGTGGTTCTGGTTCCTCTTAATTGGCGCTATCACAGTGTTCAATGCGTTCTACTGGGTGGGCATAATGTTCTTGCCGAATCAGGGCGAATCCTTTATCCGAAAGTACCTCAGAGTCCTCAACGAGCATCCCGGCAAGCCGATCACCGACGACGTCTCGTTGCACAAGTTCACAAACAATGTGTTACGGAAAGACGGGGTGTTTATGTTGAGGATGATATCAACCCATGCTGGGGAGTTGATGAGCAGTGAGCTGATCTTGGCGTTGTGGCAAGACTACAACAACATGGATCGATCGCCGAACCAGTTTTGGGATACGGAACACGTGGATGCGTGATAGTTACTGTCGAACTTTCGTAGCATTCTTTATGCATTACGTCACCAAGATCGTCTTGGTTTTGTTCTTTGATCTACTCGACCCGAATCTACATTAGATGTGAACACTTTTGTATCTGGGTGCTCTTACAATACTGCCTGGAATCTGCTGAGAAAACTCGTTTTATCATTCCCAGCTGCTGGCTTTTGCGCAGCGGTCGGAACTCGATATTCTGCCATTACTAATTCCGTTCTCTTACAACAAAACAACTCTCTAATTTGTATTTATGCAAATCAATATCCTCTGTTGATAATCGGGGTATCTCTAAATGTCTGAAACTGTTTGAAATGAGATTTTTTTTAAATTTCTTCCATGTTCTGCCATTTTCTCAAAAATTTTCTTGTGGAGTGTAATATCGTTTTTTTTATCTGAAATTATTTCAGGAATTCTCATTGATCCTCAAAAAAAGTTTTACAAAATATGAAAGGAAAGGTTCTCGAATGTTCTGCCGCTTTAAATTACTTTACTTTTACATGACATTGTGGTATCATTGATTTGGTATCTTCATTAATTTTGGTTCTGTAAGGTCTTCTCTTCTCTTGAGTCCAACCCCAGTGATTTCTCCCTAGTCATACTGTAATTTAACCCTTATCTTCCACTTGATTTCCACTGACATTACCCACCAAGGCTTTCAACAAAATTGTTTTCTTGAAGCTTTACGTTCTTGTATATGAATGTTATTGAAAATAAATTTCATAAAAATGTAAAATACGACTTTTTTGTAGAAGAGAACATCCAAAATAATATTTGCAGCTAAAAATAATTTACTAGTGAATAAATATTTAGATTTGAAATCATTCAAATGAAATTTCTCTGGATTTTCTGGCTCCCAAATAGAAAAGGACTCCGGAAGATGCCAAGGTGAGAAGATTGACCAAAACAATCGATGTGAGACCCCAATCCGACATGCACAAGGTGTCCTAAAAAAATTTCTCTTTTTGAAATAAAAATTTACCTCAAGAAGTTCGAAAGTGTGAGGAGCTGGCACCGAAGGCATGGCCATCTCTTTCGGGATAATATATTCGGGCGAGGAGGCTGAAATGATAATTTATGAAGATTAGAAAATAATTTCCGCCGAAAATTCTTTACCTTGAGGCGAATTAATTTTGACCTCTTCGACGGTTGATCTTTTTCTTCTTGGTGGATCAGGGCAATTGGGAATCTGGATATTTTAATAAAATTTATTTTAAAATACGATGAAAGGTGTTGTGTCTTTCTACTTACATCACAAAACTCTTGGCCCGGCTCCTTCACGGTCAACGAAATCTTACAGTCAAAGAAAAGATTGGGACGATCGGCGTATTTGTAGACGTGAGCCTCCTTTCCAACCATCAAGTCGGAAACATAATCCAAATTGGACAACAAGAACTTGTCCTTAGCACACCTACAACATCATTTAAGTACAATACAAAGCTTTGCTTATAAATTATAACAAGAATTAGGCCTCGTATTTTACCTACCCTTGGCTATCAATCAGCTCCACTTGATCTCCGTTTCCGTCATCGACCTTACAAGAGTGAACCACCATGCAGAATTGCCCCTCAGTCTGTGAATCACAAGTCCATTTGTGGTAGACCATCTGCCCGACCTTGGCGAACATGACTGGAGGACCAGTGGGACTTCCATCCAGCACTTCGTATCTGCAGACGGGCATAGGGACTTGCTGAGTTTGCATTGGGGCGGGAGGCATGTCAATGAGCAGCTCCTTTTCCAAGGCACAATGGCGTTCCATGTAGAAGCATTGGACATTGTAAACTCGATCGTATTTAGTGAGATATTCCGGTTGGAAGGCGACGATGATCTGGGTTCCCAAGAAGATTCCGCGAGGATTGGACTGAAATTAAAATGAAATGTTTTAGAAATTCCGAGCCATATTGAAAACTGATTTCTATTTTCTTGTTTGTAGTCCTTTTGTCACTGCCTTATATTGTTTTAAACTTTGGTCAATCAATTGGAAACTGGATGATCCGCAAATACTCCGAACAAAACGGGGAAGCGACAGCTCCTTCGCTTGTCCATCCTCTCCTTCCCCACCGCCGACGTCATCTCACGGAGGAACCGGACGCAATCAAAATAAAAAAAAACTTGGAATCTCTGTAAACTATTTGGGGACCAAGGTAAACATCCCACCGCTGGAATGGGTGCGCGGCTTCTGAATTTGACGGAAGCGCAAATAGAAATCCAAAGTGCGTCCATGGCCATGGCGAACACAATGGTCAATGGGTACGGGAAGCGGTGTTCGCAAGGATGTGCACACTTTGTTTGGGGAAACTGAGGGAAAAACATCTGATGACGGGTACAAAAGCAGGGACTGGGCGGTATTTCGGGACAGTAACGTGGGACGCAGCGCGTAGTTTTCGAGTTTTGTGTGAAATTTGTTTAGAAACTTTTATTGCAAGACTTGATTTGTTGGTTGCCTTGCGTTGAGCCACTACTAAGCGTAGTGATGTTTACTAAAATGAATATTCAGCCTTTCTTTGTTTACAGAATGCTCCACTACAGTACCCTGGTGGCCCTCAGCGTGTGTGCCTTGCTTGCCGCAGCCCAAGATTGGGGAGGAATGGGCGGTGGTGGAGACATGGGAGGTGGTGATATGGGAGGAATGGGAGGAGGAGACATGGGCGGCGGTGACATGGGATATGGAGGAGGTATGGGAGGAGGAGATATGAATGGAGGCGATATGGGAGGCTATGGAGGAGGTGAGTTTGCCAGATCACACCTTATCCTAAAATCTCATTTTCTTAGGCTACGGAGCAGGCGGCGGCCCCATGCCCGGCAACTACGGAGGATTCCCACAGGGCGGACCAGGATATAACCAACAGCAGTAAACGCTAAACTTGAATCCAGCTCAAAACTTTCACTCCAAGTAGGATTATTTCGATTATCTGATCTCAACCGCTTCCGAATTTTTGAAGAATTCATAAATTTCAGCAACGCAAATTCCTACAAAAGTAAGCTATCAAATTCCCAGTCCAGCTGAGTTCACTGCCATCTCCAAATAAGACCAATAATGTCATCACTCTGTCATCCAAGACATGGACCTTGTAGAAACAAAATACCAACAACACGTTGCGCAGAAAACCTTTTTGTGCAAATCAATGCGGTCTCAAACTAACGTAGCACGCTACGCGAGACTGCACAAACCCGCCTCTAATTTATTAAAATATAAATTTAATTATTTATATTTATGTATAATATCGCCCACAATAATTACTGGCAAATAAAGTTAGTGTCATTGAGGAACTACGGTAGCTTTGGCGTAAAAAACAAACTTACCGATCGTCTTCGTTCAAGTCCGCAGTCCTTGAAGTTCAACGAAATTGAGGCATTTCTGAAGCCGTTGGAATCGGCGTCGATTGGAGCTGAGCGGCATTCGGGCCATTCGAGTTGATCCTTCACGAAAACAACTCCTTTGAAGGGATTCCGAGTGTCGAATCTGACTTCAATCCCGTTTGGACCACAATTTACATAGGGATCTCCCAGGATCCCATTTTCAGCGGCACTTTGGGCTTGCTGAAGTTTAAAAATTGTGTTATGTTAACGCAAAGACGATGACTTACCTGAATCAGCACCCCGAGCAGACCGATTGCCAACAGCAATCGTTTCATTGTCGTCGAAACAATGCTACTCAACAAGGAATAACGGAATCAATGGCACTCCGGTCGAACGCCCTCCGGGGATTTGCTGATTTGTGGCGCTGATTTCCCTCGGATTTTCACTTTTTTCTCACTTAATGGCGGATTTTGAAAGGGAAATGGGAGCGCCTCCATTTATTCCGATCTTATCTCACCCGGCTGTCAAAGGAATTTGAATAAAATTCCTAAACAATGTGAAATTAGTCATCACTGTAAGCCAAACAAGATTACTTTCAAGTAAATTATTTCAATATTAAAATCATAATGCGGAAAAGTAGTTATTATTTATCTTGTTACGGACTTGCAGATCTTTGAAAATGCAAAGAAAAAAGGGTCAACCTGTGGAAAAAAATTGGAAATCGCATTCCATCGATGACCTCCACTCTATTAAAACAAAAAAATAATAAAAAATGGAAAGGACCCGAGAAGATCTTTCCCTTTTCGGACTGTAATGGTCGACTATCATTATTGCTGGGTACCCCAAAATCTTTTTCGCTATTCCCCGAGGGGCCTTGTTTTGTTTTATTGTGGCATTTCAAGGGGTTATTTTTTGAAAAGTTGACATTTTGATCAAGTTTTAATACTCCTTTGGAGGTAGTTAAACGCGGGTGTGAAGTCTTTTGCTTATTAAAATGATCACAGAAATTTTATTCAAAAAAAAAAGACTTCTAAAGACCATATTGCTCGCAAGTATGATCTTTGCCTTCACCTAACAGGAATCTTTTTTCCAATTTTTACAAAGTTAATTTAATTACAACGATATGTTTTTGTGAGTTTCCCCCATTCATGGAACTGTTTTGTTACTTCAAACTCCTCATCCTTCTAAAAAATGGCGTCATTCGTCGATAAATGGGTCTCATTACTTCTCTTCGGAGCCAATTGTAAACACAGAGTCCAATCGCTAACTAGTAGTCATAACTGTCTACTGAGTCACTGACCAAACTCTTTTAGAAAACTGCGAACAAAGGAATGAAGGAAGCCGACTTCAAAATCCGTGGGAAGAAACAAATTAAGTGCGAGAAGGGCGAAAACACGGTGGAAAACTGTTTAGCAAAGAAGGTTTACAATTGGAGAAAAGATTTTGTGTGGGTGGGGAGTTTGTAGGGGAGAGGAAAACAGTCCGGAAGTAGTCGGGTTTGGAGCGGGGAATTGGGCAAAGTCGAGGATCAGTTCGATCGTAGTTTAGTTCAAAGCTTTTTTGGGGTTCACGTCACTTTTTGGTGTCATGCCATCTATGAAGACGAAAAAATAGAACGGTCTAATTTTCAAAAAAAAAAAATATTTTTTCTGAAGCCTTGTATACACTGCATAATCAACATTACTTGTATTTCATTTTGCGCGTGTTTTTTTCCAGATTCAGAACATTAGTTTTTCATAAAGTATTTACATTTGTCGCGGCCCGCACCATGCACAAAAAACCCCAATTTCGCACCGTGCATTTAAAAATTTTTTGGTTTTGCACAGTGCATTTGAAAAATCGCTGCGACGTAGGCTTTTCTCAATTGCATCGCCGCGGTTTTGCCGACGAATTTGCACAGTGCAAACGGCTTTTTTGACGTTTGCACCGCAAGAAAAGGAAAATCCACTGGGCGTTGGCGACAATCGTGGGAAATCCTTTTCCACGAGTCTCCGATAACCTTGCACAGTGAAAGGAGGTCGAACTGAGCATTGAAGTTTTGACCAGGCCTTGTGAAGCTAGTGATTCTACCGGGTCAAAAAGTACAGCGGTTAGAAAAAAAACATTTGACGCGTTTTGTTAACTAACTGTAAAGCATGCCTATAAGTCTTTTTGTCTAGCTACGTTCTTTATTTTTGTTTTTGCAAGTCAACCCCATAAACTGGTCAACCTTTCCCCTTCAACCAGAGTATTTTATAGTCCCATTACCCTTCCCTATTTTTTAAGTTAATTTATTTTTCTTACACTTTGCTGTGAACCTCTTGCGATTCGATAGTAAAAAGAATTCGTCAAACTGACCTCGCATTGGTCAGCCACACCTAAAATAAGTCATATTTGGGCACACTTTTGTACCGGAATGTAACCCAGACATGTGTTTTGTCATGTTCAAGACTTTGAAGACTAAATTAAGGGCCAGAAATGGAAAAGAGGCTTAAGTTATCGTTATCGATTGTCGCGGAAACCGGGGAAAAGGAATTGTTTCGTGGGTGTGAATTGCTTTTCCAAACATTATTTTACGACAAAAAATCAGTAATATTTTTTGTAATTACCGCCTGCTTTTTGCTATTTCTCTGATTACTTTCCCGATGCCCTGACTGTGTTGTTTAAACGTCTGTGAGAGCAAACTCGAAAGTAATCCGTAAGTTTGACAAGAATTGCTATTTCCACTGAAAAAACATTTCATAATTGTCGCGTGATATGTCTATCGCAAAAATAAACTTTTATTTTCAGTAATGCCCAGAAGATGGATATTCCATATAACGTTGACCATATCAGCATTGTACATCGTAACAGTATGTTCTGCGCCTTCACACACAATGCAATGTTATCACGGGAAAAAGAACCGAGATGGCGATTGTGAATGCGAGCCCGCGTATGCGGGACAACTATGCGAGCGGAAGAAGCATTGTCAAGGATTCGAGTTGCATTTCAATTACAGGCAAGAAATGCATTAATTTTTTAAGGTTTTTGATAGTAATTAGCGCCACGAAAACCATGATTAATATAGAGTCATCTATAAAATTGCTTAAGCTAATCTATTTTCAGTTGTGTTAGCTGCGAAAAAGGCTGGACTGGTCAGGAATGCGACTTTATTGACTGCGGACAGAATGGACTGCCCACAAGTGCCGTTGAATGCCAATGCACGGAACCTTACTCGGGACAAATGTGTGACCAGCTGAAGACTACTGATGTTTATTTGTACTATAATTCAAAGATCTACTCAATGGGTCCACTCGGAGTCCTCACAATCGTCCCAATGATAATCATCTTGTTTGGGTGTAAACATCTCGCCGATAAACGACAGGTAAGACCTGGTTTTGGACTCCTTTAGCTATTATCATACATATTTTCGCAAATTTTTACATTTTTAGGTTTATCGAGTGACCAAGGCGCTGAAAAAAGATCATGACATAGAGCCATCACAAGTTCGGAGTTTCCTTAAGGGATATTGACCGCAATGATTATGCATTAATATTAGACTTCGCAGTTAGTATTTATCAAAATAAACTCTCCTGTAAATAAACAAGAAGCGCGTTATTGCCAACGAACTCAAATTTTAAAATTTTTTATTGATAACAAAACAATATAATGTCCAAATCGTGATATTTTGAGAAATAAATGATAACAAATATAATAGAGAGCGGAATTAACAATAACGCGAGATCAAGGGTTAAGTCATCAGTTAAAAATGTAAATATTACATATTACACTTTCTATCTACATGCTTCGAAATGATATTATTTACAAAATCTGAGAGTCTAAAGATGATATAGCTAAACTACACTATACACCCATAAAAAGAATCACAAGTCAGCATAATGAAAGGCCACTTATATCAATTGTTGTATAAAAAACCGCTACTATAGTAATCACAAAATCACCTAGGAATAAACGTATATCAAAGAACAGTCACCTCTACTGCCGAATAAAACATTATCTAATGATCCGTGTCACTCTGTTCTGGCTCCCCATCATAGGCGTTGCTCGAAGCGGATCTTGCTCTCAATGGAACGAAGAAGGTATCATTCCCATCTTGGTCCGAGTCTGATGAAATTGGAGGCCAATAATGGTAAGCAGCGGGGCCAGAGTTAATTGATTTCGTAGATCCCATCGAATTTCTGTTGGCGGTTGGATTCGAAAGACGGAACTTGGGATTCTGCCCAGGTCCCATAGTGTGACGACGGAGAAGAGAAGTTAGTGACGCACTTTGACCGCTGAAAAACTATTTTCATACTGATTCAGTTCTCAACATCTGATTTTAACTCTTCACTTATAACTAATTCATTAGCTAAAGACAAAATGCCACAAATTCTTATACTTACGATTGCTGGCTGATCAATTGCGAAGAACGGCCGTCGAAAAGCGACGCGCGAGACGGGCGATGCGAGTGGAACGCCGATCGCGTGGAGGCCGCTTCATTGTCGACATTGTTGTTGTCGTGGACGTTTGGCTGTCCCTGATGGCGGCGGATTGGAGAGCAACAGGCATCTCGTTTCCTGAAACCAGCCGCCTATAACAATGCCGTGTATACGTGAATTCTTCACCCCAAAGTACAACTTTTCTCTTGCTCTAGGAGTCTTGTTATGACACCCAATTTGCATAATTTTCCCATACAAACACTTTCTATTCAAAAACAAAACAGCTCCGACACCCCACCCAGATCACAAAATTAATCTCATGTCAGGTAAATCTATGGTGAACCGGAGACCTAACGAGACCGACAAACCCTCAAATACCCCAAATACTTACTTGATACTGAATTCCTGATTCGAATCTTCAGTCAGACTTAATCCGGAGTCTTCTCCATTTACCGGACTCATAGTCGGATTGGCCGGAATCTGCAGCGCTTCCATCTCCATAGTTGGTTGTGGTTCGTCGACTTCCATTGGTTCTCCTAGGTACTTCAGATCTTCCTCCTCCTCCATGAAAGGAGGACTTTTTTTCACATGAGAATTCTTTTGATTCGACTGCATTCGAGGAATGGCACTGCTGCGGCGATTCTTGGAAGCATGGCCATGGCACGGACGTTCAACGTCGGGGTTGTTTACATCGTAAATTTGGCAAACTTGGACTTGATTCTTCTCGTCCATGTAATAATAGGCGAGAATGGCGTCGTGCTCTTGGCTGTACTTGACGAGTTCGCTGGCCGATCCCTCATCGCAGAGGTCTGCTTCGGTTTGATCAAACTGAAATCAAACCATAAGAAAATCCATCGTTTACAAAACCAAAATCAATTTAAAGCAATACTTACAGTAGCAAAAGTACTTCCCGGTTGTTTGGAAGATCTCCTGGACATAGCGGACTGTCTTCTTTCCACTTCCGCTAATCCAACACGATAGCTGGGTACGGGTTTCTCCAAAGATGAGGACTGAGCGGCATCCAAGAAGCCTTGGACCAACTCGATGGTCGCCTGGAGTCGTTGAGTGAAATAATCGACCGCTGCTTTTGGATATAACCACGATTGCACACTGAAATTCAAGTCATTACCTCTAATGCTCAAAAGATCTAAAACACCAAAAATAATCGATCCACATACGTTTTCGCCGTGTACATGGCCAGTTCCACGGGTAGGAAGGCCGGAGCCATCAGACGACGAGAATATCGATAGAGACGGAATGAATTCAAATATATGAAAAGCCGACTTTCAGCTTTCGTGGCTTCTCCAAATGCTAAAAAAATACCAATATAACTTATAAATAAATAGATCTCTAACCCATACTACCAATTTTAAACATCCACTTACCTGTCTGAAGAACACTTGGGAAGAGTGCGGTTGCGTCCTCCGGATTGAATTCGCTTTCATTACACATATCACATTCAGAGGTCAGTCTCAGTCTGGATGGGTTGGAAACCATGGAAGACGTTCTTCGCACTCTGGGAAGATTTACTGGTGTTTTGTATTCGGGAACCGGGAGGACATTGCTCTGTATGGTGAGGCATCTCACACATGGGGCCAATCCCTTCTTGGTCAATAAAACCAAAGCATCTTGGAAGCCCTGACGGCAAATCTTGGAGCAAATATCGAGACTTGGAGGGAAGAAGCAGGTGATCATTCGGAAAAGGTTACCCGTGGTCATCCTGATATGGGTATTGGTGAAGTCAATTCCCAAAAGTGATGCCGAGTCTCGATCCCATGGGCAGATGTCATGTTCTCCGGAAAAAGGAGAAACGGTTAGAGTGTTTTCGTCGCCCATCATTGGCTGGTTGTTGCTCAATCCACCATCCACATATTCAACTCCTTTGAATTTCGGAGGTCTGACTCCACAAATGATTGGGATGAAGCTGGAGCAGACGATGGCTTGGATGAGCTCTTCTCGGGTCTCAAATTCCGACACCATCACATTCCTGTAGTCAGACGCTCGGGTCAAGCTGATGAAGAGTCTTCCCGAGCATTGGATATGAGCGTCTAGAGGGAGATGGGATTCCAGACCTTTTCTGACGATTCCACTGAGATCAAAGTTGGGGTTTAAGGTCTTCAGGGTTCCTCGCTGAGCTTCGCTGGCGGCTTGGAGCATGATGCTGATCGCGGCTGATACGCAAACATTGCAGATAACTCCAGCCCCAACAATAGCCCCGGCCGAAGCTCCGTAGATCTTGTTTCTGGTTAGTTGAGGGGCATATTCCTTGATGGCGGCACAGACTCCGGCATGATATACACAAAGAAACCCACAGCCGGCGAAGGATAGATTCAACTTGGAGGGGTCTGTGAATTTTGTTGGCGAACTGCAAGTGGATGTTTCTTGGCCACAACAAGGTGGGGACTGTTGTCTGAGGTTAGGTGAGTTAAGTGGGGTCACATTTTTGGTCTGAGGGACCTGAAATTTCAAAAGTTAGTATAAAAAACCACATTTTACACTATAAAAAAACAAGTAATAAGGTCCCTACCGATTCTGAGCTGTCATTAGCGTCCAATTCAAATCGTACACTTGGTTTCCGGGGAAGTTGAACCCCGTTATCTTGGATCGTCATTGCGTACACCCGTTTTCAATTGCCTCGTCAATTTTTTCTTGTGATATTATATTTACAAATCTGCAAAAGCTCAGTTTAAGTACCATAAAAAAAACGTGCAAAAAACGCGAAAATATCGGAGAGAATGGTGAGCCGTGCTCATAAAGTGCTGTAAAGTTTAATGATTCCAGCATTTGTAAAAAGAAGAACATGGGAAAGCGGGAAAAAAACTGTACGGACTTTGTTCTTAAGATTAAAAGTGGAAGTCTACACCATAAATGGAGCTTTCAAGGTGAAATGAAAAAAGGGAGTTATTGACGTGATAAATTTAGAAATGAAAATGGGGTTGGGAGAGTGATTGAAAACAATGTTTAGCATGTTTCTTATCTTCAAATTGATGTTCAATCTGCGCAGCCGGCTAGCCAACCCTCTTTTTAGCTAGCTATCTAGAGGATGAGGCTGCTGCTACTCGTTTGAAACTCATTCCGACTTTCTGGCAAGCCATTTTCTTGTCCCCAAAGCCATAACTTTGGATAACCAGCCATACTTTTTCCAGTCGACCAGCAAAAAAATTTGGCGGCTATGCCAACTTGTCGGCTAGTCAAACAATTTAGCATTTACTATTTATTTTCGGTAAATACCCGAGCTGCTCCAAGCCAATTCCGCCAGAAAACAAAACCTGCCCAAAATCAAGGACACCCCAAGGTGAAGATGAGAAGCATGCAGATGGAGAAAGCTTCCTTCCAAAAAATAGCTGCTTACTTATCATGTTATACCACAAAGGACGTCCTTTATCGAAGAACTGATAGATCAGTTATCTCTTCTCCGAAGCGTCAAAACTTCTGAGGTGGCACAACAAAGTACGGGGGGAAATTGAGAAAAACATAAAAATACACAAAACTCGGTGCGGAAATCTGCAGGCGCAGCGAAAATTCGGGAGAAAATGGAAATAATCGCTGAGAAAGGATAACCACTCGTTGAAAAAAAGTGTTTGGAGCTAAAAATAACAACGAAACCGCGGTGATAAGGAAGTATAAGATGTGAGTTGAAGAAATAAAGGGTGATGAAAGAGCCGGAGAATTCCTAGCATTTCGAACGATTTTACCGAAAATAAACCAAAATTTTGACGTGCGGGCTTCCCTACCATCTTTCGAGGAAAACACCAAAAAAAAAGCGACATCACGCCATGGCTCGCCACCATCAACAACCTACTTATGTCATACCCGCCCAACAACAACAACCGCATTATTTCAAAACCCTCCTTTGAGTCAACCTTGAAGAGAAGCCACCATTTTTTAATAAAGTTCTGATGATCAAAAGCCTCAACGTTCAAATAAAAATATTTTCCAAAGCAGCCACACTAAAAACACGTTGGGGATGACAAAACGACGATGATAACGACCATATCAGCATGACATTGAAGGGGGACAACCTCGTGACTCTTAGGAGGGTTTCGGTGGCAAATTATCAATTATCCGTGCGCTCTTACCGATTAGCCAAGGAAAAAACAGTCGAAAAATGGTTCTGGAATTTCAATGGGAACGTCAAACGATCAAGGACCGTTAACTCCAACAAAGATTACACCATCCACCATCTTAGAATTAAAAACCTTTCAAACCTTATATATCTTATGCCAGGGGAAGCCCACTCCGGCGACAAATAAATTACAAAACTACTTAATGAATCAACAACAACATAGACAGAACCAAGTGACAAAAATACTTTTCCAATCTATTTTCGTCCAAACTTTCAATGAATTTGTCTAATCAGACCTCATTTTGCACCTTCAGAAGGCGTAAATATTATTTAAGGCAAGTTTTCATAATGAAACAAGCAAAAAAACTTCCAGACTCTAGAAATTATAGTTCCTACGGTCGAACATTGTTCTTTTAGCCTAACCCTGGCCTTTGTCCCTTTTAATCTCCGTTTTTGAGACTTTGCAATTCGCCCAGACAGCACCTCCCCACCCAGTCCAAAACATATTAGAATAAGAGAATGGAGAGAACAACCTTGCTCTTTATCAGCCCAAAAATAAATTCGCCAAATGTCATTCAGGTCACAAAATGCAGAAATATGATTCGGTGTAGGGAAATCAGAAAGGAAAATGAATGAAATAACAAGAAAGGCATTCAGACAGGACTGAAAAAAAGGCGAACCACCTGATAAATTAGCAATCATATGGCGTATAACACGCCGCCATTCCGAATAACAAGCAAACAGCTGTAAAGAAGCCCTTGAAAATTGGCGGAAGCACGAGGTTTGTGGAAATGGAAACACGACAGCGGAGATAATTGGAGAAAAAGACAGGTCAGCATTAGCCCCTTATTTGGATAAGGAGGATTACCAATATGAAAGCTGAACAAACAATCGTCGAGACCCCGAAAGTCAAGTGTACTACGGAACAAACGGTAAGACATCCATGTTTTGATTCACAAGTCCAAGAGCCGACGACAACTTTCCCATAATCGGTCAGTTATCAAAACAAGAAACCCTTTAGACTTCCCCAAATCCATTATCAACACTTCCCAGACTCCACTATCCATGTTCTCGCTATATAACGGGGCGACTCTACTCCTTTACTCCCCGTTTTATAATTGAATCGCCTGGAGTAACAGTTGCGGTCAGTTTTGAAAGTGGGCGGAGTCCGAATGGTGGTTAGATCATGCCACTTTTTAAAAGTATTTCAATTCTATCCTCTTAATCAGGGAGTAAATGACAGGAAAAGAAACAAGAACACTTCACGAGCAGCAATCTCGATAAGCGAGACTAGAATTGACGACCTCTACTAAGAGATCAGCCTATGTTGTTTATGCCGTATACCTGAACTTTTGGTAGGGAAAACTTTGACGAATTTACTTTACATCCAAAATAGTCGGACTTCTAATTACTGAAAATGAAAAATGGTGATGAGCAAGCAGTAACAACATTCAAAAGAAGACGAATGAAGAGTACTTTTAGAGAATCGGGGAATATTGAAAGCAAACAGAAAACCTTTATATTAGCATGCCAATTGTATTATTTCTTGAAACGATAGGCAGACAAGACATCCGAAATTCAGCACATAGTACTTTGCATCTAAAAACCTCAACTGAAATCTCAAAAGACGATCTACGGCATTAAACTAGGGATAATATCCCGTACCTCGTAAACACCAAAAGAAATCCCGCTCACAAAGAAACAACCTTCCATTAACATCGAGTTCGACCTCCACGTACCTAAACAGAAACACAAACCATGAAAAACAAACCTTTCTCCATTTTGCTCACTCCCCTTACTAATTTGAATTAAAAAAATCGTAGCTTTTGAAAGAAACAAAATTACAACGGCAATTACCGGCGTTTCTAACTTATTTACAACGAAACACCCGATCAGTCCATGAATTTCGTAAAAATAAGAAAAATGCAGCGCTAATTTTCCAAGTGGGCGAAATGCCACGCAATATATTGACTGCAACAAAATGTCACTTCCGGAAAATGGGGTGATTCGCGGCGAACATCAGATATAAATTTTTTTCTAAATTTACGAGCGTGATCAGGGAAAGTTTAAATTTAAAGTTTCACACCATTTGAATCGAACACATGATTTTGATTCTGACATAAGATAAAAACGTTTCCTAAAGTAACAGGGTAAAAACGAATCAACATTTTTACTATTTATATAACCGAATTGTCTCAAATATTGCATTCTGTCCTCATATGCAATATTCCATTTTATTTCTTTCCTTTTTGCCTTTCTATTCCGTTTCATGAGTCATAGAACCTAAGATAGGCCGCACTACAACTTTCTTTTGTCACTCGTTTACTGGTGATCGTGAGCTGTACTTTTTGAATTTAAAAATAGAGCTCCTTAGCGTCGGTTTAATCACAGATTCGTGCAATTCCGCATTGGCCGTCACGTATCAAAAAATATCTGATGTGCAGTACCATCTTTATAGGGATCCCACAAAAATGGTATGAAAGGCTCTGCGGTGACGGGATCGGGTTAATTAAAGAAAGGGTCATTGCAAATGTTGGTTTAACAACCGGAAGTTGTAATGGTGAGTAATGTAAGACAATGCGGCATGGGAATTTCTCGTGGCAGTCATTTATGTACTACTCTAAAGGACTGCACTTTATGTTTTTGTGAAATTTTCTGCGGTGTTTTCCACTTTTTAACCGCATGGTATTAGTGTTAAAAGTGGAAAAAAACAAAACGTGTCTGGTCTTATGTTATCAATAAGGCACGTTTCACAAGTAAACAAAAGTCAAAACCACGATCAAGCGGTTCGTACGGTACACTCCAATCCAAAGATCATAAATGTCGTCAGAAACTGCTTATTTTTTTCAACAAATTTTTCTGATCTTCATCAAAAAAACGTGGAATAGTGCTTATATAATGACATATAAGCTTGGAGAATAACATTACTATGCCTAAGAATGGCCTTTGAGTCCAATTGTAATGATTGTAGAGAGACACATACGCCATGCTTGATTTTTACCCACATTTTGCTTGTTGTTTTGAACACTCAAACGGATCTGCACGGTGCAGAATAAAAGTGCGTTGATTTTTCGAAGTGCTTGGTAAGAAACAAACAATCCTGACGAAAACATTGGGAAAGTGAAGGTTTTCTTGCCATCGGCACGTCTTGTTATTCAAACAAAATACGTACTCTTGCAAGGGCTCAAATAGCTATGTAACTCATAAATATTATCGCTAACACTGTGGACCTGATTGTAGCAGAGTCTGATCATTAAAAACATTGGATGGTTTCACTGTAAATTCGAAAACATGGATCGTTCATATCATCGGAATTCAACCGAGGTTTACAACCACTTTAGTAACGACGAGCCGCTTTTGCAAACAAATTGAAAACGCCGAAAGTATGTAGAGTCACTATTTTTGGGCTTTACTATCCTGAAACGAAGCTAACGTGATAGAAATGTGATCAATTACGGCTGAGAGAAGTCAATATGACTTATGGTCGCATTAAAAACGAAAATAGAGGAAGTAGAAGAAAAGTTGATTAGTGTAACGCCAAAAACGTTAAGTCTATGGTAAACGGTCACCAGATCGTAAAAAAATTGTAACACTGTCTGGGGAAGAGATCGCAAAAAACCAATCCATATACTGCCAAAAAAATCCATATTCTTTGTGGTAGTTGTTGCAAATCTTCTAAAGCAACTCGCAAAAGTTTGTGCGATAAGGCCCCATGATATATAATACCAAAAGGTCACTCGAATCGAATGTTTTTGGAGTTTCAATAAAACGAGTCGATCACGCTGACATTACACTCCAAGTCATGCTCACACATTCACTCCATTCCGTTTATAAGGACCCTTCCGAATCTATTCAAAGTCACGTGGTCTGAAAAGATGACACGACAAGAAATGGGAAGTAAATGCCTGGAGCGTCTTTATATGCACTCTTTGTTACCATCGGCTCTGATTGATAGCCATGGAAGCAGACTGTTTACGGTAATTTAAATTGTTTTTATCTGCATACCGTATGACCAATTGAAGGGCATCCTCGGGATTCAAATAATATAAGTTCAAGTCCAAAGAAGACTCAAAGGGCTATTGAAAATTGAATTAAAAGTATCCTATCCCTCGAGTGTAGCATTTGTTAATTTTCAGTCAAATGAAACAGTCGCTGAAACTGTCAACATCCTTTCTGAAACAATCTCATAGAAGCCAGCAACCATTTTATTGCGCGTTTCGGACCCAAACCTTTTGTTTCTTTGTTATAAAGCCACTTTGATTAGAGTCACGAGGCGACGATAAGACTCAGAATTCACTTCAGCTCTTATCAGTGATTTGAACACGACATTCGTGAGTAAATAAGAAAAAACCGTCTCGTGGGGGTAATTGGACCCTCAGGGAATGAGTGATAAGAACGAATGTAATGTAAATATATGGTACTAGGAAGGGTTCCCCATCCATGAAATAGCGGTTTACGAAATGAAATTAAGAAAAAAACACGTGGCGAATGGTGATAAATCGAAGGGGGAGATGACTAGAGGGAGGAGACATAGAAGATCCAGCGAGTTAAAAAATATCCGAAGCTGGGTAATGGCTAATATAAAGCCAAGTGAAACTGCTTTTGCCGCAATCTTGTTGTATCTTTCCCAGCGATGATTTGAAATCAGTTAAACATCAAAAACTACTTTTATCGCGTCTTTTTTTAAACCTGACATTAATTACAAACAAACATCAGTATGTTGCCATGATCGTTGATTTCGTAACGTCGCAACAACACAGTAATCTGGACCGCCGTTTTGCGGCGATCTCTGAATTGGTTTGTTATTTTTGAACTAATCATCGAAACGTCGAGAAGAATCGAGCGAGCGCACAGAAATATAAATTAAATCTGATAAAGAAAGTTGAAATGGGAGCATTAAAGCGATTATATTGAACATACACACATATAGATCTAAAATCAAATAAAACAAACTGAGCAAATGAAAAATTATTTTTGATTGAAACAAATTTTGTCTTCATCCCGTCTAATCAAGTTATAAAACACAAACTGAATCGATTTAGATTACCCTAGATTTATTGAACACGCCATTTACTGGTGCAAGTCACGCAACCGCAACCCCTTCTAACCTCTTCTGAAACATATTGTGGAACAAACCTCCGTCAATTACGCCGTCAGCTACACCCCGTTTTGTCTAATGACCTCTCCTTTTTTCATTCACCCTTCAAATTACACATCCTACAAAGTCCATTGGATATTACACATAAAAACCGAACGTAACCACTTAAACAGAGCCTCCTGAAAGATCATATTAAGGCTGAGAAACAGATGCGCAGATAAAATGGATGTCGGCGCGTCATTGAGAAAGTTCTAATCGGGTCAGATGTCGCATAAAAAGGGTTCCCCTGGCGCTGGTAATTTCTATTTTTAAGTCAAAAGGCTGAGAAGATTGAAAGCATGGGAAGGTGCAAAAAGTTTGAGACTTTGAACCGACTGAAACATTGGATGATTAACGAGAATTGCCCGTTATAATGGCTTCTACGGACAGTATTTCGCACAGCCAATTAGGGCAGGAGGTACGTGACAATTTGAAAATTAGTTTTCCGAGTTCTTGACTCATTCAGTCAACTGATAACAGCGCAATAATCGATCATTTTTTTCGTAAACATCTCCATCCTCTCGACGTAAACGACACCACAAACTAAAACCCGTACGTTTCGTAAAAACAAATAACTAAGGCTACATATTAATTAAAAAAAGAAACCGTAAAGTTTATGCTCAGCAAAACTTACAATTTTTTACTGTAAATCCGTGCGGTGTGTGTTCATAATTGGAGTCGAAATTGTAACCCTTAAAAATGCCATGCAGTTAGTAAACATTAGAATTTAGTAAATGCCATGGAAATGGTAATACAATGAGTACTTAAACCATGCTCGTTTCGGTCAACTACACCTTGTGTGGCGTCTTTTTTTTGCATTAACTCCGCCTTTAAAATATCTCGAACCTCTTTGCGTTAACCTTGATCATAACTGTTCTCTTGGGCTTTTGCAACAAGTTGTTTATCACTAACTTTGTGAAATAAACTTCCTTTTTCTGGTGTTTTGCCTCCTGGCTTGGAGCGTAATGTTTGTGGCACAACTGATTTATCTTAAGAAAGGAGAAACGGTATGTACAGAATGGATTCTTGGTTGCTGCAGTGCAACCAGAAAACGTAGGCCTTGATGTTTGAGAAAGGGGAGAAACCGGTCAATGAAGGGAAAATCTTATGGGGTATTTCGATAAGAAAATTTTATGGGCAGTTGTGAGCACACAACGGCAGGCGAAACGGAACAGTGCAAATGGAGCTCCGTTTTACATGCATGACCTTTATTCCGAAGCGCTTTAATTCCAATTTCTTAGCTGTCGTCCTACGTGGTCTTTCATTAAATTACACATTGTTATCTATAACTTATTTTGCGTTCTTATTTACACTCCTTATGAAAAACTGCTTTTGCACTTCGCTTTGTAAATACTTTTTGTAACAAACAAAAGGGTATTCGATAAGGCCCTGCGACCTACGGTAGAATCGGGCAATTAAACTCTACCAGTATCTATCTTATTCCCTTTTGCTATCGATCTTTGTTTCAAAATTACCGTTTCTTATCGTGTCATCAAATTAATGTTACTTGGATGCAACAAAATTTATTCAAATTTAGATAATCCGAGGCCAAGAATGACCCAGACTAACCTTCCATCTGTTATACTCAATTTATCAGTAAGAGATTTAGATGCGTCTGCGTCTGTAGGCTCCGGATCCGGCGTTGCTTCCGGCTCCATGTCCTCCGCCGACTCCACCGCTGGGTCCCTTTCCTCCATCTCTGGGTGGGCATGGGCAGTATTCGGCATCCTTTCCTGGGGCTCCAGCTGGTCCTTCTGGTCCCTCTTCTCCGTCTTGACCGGCGGGTCCTTGGAATCCGGGTGGTCCGGGTTGTCCCTTTGGTCCGGCTTCTCCTGGTGGGGCATCCTTTCCTTTGTCTCCTTGAGGTCCCTCTGGTCCTTGTTCTCCTGGGGGTCCACGTTGTCCCTTGCGGCCAATTGGGCGCTCGGCGTCGGTTCCCTTCTCTCCGGCTGGACCGGCCTTTCCGTCTTCTCCGGGGGCTCCTTGTGGTCCCTGGTCTCCGGGGGTTCCTGGGTATCCGTCACGTCCTGGGAATCCTGGGTTTCCTTTAGGTCCGCGCATTCCACGGGGTCCTGGGCGTCCAGCGTCTCCGGGAGCTCCGGGTGGTCCAGCTGGGCAGTTGAAGCATCCCTGTGGTGGTTGGTCGTTGACATCCTCGGCATCAAGACCGGGAATACCGTCTTTACCTGGAATACCGGGCAATCCGTTGGGTCCGGCCTCTCCGGGTGGTCCAGCTGGTCCTTCTGGGCACTTGTTCTCGGCTTGGCATTGGCAGTTGGGGTTGCCTCCTGGTCCGGCTCCTCCTGGGCCTCCGGGGCATGGTGGGGCTCCTGGGCCTCCGGCTGGTCCACATGGGGGCTGAGCTCCACCTGGTCCGCGTGGGCCAGGTCCGCTTGGGCCGGATGGGCCACCGGGTCCTGAGGGCCAGGTGGGCTGGTTTCCAGAAGCTCCGTATCCACCATAGGCCTGACGGCGACGACGGTTGGATGGCGATCCAGCTCCCATCTTCAACATATCGGACCAGAGGTCATCAGCCTGAACCTTGAATTGGTCCATCTGAAGGTCGAGTTCGGCCCATGTGTTATTGAGGTCGTTGTAGATGTGGCCAAAGCCAACGATGAGGAGAAGAACGGTGATACCCGAGGTTAACACGCCCACTTGGGCGGCGTAGTAACCCGACATATCTGCGACAGTCGGCTGTGGCTGAAACAGGCTTTGCGCAGGCTTATATACCGAGATCTTTATCAGTAAGCTGTTAAGACAAGTTTTTAGGGAATTGGGGCGGAGACGTGGAGAAACGAAGTAAGCCGAAGCGTGAAGCAATATCCGTTAGGAAGCTGTCACATGCCCCCTAATCCCTCAACGTGCGCTCTCTGCCTGTCTGTGATAACGAGCAGACGGTGTGTCGCATTCTGGGGATGTGATCGACCGATCTTCACATGCTTTCAATTTCTCTTACTATTGTTCGCAATTCCTCCAGAATCTTGATATCTCTGAATAGCGATTTCCTGCGCAGTCGCCCTATCTACCCTCCATCAAATTGTTATCTCTCACTTCCGCTCATGTCGCAACGAACTTTTAGAAAAATCAAGATAAATCCATGATTGATCGCGCCTTTTCCAGGGCGAAGAAAGACCGGTTTTGGTGTCCGTGGATATGTTTCGAAAAGTAAAGAAAACTCCTTACGGCTGCGAAAATTGATCAAGAAATCATTTACAATTGGCGAATTTAATTAGTAATTTGAACACTTCATGGAGTTTTGGTTTTTTGATGCCATTCTGATGGCGAAGACATTCCAAAAATGACGCCGATCACATGTGTAATGACAAGGCAACATATACCTATACTATATATGCCGAAGGTTTCTGACAGCAGTACATTACAAGGTTTTGAAGCCTGTTGATAACTCGAAAAATCGAATGTCGTGTAATGACATAATCTTGGCCAAAATGCCAATCTTCCTTCCTGTGGTTTGGATTGAAAAGAGCTTTTTTACAAGATGTCCTCTCTTATTTTGAAAATTAAAAAAAAAGTTTTAAACACGCAATATTGTGATTGCCCATCTCATCGCAGTTCGATTCCAATTGAATTGGACTTCAAAACTTCAAAATTTTGGTCAATTTCTTCAAATGTTTTCATCATCCGGCTGTGTTTTTACCGATACCGGTCGAAACAAAACTACTGACTCTAACTGACTTGGCCACTTGCTGACTGTAATCTCCGACTCCGTCGTATCTTCACCGTTTCATTGACGTCAAGAGCGTCCAGATGAAGTCAGCGGACGAGTTGAATGGCCGTTTTCTGGTGGTTAATGGAATCAAGTATCTCATGTTTATTCTTGATTCCTTCGTCTTCCGCTACCAGAAGATGTTGAAAGAGCCTGAGATGTTCTGCAGATTCTCCCTCCAATACCATTGCAATACTCCTCGCTGCAAGGCAAGTATAGTTGTTCATCAGTACGAGAGTGACGAACCGGGGCCCAGACACAAGTTCTACGTGGACGAAGGCCAGGTGAGTCCTGTGTGGTTAAATTATGTAACAATTGAGATACATATCTTTGTATTACACGTAATGTGGGATTCTAGTTTAGTTGAATCTATCGCACAACCACAAGCCCAGGAAGAATTATGCCAAGGACAAGGTCGTCGAGGCAATGTGGAGTCACGGAGTCGAATTGAGTTTCAACGAGGTAAGCGGATATAGTCAGGAACATCGTATTGGTTTAAAAATTGCAGGAGTTTACGTCCACTATTTTTTATTTGATGAGTATTTTCAGTTGACCGCAAGGCAGGTGTTCAGAACCATCGGATTTCCAGTAGGTATTCCCGAGGAGCTAAATGAACGTTCCGCTGTCAGCATCAGGCAAAATCCCGGTGGTTTCCGTTACTCTTCTTATCGCGACCTGGACCTGGGAAATCTTTCCTTGGAGATTGCAAGAGACGATTCTGGAGATCTTCCTCCTCCCAATGTCCCCATCGAACCCACTGCTCTGATTGTTCGGAACGCAAGCCGAAGATCTTCTAGAAGCAACTCCAGAAGAAGATCGTCGACAGGAAATTCTGGCCGTTCCAGGTCCTCTAGGGAAAGTTCCAGATCCAGTGGGATCATCGACAACTCCAGAAGACCCGAGAACGGGGAGTTGTCTGGATATCTTGGCGAATCCGAAGGAAGCGAAACCGATTATGACTACAGAGATCTCCACGGCCTCGAATACACCTTCTCGTCCATGGGAACCGAGTCCGGATATGAGACTTCTTTTTCCGACACTGAGGATCTTCTTGAAGATCGCAGCTTCGAGTATTTCTTTAACATGCTCGATCAGGAGGATACGATCGATGAGGAGGAGGAAGAGGAGGAAAGTGGCGAATTCACACTCAGCTCCGATGACACCGAATCTGGATATGGCTCCAGTGAGAGTATTATGGATCTCTTTCAATGACGGTGAAGTACGTTTGTGCGTGGAATAAACTGATTTGGCCTTATTTGGGAGATTGTTTTAGATATTGAGATAGAAATTAGTAAATATTTTATTCATGTTATGTAGGACATACGAGAATATGTTCCATCAGACTTGGGTGACCGGTTTTGTAAACAAAAATCAAAATTTAATCTATTGCATCTGTTAAATATGGAGAAAGGGAACGAGCCCGATCCTCATTAGAATCTGACGCCCCTTCGTTCTTTGGCGTTTCGATCGAATTGTCTTATTCCATCGCTAAAATCTTCATCACTTGGGGTAGGAGATCTACCTGGAGCTGAACGTCGCGCCTCATCAAAGGTCTTTAGAGGGACGTTGGTGGCTGGATGGTTGTAATCAATATCCCTCAGGCCATCCGACATGGACGGGACATTCCCCGATTCTGGTTGAACGATCGGTGGAGGAATCACGGAAGTGGCTCCGGTTGGAAGACGATCGTCATAGGGGCTCGAACTGTAAAAGTCATGTAATACTTTACAAGATAAGAAGTTGAAAACTGGTTTTCGAGATAACTTACTGTCCCGGAAGATCAAGTTTGGAGCCAGCCAAATTTTCGTGTGTGATTTGATTTGAAGGCGAATCCGTTCGTATTTCTAAAAAGTTTGATATTGGTAAGGACGATATCAATCTCTATATCATAAACGCAAGTCCTCACCTTCAATCATCCCCAAGGACATTGATCGGTTCGTATAAGGATCATCAGGTCCTAACAACATCATCGGACTTGTCGGATAATATGGCTTTGGTGGGACAATGTAACCAGGGGCTATTGTTTCACTAACCGCAATGTCATAAAGAATTGTTGGAGGACCTCCTGAAATCATAGATTGAAAAGGGCGCATTTAGATGTGAAAAATTTGAATGTGAGTAATGTCGACTTACGACCAATTTGAACAATCTCGAGTTGCTCCACCACTAAACCAAAAAAAAGTTAGAAAAGTGGCTGGGGTCTCCAGAAAATGACCTGACATGAAGATGAAGCTTCATTTACAGGTGTTTTCTGGAGGCCCCAGGGCAAAAAAATCACACAGTGAGATGATGTTATAATGACACAAAATTGAAGTTAAATTTTGATTAAAACAAAGATTTTTTAAGAATGCAACGAAAAAAAGGCTAAAACAATGTCATTAAACCATTATCTCACTGTGTATAGAAGTAATTTGAAAAAGCTTGCCTGTAGTGACTGTCGGTCTCGGCTTGTCGATAAAGACAGTTCGAGGAGGTTGGTCAATGTAAACAATATTTGTGTGATCCCTGAAGATCATTTGATTACGTTGTAAATATCTCCGCTTTCTCCTACCTTCTGAGTCCACTGAATCCACAAAAGAAGAACAAAATTCCAAAGAATAAAATCAGTACTGCCACCGCCAACAAGACGATCAACAACCATACCCACCAGGCCACACACCATCGGCCAACTCGGCTATAAGCTCGGCCATAACATTCCCCACGACCGTCATTGCCGTTTGGATCAAAGTAAAGCAAAAAGGTGTCGTTATAAAGAGGATCCATCATAGAGTCATTTCCGTAAGGGTAATTGTAGTCATTGGCCATATTAAGGATGTCTTCGGCCGTCGGGCTTGCATTGCTGACTGAGCGAGTTGTTCCGCGAGTACGCAGAGTTGAGAGTCCGGTGACTTGAGAAGACGAAGCATTGTGGAAGCTGTTTGTATTGAAAGTTGTAGTGGCCGTGCTGTTAAGGGGATCTAAAGGCAATTTTAGAGAAAATCTCGGATGATTCAAACTGTTAGGAAGATGTGTTTCACCTACCTTGACTAATTGCATTTGACCCAAACGGATTTTTACTATTTCCTCCTGGCTTCCCAGTCGGCGGAATTGTTTCTTCCTTATCAAATGTTCCCTCTCCATTGTCTTGGTCATAATCCGCTAAGATAAGAGGATTCGAACTGTTTCCTCGACCATTATTAACTCCTCCATTCCCATTACTATTGTTGTTAGATGCTGAGTTATTTGAGTTGGAATTTGGAGATGATCCTGCGGCGTTGGAACTGTTGGACGAGTTGCTATTACTGTTCGTGAGAGTCGATGAGCTGTTCGTAGGATTTGAGTTTCCTTGAGAACTCGAACTCAGACTGTTGTTATTCGTTGACGAGCTGTTATTATTATTTGTCGAGCTACCGTTCGCATTGGTTGACACTGTTGGTGAGGTGCCATTGCTATTCGTAGAAGTTGAATTCTGTTTGTTGGATGAGGAATTAGACGAATTTGATTTGCTTGTAGTCTTTGTTAACCCGGATGAATTTGAATTTGCATTGTTGAGAGACAGCGGATTACTCGAAGTTTTACTGGAACTAGCAGATTTTGTGGAAACAGTTGTTTTTGAAGAGATGGAAGAAGTTGAAGAACAAGATCTCATTACTCCACAGCGACTGTCACTTTCTAGTGCTAAAATTCGACGTCATAAAGTTTAGTAAATCTTAGTTTTGATTGAAAAATACGAAAGCCATCTTACGGATTTCACAGAGGACATCAGCGGTCATTGTGCACGTTCCATAATGCAACTTGTAATCGCTGTTCTCAATGAAAAGACAAGTCGCGTTGTCCGTTGAGTTCTGTAAAAGACGTTGTGGATTTAAAAGACCGCATTCAAAATGGCACGTATCTTACTTACCCCATTAATGGTCTGATCGATGACTGAATTGTCCATCAAATCTTTGTATGAATTGTTGGGACACATGTAAGCGATAAGGCTGTATTCAGCGTTCCCAACAATATGCCCCACCATAATTGGACGCTTATAATTCTGTAAGCAGAACAATAGAATAAAAAAAAGAAAGCCATAGTAGACAAAACAGACACAAAAGTAATAAACAGTAGAAAAGAATGAAGAAACGAGTAAAAGGTTAAAAAAATAACAGGACATAATCTTGTTAGTACGACGTTCACAGCTCTGTCATCTATGCGTCACATTTATTGTACCGATTTGACATAGTTCTTCAGTGTTGTCAGCATTCTCTCGTCCATAATGTGGGCCACAAATCCATTCTTATCCGCACATTTCTGATCCGCATTCCTCCAATTCCCTCCACTATGATCGGCAATCTCGAAACAAGTCTTGTCCCCGTCCACCTCGGTCGTTACTCCATTACAACCGCATTCATTTGGCATTGTACTTGCAGCTACAGTAACCCCGTTGGAAGTTGTCGAAGAGGCGGTGACTCCTCCGCACATTATTCCACAATAATCCGTCGTTTCCATGGCTACAAAATAAGGGGTTGAAAAGGGAAGAGGTCTGGGGAAAAAGGTGTCTCCAAATTTTGGAGTGAACACAAAAGAAAAAGGATTTTGAAAGTTCAGAGGTTATAGTCTAGGCTGCACCCAAAGTGAACGCTTGGTTTTTACGGCAAAAATACTATGGAATAAAAAATATGTATATATTTTTATGGAAAATTAATAAATAAATGACCTACGGATTTGACATAAAACATTAGCTGTCTGTGTACAACTACCATAATGTAATTTGTGGTCGCTAGATTGGATGAATAAACAGGAATCATTGGTCGAAGCGTCCTAAAGATATTGTACATCTGATTGAAAATCCATTTGATCTTTAATTAAATATTACACAACGTCCACCTACCCCAACAATTGTATCCTCAATAGTCGACTTGGTTACCAGAGATTTGTACGAATTGTGAGGGCACATATACGCGATCATCTCATACTCCACATTTCCCACTAACTGACCAACCATCAGTGGAGTTGAACTCTGCGCAAATTTAGACCAGTCTTATGGGAAGAAAGTTTACAAAAACAGGACAGAGTAAAGAAGGGCAAAAATGAGTTTGAGGCTAGGGAAAACAATCAATTTCTAACAATTCTAGATTGCAAAAAAGGATGACTTGCAAAGAAAAAAGTGCTGTAAACCATTATTATCGGCTCACCTGCGAGATCAGACTCGTGAGGTTGGTCAACAAATTTTTCTCTTGGATATGTGCCAAAAATCCGCCCAAACTGGAGCACTTTTTGTCGGCCGCCGCCCAGGATCCGCCTGATCCGTTAACAACTTCGAAACAAGTTTGTTCTCCATTCACCGTTAGCGTTGTGCCATCACACGTGCAAGATGTTGAGACTGAAAATTTCAACTTTGGATCATTACAAGACAAGGGAATTCTATCCCCATTTTGCCAACCTACCCTGAGACAACCCGCTAAGAAAGCAGAATATCAACAACTTCTTCAATTCATCCATTCTCGAGACATTCGGCGGCCAGCACAGTCATAGACGTCCTATCAACGGTTCACGGAAATGGATGTTCTGCTCCCCGCATTTCCCGAACACGGGATATTCGGTATTCCGAAGAATGCCGGGGAATTGGTTCACAATGGAGCGTTGCTCGGAACGACCGGCCGTTGCAACGGCGGGTCGCCCGGAAACTGTTGATATGCCTCGGGGGATAATCAGGATTTGTTATTTACGTGAAAACTCCAAGGAACAGCCATGAATATGAATTAGGATGATGTTGATCGGTTGGCCCATAAAAGGGAGATCTTTCAATGTTTTCGATGCAAATTTTTTGTATTTTTAGATTTGATGCAGCAATGACCACAAATTTCAAAATTCATCATCTTCTTCGTGGTCTTTTACACAGTAATTTTTACCGCCTTTTTGAGTTATTTACAGTAAAATAAAGAAACTTCCAGTTCCTCTTGCACTTCCAAGGACAAAAAACAACTCAACCCAAAAATTTGAAGGTTATTTTGTAGCTGACTCCGCAAGAGGGCAAAAGACCGTAAGAAGAAGAAAGCACAATTCCAGACCGAAAAAAAGGAATTTTCAAAGATTGAGGCGTGATGAGATAAGAGAGCAGAGAAGTCTCTTCGCTTCCTTAAAAACGGGGTCAGACAGAATGGGAGAATCTGGAAACGGGCTTAGAATTAAAAATTAAGAGTATGTTGCAGCCATTTATAGGGGGCTGCTTTCTTGGGGCAGAAACAGCTGTACATTGTGAAATACAAGTGATTATCTCGCTTTCTCATCTTTACTATCCAATAACACTCGCAATCAGAGTTCCGTTTGGCAAACACAATAAAATAAATGTCAACGAGCTTGATGAACAGTGGCTAATAAAACTCAATAAAGCATAATAAATATTATTAATTCAAATTACACGGAGTAATTTGATTATATTTCCCTTCATACCCGCTGGTATCCAAACCTTTCCCTTCCATGGCAAGTATCGGAGAAACTAGTAAACAGTGATAATCCGATGAGATCACAAGTACTGTAGAAGCCGCAAAGAGGGGATTATCCCTTTCTTTCAGCGAGGTTTTAAATAGAACGGCAATTTGTGATATGAAAACAAAGTTGGTTCCGTATTTTCGTGGGGAATCCGTGGACCGACTAAACTGATTTTACGGGTTGAGTAGTACTTTCATGATTTTAATGTACCTTTTTTACGGCTGGAAGGTCACCAGTTCCTTGTTTGGCTGCATTGTCTGTTGTAATGATGACAAGCAGCCAATTTGATGCCATGTCTGTAGTTTTGGAAGGATTTTGAGTATTTTAATGACTATTTAGCCAACTTTCTCGAAGTTTTACATCAAAAAGTTCTTGTTTGTTACTGTTGCTCACAAAACTGAATGTAATTTTTATCGCGCTTGGCAAATAACAACGCTTTCCATGGGAATGTGCACCTGCAACAAACCAAATAACAATTTCCAAAACATTGTTAAACTCCTTCGATTTTGTTTTTTGCAGTAAAGAACGCTCCGTTGCCCTTCAAATTGTATTAACGTCTCAACAATATAATTTTATTAATTATCAACAAAAAGGTTTGTAGAAGTTGTAGCACGGTAAAACTATGTAAAATGTAAATCAAACCCAGAAAAAGGAATTGTACTTGAGAATAATTTACACGTTGATTGAGGTGGTTTAACAGCGAGGAGAGGAGACTTTGTACAAGTGGAATACAAGTAAAAAGAAACGAAAATAAAGTCTGAGACGGGGAGAATTGTTGCACGAGTTGAAGCACCGATTTGTGGGAGGAATTTAAAGAAACATACTGTAGAGTTTGCTCTACAGTAAGAAAAAATTGTGATAAAGTCATCGGAATCAACCAGGGAATTGCTGAAGGAACCCATATGAGAAGTTATAATACACAGATTCCCCAAAAAAAAGGTCACAAAACAACCTCGGAATCTGCGAAGAATCAAATCTACAATGAACCGGGCTGATTGATAGACACAGCGACGTTCGTTTGATTAATCGTCTTCTTGCACTCATCCGTCGAGTTGTACATCTGCCACAACTTGTCGTTGTCCACGCTGGCCTCGGACCTCACAATTGGCTGGACGGTAGCCGATTTCTTGGGCTTTTGGAGTTGCGGTGGAAAAATTGAGCCGGGAAATTGAGCATTCTGCATGAGGGCCTGTAGATTCTGTTGATAAAGCTGAGGGAGTTGCAGTTGACCCAGCATTATTGGATTAAACGCCGCAAAATTGGGCATTTGCTGGCTGAGCATCTGCTGGAAAAGGGCCATGTTTGCGTTGGGAGAAGCTGACATAGGGCTGGGTGTAGAAGTTGTATGCTTTCTCACTGTTGGACTAGCCAAGGATGGTGTTGAACTGGCCGAATGAAACGGCGATGGAGATGGTAGACTGAGCATTGGCATTCCATTTGAAAGATTGCCGACCGGAGAATGGCTTGAACCGGCTTGTCCAGTCGATGGATTCATGGAACTGGCCTTATTCTGCATGTTCAAAGCTGGAACACCCTTCAAAGCGCCCAATAAAAAGGGGTTTTGTCCGTTCTTGATTCCATTCCCTTTGTTGCTGGCCATATTCTTGGACATTGCCATTGCCTGGCTAACCGTCATTCCTGGAGCCATAGCTCGAGCTTGATTGACGACCATTCCAAAACCATTGCTGGCACTGGCCGGAGTCACCGGCTTTCCTGGCTCGGCTTTAACCTGTAGCGCTGGACCTGTACTCATTGTTGGCCCTTCTAATGCGGATTTAATCAGAGGGTTGTGCAAATTAGCCGTCGAATTCATGATTTTAGCTGGCTTTCCTCCATTCATCGGGCTCTGAGCCGGCCGTTTCTTTCCTTGAGGGCTCAAGGAAAACGATGGCTGTTGAAGTTGAGCTGCCAAGACTGGATGATTCGCTACGTTAACTCCGTTAGTTTTTGGTGGAGTTTGGTTGGCAGTAAATTGGGGAAGAGGCGCTTCAGCGGCTGATAAAAGAGGCTGGAAATCTTCGGGGCGAGGGAGTGAATTGCCAAACGAATTTCTTTTGATCTGATCTACCAAATTTTGGCTATCTGCCCGTTGAAGAACCTTCATCTGGTCGTTGTTCATCTTCACGACCTCAGGGGTCATATTATTTCGATCCAAAACTGGCTCTTCCAACATCGATTTTAATGTGGGCGCTTCTGTTTCGTAGCATTCTTTCTCCAGAACTGGCATGTCTTCAATGAGTTCACTGAGAGGTTTCCAAACGAAATCACAGAAGATCCACACCCGACCATCATCGGAGCGCCCGGAATCCAGTAGAATCTGATGCATCATGGCCGAGTCTTCGATCTGCAGACCCTCTTTTGTATATATATTAATGACCACGTTCTCATCTTTAACTATTCGTTCCTTCAAGAATTCCCTCAACACTCGGGCTTGCATATTGTATTCCACCACAAAAACCATGGCCTCATCTTCGATGTAGAGCGGTTCCTCATGGCTCTGGTCGGGTTTTAAGACCTTTGCATCGACCCGTATCCTCAGCTCAATGTTCCTTCCATCCGATTCCAGCATAACATGATCTGCCCACTTAACCATCGATCTCGCCGCCAATTCCAATTCAATGTTCCGTAACTTTCCTTTCACTTGGAGTTCGTTACAAAACTTTAGCTTGTTGTTGTAAGCAACAGCCGATTCCAATGGCAGCGAATTCAGGACAAACAGATGCATTGTGGAATCGGGCAGAATCCACTTGCCAAATCCAGTGGCCGGGCATGATGTCGAACATGCTGGACAGGATGGTTGCGCAACCAAACGGGAGACCAGGCAAAGGCGGCAGTCTGAAAATGGAGGCCATTTAATGATCGGAAAGAGAGCCGGAAGTCGGGAAACCGAATGCAAGCGAGGCAGATATGCAAATGAAAAATGCGGGAAAGTCCCGTAATTGAAATTTTAAGCGGGGAATATCGAATAAAATATCTTGAATTGGAATGCATTTTTAGGCCCAAAGAATGGGTAATATTTTAAAGTTCAACTGGAGACGATCATGAACAAGAAATGCGGGAAATAATCTTTGAAAATCGACTTCCACGCAACTTCCGCAGTAAAAAATTACTTGATTATTTCGTTAACTGGTTTGCGGGAAAAATGTCCCGAAAAACGTACTGGTTACGGAAAGTTACATTTTTTGACGGAAACTACCAATCTCAGGCATTGATTTAGGTAACGGAAATATCAAAAATGCCCCCAAAAACGAAGAAAACCCCCTCTTTCGTCGAAAAACCTACAAAGCTTTCCGCAACATTGGATTCTACAAGGATCCACGTATACATCCTGGCATAAGGAACATGTGGTCATGTCTTTTTCCATCGACAAATTTTCCTTTGAAGTCGATGGCTGGCATTCCATGCAATCATTGGTATCATCTGTCATTGTTGTCTAATATTATGTAAGAGGGAGGTTGGCAAGATGCCTTGAAGATGGCTTAAGGTAACGCTCGATCTCTGACTTTGTTTAACCCGAATTGAATGACCTCCTGGAAATTGGGGCATTAAAACACGATTTCTGAGTCACTGAATTAGCCGTGGACATAGAAAAAAATCGATTTTGAGTTTTTTGTTTTAAAATGACCGTAGGCATCCAATAAACATATGACTGAAATATTTTTGTCTAATTCTCCCATTAACATACTGTAATTTACAATTTAATGTTTTTACAGTAATCGACTATTACTCCAAAACTACGCATCGTAAATAGTTGAAATTAAGAATACTTATGTTTTAGCACATGCTCGTCAAAGTGAATACAAAATTTTGGCACTCAGGTTACTGTAACATACCGCAATGTTGGTTCGGCCACACAAAATCGGCCATAAAAAAGTTGTTTCTGAAAACCCGCAGCTGATTTTTACATATGTTAATCAGCGTAAAATTCTGCCCTATACACATTAAAAAAAAGTTTAAAAAGTCGTGCCCCGATTTTCGTGGTGTAGTGGATTTTGGTCAAGTTTAGTATTCCGAAGGTCGCGGGTTCGATCCCGGTGGAACCAAAATCCGTAAAACCGCACAAAACTTCAAAAAATCGTGTTGAGGGGAATTGATAATATACATGCAGAGTACCAAAAACTGTATCATGGGTTATTCGCAAATTAGAAGGAATTTTTCGGAGTTAAAATTATTATTTTGGTCTTCGCGGATTCTGGCCCAAATTTAGTTAAGCAAAATGGCTAAAAATGATAATATATACCTTTTCTAGCCTTCTGAGTTCAATGCACCCAATTTTTCGGACCTAGGTTTACTGTAACATGGCGAAAACGGATTTCGGCCGCTAAAATCGGCCGTAAAACTGTTCATTGCAAGTATACGCAGCTAATTCTTCGATTTTTCGAATCAGCGTGAAATTTTGCCCCAGAATCATTGTATAATATGTCTTAGCTGACCATTTTTATTTCGCAGAAATTTTGCACTGAAGATTACATACAAATTTTTTGGTTGAAAAAAAAATTTAAAAATTTGGGTTTTTGGTCTATAAATGTGTGGATCCATCGTTTAAATTCAGATTTGAAGTATTTTTGGCTTAATCCAGAACTAATGCAGTTTTATTTACAATTTTCAAACTTGAAAGTAATTCACCACAGTGAAAAATGTGTTTAACTGAGAAAGTCAACTTTGAGTGTCACTAGTGTGGAATTTCATGCTGATTCGAAAAATCGAAGAATTAGCTGCGTATACTCGCAATGAACAGTTTTACGGCCGATTTTAGCGGCCGAAATCCGTTTTCGCCATGTTACAGTAGTCCTAGGTCCGAAAAATTGGGTGCATTGAACTCAGAAGGCTAGAAAAGGTATATATTAGCCATTTTTCTTAACTAAATTTGGGCCAGAATCCGCGAAGACCAAAATAATAATTTTAACTCCGAAAAATGCCTTCTAATTTGCGAATAACCCATGATACAGTTTTTGGTACTCTGCATGTATATTATCAATTCCCCTCGACACGATTTTTTGAAGTTTTGTGCGGTTTTACAGATTTTGGTTCCACCGGGATCGAACCCGCGACCTTCGGATTACTAAACTTGACCAAAATCCACTACACCACGAAAATCGGGGCACGACTTTTTAAACTTTTTTAAATGTTTCTAGGGCAGAATTTTACGCTGAACAACATATGTAAAAATCAGCTGCGGGTTTTCAGAAAAAAATTTTTTACGGCCGATTTTGTGCGGCCGAACCTATATTGCGGTATGTTACAGTAACCTGTATGCCGAAATTCTGTGTCTATTATGACGAGCATGCTCGGAAACATCAGTATTCTCAATTTCAGCCGCTTCCTATGCCTAGTTGTCTAGTAATGGTCGATTACTGTAAAAACATTAAATTGTAAATTACAGTAGGTTAATGAGAGAATTAGGCAAAAATATTTTGGTCATATGTTTATAGGATGCCTACAGTCAATTTAAGATCAAAAACCCAAAATCCATTTTTTTCTATGTCCGGGCCTAACTGGCGGCTGATTCAGTGGCTCAAAAATCGTGTTTTAAGGAAAAAAGTCGGTGAGAAATGTAAAATCATACAAAAACATTGCTCGAAACAAGGATTCAAAAGACGATTTGAAGGATAGATAGGTTCGTCAGACACGTGTAGCGATCGTAAAAGTCATCGTGACTAAAATACGGAGCATCTCTCGGCAAGGTTTAGTTTTTTTTGTGTGTTAAACTCGCAAAAAACATGAGAATAGATTGAAAATGTTAAATACAGCATCCCACTAAGCGTCAAACTTGGCAAAAAAGGTCTATACAAGAAGATAACGGTCAAAAATTAAGTAAAATCAAAGAAAAAATCAAAAAATAATCATAAAAATTAAAAATCCATCAAAAATTGTTCATTATAGGTTGAGATTTGGTGATAACGGCAATGAATCATTTATTTGATGGGTGTGGCATTAAATCAAAGACGATTAAGTACTGTACGCAGGGAAATAGTAAAGTTATCTTTGGGAAGTTAATTAAACCAACGAGAACTTGGCTAAAAAAAGTGATTCATAGGGCCAAAATTCGTTTAATAATCAAATTTGTAAACGAAAACATATCGGGTTCGGATCCAGCTTACAAAAATCACAAAAAACAAGAAAACAGCCAGAAAATCGGATAATCTGTTCAATTATTTGATTACTTTTTACACAAATTTCACAACCAATTACAATTAAATCCCCCACCGTAACCGAACACACCGCAAGAAACCGACGCCCTTACACTTTACTGTGACAATTCTTCAGAGGGGAAAAATACTTTTTTTCTGGGAGCGAGAGGAATGGAGGGGGGATGAAAAAAGACGAATACCATAGTGTTTTGCTCTCCCACCCTCGACGCCCTCCTCCTCCGGCCCGCTCTCTGCACGAGGCTGACTAAAGAGTAGTGTAAAATCGTTTTTGGGGAGAACAAAAAGGAAAAAATTTCTTTGAGCGAAAATAAAAAATTCTTTGCGGAGAAATTGTGCGTCCTTGAAGGAGAGAGGGCGTGGAGGGAGGAGAGGGGCGAGAGAAAACAGAGGGGATAAAAAGAGTGCGCCAAATGGAGAAACGCAGAGTGTTCTCGCGTTTTCTCTTTGAATGAGCCTTTTTACCCGACCCCCACTTGCGTCGGCTGCAAATGTCGTTGAAATGCGGACTCGGCCCCGTCAAATGAGATTAGCCACACCCTCAAGGGCGCACAGTGCAGTGTAAACTTCCAAAAAATCGGTCACTCTGACTGGAAATCGACAGAAACGGGACGATTTTTTATCGCAAAACTATAGATACGAGCGAATGTAATCGTAAAATATATATTTGCCACTACACTGCACACTCCATCTCGTTGCACAGCTGACACATTTTTTGGAAGCCCTCCCTCCCGAACTGACCGTAACCCATTACTCTATGTTCTATGCCTCCCTCTTCCGTCGACGCACTCTCTCGTCCACTCCATTTTTCGCTCTCCCGAAGCCGCCTTTCGGAAATAATAAGAAGCGCACAAAAAGATAGGTTATCGGAAGAAGAGAGGGCGACAGACATCTATAGTGCTCCACGATTACTACACGCACATTAATAACGTCGATCGGCGATGTAAAACCAATTCAAAGGGAAGGCTAGAGAAAAACTCTCACGATCTCCTCGCAATTAGTGCTCTCTCGTTTTCTCTTGAGACCTCCTTAAAACATAATGGTATTTTTTGAAGGACTAGAGTCTGTGGAGGTTCCCAATACTTCACACTACTATCTAAGCCATCTTGCAGTTTTCGCATTAAAAATGTCTCTTCCACCCTCCTCAACAACAGTGCTATCTCGCGCCAAAGTGGGTCTAATCGGATGGCGAGTGCGTGGCGGGCCGATTAAGCTCGGATGAGGGGCCGGCCCTTCAACTGGACTTGCGAAAGAGCAAGACTTGCAAGGAGAGTGCTAGGAGAAAGACAAAAAGATCGTTCGGAACAAAGAGACGCGCCGAGAAACCGACTCATTTCCCAAAGATCGCACGGTGCGTCTCAATGACTCTTCTCTAATCAATCGCCCGTGTATTTTATAACACAGCAAGGGGCCGCTCAAGGGCTCAACTCGCTGTTTGACGTTAAAAATTGTTGACGTCGAGTGGAGGCCGAGGAGAAATGGGGGAGCAAATCGCGGGAGCGGAGCGAAAATGCGCGCACGATCTTCGTAAATCACACATAAACATTTGTGGCGTTCGCAGAGAGCGTGCGGCGCAAGGAGGGCGGGCACACAGTGAGCGTGGCTTTCCCGTGCCGACATATGGTCGACCAAATAACAGCCTATTTTATGGTAGACGAGGCACAGTAATTAGCTGCGGATATGTTGCCTAGGGACACGCGAGCGGGCGATTGCGTGGGGCCGGCGCATACTAAACACCCTCGGAGAATGATCGGAATACAGTAGACTCCATTACAGAAGGTACTGTATTCCAATCATTACTCGTTTCATCTTATGACTATACATAATAGGGTCTGATAAGGTGTTCGCAACATTACAAACATTGTACCAGCCCGCTGACCGTCGACTGACCACTCCCTTCAGCCCCTCCCCTGTCCTTAACACACCCGGTGCACTCGAGTCGGTATCCCCTAGCGACATTTGCATAATATCGTATGGTAATGAGATGGGATCGTAATTACTGGGTCTTTGTGGCCCGCGCAACCGAGCGCAGCACTCATTAGGGGCACCGTAACCCAACGGGGACTCATACTCGGGCAACTAAGCCATTTTACGGATGATTAAAGTGCTCAAACCAGGGGGGAGGGGGGATGCCGGACACGTTATGGTATATACGGTGGATTCGACCCTGGCTGAGGAGGGGCGGACGGACTACAGTCCGGGGAATGGCCTCTCCTCAAAGTATGGGGGCAATCAGCAGGGGGAGGGGTAAGGGGTGTGCACAACGCATCAATTCGTCAGCCCCATCCCCCTCTTACCAGTGCCCGGCAATCGGTCCGGCGAGGGGCGTGGTCGGGCGGCTGAGCAAACAACCCCGCATGTACGCACATTCTGACGGCTGTGGAGTCGCGGCGAACAAACCCCCAAGAGGATGAATCGGAAACCCCGTGGGGGAAAAGCGAATGCAAGAATAAAAGGGCCGCCAAGAATTCCTTCCAACGCCCCGAAAACGCGATGAAATACAACGGGAATTGAAATTGTTTAAACAGATTGCAGAAAAAAAACAGTTCGCTTCTGATAACACAGCCGAGCGGGGGCCGGTAACGGTAGTTGATAACGGAAAAGCGGACCAAAAACGCCGATTTTATGCTCGAAAATATAAGAAAATTGAACAAAGTCCGTTTAATTCAATTGACCTTGATATGGGTACTGTAAGTAGAGAATACGGTAGTTCCGGCAACAAACAATAAAGTCAGCAGCTTAGTTTGTCCAACTGCCAGTGTTTGACAAGCACTGGGAAAGGCGTCGATGTAATAAGATCGCTTTTCGAGAGATCGCAAGAAGGCCCGTAAACGACGCTCTAAAGGGAGCTTAAGAATGCGTCGTTATGACGCAATCAAATGACCTACCGTAAAATAAGCATTACCGTAAGAAAGAGGGGGAATTTGCCTTTCAAGGGTGTGTAACTTGTATATCATAGAGGTTTTCTTAATTGCGTAACCCCAGATTTTGCAATAACATAAGAAAATCCTGAAATGTCAAAAAGAGCTTATTTTACCTGTCTTGGGAATTGTAATCGCAGCATCAAAGAGGACAATAATGTAATTCGCGACTTGTGCTCCGATTCACATCAAAATCAACCTCAAATGCCGTTCTATGCAAATTAATCGGTCGTTCTTGCCCCCTCTCCTTTCATTTCCGCGGATTCATTGTTTTCACGGCCACCGCACAGAACAGCGGGACCACATATGCAAATTACAGCCAAACGGAACTAACCGGCCACGCCGACGGCTATGCAAATATTGTACAGTAGACGGTACCCCCAACGGATTACGAGAAAGCGACTTTCCGCTGTGTACGGGCACTTGTGGTATTTGCATGAGCGATTATGTTAATTCGCAAGAAAGAGGCTTTTCGGTTTCATGGCTCAGTTTCACAATTACAAAATTTTAATGTTGGCTACAATGCACGTCCCTGGGATGTAGCGAAAGTGATCAAGGGCTTGTTTTGAAGAGATTTACTTCCTCTGGATTTGAGATAACCTTCGATTGCGATCACTGGAAATCAATTTGGTGCCGATAGAGCCAGGCTATTTTTAGTGCTTTCAAGGCATTAATAACGGTTCAATCTTCGAATTCCAACGCGCGTTTTCCTATCTTCGTCTCATCTTATCCTCGAAATCATAGCTGAAACACCTCAAGTTCTTGATTTGTCTTCCATGTATAATTAACTGTTGCATCACACATCAACAGCGTCTCGGGATTAGACTCTGCCATTGATACCATCTTCCATCAGGTATTAGGGAACACCTTGGACAAGCCGTTAATGTTTTGAGACCATTTAATTAATGCCCTTAATCTTTTTCGGGATTAGAGAAGACGGATTGTGAAGGGAATACTGTAGATGTGAGGGAAGTTTGTCATCCAGATTAAATGCGCAGCAATATGACGTAGATTGCTACAAAGTTGTTTTTGATGCTATTTCTGTCTATTTTGTGGCCTTCTTGCAACCTCTGCTGTCAAACGATACTGTAGTAGAGGTCTTAAATTACAATAAAATGATGGTGTTGTAATGGATTAATTTCTACATTTCTGAGTCCAGAATGATGTCAGATTGATATTAAACTGTCTGACCATTGGATTTGTATAATAATCATAGGGGTTTTGAACTACAAACTCACTGAATGTACAATGCAAATACACAAAATTTGAACCAAATACAAGGTCTTTTGATGCGAACGCTGACCCGCCAATATTTCAGCCTTCTCTTTCTTTATTGATGACCTCGTGACTGTTGCGTAACAAGCCTTTTTTCGATGGAAAACAGATTGCACTTGAACTGATTTCACAAGGAAAGTACTTCTATGGGGTATGGAGTTATCGGTCGAGATATATATCAAAAAATTTGCAAAAATTTTCTGATTCAGAATATATAAAAATTAGCTGCCTAATTTTGGTTTGTAAGGGTGAAAAAATCCTCAGAACTTTTCTCGCAGCCCCACGCAAATGCCTTTTTGACCAAGTTTTTACCAATTGAAAAGCTTTGTTTGGAGCTAAAGTAAACTCTGGCAGCTTGACAAGCCTTGAAATAACAAATTTTATTAATACTCCACCTTACTTAGTAGTCCCAACATAAAAAAATTTTAAAAAAGTGGCATTTGAGTGGTGTTGCGAGAAAAGTTCTGAGGGGTTTTTCACCCTTACAAACCAAAATTAGGCAGCTAATTTTTACATATTCTGAATCAGAAAAATTTTGCGAATTTTTTGATATATGACTCGACCTGTAACTCCACACCCCATAGAAGTACTTTCCTCGTCAAATCTATATGTATTCTTAGCAATTCATGCAAATTATAATATGATAATTCATTCAACAGCTCCACTCTCGACGTTGACTCATCCCTACCGTTCTTGGGTTGGCATTTTCCCGTCAAACATTGCTTATCGACACGTCATCAAGAGTGCATCAACAAAGTGCTGAGAGAGAGAAAACTTTTTTTTTATTTTTGTTCCTTCATATTTTATTTTCAAATATTTTTTGTCCAGAGTTAGACGCTTTAGATGGAGGCGCAGATTTAATGAAAGGACGATCTCATTAATTCCGAATTCCTGCTGAGAACGGCATTAAAGTTAGAGTGTTTCAAGGCCTCGAACAAAAAGGGTTAATCCGGAGGATAAACGGATTAATGGATGACGTTTAAATATTGCAATAAAATGACCTTACTACGGTACCTTTGGGCTGCAAAAATTTTCTACAGAAATTTTGGATATTTGCCAAGACATCTGAACCACAAGATCAAAGGTTTTAGATGAAAAAATATCAAAAAGAAATTAGATTTGTTTTTGAATGACTAAAAATTTTGAAAGAAGGAACTAAACGTTCAGATGGCTCTTAATACCAGCTGATTTCAGGCTCGAAATTTCTTTTGTTATCACATGTTTTAAGCATGATTAAGCAATGAATATTACACTAAACCGAAAAATAATTAAATCATTAATCACAACAATACTAATCTCTTTCCCGGAAATGGAATTATCTCCCAAAAATAAGTGGCATAACAATGAAGGCTATAATTTCTACGGTTGAAGACACCTTTAAGAATTTTTGAAATTGACAAACAACTGTCCTTTAATTGCTTTATAAATGCATGGTAAGATTTTTATTACAATTTTTAACAACAGCAAAAATTATGATTCTTCTTTGACCGCACCTCCTCATTTTTGATTGTCTCTCGCCGAAAAAAAGAACCAAAGAAATGTTGTTTGAAACTTTAAAAGACAACATTTTTTGTTTAACGATTAAAAAGTAAATAAATTGATGCTTTTATTGATTAGTGACCTTGTTTCGTCTGCTTCTTCCGGTCTCTTTTTTGATCGAAAGTCCCCCAAATCTTGCTGAGAGACATTCGGCGCGCATTACTGTATTAGACCGTCAATTACCCTTTTTTTGGAGGAGGGCGCGTTAATAAATCTTGACAGTAATTCAGGGGAGATTAAGGGCGCACAAAGTTCTATTGTAAAGTTTAATTAGTTGTAAAAACCCCTTTTAAAGTATTTGTGTTACAACTGGAAGCGGAGTACAATTTTTTTACTCTGTTTGCATAGCTTTAAGATTGTAAAATTGCATTTTCAGTGACATTTAAATTTTATTTGGTGCGTTGTTGGTACTTTACTGACCAAAACTTTCGCTTCAAAGGAGTACGGAGTTTTTACTTGCATATGGTTTTATATTTTTTGAGGAAAAGATCCATATTTTACCCTCATTCCTCTCGCTCTCTGCCTTGTTTTAAGCACGGCCAATAAATATGATGATTCACAAAGAGGCCTTGGACTTTTTTACCGTCCAAAAAACATAAAATGGCCTTTTCTCACATTCCTAGTGGATTTCAGACACGGCTCAAGACATAATTGCCTCAGGCATTTTTTTATTAAATTACTTAAAAATCAAAAAATGCAAGAAGACCGTATTTTAAAATTAAAAAAAATATTTAATTTTTTTCCCGTTACATGAGGCATTTTAAATTCTGGAAAATCAAAATTTGAAAATTACAGTAATCCACGAAAATATAAAAGTTACTTTTTCCATGCGCATAATTTTTTTCAGGTTTGACCAGTAAAGATTGTAAAAATTGTTCCCTTGCCGCGAGAGGCCATCAATCTCGGGGAATCATTGGAATTCCCACGGGTAAAAAAGTGTAAAAACCTTGGCTCTCCCAATTAATTGATATTGTCACAACGAGTTACCATTCGATACTTTGCATGTAATATCCATGGAAATCTTTGGAATATGAAACTAATTTGATTTGAAACTTGCAGGTGCAAATTATCGCGTTCTGAGTTCTGTCGGGGATTTTTAATGAAGGAAATAATGCGATTATTCAATTACGGTGGGTGTCTGAGGTGTCGGGACCGTAATAAATGAGAGAGAACATGATGATATGCGCGGCTAATCGTTCCCAATAGATTTCTTACGTTAGAAAAAAATCTTGCCCAACATAATCAGCAAATGATATTATGCATGAGACAACAAAGGGAAGGCAAATTTATGATGACAATTTGGACCCAAACACCTTACAAATGCAATCTGTTAGCTCCGTTACAGGGTGGATATGCCCACCTCTAATTCAAAAAAAATCTTAAGGTTGCCAAAGGCAAAAAAAAGTTAACAAATCAAATCGATCTTTCCAGCCCTTCCTAACTCGTAATTTGAGGTCTTTAAGGAAGTCCTGGCTTGGTAAAACCTTGCGTATATGTCAGACAGCATACCCATAGACGATACCAAAAAAGTAATTATATTAACGTGCGTTCCACAGGCTGCCCTTGGAGCGGCGAATCTAGGCCATCTCTGATTCATGGAGAAGATATTTGGCGATCCTTTGGCTGCACCGTTTGCATGGTTTTTTGGTCTGCACTTTCCCTGTAATTTACCGGCCGTTCATGAAGTTTATTTATTTGAAAATTTTAATTTTAAATTTTTTTAAACACATCTGCCTTTGCGCTCCTTATATGACGTAACAGAACGTCAAAAGGATGGGTTTGATCCAGCAATTCATCGTTTGCTCAGCCGTTATAAACAGTGCGAGTCTTTGTTTTTTGGATAAACAAAACCCGAAGGAAACAATGAGAGAACGGGGAATTCCAGGTGCAATATTCACTCTATTATTTACATGTTATATGTGGGATATTAATATATTGGTCTTGCAAGTGTTTGCTAAATTTAGATTCTGCAAAATATGAGTCAAGAGACAACGTATTTTACAAAGATTACTATTTACAATTAAGGGTTTTGTTGGTAAACTCTCTCAAGTCTTTCCAAACATCCGTTTTCCGGTGTTTTTTGTATTCAAATCCATTCTTTCCGCTCCCATTCTTTGATCTTTTTTCGGAGACGGCGCAAGACTTTTCGCGCATTCAAAAATAGAGACCATGGAAGGTGGGAGGGCGCCAGATGAGAGGAGAAAATCCGGGTCAACGCTTTCGTTTTTGCCGCTCTGTTTACACGGCTTTTATGGGCGTTGGTCTCGCATCGATTTTTGGTCGAAAAACGGGAATGGACAAAGGACAAATTACTGTAATTTGGAGGGAAAATGAAGTGTTGCATACAAGAGCTGAGTGGGGATTACGGACGGGAACACAAGAGGGGGGAGGAAATGTTATATTATGGATAGAATGACGGCAGGGATATACTCCCATGCTTAAGCATGAAACAAGGCATGAAAAAGAAGTTCAGGACCAAAAGTAATACAAAAATAATAATTTCTTTGAAGCACACCTACTACAAGATTGAAAGGAGATACTCAAAATATGGGGTTCAAATATTGATGAAATCAAATGAAGATTAAAGCTTTCAGAGATACAGCACGTATGTGCAAGATTTGCAGTTTGCACGTCGTATAAACCGTCTACATTTAATGACCGAAAGGAGTCAAGAGATTTGGCATTTCCCATCTTTTTCATATTTTAACGTTTACGCTCATTCTCCACTACAAAACAGGCAATACAATCTCCCACTACAGGAATACATAATCCCTACAGTACCAACCACAACAAAGTGCATAAAACTTTTCAGAATTTCCAAGCAACGGATTAGGGCATACAACATTTCCCAACACATCGTAACTTTACAACACAAGGCGATTACACGCAATGTTTACCATATTTAAAGAGAGGGAAAACTGCGGGAAATAACACACGACTTTTTGCTCAGAGGCACGTGACTCCGCTGATAAGAAGATAGCAATTCATTTGTGGTTTGTCTTGCTTTTGTGAGGGAACTTTTAGAAGATTACATTTCTTTTCGTGAAAAGGTACGGCTTATTCGAAAGGACGACCGAGGGAATTGCAAAACTGTCCTGTAATGGGGACATTGGAAGATTTTCTGGCAAGAACAGGCAAAAAATATTATATTTCATAAATTGCTGAGTCTGTGGAAAATATACATTGTTCCTTCGTACATTTTTTCCTCTCTGAAGTAGATCATTATGAAAGATTTTGTGGTCTGAAATCTTATTGGGGCCTACTAACTACGGGCTATAAAAACCGGATATGTCGCGGTAATTTGAGCCTTTATTACTGCCAACTTCCATTAGGATCTGACGGATTCTCAATTTTCATAAGCTCCCTTACTTTCCTAGGATTCATGTTATTTCTCGAAGCCTTAGTCACACCTCAATTATTCATTGCATATAAACCAGTCCTTATCATACTTTTTACAAAATTTTTTCCAATCAGCCTTTCTCTAACTGGCCGAAACATGTTTTCCCTGTACTTCTTGTCTGCACATTTTACAACTCCGTCTTGAAATCCACTATCCTCGCAGCTGAATTCATTAATCACTCGGATCACCCAACCCAAAAGCTAGGTCGCAGCAGTTGCCATCGCATTAGTGGGCATCCGATCCATCTTCCCGTTACTGTAGCTGCACATAACGCCATCGTTTTGTGGGTCATTACAAGACAGAGGTCAAGTCGGCGATCTTACGGTAAACCAAATATTCGCTTGCCCTTTGTCATATCGCTCCGAAGAATCGTGACGTTACAGTGCGCTGCGCGCTCTTCACTTTACAACGCTCCCAATAAATGAGGCCTTTTCGGGCGCTCAAAAAGCGAACGGAGAAAAAAAAAGAATATGAAATTTCTGTTTAAACATCACAAGGTAAAAATATATGGGGTTTAATGGAAGAGTAAAGGCGGAAAAGAGTGTGGAAAATATAAGGCTTGAAAAAGTTTCTGCTCAATTTGCAAAAAAACAGAGCTATTTTGACGTGTTCTCGTGATTTTCGATTTTCTTTCATCTAGAAGATTCTGATTTGCAAGTTTTTCTACAAAATTTTCCAAGCCGCAAAGCCCGGTTCAAGGCCGTTACCGTACTCATCATTAAGCTGCATGCAAATCCGCGTCATTATGTCGACTCTCATTCAAATCACTCCATTTTAAGTCGCCGCTCGGCAATTAGCATTGCTCTTATCGTGAGTGTTTATGCCGGAGTTCAGATGCAAATTGGATCTTATGACTTGAGATAATTTGAGAGTGGCTAAGCCAGCCAGATAATATCAGTGCAACAGGCGACTTCAACGTGAAACAACAAGCGGCAGAAGATCAAAACCTAGTCAGGAAATCTTCTTATATGCTATCCTAAGGAAGTATTTCATGATTACTTGCAATGTCTGGTTGAAACGTTTTTGAGGCGATCTCAAAAACCTGTCAATCTATACCTCCAATGGCATCCTGTGATATGCTTGCCCAGCCAAGAGATTAAAGAATCCTCTGGCCTTGGAAGGCAAGGGGAGATTATCAGTGGAAACCTTTTTTAATATTAGGTTGTCCAGAAAGTTCGTTCGTTTTTTCATTGATTTGTTTTACAAGGATTGTTTGCTCTTTGGCAAATGGAATATATGTATTTGATACAGCTTTTTCTCCTCTACAAGACTGGTTGTATCAAATAAATATATACCCTTCGCCAAGCAACAAACGATCCTTGTAAAACGAAGCAATGAAAAAAACGAACGAACTTTCTGGACCACATAATAATTCAAATTTCGCATAAATATTTACACTTTGCAATTTTGAATTATGCATGTCGTATATGGAATGTTTCAACTGATTCTTTCTTTACCTTAAGCAAATCGTGTCTATTAGGTTTGTGCAATATTTTGCGCCAAGCTATGCCAAGATCTAAACCCTGCTCAAAGAACATTGCCTGTATCATCTCAACGAATGACTCCGATCCATTTCTTTTACACCCTCCATTTTATGCAAATTGCTTTTATTCCCTTTCGAATGCAATCCTTTGTCTCTTTTACAACTCCGATTTGACTCGAGATTCCCTCTCCTTCCACTTACCTTGCATCAGCAGGACACTTTTTTTCCATTTTTATGGCGATTTCTTCGGGTGCCGAAAGACAGATAGCTAGATAATAACACGGACAGCAGAAGCGTTGCGCAACCGATGCATTCCATTCCATTTTCATTTTCTTTCTTTCGAATCGCCAGTAAAATTTTGTGAAAAAACTTCCTTTGTCACTTTTAAACGATATTTTTGGATTGGTCTCTAATACACAGTATTTTTATGTAATGACAAAATACAACAAGGAAACAGTTTTTGGAAAGACATTAGAGGGAATAACCGTAAAATTGAAAGCACAAAAAATATGAGATAATGGCACAAAATTACAGTATACTCAACACAAAATATAACATAAATTATTTACACCATGCTTGAAAGATGACTCAGCCAGATTGTTTGGGTCTCATATCGATTATTTGGACCTCTCCTTTCTTCAATCCCTCCACAGTGCCTGGGGAATGGATCCCCTTCTCGTGTTTGGAGATGAAATCTCGAACTCGGCCATTTGGAATGAGATTTTTGATGGGGACGGGTAAAGAAGAGCGACGAGGGGTCCGCTCTGGCTTCGAATCTGGAGAGTCTCCCGTGGAATGATCAAAACTGGCGGATATCTGCTGAAAATGGATTGGGGGTGAGTCTGCCGCCATTACTAATACGGAGAGGCGTCTCAATAAGTGAAAATTGCAAATGTGCGTGCGCAAAAAATCTATAACCTTATATATATTGCGCAGCAATCAAGACGTGACAAAAAAGGCCAAAAAAGGACAAATCAACAGTGAACTTACAACAACGAATTGTGTGAATTTATTGCCATAGTCGTGCAAGTGACAGCGACAAGCAGTGAGTCGACTACTTGTCTGGCTGCAAAATAGTATGTGTTTGATTGCAATCAAATTGGTGTTGTGGCAAAAACACTAAACAGTAAAACCTACCTTTACACTTTTCTTTTCTTCATTACCAAACAACGATGATGTCGAAGCTCTGCTCAACAATTTTGGCCTCCAACTGACATTTCTTTTGGACTTTTCTGAACTCTTTTTGGCACTTTGAGCGACAGATAGTAGGTTTGAGGTGGCTGAGATTGAGGATTTGTGTTCTGAGTAGGAGTAAGATGATTTTGTTGCTTTATATTCGGATTCTGAGACTTCTGAGTATTCCGAGATGTCGTCATCTGAAAACTTGTTGCTATTTTGGACCAGGCATAATTTGCAACAATTTATTGATGTTTTCAAGAAAGTCGTAGACACTTAACACTGATAGTAGTGTACTAACTCACCAGATCTTCCAACACCAGTACTTGTACTGGCCACAATATCAGAAGGTTCCAATAACCCCGGCCTTGTTGTCATCTCCTCATCTACTGGAGTTGTAGCAGCATTTCTTGGGAATCTGGGTACCCTGGGAGATCTGCTGCTCCTTCTACGAGCAAATCCTGAGCCAGTCGATAAAAATCGGCTGTTTTTTCGACGATGAGAGGGACTGGTCTGACCAACTGTGTAGACAGAGATCCCCTGAACAAATTAATATTACAGGGTGGGCCAAAAAAAATGGACAAAATTAAAAGTCGGTGTATCCCGGCACGAATACCGTAATCAGCGGAAAGGAAGATATTTTTATAATTGTCAACTATCCTACTTTATCACAACTATTTAACTTTTTTATATACTTTTGTTGAACCGTTGATACAAGCCAAAATGCTAGACCAGTCCATGTTCTGACTACGTTTTCCGAAAATTTTATGAGTCCAAAAATCTTCAATGACCTGAACGTCTACGACCAGCCCAAACCTGGTGGTTGACTGTTTATCATGATACTAAGGGGAGCCCACAGAAGCAAAAAAGCTGATAGTATTATATTAATTTCGCTCCAGCAGTTCTCAACGTGATCCACAAGAGGTCCATCTAGATAATTCTAGATTTTTGAGATAATTGACATTTAAGAGTCGCAGGGCAGCCCGGCTCATGCTATTGATAGCAAAAAGTGGTCACTGTAAGACACCTAACATTGCTTTACATGGACCAGCAGTTGATTTGATAATAGCTTGCATCAGCCGTGCGCAGACCTTAAAAAATTCCAGCCGGCTATACCCAGAGACGCTGATATTTTTTGATCAGAAAATTTTTCTTTTTTGTTGGCGTTTTTTAACGTGCCGGATAACTATGACGGGATACTTTTATATCAAGGTGATACGACCCTTTTCTTCCATTTTAAGTCAGTTTCATAAAATGAGGATGCAGCTAGCCTTCAGAATCCATGTATTATTGCGATGACCCATCAAAAAGTCAAAAAAATCGATTTTTTGCTTGCGATCTTGCTGATTGAGTGGTACTGTTGTCAAACATGCGCTTAGTATATTCATCGTAGAGTAGTAAACACCGTATGGGGATAATTAGTTTCAAAATGTTCACCACGTTTGGTAGAGCATCGATTTTCCGAAAGCGCCCAAATGAAGCTCGATTTTCCCTGGCCGAGTGTCTAACTTCTGGTCACTGGTTCTTCATTTTCCGAAAAGCTTGCGTTAAATCCTTTTAAAGCCTAAGGGGACATGTCTCCTAGATTTTCGTAGACCGCTTGGTATGTCTTTACAGCAACTCTAAAAAATTTAGGGGTAAGAACTTTTGAAGTTTTTGTCGCGGGAATTGGCGCGCTGACCCGGTGACCTTCCTGCAACCGTATGTTAGAAACTTCTGCAGATAGGAAAAAAATTCTACAGTAAATATGTTACATTAACACAGTACCTTCATGCCATATATACATTTTTTCACAAACTGTTTCATGGCAGGAAAAATCGAAGAAAAATTAATGTCCATTTTTTTGGCCCACCCTGCATAATAGATTAGTAATTAATTTAGATTTCTCTAATTTAATCATAGTAAAAATGACTCACCTGAGACCTGTTTGTTCTGTACTCATCCAACCTTCTGGCGATTTTCAGATATGAGTCATCGGTTTGAATGATCAGATCCTGTTTTGTCACCGCATCTTTCTTACTAAATAACATTTCATCACTCCCGTCTAGACTTGTGGTTGAATCATTTTTAGTAATCTTAATCATGGCTGCAGCTGATTTAGACCTGGCGGCATTCTCTTCCATCGCCTTCAAATCATTGGTCGATAGTAATGTTTGCACTCCGGTTTCACACACGTCAAGTTCGGAGAGGGAATATTGCATACTGAAAGACAAAAAACTTGTGTTTTAGAAGCAGATGTGCACATGTAACGCCAAGGTTCTAATACGGCGTTGCAGAGCGTTAGAATTCTCAGAAATGGACAAAGGTCTCGGTGCATCGCTTCGCTAAGCTTTATAGAAGTCTGAACCGTGAAAACAGAACCCTCCTTTGTTAGCAAAAAAGGCAAGATCTGTCCAAAACTCACCTAGCATCATGATTGGACAAATGCTCTTCAAAACTGTAGCCCTGGTTGGCTTTGGAAAAGAGTTTCCTTCGAGTATCAGCGTCTATTGTATGACCGGCTTCATCCAGGTCCTCAGGAAACATCGTTTGAACACATCGGCTGCTCTCACCTCGCCAATAATAAATTTCGGACGTCTCCATTGATCGATTCTAAACTCAAAAACTTTATGTCATCGTAAATCGAAGCGAGTAAAAAATTTGCCAAAAGGTTACCATATGATCCCTCTGAATAATCTCATATTTCACTTACATTAACCTCGACTCTCTCCGTTCCAACTCCTGTCTCATGGTTCTCCCGGATACTTGTGCAGGCACTCTTATCATAACTTTCGATCCCAGCATCAATACTAACATCAGCCCAGTTCTTTGCATCCGTTTCTCCACAAAAGTCTACTTTCTCGACCTTCTTCTTCCCTTCGTTTACAATTGTATCGAACTCAAAACTCCGTGTCCCCGTAGCTTTCTCAATATTCTCCTTAATTGACGTGCAGCAACCTTTATCTTCTTTTTCATCAAACGATATTGAAGTCGTTGCATCATTGGATGAGATTTTAGCTGTGTTGATGGAGAAGTCCGATTTGGAAACTTTTTCATTTTGATTTGGCTGCGAAACATCTTCCTGAATCGAAGTGTTCACACTTTTATCATCAGCTTGGATATCAACTGAGGTCGTTGCATTGTTCTGAAGAATCTTCTCGGTAGTTATTCCACAATCAACGTTAGACTTCTTTATTGATAAGATTGGACTGTCTTTTGCATGAGAAACAGAGGTACTTCGGTCAGCCCAAGACCTGAGCGAGGTGGCCGTACTTCGATCTACCGCGTCCTGAAATAATAAGGACCGAAATGTTGTACCAGACTTTACTAGGGTATTACAAAGGCAACAAAAGATAGGTTTTGATGAGAATTGTGGCAAGTAAGGATTAGTAGAATTCTCTAACAAAGGAAGTCAATATTTTTTGCAAATGGACTTTCTAACGGAACCTAGCAAATTTGAAACGTCAGGTATCTGCGATCACGGAACTAATATCCATACGTGTTTACAGGTCTTCTAGGTCGAGAAAAATCAACCAAAGTTTAGGCAAAAAGAGCGGAGAGTCTCCTCGTAAGGAACAGCTTGTTCCATCTGCAGATGTGTCCTAGTGGTCAGTGCCATCGAAATCCTCTAGCTAGTCAAACAATGCTAGTTAAATTTTTATAGCAAGTAGCAATCCATGAAAAGACTGTACAGTAGACTATTATGGTTACATCGTATCAAATAAGCCACACTATAGGCCAGCTTAACAAGGCCGGAATGCCGCCATCCCAGACTAAACCGGTGCTCATTTTTTGCTTTTAGGCTGAATTTGAAGGGAATATCAGAGTTGCCATTCGAGGATTCAAGTTGTCATTTTTTCTTTCTTTAAAGCACATTTTTCCGTTTTTATAAAAGTGCATATTCTTTTGGTCCCTTCAGTTTCCCATCGCCTTATCATACACCTTTTTGAAGCATTGTTTATTCTGGCCCGACCACACACGAAGTGTCTGCAGAAAAAGATGACTTTACACTTGACTTTTAAGTCAGTTGTAAGAGTGCTATCGTAACAAAGTGACTAATTAAGGCTGGTAAAAGTGCAAAGCCCTATTAAATATGAAACCCCGATATGAAACATGTGAGCGCCAATATTTTTGATTTGAAGTTAAGGCTGTAGGGAGTGTACTGTGACAATAACTTAAAGTTTGGGTGGCCTACAAAAAATGACTTTTCCGAAAGAATATTTAAAATTCTGTATAGTAAAAATGACAAATTAAAAAAATCAATAAAATCGAAAATTAAATAAATCTTCGAACTAACAATAAGTCGTATTTTAGCCCGTGAAATCACAAAACCGCCGCCAAAAAACTTTCATAAAACTTTCAAAGCTACGGTAACTCACATCTTTGCTTAAAGTGCAGTCTATATAGGCGTCACGTTGCAGTGGCTTCGTCGGCTGAATGTTCGATTGCACCGCTTCATCGTGTGTGGTAGTCGTGGCGGGGGCCTGAAAGCAGAAACTTTATACTTTCGATTGATAAGTAGTCCCGGACTTGTAGCCCCACTACGCCCAATCTCGACAAAAAATGCGAAAACTGTGATAAAAAATAGACAATCACACCATGTCACAGATTGGATGGATGAGTCGGAAGATGAGGGCTGTATATAAGTATGGTAGGTCTGGGGAAGTCATAACCTCTAGACGATGGCGATGGATACTCCGTCTTCCGCTTCTTTTAACACTAATGACAGAAATGTGGACGACATTCAGGGCACAAACACCCCGATCTGCTTTATTATCGGATTCCTGAGCTCGAAGGAATGGTATTTCGAACCAGTGACCAAGTTGTATCAGGAAATGGGGTACGTTTTTTTAGCTTCCCATACTAGTTTCAACACCATTACAAATTGCCTATCACGGATAAGGGGACTTCTCAAACTTTCGATTCTGCTCAAATTTTATAAACAAAAAAAGCAAAAGTTTTCTTTGCACTGTGCAATTTTTCGCTTTCTGCACCGTGCAATATGCTTTTTTGGCTATCGCTCGCAACCTGACTTTTTTCGCGCAGTTTTCGGTGCACAAAAAAGTGGGCACCCAAATTGAAAATTTGGCGTCGACTTAATTTTTTCAGCACCGAATTCCGAAATACGGTGCTGACTTAAGCACTTAAGTCTTCAGTGCAGACTTAAGACTTTGTGCACTGATTTCGAAAAACTTAAAAAAATTTACCGTATTTCAGAATTCCGTGCCGAGAAATTATCATATAAGATATAAAAATTTTTAATTCTTATATGCCCACCTTTATATCAGCAATATCTGCCATCTTTTGAGTCTTACCCTTCAGTAAAGAAAAAAGTTATTTCAACTATTGCTACTACCGTATTCCCGCTAGATCGTTGTGATTTAAATCGACCTTGTACTTCAAATTTCTGCAAAAGCGTCTGCAGTGCCCTATCCATTATTGTAATATAAAGTACAGGGACTGCTGTCCTTTTCCTTATTTTGGACGTCATCAGTTCCTCTTAAAATCTGATGCTCTAAGCTTTCAGTGAACCTTTTGAACTGCACTGCCCTTCTTTCCAAAATACTGTCTAAAAACTTGAGCTATAAGTCATATTTAGATGCCCTTTGTTATCAGATAGGACAAGCCGCTGCAAAAAATTGCTTTAAAAAGCGAAGAAAAAGTACTTTAAGGTGCTACTGAAGTGTTCTCATCAAATTACAGTTATGTCTGCGGAAGTAATTACTCCAAGTTTATCTGCAAACGATGATAATATTGACTTTATTTCCAACACAAACACTCCGATTGTGTTCGTTGTAGGATTCTTAAGCTGCAGCGAAAGATTTCTAGAGCCTGTTAAGCGGACTTACAAAAGCTTACAGTAAGATTAGAATCTCAAAAATTTGGTTTTATCATGGTCAGAAATAATATTAAAATTTCAGATTCGAAACTCATGTCCATATCCCTGTTATGTACCACAAATACAAGTTGGAAAGGGATGATTCGAAAGCGACTTGTTTCATGGATGATATCTACCTCCCAATCGTTTCAAAGAATCCCGCAAGACCAGTGTTCTTTCACAGTTTCAGTCATAATGGAGCAACTTTAATTTGCTTACTGTGGAAGTTGCTGAACGAAAGCCAAAAGAAACAAGTGAAGGCGGTTGCTTTTGACAGGTAAGGGCATATATACGAACATATGTAACTTCAATGTGGTCGAGAAGCCATAAATTTTGATTTTTATTTACTAAAATCCTCCGAATCATCTTTCAAAAAAGCGTTTCATTTTAGTGCCCCAAGCCGCTTTGCCGTGAACCCCCTCTACTACGTACACACATCCTTCTTCACCGGTTATCCCAAGAAATCCCAGAACACCCTCAAATGGCTACAACATCTTCCCTTCGCTGTCCCCAGATTCTGCCTTTGGTCTCTTCGTTTGGCCCTCAAATTGAAGGATAATTATGGGGCAGAACTCCTCGAGTTCGACGATCTTCCCTTTTATCAGCTCTACTTTTTCTCCTACGATGACACAATGGTTTCCCCTCCTCTGATCGAAGAATTTGTTATCTCTCAAGCAAGGAAAGGGAAGAATGTGGAGATGAAGACATGGAAGAATGGATTCCATTGTGGCCATCATCATAACCACGCCAAAGATTACGCAGAGGCCACCCGAAAGTTTGTGCATAGAGTGATGGCTGAGAGGAGTGTGGTGCAAGCCAGGTTATAAAGCAGACAAGCCACGTTATGACTGATCTACTTTGTTTATTTTGTCGTGAAATTTGTTGTCAAACGGGAAAGCGATACCAAGTATAATATTTTTATAAAAATAAAATTTGAACATTTTAAAATTATTAAAAACATGGCAAAAGAGATACCAAAAGAGCTAAGGATCGCTTAAAATTCCAGAAATCGTTAGCTTTAGTGTTACAGCCCCAGCCAAAATATTGAACGATATTTGCAGAACCTCTCCCAAATTTTTAAAATTTCATTTTTAAAATGTTGTTTCCTTGTTTGTTCCTACTTTACAACTAACAAAGGACGGCCAAGATATTCAACCATCTTTGCTGCCGAAAGAGTTCACAAAAAGCGCTTCTGGCCATAATTCTGCTAGTTTTGTGCGGAAAAAATCTGTACCAAGCTTTATCAAAATATTCACTTAGATTTCCCCTGTAAATTCCAGTAATCCCCTTTCAATTTCATTGTTTTTTGTACAAAGTTGGAATCACTTTCTAGAAAAAAATTGACAATTAATGATTTGCCGTTAAATAAATCGTTAAAAAACAGACTAAAATAGCTGTAGTTCAAAAGTAAGAAGATGGGGAAAAATGACACGCGTTGATATCACGTTACAAAACAGAAAATTGAATTGTGATGACCTATGTTTTAAACAATGATAAAAGAAGGTCATAAAAAGGCTGTGGATCTTTGATCTTGGAAATGGAAATGAAAAAAGATAAAAATAAAAAAAATAAAGATGTTGAAAAAGGCAACAGTGTAAGCTATAGTCTCCGAAAAGATAAGCCAGATTTTCGGCTTGCAATTTGCAAAATTTTTAAGTTTACCAATGCCAAAGATTCGATCTTCAATTAAAAAAAATGTCGTTCAGTAAAACAGTTTGGCGAAAAAGTTTCTATTGCATAGATTACCGTTGGCAAAGTTGTAATATAAAGCGGGTGATAAAAGATTTTCTGAAAAATTTCTGAAATTTTTCTGTTTTTACTTTTTTTTTGAAAAAAAAGTAAATTTTCAGTTTACTTTCCGGAAAATGCAAAAAAAAGTTAATTTTGTTTCTGGCTTTCCGACTTCAAGGTCGGGAGTAGGATCGGATCTTACTCCCCGCTCGGAGTAGCGGAAAGTCAGAGCTTGTTTTTACTTTCATCCTCTTTTTGGCCCCGCACTGCAGGTTGCAAGGTTGACGCCAAGTCTTTCCCTGATGTGTCAAGTTTTTCTCTTCCGAAAAAATTATTTTTATGTTTGTGCGATGTTCTGAAGCTATGTTCTCCACGAAGATGGGCTAAAAAGTGATCAAGTAAGTTAGCATTAGCAAGAGGAGATGTACGTTTTTCATTTGACACCAAAATTTTCCCTTTTATTTCAGAGAAAGGTACAAAATTTTTCCAATTCGTAAAGCTTCATGACCATGGATAATGTAAGTGAGATTATCTCGTTTTTTGCTACGACGTCAAGATTCTAAGTCGGGAAACGTTTAGAGGAGACCCCACTCTCATGTATATTCCCCATGTATGAAACCCCATAAATTTTGAGGAATAACGACGTAAAAGTTTCAAATACTATACTAACTTCCCAAAATGTATGTTATACGAAATTAATACCGATGCAAACTATCTTCAAGTTATTGTAACAACGTTATTTGAGCCTTACTACGTTATTACCTCAGTTTAGAACGCCTTCGTGGCAAAAATCCGGCGGATCTGAGCGGATTTCGATATTGTACATGACACCTAGAAATCAAAATTGGTGGCGTTTGATAGATAGAGTATATAACAAAACTAAAGTGAGGTGTCCTCTAGAACTCGCCAGCCTAGAACTGTTAACTCCAATAACGGAACAAAAAACGCGATAAGCGCACTTACATTATCCATGGTCATGAAGCTTTACGAATTGGAAAAAATTTGTACCTTTCTCTGAAATAAAAGGAAAATTTTTGGTGTCAAATGAAAAAAGTACATCTCCTCTTGCTAATGCTAACTTACTTGATCACTTTTCAGTCCATCTTCGTGGAGAAAATAGATTCACAACTTCAAAAAAAAATCAAAACGTTTCTTCCGGGAGAGAGAAATTTGAAACATCTGGAATTCCCGGGCGCAGCTCGCAAAAATAGTTTTGAAGAAAATAAATTGGCGTGCAGGTGAGTAAAAACGGCATCCTACTCACCAGCCAAAATGGGCGAGCCATTTTTGTTTCAACTTTCCGGATCGACCTTTTGGCGAGCCATTTTTGATCCAACTTTCCAAAAATTTGTCGTTCGGAGTAAGAATGTTTTTTGACTTTCCGAAATCGAAAATTTCCGGAAATTTTTCAAAATTTACTTTTTTTTAAAAAAAAAAGTAAAAACAGAAAAATTTCAAAAATTTTTCAGAAAATCTTTTATCTCCCGCTTTATATGACCAAATACTGTTTCTCCGCCCCCATCTCCTTACATTTTGTAATTGCTTTTCTTCACAAATGGCTTTTTTTTGACTGAAAGTGCAAAGCAAACGCAATAAATTGCGCAAAAAAATGTTTTTTATGAGCCTAAAATTGCAACCTTCATACAAAAAACTTCCAGACAGATCAAATTTTGTCTCTTCCCCTTGTTCCCTTTCAATATTACACTCTTCATTAAGTCCATATGGCTGTTACCAACTAGACTTAACCCTCATAAAAAATACTGTAATTACTCAATAGTGTGCATTCCGTGCCCTCCCCAGCCAACCAGGTCCAATTTACTACGAACAATAAAAATCATTATCAAAAAGCAATGAGCGACCTGCAAAAAAAGTGCAATTCCAAGGAACCGAAAATAATACCACCCAAGACGAAGTAACTGATGTGGGATGGGGATGATTCTTGATTAATTTACTGTAGTCCGGATATAAAATGAGTGGCGGCCGCACTGTGCGAATTGTTGCAGTTGTGGAGAGAAAGGGAAAGGTGGCCGAAAGGTTAAAAGGTAGGTCATTTTTAGAATAGAGGGAAACCTCGAAGGGAATAGTGGGTATATGGGGGGTACTAGAAGGCATAGATGCAACTATGGTAGTCAATGTTCAATTTGAATATGTAATTTTTTGGGTCTCTTTTTTATTTTCTTACAGAGAGGATACGAAAAAAACTTTCTTCAAGTCCAGCTCGCATATATTTCATCTCTGGACAACATATCGGTCTTTGGAAACTTTTTCTTTTGATTTCAGACATAGCTACAAGAAATGAGTCACGAAATCGACTATGTCCCCAGACACGAGAAACCGATTGTTGTCATCCTCGGGTTCCTCAACAGCCTTGAAAAACATTACGACTCACTGAAAGTCTTCTACGAAAAATTTACGTGAGTATCACTGCATTAATCCTTACTTTAACTTTTTGAGTCAACTCAATGTCAGCAATCTTAATATGCCATAACATTTCAGACCACATGTCCTAGTGTTTGTACCAAAGATGTTTGACGCATTATTCTGGCCGATCGAGGATAATCGGCCGTTCTTGGAAGAGATGTACAAACCCTTGGTGGAGCAATATCCAGACTCTCCTGTTATTTTCCACTTGTTCAGCCAAAATGGAGGAAAATACTTCAACCGACTTTGGAGGAAACTGAATCCTCAGATGAGACAGCAGGTCAAAGGATTCGTTTTCGATAGGTGAGTCGGACAATGGGACCGTCAGCAACCGCCTCAAAATATGGCCTAAACTGACGGATTTTCACAATACTGTCAGAGGTGATTAGTACCACTTTTCTTCAAGAGAAACAAAATTTTGAATTAACAGTTCCAAAGATCCACAAAGACCGGTGTTTTATAATAAAAGAGGGTAAATCGCCGGACCTTTAATCTCGAAAGTTACAGTGCGGGCCAAAGGAACCCTTTACTTTACTCTGCAAAGATTAACAGTTTAGTGTTTTATTTTCAGTGCCCCAAGTCTCTTCCCTCTCAACCCAATGTACTACATCAACGCTCGATTCTTCATGTGGCCCAAGTCTGAGAAAACAAATGGCAACTTTTTCTTCAAAGCCATCCCCACCGAACTTCTGAACTCTCTTCATTACGCCTCGGCCATCGGAACTTGGCAATTTGATCAGTATATAAACGAGCTCAGAACTCTAGACCTACCCCACAATCAATTGTACATCTGCTCTAAGGATGATCGTCTAATCAGATATGGGGATATGGAAGGATTTGCGGCGGATCAAATGAAAAGAGGCAAATCGGTGGAAATAAAGGCTTGGGCAAAGGGATTACATTGCGACCACTTCAGGGAAAAGCCAGCCGAGTATCAAGATGTTTGTGAGAGATTTTTGCAGCGAGTTGTGGGAGAAGACTTTGTCCGAAACAAGGCAAAGATATAGTAGAGAATCTACTTTACTACCATGATTATATTATAATTGTCGTATTTGTCTTTTTATTGATTAAAATGTTATATTATATTTCCAGCGCCGGATTTAAGCAATTTTAACTATTTTCTATGTACTAGAATTAAGCTAATATGCGACAAGAGATAATAGTGGACAAAAAACGACCGTTCTAGACTTGGAGTTAGTAGCTCGGCCAACGCATTGGCTGCCATCAAATTTGTACCATTCCGCCCCCAGCGACCCGTCCTCAAATAGGAGTTCAGAAGCTGTCCCCAAAATATTCCGAACGTCCCCAAACACAAAAATTGTGTAGGGGCCATAGTTTATCTTTCGGCCGAGATATCTATTGTTTTCAAAAAAGCACTTCGTCCATTGGTTTTGAAACATCACAAGTTTGGCATCGTTGTAAATACATGCAAATTTGGTTTCGCAAACAATGTTCCTTGGGTTCTCCTGTTGTACCTCTTCCTAATTCGCGGAGACCAGCTAAGTATGGCGGAGGAGTTTTTCGATCTCTTCTGGGGTCAACTTATCAAAAGGTGGTCGGTGATCTCTCCCTCGTCCATGGGTTCTTGTTGAGAGGTGCCAGGCTGCGGTTGGTGTTCCTTGGAGGACCCGGGAATGGAGGCGGGTGCCTTGTCCGGGAGCAGATGGTGCGGATTTGTGGGGCTTGTCTTGGAGTCTCCGGTTGGCCATCGCTACCAATGCCTCCAACAGTCCATTGGTGGTGAGCTTCTTTGGTGTCGCCTTCCTTCGCTTGTGTTGGCACGATGGTTTCGGGCACTTGAGTGACCCCCCACAACTATAACACTTCGCCATGATCTGTGGCTTCTCGCCGCTTTGGGGGCCTTTATAGGCCCTTTGGATCGAAATTTGCATATTCGATCGACACAGTCACAGCGTTCTGTACTTTTTTGGAATGATTCCGACACCGATTTTTTCGAATTTTTCTAAAATAGCCCGCATTTACGCGGGTGTCGCTGGGAATACTGTAAGATTGACGTGTAAAATTTGCAGCGCTTATAGAGTAAAGAGAGGTCTTTCCAACGATACAACTTACGTAAATTAATGTGGAAAAAGAAATTTGTAATCAACGCTGAAAAATGACCGACTTTGGATTTTCGGCGCTAAAGATTGCCCTTAGGCAGATCTTTTAGAAGAAGAAGTGGATGGTACCACCTTATGCGGAATTTAATTCTCTACAACATATCCAAAAACTACTAAATTTTACTGCTTTTCCGTCGAATTATGCCTCAAAAATGCAATCTTTGCACTCGTTTTACCAATATTTTTAAAATATTTGCACTTTAAGGGCATTATTACAAAAACAAAGTCGTACATATTGAAGCTTGCATGGTTGCTGATCATACTGTTTAATTTTACCCTGTCATCTTTCTCCATCTTCAAGAACCATGCAAGCTTCAATATGTACGACTCTGTTTTTGTAATAGTGCCCATAAAGTGCAAATATTTTAAAAATATTGGTAAAACTAGTGAAAAAATTGCATTTTTGAGGCATAATTCGACGGAAAAGCAGTAAAATTTTGTAGTTTTTGGATATGTTGTAGAGAATTAAATTCCGCATGAGGTGGTACCATCCACTTCTTCTAAAAGATCTGCCTAAGGGCAATCTTTAGCGCCGAAAATCCAAAGTCGGTCATTTTTCAGCGTTGATTACAAATTTCTTTTTCCACATTAATTTACGTAAGTTGTATCGTTGGAAAGACCTCTCTTTACTCTATAAGCGCTGCAAATTTTACACGTCAATCTTACAGTATTCCCTAGCGACACCCGCGTAAATGCGGGCTATTTTAGAAAAATTCGAAAAAATCGGTGTCGGAATCATTCCAAAAAAGTACAGAACGCTGTGACAGTGTGTTGGTGTCTTTGACTTTTTTGTCTTTGACCTTTTCCCTTTTTCCGTTCATCTCCAATGAACTCGATGCGCTTCAACCGGTCGTTATCCTCCTTATGCTCGCCGTTTTCACCGTAGGTGAGGCGTTTGGGAGGGTGTACTGCCCTCTTAACCCTTACTGCTGGCGTATGGTCGGGTAAGATTCCGACTCCTATGTACAAGGGACAAATAAAATAACGAATTGTATCATTTTGGCGAAGAGAAGTGGACGAAGGGGGGTTGTTCTTTTGGTTCTCCTAGTGCAGTGTGATTACCCGACTTTTCGAAAAAATCCAGCAACGTGTGGTAAGCCTTCAAAGAAAGGCTCGGAGAAGCCTGGAGACTTGACGGAAACCCAGCTTAATCTCAGCAAATTAATCGTGAGCTTGGCCCGATTGTAGAATCATAAATCATTTGTAGCTAGAGAGTTAGAGGTACCGGCCATTCATTGTCTTGCGACCTCATAAGTCGTGTCTCTTACTGTCATTATGCTTTCGCTGAGCCTCAGGGTATACAACGCCGACGGGTAAGGACAAGTAATCGCTCCCTGCAAATGTTGTCTTTGACCGGGGCTTTAGGACAATTAAGTTGAAATAATGTATGGCCATTATTTCAACGGCAACATCAAAGTAACCAAAGTGTTATATCTTCTGATGGAACGAGAAAGTCCGTAATTGTATCTAATGACAAGGTTTGCAGTTCGCTCATTCCCGAGAAATCATCCAGCCCGCTGATACAAATGTGTGATCGTCCGATATTACACAAAATGTTGATGTTTCGGGTGTACCCAAGGTGCATGATGGTTAATCAGATGATCTTGACTGACCGAAATTACTCCGTTCTAGAACGTTGCGTTCGAATTCCTGGTAGCTCAAACATCTGCGGAGGAGTGATCTTCCATCTGCAGCTTGTGACAGCTTCTCAAAAAGTTCCCTTTGGTTTTGATGGCGGGTTTGTAGGGATCGACACAAGGCAGGCCTCTGATTCCTCTTAATTGGGGTTAATTTACTAGGTAATGTGAGAAGTTCCAATTAACAGCGGCGAGAACTGCCTTAAATTGTTGAAAACTGCATCTTCACGTATTGATCCTTCAACGGTCCGATCAGAAACGTGTGCCCTTTCCCCAATCAGCAGCCCTGAATTTAACAATGTTGCTTTAATTCTGCGCCTCGCTTGATCGAAGAATCAGGAAACAAAGTTCGTGCTTTGTGCATTTAAAGTGGAATGTTTGAAGCTGCGAAGTCAATGAAGGGTTCAGGTAACATACTAGAACGAACCCGAAAATCTCGCAGTATAATTATTGTAGTCGAAAATATCAAAGGAATCATGAAGACAACTTGTGCCGTGGAAACATTGAATGATGACTCTTTAAATTGCTTGACAATTTAAAGAAAGATTTGGATTTTTCTGCAACGATCGCTGTCTTTTATACGCCAAATCGCTTTGCCTGGGACAGTAGCCATAAATCATAATGGACTTCTAAATAGTCCTTACAGCCAATGTTGGATCAATTCTAAGTGAGGGAAAATTGACGAAATTCGAGAAATCGTTGGAGAGGACATACGTACAAGAAAGCGACGGGCTAATTCCGGGACTAGGATCTCTACGGACGTACTGTAAGTAGAGATCCTAATGGAATGATGGAAAAAGTTCAATTTGGTCGTATTTTTTGGCACTCGCCTAGAAGAGATATTTTGGTGAACAATCGCCAAGCTACTGAGAAATCATCTTTCTCACGTTTCTCGAAATCTTCTAAATCAAATTTGACGAAATTTATCAATCAAAAACTTCTTCAAACAATCTTTACTGATAGAACCCTACACGTCAAAACAAAACGCTGCTACTTTTTGTTGATTTACGAGGTCATTTACGACATTGCATCATTGAAACCGTCATCTTATTGCTGCAAAATTTGTAGTCGAAAACATCAAAATTTTTCGAGTTTTCGGATTCACGTAAACGACTCTAGTCTTGCTTATCGGTAGCATTAAAGTCAACAGTTGCAGACTTTTTACGTGATTGTTTGCGGACCTTCCTTATCGCCCAAGCAGAGGCCATTGCTTCCTTCATCATTAAAATTGTAGGATCTCTAATCAATCAAGCGTTAAAAAATCCAAATTAGAACTGGCGTTTGTACTCAAAGGTCCGGAAATTAACAATTACAACCAAGAAAGGACGTGGGTTTTCTGAATGGACTTCGATCGGTACAGTAGGATTAAAATTCAAGGGCGTTGGAAAAGTCACATTAAATAAACTGCAGATCACTGTAGATTGTGGGCTAAAGCAGAGAAAGAAACTTCTTTCTCGGCGCTGCTCCGAAAAGAAACTTCAGAATTAGTTCCCTTAACCCACGCCGTAGGCGTAAACGAGATATTGATCGTTTTTGCAGAGGAGATTCAGCGAAGAGGGTGCCATAAAACAAAGCTTAACGTTGAACCATCTTTCGGGCAAAAAAATCTTCGTTGTTCCAGCAACACACATAATTGGTCATTAATCGTGAAATGTCAACGTAGCCAGGCTTCCTCAAGATCGACACTCTACAAACCGAGTTCGACTCCTGAGGCAAGGCCTTTCACATTGCCGCAAACTACTCTTTGGGTTATTCAAGCGCTCATTTTTTTGTTTCTTATCTATTCATCACAATTGTTTCAGGACCTCTGATTCATCTGCGATTCCAAAAATTCCTTCGAAAAAAGCTTTTCAGATAACCGGTAAACCACAGATCGCACAGATCTTCACTTGCCACCCCGATCATCTGATGCCCGACCCTTTTTTCTCTCTTCTCCTACCGTTCTCTACTTGACAAGTCCATGAAACAGTCAGAACCCAGCGTTCGTTGTATCGGGGGTGTAACAAACCCCATTGATAACCTTCTCAAAAAAATCTTCCCCTTTTAGATGTTTAAAAAGTGTTTAATTAGGGGTGTATAAAAGTTGTTGGCTACTGTTTGTGCTCTCAGTCTTGTAGCTGAGTCGTTCGGCTATTGGCGCTTGGTAAATTCTATTCTACTGTATTTTTTCCAATAAAATTAAAAGTGTGACTCTGACTTGTGTTTTCTGGTGAGCTGACTGAACTGATAAGGATAAGCAAGCGTAGTAGAGAGGGTTAAACATTCCGAATCTGTAACGGCCTTGAAGCAAATGAATAAAGCGAATAAGGCGATTCTACTTTTAGGTCTTTCTGCTTGATCACATATCAGTTTCGCTTATCAATCTGTTGCAAAAACTGCATGATCCCTCCCTCGCAACAATCGCTGAATATCTACCCGCATTCTGCAAAAATCTCAGAAGTTCAGATGCGTCGGTCTATATAAAGGTGGTCATATAAGATCTCGGAATTTTTTTTCCCCAAATCGCGATTTTCGGTGCACAAAAAAGTGGACGCCCAAATCGAAAAATTGGCGTCGGCTTAAGACCCCGATTTTTAACTCGGCACCGAATTCCAAAATTTTTAAAGTGTGCACCAAATTCCGGAATTCGGTGTTGACTTAGCGGGGGAACAGTTGACCCATTTTGTATTTCTGCACGAGAAGAATTTTTTTTGGTTTTCGCCAATCTTCAAGTGTATTTTATGAAAGAAGACAAGATGGAAATTGTCCAAAAAGGGAATTTTTACCAAGAGCAGGCTGCCCCGTTCGATTTGATGTGTAGATTTCCCGTTTTATGCTCGGATAAAGCACCAAATTTTGGTATTTTGTGACGGTTGTTGTCCCATGGATAATGTAAGTTGATTTTCCTATTTTTTTGTGCAAACTCGCCAAAAAATGGACAGATATAGGTTTAGGACTGGCCACTAGGTTAATTATACCGTGAAAATAGGGCTAATTTTAAGGAACAGCAGATGGCCAAAGACGTGAAGCAAGTACAATATAAAAATTTGGTGAAACTCGATGTTTCCGGTTCGAAATTTATATTACAATAAAGATAAAAGCCTATTCTACCTTTTGCCATAATTTGGTTTTCAAAGAGCACAAAAAAATAGGAAAATCGACTTACATTATCCATGGTACAACAAACATAACAACATTCCAAAATTTGGTGCTTTATCCGAGCAGAAAACGGGAAATCTAGACATCAAATCGAACGGGGCAGCCTGCTCTTGGTAAAAATTCCCTTTTTGGACAAATTCCATATTGTCTTCATTCAGAAAATATACCTTGAACATTGGCGAAAAACAAAAAAAAAATCTTCTCGAGCAGGAATACAAAATGGGTCAACTGTTCCCCCGAAACCCTGCACCGAATTCCGAAATTCGGTGTCGACTTAGGGCTTCGGTGCAGACTTAAGACTTTGTGCACCGATTTCGAAAAACGGGCGTTGGGTTTAGCAAAAATGCACCGGATTCCGGAATTGGGTGCCGAGTAAAAATTTCGGTCGACGCCAATTTTTCGATTCGGGCGTCGACTTTTTTGTGCACCGAAAATCGCGATTTGGGGAAAAAAAATTCCGAGATCTTATATGACCACCTTTATATATAGACGACAGATTTTTTAAAAATTTTCCATTTTTATAGTCCTTTCTGGCCAATACAGTAATATCCCTTTCGAGTTCCTTCCTATTTTTAACAGATCGCAAAGAGCGACCACTTGAAACATCCCGAGGTAATTTGCATACGAAGCATGCCGCAATCAGCCTTTCTTCTCGTGGAAACGGAGATCTCAGCTTTCGGTTATCCCATCGCAAGGTCAAAAATACAAAATCTGTTGTGTGTATCTTTTGTTGCAAATTTTGGAGTTGGACTTATTCTATAAATTTGATAATGGAAAGAAATCATGGCTTATTTTGGAGGTTTTTCAGTAGTGTAAAGAAGTGACAAGGTGGATGATTTATTAGGGGAGATTCCTTTGCTGCTTCCTTCAAAACACGCATGGTGCTAGCGTGATTGTAAACAACAGTCCACTTTACTTACAAATTAATTATTTTTAAGGGGGTTGCAAACTAACTTATTAACTTTATAAAAAATCATGACTTGTGTTATCTACCAGGCCATTTATTCACTTCTCTAAATTTTAGGTTGTGCTTTGGTCAAAATATTATAAAATTTTTAAAAACAAGCACTCATCAGCTGCCCTTTCCGTCACCCCACTCAGTCCTTCCATGACAAACATCTTATATTGTATTTATCGATAACAGCACTGCTTGTAAAATTACTACAAGGCCTATATCTTTGCTTTTGATGCAGTCTGAGTGCACTCTACGATAGCGATCGCTTAAAAAACCACTGGTGATCGCTTAAGGAAAAATCTTCAAACTCTTTTTGATGTTTGTTTTCCTAAGGGAAGATGATTTTTTTATAATTTTAGAGCCGAGTTAAATGCCTTACAAAAACTTTTGCAGAGAGGAAAAAAGTCGTAGCCAGAAAATACCGCGAATTTTTCACCACCATAACTGACCAATAACCAAAAAAGTCATCATCCATCTTGCTTTTCTGTCTACTGCTCCTTAACTTGTATTAAACTTCCGCCAAGACTTTACAGCGCAATTTCCTATAAACAGGTTGACATTTGGATGTGATCTTTACTTTTTTCGCTTAAGCTACCCCAGATTTTTCATTTCTCTTTTGTTGTTACCCTTACATCAACTGCAAGGTCTTCCAAATAACCGTGGTTTTATTGTTTTTAACGCTGATCACTGTAAAGAAAAAGGGCAGTCACACTTTCTTTTCGAGGTCGATACAAACCTTGTGGTTAGTTAATTCAATTAACAGGGGTTTCTCCAAGTGCGACGCTCAGGTTTTCATGAAACTTGGCACAAATTTTGATTATTTTTTAGGGCATTTGCCACGCGATTTGCAGGAACGAGCGAGATTTTTAAGTTGAAAATTGGCGAAAAAATCATAGTTTTTTGCAAGTTTTTTGCGTGAAACGTGTTATGCGTATTTTACCGCTGGCAAGGATATAATATATGTAGCCAAAAAGGTGTTTTTCTCTGCAACCGCTCTCAGTGTTCCACGCACAACTAATATTTATGGCTATGTGACCTTTGTGATCTCTATTTTTCGCGCAACTTGTTTTCGGCAAAAGACTTTATTGTTTTGCGAAAGAATAAGAGATATTTTCAGATGTCTAAAACGATATGTGAGGACTGCTCGCCAGTTGTATTCATCCTCGGTTTCCTCAACAGCAAAGAGTTTCATTATGCAACTCTCAAAAAGTTTTACGAAAAGTACACGTAAGTAATTATTGTAATAATGATGAGTTTTCTTATCAAGATTTCACCTCAAAGGTTGAAATAAAATGCCGACTTTAAGGGATTTGCAGAAACCATTCAAATTTTAACAAACTCTAGACTCATTTACTTGTAGCTCCGTTCTTTATAGCATACCTATTCTACAAAATACCTTTTGAATTTTGAAAGTACACCCAATAGTTTATGTTCTGCTTCCTATACGACCCCATAATTCTAATCACGACCCCTTATCTGAACGTTATTTTTAATTCGAATCTATTCTTAGTTATAGTCGTCAAATTGTAGTCCAATAAATCTGGAATAAAATCCGCTTACTCCACCTCTTTTTCGTCTTTATATCCAACCACTCCCTGATTACAACGAATTTTTCACCTTGACTCACTTAAAATAACTTTCAGAAATGATGTGACCGTTTACGTCTCCAAACTGTATAATCAGCAATTCTGGCCCTCAGGAGATAAAGGCGATGATTTTATTGAGAGGATATACTTCCCGAAGATCAAGGAGAAACCGAACGCACCTGTAATCTTCCACATGTTCAGTCAGAATGGAGGGCTGCAGTTCTATTACCTGTGGCATAAACTGAACGAAGAAGAGAAGAAACAGATCAAAGGGCTCATTTTCGATGGGTAGGGGCTTATTAATGACATTCTTAGTCTAAATTGAACGTAAAGTCAATATTATGATCAAATTTTCACTTTCAGTTCTCCCGGCACCTTCTCCTGGCACCCTACCTATTACATAAATGCCCGCTTCTTCATGCTGCCTAAAGAAGAGAAGACCTCACTCAATTACTGGTTCTACCATGTCCCCACGCACATACCTCGCTCTATTTTGTACAGTTTCCTAATATTCTTCGGTCAGTATGATCAATATTCAGAACGAATGGCTGAGTACGATCTCCCCCACAATCAACTTTTCATACACTCAAAAATCGACCGTCTAGTCCGACCGAAACTTATAAAAAAGTTTGCTGAGCAACAAGTTCAACATGGGAAGTCGGTGGAAGTGAAGGAATTCCCGGATGGAATCCACTGCATGCACTTTTTGACGAACAGAAAAGAGTATCACGCCGCAACGGAAAGGTTTTTGAAACGATGTATCGGCGAAGACGTGTATAACTGCCATATAGGGAAAGCCAAGTTATAAGGGTATAAGATAGCTTATGAGTTCAAATTTGGAAATAAAAATGTACATAACACCCGGTTGTATGTTTAAAAATGGGCAGTGAAGTCTAATGCAATACAAGAAAATTTTATGGCATGAAAGGAGTAACCGACCTGTTTCCAAAGCGAGCATTCGATGGATCGATCATGGAAGTCCCGCTTTATCACAGATTCCACGGAATTTTCACTCATTGCAGTACTGAATTGACTGCTGCTAAAGTCCTCATCGTTCAAATCAAAGGCTTCGTTGATTTCTTTCGTCAGAGATTGGTCAAGACGAGACCGATTCATTGAGCTAAAAAATTTTTTTTTGCATTTGCAGATTAAGGTAACATTAATGTAATCATAACGAAATTTCGAAAACGCACTTGATTGGATCCAAGGGCAATGAAGTGATATCTGATATGGACTCAGAATCGGTGGCGTCCTTGGCATTGGCAAAGCTGTGTGGAGCTGTAACGAACCCATTCTCCTTCCGGACATTGGCATTTTCAACTTTGAAGTTGTCGATTAAATGATTGTTATCGGTCTCACTGTCTTCTTCTGTGATTTTATGCAGATTCGAACTGACTGCGGTGGAAACGTCTTTCTGAAAAAATAGGGTATTCTCGGTCGTTGAAAGTTTATGACATTACTTGAATTGAAATGCAAAATGCTTCCAACTCACCAAATTTTTCCTCCCCTCCTGTGGATCGCTAATACTGATGCCATTTGTCATCACACTGTCCAAATCCTCGGTTTGCACCATCCTCGTGTTTGTTGGCTGAATAACCTTTTCCAAGATGTCGATCTGTAAAATTTACCGTTGTATTAGAGTTGTAAAATACGCTTTGCTTTTCCTATTTCAGTCTTATTTTACCTTTTCCTCAATCGCATGGATTTTGTCATTATTGATGATATGAGGTGCAATATTATGCAATATCGGGTTTTCTTTGCACTCCTTCAACAATTCTGCAGCCCTTTCAAAGTTGCCTGTATCAATCGCTTCCTTATATTCCTTTTGCATCTCCAAAATCAAGCTGTAGAGAAACTCTTCCATCTTGATCTAAAATGATCTTCGGCTATATATAGCAACAAGAAGATCATAAAACTCCATAAAAGGTATTGGTTTCCTACCTGAATGACACTCAACAGCATACTAACAATGGAAAGTCCAATAATCACCAGGACAAACATCACAATCAACATTCTTGGGTATTCTGGAACAACATCGCCCAATCCAATGGTCGACAACGAGATGAAAATAAAATAAAACGAGGTGAAATACGACCATTTCTTCTCCCAAATGCAGAACATCCCAGCACAAATGCAGATGTAGGAGAGGCAGACGAAAAGGGCCAGCCAAATTGGGATTGTCCGGGACTCGAGCTCCTCTTCCAGCTCGGATTTCGTGTCAATCCCACTTGAAGTCATCGAACTTGCAAGGGGATCACTGAAATAATACCTAGTTCATCAGGCAATCAAACAAGGGTATTTTTTCAAATGTAAAGCCAGACTTTCAAGTTTTTAAGAACAATTACAAAAAAGAACAACTCACTTTATCCTCCCACCTTCCATTAGATGCAGCTCCGAAGTCTTGCTTTTCCTTCTCGTCTTATGCTGCATCGTCTTCTTCTTGAGCCAATGTCGGTATAAGATCCACTTCTTGCTGAACATGTCCGTCATATCTTTGCCGGTTTTGGAGAGAATCGCCAACACCAACGGAATCCCGAACACGGCGTAGAAGATGCTCAAAACTTGTCCGGTGGTTGTTCTCGGAGTAATATTTCCATACCCAATGGTTGTAAAGACAGTTCCGACGTAGAAAAGGGCTCCCCACATATCCCATTCGAGGGCCTCGGGGAGTCGAACTCGCTCGACTTCTGTTTGGAATTTGACCAGGGCGTCTCTGAAGGTTAATGTGTCATTCAGTAGGAAAACGATTATGATGTACAAAAACGTGCTGAACAAAAGTCACAAAAAAATAAAATTTCAAAGAGATCTAGCAAACTCTACTGTATTTTTCTCTGGCCGTCTCTTTATTTTTGTAATCTCTCATCTGCAAAAACCGTTGAATATCAATTGTTTTGAAAGCACAAGATAATTTTTTTCTTTTTTTGAAAACTGATTTTCAGCCAAGACGGAAGCTTTCTATACAATTTTAATGAATTCTCACGGTTGCCTTATGCATTTTATAATTTTTTTTGTTGATGTTACTATATTATGTATTATTAAGAAGACTTTCTCTAAAAAATGTCTTTTAACCCCTCATAGTTTCAAAACATTTCCCCTAAAGTTCACAGTGTTTTTCGCATGACGTAAGCCCGTTTGACTTGTTTTCCCCCTTGTCTCACCTGGCCTGGAATGCTTTGGTTGAGCGGCTGTAAGCGGGATGAGACATGATCTCGGCCAGTTGACGTATCGTCCGGTTTCTCAAATTGTCAATCATGTCCTTCTCTCTTCTGAAAGTTGAAATGTGTTTGTTCGCAAAAATATTATATTACTTGAAGAGGTCCTGTTCATGGTCATGTTCAACGTAAAAGAAGACGATGGCGCCGAGAATGGAGTAGATGAAAAGGAGAATCCACGGGCCCAGAACCCGGAATCGGTGGAGTTTCTGGCAATAGTAGATGATCTGAAACAAGTATCAAGTTGAAGTTATAAGGGTCTGTGCAGCTTTTGTACACAAATACTATCTACCCTACGGGCATATGCAAGCAATCTACCTTTAAGCAGCCCCTGTAAAACACTCGAAAATGCAGAATTAGACAGCTCATTAGTAATATCAACAAAATTTCTCAAAAATTGAGTCTTATAAGCATGTTTCATGCATACGAAAAGCTCAGAAATCTGTCGGCAGAAGGCCTATTTGTCCCCTAAACTCGTAGATTATGTAACATAGAGAACTTACAAGTTTCAGACAGCCTTTTGGTTTGGGTGAACTCTTTTTCTGATCCTCGTAGACTGAGTTCCTTCCATTCGAAAAATTAACCCGGCTTTGGCTAAGCATCTAAAATACGAAAACGTGAAAATTTCAAGTTACAGTAACGTTGCAAAAAGGCACCATGGTAGTTATTTTAATGATATAAGAGTTATTTTACCTGTGATGACTTGTAGGATAAATTTTCATCAATTCTCCCGTTGAAACTAAGTGAATTTAACGTCTCCTCCAAGGCCGAGGCCGATGAGATTGGCCTGAAAAAATAAAGCTTGAAAAAACATTCATTTGCTCTCGAATGAGGCGCTTCATCAAGGGCATTTCCGAAATTTATGTGATTTTGAATGTCATAAATATGTCCAAAACTAAGAAAAGTTTTTTATAAGTGGTATGCCAGAGTATGTTCTATGTCATCTAAAACGCCGAAAAATTACTGTAAACGAAAAACAGGTTCGAATTTACTGGCCCTATTTCAACGCCAACTCATCTGAGACCCTCAATAAAACCTCGATCAACCCCCGCTCAAACTCTTTGTTTTTGTCTAAAATTTTATGGCCTTCGTCATCAGATAACGAAATCTCCAATTAGCAAAGATCCGAGCCGACATCAGTTTGATCCGAGAAAAGGTCTTTGAATTATGTTTCGTCTCAACCCAGCTTATAAAAAAGTTACAAATCGGTTAATAGTTGCGAAATTTATAAAGATAGGTAGTATTACCCTGACTTTAGATAAATAATATGCCGTATTAAACAAAAAAGTCAGCTTATTTGTTTACCCTGTTAATTTCTCTCCCAAAAATCGTATTTGAAACCCCTCCCCAAGCTTGAGACAAAACACGATACAAGTCGTTTTTTCTTTCCCTCCGCTTTCTCATTACTGCAAACTGCCTGATCAGGTGTTCATCCCTGATTAACACTCTGACCGGGGGTCTTTATAAAATCCAGAGATTAAGCCAAGTCTGAGTGTTATTCTGAGTTAAAAATAGTTCTTTGGCGCTTGGAAAGTACTTTCTTGGCAATAATATTTGTTTATAAATTCCCGCTGTGATTTTTCAAATCCCTCCGAATGTCTTAAAAATTGCCATTTGATGTCGCCCCCAATGGAGGAGACTCCTTTTCAACATATAGTTTACTTGCCTTGTCACATTGTCATACTTGCTCAACACCCCGTCTTCAGTGTATCCCTCAGCCAAGAAGGTGCTGTTTTCCAGGGAATTCGGGGTCTCTGTTCCTTTACTGGGATCTAACAATTGTGATTGTTGTAAACTCAAGTGACCAGAGTTTGTTTTATGCGCTCTGTGAGGATGAAGACACGGCAACGAAGTTTTGGGTTGAAGCACAGAGTTCACTACTAATGATTGGTTACGTTGATGATGATGAGGTTGAGGAGTTAACGATGAGGCAGTTTGAGGTTGGGGATGCGAGGAAGTGTGAGCTTGGCCTCCGCGAAAAATCATGGCCGGTAATGGAGGCGGTTATCAAGGTCACAATTGGATCATCTTGAGGAGAATCTTACCTGAACTCATAACTATTAAATAATGTTGTAGTCAGAATAAAACATGACAAATGAAGATTGAAAACAATTGGTTAAGATTGCTACCTCTAAATTTTACGGTTATTGACATGATTTCTATAGTGCCTGTAGGCTATCAAAAGTTTTTACACTACAAAACTATAAACAACACTATTGAAAAATCTGCTCCGTAAAAAAACGCACCTTTCAAGGAGACGATCACTTTCTGCGTCAGACAAAACCCTCAAAATCAATGAAAATTTTCCTCTTTACAAACCGAATGACCACTTGGCCCCGGATCGCGGTCACTTTTGAGAAATCCGTTCGGATAAATTTCACTTGGCCCGTTTAAACGACGAGCGGCCATAACTTTATGAACGAGCCCGGGTTCGCTTTAAATTCCAGATAAAAGAAAAGAATCGGAATTAACGCTTCCTATTGCCCGAGGGTTTAGATTGGGCGATCCATCAGGATTATTTTATTTATTATGCAATCATTTGGTTATGACGGTTCAGTTTAAGAAATCAGATGACTTGAGAGATTCTTAGGGTGTCTCTAGTTGTGAATTCTAGATTATTTGATATTTTATTTAATAATCGGGTTTTAAATTAATGCTTTTTTGGTATAGCACCGGCGTCCTCCAAGATTTGCCGCAGTTTTCCGTCCGATTCCAATTTGTTGATTCGATCAAAGTTGCCGACAAACTTTCCGTTGAGGAAGAATTGAGGAACAGTATGGATGTGGCTATACTTCTCTAGTTCGTCCTAAAATTAGGTAAAGAAGTTTTACAAAAATAAAAATTAAAAAACACAAAAATCACCTAGAACTTCTACAATGCAATTATGGCGAGTTAAAAACAATAATTTTTTACCTGAACCTTTAACGAATCATTTCTCAAATTGACTTCTTCCACATGAATATCCTTGATCCGATAGGGCTCCAAGATCAGCTTCACTCTTTTGGAATATGGGCAATAAGTTTTTGAGAACAATACAGCCTTGGTGGCAAGGAGCATCTTCTCGATCTCCTTGGCAATTTGCTCACGTTCTTGCGAGTCATCAGCTGGGGTTGTGGCTTGGATTTGGTCCTGTAATAAAACTTGCTATACACAAACATAATAAAGCCCCAAACAATTAATACCGTGACCGCAATCAGCCAGAATAATGTAAAAATTTGAGATATCAAAAAGCATGCTGTTTGAGCCATTCCATTGTAACAAATCTGATCGCTTACCTCACAAATCACTGAAGACATCACAACCACAAGCGCCATACCGCATATGATTAACCTCATTTTGCCTTGGTGATCCCTGAAAACGACTAAAATTAAAATCTACGTTGTGAAAACCACGCAGAAAAAGAGCAACTCTCGAAAACAACGCTTGAAATAGGTAAATTCGAAAAGATTCTCTTCCCCCAAAAATAAATTATTACAACCTTTAATGATCTGTAGACCTTACCAAGTGTGGGGTTTAGGAAAGGGAACGCTCATTTACGTCAACTGGGCTGTTCAACTTTCATTGGCTGATATTTTATCATAAAACAAAGCGTTCGGCCTGGAGAAAATTAATATTGCAGCAAGGTGTACCCAAAAATTTTTATCTATTCGTGTTTTTGGCGCTTTAGTATTTGGCAATTGATAAAACGCCAAGTGCGGGAACATGTAAATACATCGAAAAGGAACAGAATGTCATCATGATTATTAATTTTGGGGCTAAAAAAGCAACAAAAAGGGACTGATATGAGAAGTGTTCAAGGAGAATACACGATTTTTTTTGATACATGGGGCAAATTAATCAGAATGCTTTTGAAGATGCACGAGATTTTGACCCGCAAACCTCACAGAAACGGCCGAAATTTTTTCGCCCGAAAGTGAAAAAAAATATTATTTTTTGAATTTACAAATGCTGGAAAAAATGAGAAAACTCCATTTTTTGCTCACAATGTCAACGCAAAAATTAATTGTGTGAAATTCTGTTTTGCTAAAAATTTGCAAAAATCGGATGATAAAATCTAATGTCACCATTAGCAAATCTATGAAAATCCTGGACAATAGTACCAATAAAACGTTACAAAATCGGAGAGTAATAAAATTCTTTCTCTTTACTGTAAAAAAAGTTATTGCAATATCATATCCAGGCAAAACCTATATCCTTTTCTGATTTCCAGTAATGGGCTTTGTTTACAAACAACTAACAAGAAAATGGATTCTCTTGCGCAGCACAAAAGTTAGGGGCAATCAGACGGGGAAAGGCAATTACACGTGAACTCAAGGCGTAATCCTGCGTAAATCCAGGAAAACTGCCTGGAAATGGTTTTGAGAAACGTGTTTTAAAGTCATCAAGACTTGGGTCAGCTTCGACGTGAAGTGGAAATTGTTTTAGAGATACAAAATCAATTGTCAGCAAGTCAAGATGTAAAGAGAAAATTTATTTTGTTGCTGCTGAACATATTTTATATTGTGTGTTGTGACACACGTTTTGTACTGGGCCAGCTCACTTCCATCTTCACTTTAATGCTAAAAATTTAAATTGAGTCATTCGCGGAAGACTCATGGACAACATAAAGAAGAAAGAACCAAACGATTTATTCTTCATTTTCTTTGAATAATAAGAATGATCAAACTATTTGTATTATCTATATCATTCTTTACATTGTCTGCTGAGACAACAGTGTTGCCGGAAAAACGAATATTCGGTGTTTCCGCCCACTTTAGCTGCTCAAATCAAACAACGTTGGCCAAGTAAGTCTGAGGTTATCTGCAGGAAGAAAAATATAATGTCCAGCGAAAACACGGTTAAAGTGTTCTTATCAATGGATGGAAATTTAACTGATGACAGTTTTGGAGCCTCGTGGTGTCCAAGTTGGAGTGGTCATCTAGAGTTGGCAGCTGCGGTGGAAAACGAAGAGGAATTCCAACCCCATTTAGTAGCGTAAGAAAGACAGAAGCCTTACTTATGAGTAGCTGAGTATACTCAACGTAAAAGGCCAAAACTTCTTGAAAAACTTTACTAATGAAAAATACGACCTTTTTATATTTTTTCGTCTTAAAAATATAAAATTTTTGTGTGTCGACCGTGAGCACAAAAATTCCCAGGATTTTTCAGGGTATTTACAGCGCCAGTTGAGAAATTCCCGTACCAATAATAACTTTATTTATTCCAGATACCACCGGTGCAACAAAGATCAAGAAACTGGTGGGCGATGCCGGCGGACAATAGTGAAGATGGACAAGGACTACACATTCCAAAAGGGCAATGACTCCTTCTTCGAAGTGAACTTATTGGACCCCATCAACACCGATATTGTAACTGATAAAATGTAGAAAACAAGATGCCAACCTAGGGACGATATTTATCTTCCTCGAGGGTTTGGAGCAAGCGACAACTTCCCAGTATGTTCCCCTGGAGTTCATGGAGAGATTCCATTGTTAAATGAAGACTAAAAACAATAAACCTCTTTCAAAATTGAGAAATAAACTTTGTTATGAACAAAGAGAATTCTTGGAATACTATCCGAAAGAACCACTATTTTAAAAAATATTTATGTTAAACTGTATACTGAAACTTGTCTGCATTGCGCAAGTAAATTAGTGATGAGCCAACGCATGTTGAGATTCGAGATCTTTTTCTCGCTGTTTCTTCATCTTCTTGTACAGCGAATACTCTCCGTAAAAGTAGGCGGAGAAGAAAAGGAAAACAGTGGTCATTACGATGATAGCACGCTCTCGATCCCACATCCGATTCAGAGTTTGGGCGCTGAAAATATTATATAATGATTAAAAGAGCTATAAGTTGAAGAAATACTCTGAATTTTGATGTATCATCCTTCTATAATCAAAGCAGTACTTACGGGACAGTCTCCGGGATCTCTTTGGCTGAAGGATACAACCCAGTGATCACCAGCATCCGCCGTTGAAAACTCGTTGGTTTCTCAGAGAACGGGGTTTCCGATGTATTGCGGAGTCGCTCCGCATTCTTATCGTAATCACCCCTCAGGCGATGGCCAGGAATATATCCTTCGTGCTTCTGAAATGAGAGTCTCAAACTGTCTTTATGAGATACGAGGGTTAAGAATAACGCAAATATGTAATCAAAACCACCTTACTTGTGCCACAGTAGCCACATGGAAGCTCTTGGTACGGCAAAAACGCCGTGAAAATGTTTTAGGCAACATTGTTTGGGGATTCATTTATTGAAAAGTAGCGGAACACGAGAAACTCTAGTCTCGAATGGCTTGTTTTTGTTTACTATATTTCGCAAGTCTGAAGAAAGCTCGCGAGCCGTTGCTTTGGAATAACATATTTTGAAAGGGGAGAGGGCAAAAAGAAAGGACAGAATAAGAACTTTATCGTCCTGGACAGTTGCGCTAATGTAATAGTCTGGACATGCTTCCATAATGAGGCTAGACTTCGTATTGAATCTTTTATTTGTAAGCAAGAGTGGAAATGCCATCTTAAGTTTAAAAAATCACACATTTTAAGTTTAAAGAAACACTACGAATTTGAAAAATAAATCAAATTCGTATTCAACGGCACTTGCACTTTCCGAAGCGTTCCTGACTCGATGATGGTTATGTCATCATGGACATCATTGTCATCTACTACATCATCTCATCTGTGTTTGCCATTAATGTTATGTTCGATCTTTTTTTGAATTTTCAGTGCATTTCGGAGGAAATAAACTGTTTTTTTGTTTTACGCCAGACATCTGCGCTCCTCATTTCCGAAATTTGCCCATTCTTCAGATTTTTTGATTCGACCCCTCCTCCAGACTTTGGTCAGAGATTTTTTGGCGCGCTGTGGCCTTGGAAAAGACAATTTGAGGGGTTACCTTGACGTGTTTCACTTTGAGGAAGATTGGATTTTTGGGGTCAAACATGAAAATTTGCAGTGAGAAAAGTGGTTTTTTGAAGAGAAGATTTTCAAAAATATTAGAGTGAAATTAAGGCAAATTTCCGCAATGTTTTGTTTTCTGTACCAGCAATGTAAGCCGAATATGGTATCCTTTCCCATCCAGCATGAGAAAAACGATTTCATCAAAAATTTATTCATTAGATTTTCTCATGCCGGTCTTTTTTCATAACTCGTTTCTACAGCTCATTCTCTCGAAAAAGGCCAAGATAATTCAACCAAAAATCTGTCAGTTCTCCTTGTGACTTGGGTGTTGCAATTGTTGTTATGAGAAACGGGATGTTTTCCTGTGAGTTCAAACTTTGAACCTCCAAGTTGGATTTTTTCGGAATATTATATTTGACGGATTTAGCTTGTTTTGAAAATGCGTTTAGGGAATTCCAAAGTTCGAATAAATAAAATTTTCTGGAGGCTGTCTGGATGCTCTTTTCTGATGAAATTAAAAATTCAGAGGATGTTTTTTTGCAAACAAAGTTTCAAAGTGTGGTGTCCGAGGACCCCAGAAATCAAATTTTTATAAATTCATATTACTCATCTATTTGCATACGTCTTATCTTGCCAAGGTATCTTTCTGCCGGCTTTAAAATTTTAGTGAAAGCAACGTCTCATCAATGTTGTTTTTCTTTCTGAAACATTGGACGGGTCTCTCTTGTTTGTACTTTTATTTATTTATTTACAAACAGGCATCATTTTGTACCCTCACTAGCAATTTTCTACAACGTCCATTTGACCTAAACCCCTCCAAAAGATTTCCAAAAACTCCCTTCGTCCGTAATAATTTTGATTTCACCATATTTCATGCAGTAATCTACAAAATCTTTTGGGAAAATAACCATGACCTAATTGGCGTTCCTAATTCCTTGTTTACCGCAAATTTAATGTTTTGAAAGTTTGAAACATCTCGTGTTTTTGTTCTCATTGTCATAATACTTTTTGCAAAAGCAGTAAAAGCGGTGGGGCAAGTGTTTCTTGGTGAAGAGGGTGTGTTGAGGGTATTATCACTGTAGAAAAGAGCCGCATGACTTGATAAAAACTTCCAAAATTAATGCCTTTCGCTCTTTATGATCTCAGTTTTTGAGCGGAAAAAATGATGAACAGCTGTTGGAACATTGGCTCAGATTGTTTATTGCGTATTCCCTTTTTTGAATAGATTTTAATATTGGATGGGAAGAATTTACTCTCTTTTGAATCCTCTGATTTCACTGTTCGTCTGCAAAAACTTTCTCCTCAGATCTTGCTTAACGCTGTCTGAATGTGTGAGAAATTTGGTGAAGAAAGGAGCTAGGCTCGAACTAACTTAATAATGCAGATGGTGAGGAACTTTTATTGGCATCTTCGGAGCAGTAAGCGTATTTTCGATGCTGTCGTCAATCCTGAGCCAATTCATGGCAGCTCCGTCAGAATGAATGCTGTAGCCAATGTACTCTACAACTAAATTTGAATAAAATCGGAGCCTCTCACTCGCCACTTTTACTCTAATGTAAAGTCTCTGGTAAAGTGCAACAGCTTCCAACAACCATAGCATTCCAGCCCGCTGTCTTCTTTGTTTATTCATGTAAATCCGTAAACACCACGAAACACGCGTGCCCCCGGACGTCATCTCTTCACCCGTAATTGTGCGTTTCCTAATTTGGATGGCACGTTCTCTAATGTCACCCTTTTTCGACTTTGTTCCCGCTTTAATTACGAAACTTACGAAACCCGCATGTGACACTGCAGCCCTAAAAGAATTTATTTTTAGGCGGGCGTTCCTATTTTTAGCCCCTTTTTCTTGTTGTTTATTTTTTTTATTTTGCGGCGTTCTCTTCGCTGAGGCCAAGGTCGCATATTTTTCGCGTGTTTACCGTTCGGTTGAGGCCTAGCCATTCGAGGAACATCATGAAATCTTAATCGTTCGGCCAAGTGTATCTTTTATGGCTTCTTTTTTGCGTTTTTTGGTTTGGAATTAGGGAAGGGCGTCCTCATGAATCTTTCAAGGGTTTTTTCAGACTTGAGAAAAGCCATGTTAAAGCGCGCTCAAGTTAATTTTTATCCGAATATAAAATACTAATTCTTACACTTTTAAACTGTTCATTTTTCTTTGTCATCGTAGTCATAATAATCGCGTGGCCGGGAACGATTTTCTATAGACGGCCGAAAGCATTTATTTTCGATGATTTTCTTTTTATTTTGCGATTATTTCGGCCTCAACGACCTTTTCTGACGTTAGAGAACTGTGCCCTCAAGCCGAAAAATCTTTAGTTTAATCCATCAAATTCAAATTAATTATTACCACCTACTCTTTTTTAAAGTCTAATATGAGTCTCATGAGGAAGAAGAGGCAAAACTTTTTTGCGGAGTGCTGTCAAGCTAACTATATGCGTATTACACATGACATTCGAGATGTTTGATACGTTTGGAAAGAGGAGATTCCTCTGTAATGAGGGTGTTAATGAGCTGCTTTCCATCTTTTTTTTTTTTGGTATTTTTGGAATGTTATTATGTTTCTGTGACCTTTTAATTGGTGTAAAATAATATTGCTTATAGAAATTGCAGGCTTTTAGACAGTAATTTGAGCCTGGATTAATGTCAATTTAGAATCCCAAAACAGCGTAGTTTGTTTCACATTTTTTTGGATTTCTAGACAGGATGATTATTCAAAGTAGAGCTATCGGATTTTACTTAATTTTGATTGCATTATATATCCATGAAGCTCTTTATTTTCCAAAAATCTTAATTAACGAGTTGCGAAAAAAGTTTTATTTTGAATTGAGCGTAAAATCGGCAGTATGATCATATCAATATGATCATACTGCAGTCTACAACCGAACGTTATTTTTCTAAATTGAAAATCACACAAAAAATTCGATATCTGCAACGATTTTTAAGCTCTACCCTCTGTGATTTTTGCAAAAAATTAATCTACAGGGTGTTTCAAGAAATATGGCAGAAACTAATCGCGAATATCTTTGAGCTCTTGGGAGTTATCGCAGAAATTCTTTTTGTTCCTAAAACTTGATATCGGGCGGTTTTGTACTGAGCAAAAAAAATTTTTTTTCGTCGGCGGAGGGGCCAGTTCTCGGCGGAGACATTTGGGGCCTTTTTTAAAAATCACACCTTATTGCATGGTGGAAACTCTGTTACAACGGCCAAAATTATGTTTACGTTACACCTCCGTGGATTTTGCGGTATGCTTTTTTTGCGTTTTCGATTTTACGCAACATCCGCGGAGGCGCGGCGGAGACCTCAGATTTCGGCGGACTTTGTTTTGGGCCCTCGGTTTTTGCAAATCCATGTTGGAAAAAAGGTTGGGGCGATTTTTTGTTGTCATCCAATGCACAGATGGCAAAAATTTTGTACTTTTTTCCCTCGGCGGACGATTCGGCGGAGGCTTTATCAAAGGGTCAAAACAAAAGTTTGACTTGTAGCTGAGTTTTTTTCCCGGACTCCTAAGACTGTTCTGACCCTTTGATAAAGCCTCCGCCGAATCCTCCGCCGGGAAAAAAAAGTGCGAAATTTTTGCATCTGTGCATCGGATGACAACAAAAAATCACCCCACACTTTTTTCCAACCTGAATTGAATGATCAAAAGACTCAAAACGACGTCCGCCGAAACCTGATTTCTCCGCCGTGCCTCCGCGGATGAGCGAAAAACAAAAACGAAAAAAAGCATACCGTAAAATCCACGGAGGTTTAACGTAAACATGATTTTGGCCATTGTAACAGAGTTTCCACCGTGTAATAAGGTGTGATTTTTCAAAAAGGCCCCAAATGTCTCCGCCGAGAACTGGCCTCTCCGCTGACGAAAAAAAAAATTTTTTGTTCAGTACAAAACCGCCCGATATGAAGTTGTAGAAACAAAAAGAATTTCTGCGATAACTAGGAGGAGCTCAAAGATATTCGCAATTAGTTTCTGCCAAATTTCTTGAAACACCCTGTATTATAAATATCCCCCAAGTTGAGAGCCAATTTAAGGTTGGCACCTTAAGCCCTTTGCTTGTTATCATGTAGGGAAATATATTATATATTAGACCTCATTACTTTTTTTGACAGCCTTCCTTGTCTATTTTTAATCCAAATGTATTTTTGGCTATGCACACCCGTTTTTGGGGATGTTTACTTCTTTTTTCGGTGTTTTTCCACTTCTCGGCAAGTCTGCTTTGGACGCAGAATAATCTTTTTGGGTGAGAATTTGGGAACGGGGATGTTAGTTTGGCAAGTTCGAAACGTCACTGTGTTTTGCTCGAGGATTAATATTTGAAGAGCGCTTTGCTTAACAAGCTTATTCAACACTCTTTTGATAACAAATCCCGTTGTTCTTCCCACCCGGTTTTGTAATCCCATTTTTGTCCCCGCATTTTTAAGAGTTCTATCTCCAGCCTGTTTTTGTCCTCAATCCGGTTTTGTCCCCAAGCCGGTTTTCCCCGCAAAAAAATTAGTACTCGGTCCTCTACACGTCAAATCCAGAAGGAACTCTTCAAGTTGGCTTTTCGTCCTACGATTTATCGGAAAACGTTATTTCGACATTTCTATCCAGGTTTACCGGTCAATAAACAAGTCTCAAAATTTCTAAAAAATTCAAATAACTTGAAAATGGTCGACTTTGTCAAACAAGACATGGCTTTTGCCATACCGGTCAAGAAACGGCCCAAAAAAAGGTTTCCCTTATTTGTGACGAAAAGCCAACTTGAAGAATTCTGAATTTCTCGATTTGCGGTACCCGACTTGATGACAATCAGCCATGCATTGACGAGATCAGTCCGCGGTGTCAAGCCACAAAAAGGTATCCTATATACATGCTGTTGTTATTCTTAAACAAAAACACTATTACCGGCCAAATAAGTACAAGTTGTCCTGAGATAATGCCAAGGCTCGGCCGATTGACATCTTCAAGACGCCGCTGACTATCGATTAAAAGAAGCAAGGCACCAAGTAACTTATTATTTCTGTGGGAACAACAACGGCTTCCCGACAACAACGGACTGGGGATAGACCGGAGTGTGGACAAAAGCCTCCCATATATAAAAAAATATTTTCCAGACATTAACTTCATATTTTATACAAAAAATATGAAAGATTTGAAAATTCGGCTTATTTTTTGATGACTTATACTCTTCTGAGGTAATTTTGGAGTTTTCTTCCTCGTTGCCCAGGAAAAAATAGTAACGCAAATAAACGGGGACAACACAGAGTACAGGATCCATCAGAAAAGTGCATGAATAAAATTTTAGATCCGAAAATATTTTCCCCAACACTCAATCCATATGTAAATAGCCGTTTATTTTTATCTGTTCTCTTGAATTGTTTTGGCCCCAAATGGGAAGGAAAATTAGATAGAAGGGCTTGTTGCAAAATGTTTTGCGTCGTAAATTTAATTGAAAATACGGATATCGATTTGTACTTGCTAAGGAAACTTTTGATGATGTAATCATTCTAATTGCCGAAGGCATTTTTTAATTTTACTTATTTCGCATTTTTACGGGCCGTATTTATACGACATTTTGACCAAAAAAAAACACCAAAAATTGCCATGTTTAGGCAACTCCCGGCCCACAATATTCATTTTCTGCAGAGCGCAGGCTATAGATCTGTCACGTTTCATTAGCAAATCCAGTACAATCATGCCCCGAGTTGTATCAAAATTTGTGCATAACACGTCTAGAAACGCCCCGTTTTTGAAACCCGGATTTTTTGGATCTTTGCCTATCTTTGCCCCAAAATCTGAACCCATGCCCATTAAAAGCATCACTTTGCCAAGAGTACTGTGTTCTGTTTACTACCCTGTCTCTCACGCCATCTGTGAATCCAAACCGATTCTCCTCCCAGACATTTTCCTTGCGTTTTGCGCACTTTGGTCGGACCCAACGCAAAAGGCCGATCTCATCTTTGCTGGGTCGGACGTCAAATAAGAATGGGTTCCCGAGAAGGGGGGCGCGGGAGTGGGGGTGTATGCAAATCTATTTTTCTATATTATTTATCTTATTTAAATATAGCTGAACATACGCATTTTACAGAACAAATATTGTAATCTGTTTGACATCCTCTTCCGTTTTAGATCTGATCTATCTTGTTTATGCATACTAGCAATAATATTTTTACTTAAAAATATCGAAATAAGTGGTGATTTGGAGAAAGTGATGGGGTTTTTGTTCTTCGTTTCCACACACATGGAAACTTATAAGGAAATTTAGTTTTAATTCTGCTAAAAGAGCCGCCGAAATGGTCGGGCGCATACTTGCAACCACTTTGCTGACAGCACCGGCATTTGCTGACAGCAAGAAATTCTATGGATGGAAATGGCATTTAGATGTTGCAAAGGACGCTTACAATCTTCCACTTTAATTTTCAAGGGTTTACTCTAACCCATCTGCCCACATGAAAGAAATGGAAGATCGTTTTCTGAAAAACTGGGTAACCTCATACTAATTATTGGAGTCGTTTCTTACCTTACCTAGGACTAAAGTTCAAGCTTATAAATAAGATTTTATATTTGAGAGTCCCTAAAAATAACTGATGATTTATCAGTAATAAAATCCAGTAATAAAAATCTCTTAAAATAGACCAATTTTTATTTTATGTCATCGTGACACAAGATTTTGTTTGCAAGATTTTTCAATGCTTTCCAGCGTGAGCCAAGAAGCATGATCCATGTGGGAAGTTTTGTTGAAGAATCGGCAAAATTGTTATTGTTAGACCAACTTTTCAAGCGCTTATTTTCCAATCTCTACAGCTTCTCAAAGTCAAGAAGGAAGCGCGGGCTGTCACTACAAAGACCCTTGTCCTAATCCTAATATGTCAAAGATTTTCCAACCCTTTTTTGTATTTATCCCCGCCTCTGTTTACAGTCTTTACCCTCATTCTCGTCTTGTTATTCGTCCAATTTAAGAGTATGCAAAATATTTTTTTTTGCATCTTCTTTCATCCTGCATCAAAACATCAAGTGTCACACAGCTTCGTATCTAATTTGAGGACTTCCTTTTTCAAAAAAAAATCTATTTTAAGACTTGTTTGCCACGTGACATAATTGCAGACTCATGTTTTTCTTTGGCATGCAATTTAGCTTGCTTCCAAATGAAAACAAAAGAATTAAGAGGCAGAATTAGACTAACAGTGAGGACGGATCCGAAAAAGGATTAGGAATTTCATTAGACTTGATCATGGGGTCCCATTTATTTATAGAAAATGTCCGTATTTTTAGCCGCAGTCTTGCACTTTACAGCCTGCCTTAGTCATCGCCCTGCAGACTTTTATTCATGTATCTTTGTACAGGAAATTCCAATATTTCCGGGAGTTTTTTGAGCGCAAGATTATTGTTAAATACAAGTTATTTTATCAAAATTATTAGGCTAACGTTACAATAACGAGTCTGCAGATTGATAATAACACACTTTCTCATATGACTTTCACTTTCCGAGCTCTGGCGGATAAAATTTTTGTCAGGCTTTAAAACGAAAAATACAATGGAGAAGATATTGTATTCGGATGGGATTTTAATGGAAAGGAGAAAAACATTCCGATCGATTCCATTCGTTCTGAATGGTGTTTATGATAATGGGCAAACTGCTTCGTTTTTCAAGATATTTGAGGTTTCGGAAGGGCGAATGAAGAGGTTTATTTTCAGCTACTTTGGGGTCATCAAGAATAATATCGTGATATCTCTTTGATTATATAGATACATTTTGACCTTTATGAGTCTACTTACTCCACAAATAGTATTTTCTAACTAATCACAAATTCAGATGACCATCGGTCTAACTATTTGTACGGCTACAAGTATTGTAACGGTAAACATAGCAAAGCGAGGTGTTCCCTGCTCATCCCACGTCACCTCATTGCGAATTTGCGATAATATCAGTGTTTATAAATAATTCAAAAACACCTTGGTCTTGCAGAAATCTTACGGGCTTACACGTTTTATCACTTTCTTCATAACGAAAGCAACACATGACCCGTCGACCTTTTTGTGTCAACAGTTTCCATTTTACCAAGATTTTATTTTTCTTTTCCGTTTTGCCTGCAAATTGGAGTCGATTTGATGTCCGATCCGCTGTTTTCTTCCAATAATATTGTAGTAGAGATCTTTATTTTGTTTTGTTTTAGGTTTTTGACCAGACAATTGTTTGTGAATCGCTGAATATCCAGATTTTTCGTCGGGATTTGGGTTGTTTCATGTGATCTACGGGTAAATGCCAAATTATTTGGAATGCCCAACGACATCGGCCATTACAACGATTCCTTCATTGGATCCAGATCCAGGACCAATATTCTCGCGCATCAGCAGGAGAATATGGCGCCAATGGGGGATTACGTTGACAAAACCATCCGATTGAAGTCGGATGTGAAAATAAACCTAAATGATGTGCCGCACAGTCCAGTAGATCAGTATGAGAAGTACGGGAACACTGTGGAGCCCAAGAAGGTTGAGCCGGGAGGTATGTTATTTGGCTTTCAAAAATATTATTTGATTGGTGTCATAATAATATTTTTTTTTTAAATGGGATTGCTACCTAAATATCCTTGGATTCAATTATGGCGTCTTTTTCAGATTCTACTCAGCATCTTGGCCCATATTCCACTGCACGGTCTTCCCAATCGCCCGTTTCTCGAGCAGAATCACGCCGTAGAAGTGTCCCGGAAAACGTGATCAGCCCAAAATCGGCCAAGGATCTGCCACCAGCTGGCCCGTCGGTTTGTCGACCACGCCGTCGAAGTCTTTTTGCCACTATAAAGGATAAGTTGCATCACTCGCATACCAACTTGCAAGCGCAGACCGAACAGGAAGAGCCAGTGCAAGGGGTTTCACAGCTGGAGAAAGGTGTGTTTTTTGAAGGATTGAGGGGTCTGCGGAATGAATATTGTTTGTTGTTTTGTATGTTGGTTAGATAGTTGAGGGAGCTTGAGTCTTCTTTTGATGTTTATTTTCACCATTGACAACCATAATGTTATTTTTGACGTTTGCCTCGGGAAACTTTTTTTTTAACTTTATGGAAATGCTTTTTAGATCTTGGGTTTCCCCCGGCGAATAATTCTCCGCCGCTTGATGCCTTTATTGGCTCACCTCATTCCATGATTGTTGAGTCCCAATTCCGACGACGAAGCAAGTCCGACGCTGTTCGCCAACGAACAATCTCAATCAATTCTCAACGAAACGACCCCGAAATGGACGAATTCAGCCGAGCCAGCACTGAAGATGAGTGCTCTGAGATGGATGGCGATGAAAACGACAATTTGCCTATGTATAAGGTAGATTATTAAAAAATTTTATGAGAAAGTGTTCTGAAGGGTCTGAAATATAATTTATAAGATGAATTCGTTGACCGCCTGCGAACGAAATTAATCCGAAAGGAAGGTCAAGATGGCCTTATTACCACTGTGGGAAGTTAGTTTACCCTTCCTTCCAGTCTCGAGACGATAAATGTTCCTGTTGTTTGGAATGCCCTACTTTGTGTACAGAAGCAAATTAATCCAACGCGTTTCGTGAACTTTCTTCGCAAACCCCCTTTTCCAGCTTTTTCCATTGCCTCGCAGAGAAATGACCGCTTTTGAGAGCGGGCGTTATCAAAAAAAGACGGATATTTAATCTAAAATTTTACGAATAATATAATTTTCAATTGATAGCTAACGATTTCAGCACGAATTCCGCGCCCCATCTTCTCGTCGCTCCTCGGCCATGTACTTTCAACCGCCCAGGATTCGATCTCGACGGAATTCCGAGATCCCCGATGATCTCCATTCTGTTTCTTCCAGCACTCCGGGTCGAGGAGTCATGGTCTTGTTCTGCAAATCCCCACCGAATTCGTCGACTTTCTCACCAACTACTCGTAGTCGGGCTAATAGTCGAGCGAACTCCCAGCATGATTTGGATTATGATGGACTGACGCCGGCTCGGAAGAATGGAAGTGATAATGTGGCTGAGTTTGATCTGGAAGATTGTAAGTTTTTTATGATATAACTGGTGTACAAGGTCAAATGAGCTTTTTTACCGTAAGATTGTTTATAAAGCCAGTACTGACCTTTGGATGACTTTAAATTAGGTTTTTTTGTATTATCTGTGACATCTGACCTTCCAAATTTTATGAAATTCAATTAATATTGGTAGTGTTATATCCCGATGAATACTTAATTCTGAAATTATTTTTTTGAATATAATGTTAAAAGTTTCGGGAACAGAAAATATTACACTTCTCCTCTTTTCGAATTTATGATCTCGAGATTGCCTTTGGCCCTCAAGTGACGATTCGAATCTTTTTTCCAGTTTTTTTACGAATACTAGTCCTTCCGGAAAGTCGCCGGACGGAAATCGGCGACATGCACTCTGCGAAATCGAAAGTTCACTTTGCACTGTGCAATTTTTGGCTTTTTGCACTGTGCAATAAGCTTTTTCGAGCTGTCGCTCGCACCCTGAGTTTTCGTGCACAGTGCATGTCGCCGATTTCCGTCCGGCGACTTTCCGGAAGGACTAGTATTGGAGGCGTTTTTTTCTTTAACGTGCTGTTTTCACCGAAAGTTTTAATTAGAATAGAGGGTGGTTGATAAGTGGTGATAACTCTGTGGAAATCAGATTGTTTTGATTACTTTGTGTTGCGAACGATATTTTTTAATTATGTATGCAGAGCTTGCGCTGAAAGTGCCTGGAAATCGTTTGTTTTATACGAATCATGAGGCTTTTCTTGTTTGAGATACGATTTGAAGAGGAAATGAGGGCTATTCACAAGTGGAATATCGAATGACCCATATTGAAGGCTTTTGACTTGCAAATGGCTGAAGTATAGTGTAGTAGTGATAATTCTTCTTTTTGATATAAAAGAAATGGGATTTGACCTCAAAAAGGGCTGTATTTTCCATTATTTTTTGTTGTTCCCGAAATAAGCTATTTTTAAATTCTACATCCAATTTTTTGGTCTTTAATGCCGAACTTGTCCTTATTTAAGTAAAAAGGAATGGATAATTTGCCTGAGGTCCCTTTCAATCCCCGCCGAATTTGGCCCTCTTTGGATTTGTTTTCTTGAAGAACAGGCCAGTCGATTTCATGTATCGTGTGATTCATGACATGCGATATGAGGAAGTAGACATGTTTTTGAATTTCAAATCGAATTTGTGGGCTATTTGAGGAACATTCAGAGTATCGGAAGTCCTAGAACAGACAGTGTCAAAAAAATTTTTGAATCGTTTGAATTGTTTTAGTCTGGAAAAGATGTGTTTTCCATGGCCTGTTTTTTATTTTTTTTTTAGCCCAAGAATGTTTTTGATGGCTTTGTTTTGTTGTTCAGTTACTGAAAGTCCTTGAATCCCGCCGGATATGCTGAATTTTTTTAGCATTCTTTTTTCGGAGCCTCATTTTTAGCGTTTTTTCTGTTTAAGACTAACAAAAAAACAGATTTTGGTCATGAAAACGTTAAATTCAAATTCTGGTCATGAAAAGTGTCTAGAGAGTGGTTAATGTTAGTGTTACATGGTTCCTTATCGGCGTCACTAAAATTTCCTCTTTTTTAGCCCTTGCCGATCTTTCCCTCTCACACGAACTCTTTGTGGACACCAGTTTGGCCAACAATTCGTCGTCCTCGAACAGCTTCAACATGACCAACGACGCTCCTCACACTCATCCTGTTAACTCTACCAATCATGGGTCATCTCCATCGAATATTTGGAAACGAATCATCTCAAGGAAACGTGCCGTCTCGGCATGTCATGAACAGGTAAGTTGGTTATTCATTTTAAAAGCTTTTGCTGATTCCGTCTCACTATATTTTCGTCATTGTGACAATTGTTTGTGTGGAGGTGCTGTAGCATTTCTTTTTTGATTTATTGGATCAGAGAACGGGCCTGAAGCAGTCTTTTTTTTCGTATGGCCCACCTTTTGTTCCAGAGTTTTGCACCGGTCGGCCCTTTTGTCTTGAGCTTGAAGCTAAAGCCGGCAATTTTATTATTCCGGGGTGCCTGCCATGAATCCAATAAATTTGAGAATCCACTTATTTCTCATCCATATTTATGGCCGACGAGATTTCTCCAATTCTCCATGAAATTGGAGGAGTCTTGCCGTTCGCAAGTATGTGAAAAGAAACAAAAAGGAGTTTAAACTGGGAATTTAATAACGGAATTTGATTGTAATAGAAGGCATGGGAATCTCTTCTCCCCTTTTGCAGATGGGTTGGGAAATTCAGAAATTGGGTTTTGAACCTAATGAAAATGCTTCGAGAAGAAGTAAAACGGTTGGAAATGGGCTTAGAGTGTCGAGAATGAAGTTTTGAGTATTGATATTGGTACAGGGTGGTATAGAATGAGGCTTTCATTGTGAATATCGGTCTTTTGTCCCTCTCTGATGAATAGAAATGTAATTTACTCGGGTTGATTCATAACTTGTCACATAATTGTACTATCCCTTCCGGAAATTCGCCGGACTGATTTTTGACTGTGCGAAAAATGTCAAGGTGACAGCGACAGCTGAAAAATAGTCTATTGCACAGTACAAAGACAACCTTTGTTTTTGGACAGTGCGTGTAGCCGATTTCAGCCGAGCGACTTTCCGAAAGGACTTGTGTGTTCCATGAACACGGATGTTTACATTCATTTCACACTTGGATTTGGTCGTATGCGACTTACTTCGCATGTAATTAGCATACTTAGAAGTTTCGCAGATTGTTATTGCTTTAGAGCAGTACCGCGTTTGTTGTTGAGTTTCTTTGAAATTATGTTCAAACTTGGCTGTTTAAACAAATGAAATTTCTTTCATTTCAAGGCTTTTTGGATGTTTGGCTAAACGATTTTTGTCAAAATCTGTATTGGTTTTTATCGCAATCGAGAGCTATAGCGGTGTTTCTTGATTATAGAAATGATATTTGTCTCGGATTGTTAACGAATCACACCCTGATTGTTGCGGCTCCATGAATCGTGGTCTCGTTCCCATTTGACATTATTTCTTCGATAATTCATTGTTTTGTTTCCTTCATCAAAAAGCAGGACTTTGTTATTATATCGGGAAGATAATTAGCTGCTCGAAGTTCTGTTTTCATACCCTGTGCGTCGTCACGTTCCTCACGTCCTATGACCATCACTCCCTTGTCCAACGTTTTTTGGCCAGACAGGCTTGTGCGTTCGTCCTTTTTACTTGACCGAGGGCGAATTTATAAAGTGCTTTATCTTTCTCCCTGCTTCTAACTCACACTCTAAAGTTTTGGACTCGAGATCCTTAATGTTTTCGAGTTGTTTCCAGAAATTATGGATGTGGTTTCGATAGGAAACAGTGGGATGACTTGAATAAAAATGAAAGGTTTCTTGATACAGAACATGTTAGAGTAAAGAGGTATCAATAGAAAGCCCTTTGATGTAAAAAACAGCAGGGACAATAAAAGAATGTTGGTTTTGAAGATAAATGATTCGGGCATCTTTCGAGGATTTTTGAAGCTGAAACAGAAATTTGGGAAATGAGGAAAAGGCTTTCTCTTGAAACGTGATATTTTTATTCCTTTGATGCTTATTGCTACTGAATTTTAGGTCTTCTTGATTACTTTTTTTCAATTACGCATTCTGACGGTCGAGAACCTCAATTCTTTTTCAAGACATCCTAGTCTTCCCAGTCCACACCGCGTAAAGTTATAAAGAATCGGCTGTGTGTAGCTGAAATGGTCTCAGACTTGTATCATATGATATTGAGCAACTAGCACAAGATAAAAAGCTTTTTTCGCCAAAGCTTTTTTGACACTTATGATCTGAGGTATCTACTGTAATTTCCCGTGAGAATTATGAGAAGAAGGCACGACCTTCCAATTTCCACTCATTACATTCCTTCGCGATTTCCTTCTTTTCTTGCTTAGGCTTTCTCAACGGCGTTTTCTTTGTGTTATTTGATCAAATGACGTCACCCAACGAAGATTTTCGCTCGCTATTGCCTGACCCGATCATAGGCAGCCATGTGATGGCTTTGATAACATTAACTTGCAACCCACAGGCTTGTAAATGTTGTACTCGGGATTGTTTGCGGTCAGGGTGGGCTGAAAATACTCGCCACTTTTTTGGAAGATTTCGCCGTTTTCTTTCGTTGATTTCAAAGAAAAACTTTGGATGAATAAAAGATTGTTGACGGTTAAAGGCCTCACTTTAGCACATGTCGTCTGAAGGGTTTGGTGTTTGTTTTCCTTTGTGGCTTTTTCAAAACAGATCCTACTTTATCTCGGTTCGATGTTTTCCATTCAATTTATATGGCTTATTCCTTGAGTCAGCCAAAATCTTTTCCACAATGCATCCCTGTACCGGTTGTCCCTTATATTTATGTAAATTCGCACTCATTTTTCACGTTTTTCAGAACCAAAACGACACTCCTCCGGATTATTTCTCGAGCTCCTTCAACTGCGACAGCGACCGCCAAATGGTTTCTCCGCTGTCCGTTAACTGTAAATTATTTTTAATCAAGCATTTGTATTAATTTACTTTCGACTTGATTTTGAAAATTATGTTGAGAAATACTGTGATTTGTGATAAGTGAGCTCTCGATTATACTTTTTTTTGCTGTCTTGAGGGTGGTTGTCAAGAAAAATCACCTCATTGCTCGCTTTTTATTGCGCGAAACTTGTCAGCTTGCCCCGTTAAGACGCTCACGAGTGTCAATTTTAGAAACGCAGCACGAGATTTTTATTTATTTACTTTGTACTCCGAAGCGGGAAAACATAAACGATCTAAAGGCGTCTCGAATGTCACGTCTCTCCTTCCCTGAACATTGATAATACCATTAGTGATTACAAATTAAAACAAGTTTTATTGGGGTTTTTCTGGGTCTGGCTGCCGTAAAAGGGAGTTGAAACAGTGCTACACCGAAAAGAGGACTGTTTTCGATCTTTTGGTTGTTTTACATTCGTGTAACGCAATTTGATATTATTAAAATTGATTTTTCGATCAACTGTGTATACTAATTTAGGTCTTTAGACTTTTTAGGTTTTATTTTTGCTTACAAAAATCAAATTCGATGATTTTTTCATAGTTAGTTATTTAGGGACACAAAACGAACATGAGAAGTATAAGACGACCCTTGTTTTATGTTGTTCCATAATTTTAAAAGTCCTTGATAAGCCCTTCTTTCATGATGATAAGTTCGGAAGCGAAGAGCGCGCCGTCGAATGTCAAAAGAATTCCTTTACATCACGCTCGCGTCTCGTTTTAAATTTTTTTGTTCTATCTGTACTTTGAAAGTGAAGGCGCTAAGGTAATGGTGTCAATTTTGGGGTTTAGAGCCCCAGAAAGTGATGTGAAGTATGGGATCATATGTTAAAATTTTATGGCCTTGTTTTAGACGAATTTGATGATTTTGACACGGTTTTAATTTTAAAAATGAGGTCATTGTTTAATTTTTGCACTTCCATATACTTTGAACCGTTTTTGTAACGGCTATGTAGTCAGTTGATCACATGACACATTACTTTTGATTTCATCGATGCACTTTTGATGGATTGTCTTGAAAACCCCTTCCTCAAGGCATTTTTTCGTTGAAGAGGACTTCCTGATTAGTCTCCGGCTTCTTTACAAGCCCAATTTTTTTCTCAGTCTCGCCTCCCGTCCAAAAATAAAGCATTTTTTGCGTCGATTTTTCCAACGATAACGACTTTCGTAAGCCTTTTCGAAAGCGAAAGGGTAGCAAACTCTCTGGGGTTTACGAGAAAAATTCATAAAAAATGCTTGCTGTTTTGTTTTATGAATTTTGAGTGCATCCGGACGTATCCGGCCTCCTTTTTGAACGGAAAAACGTTTTTCTAAGGCCTAGTGTAATATAATTTTTGATAGTTTTTTTTGAAAATTATCATTTGGCAAAGATTTCTGTGATAATTTCATTTTTTTTTTCTACTCGGATTATTTCTTTGTTATTATTTTTATGAATATTTTTTAGTAAAAATTTGTCTTCCGTTAGTCCAAAAAGCAACGACCACTTTTGGTCACAAATAAAGAGATTGTAGGTAGAATGGGGCCGAAAGGGTAAAATAATTGGGCGGTTTTTTCGAGAATAATAATTTTCGCTGCATGACTACGAATTTAGAACTCCTTCTTGTTACAAATTTGGCCTTAAATTCGGGTGTTTTATGGGTTTAAAGCCTAAAAAGGGTGTAAGGCTATGTAATAGTATATTTCTTGGTATTCGATATGATTGAAAAGTGGTTTCAACTCAAATCTTACCCAATTTGGTACTAAAAAATGCCAATTTTAGCTCTCAACCGGTCCGGTGGAAACCGCACCGGCCTCCGTTCTTCGCTGCAGCCACATAATCCCAATCTTCTGAACGCATACGCCCGAAATCGCGCTGTCATGATGTACTCTCAACATAATCAACGCTCCGTGGACTCGAATGTGGATCTGGCTAGGCATGCGCTTTTAATTAGAGAGGTTGGTTTATCTTTTTTCAAGTTTTTGGATTTTAGAATGCCAGTGCTCAAAGTACAAGGAGTTAAGGGTGTTGCGACTAACTTTGATTGCGTTTAGTAGAATTTGTGACAAAAGAGAATGCCTAATTTCTAATATGGATCATTTTTGCGTGTTAAGACCACCCAAACGAAGGAATGACCTTGGGGATTAGGAGATTAAAATTCCCTATTTTTCCGCAGGAAAAAAATTTTTAATGAATTTTTCTCCATGTTTTGATATCCGAGTGGAAAGTACGGCCTTGTTTGCCTTTTATAATCCCTAAAATACCTCGAAAATGTCCCGTCAACAAACCCAGACTTTCCTTTTGTACACGAAGTCTTTGAAAACACCGGCACTCCGCAGCAAAGAACACTGAATTCTCTTGAATTTTAATACGGAATATATGTTCATTCTCCTCCAAATACCCGCTTTCCATTCGGTTTCCCGGTGGCTACAACCAGGGACTGGGTTTTCCCTTTCGGTCTCCTTCCCTTCCCCAAAGGCTCCTGTTTTAACCGCTCTGTTACTTACTCGCCCTTTCATTGGACTCTCTTTTTTTCCCGAAAGGTTTTTACATATTGTTCTGGATTTGTTTCCGCTCAAGCCGAGAGAATAATTCGTTTTGGCCACTATGAACTTTGTGTGTATTTTCTTTTGTCATTTTATAGGAAATTCAACGAGATTTTGTGATTACACGTTTTTCGGATTAATTTTCTGTTCCACAAATAGAATTGAACTTTTTGGACAATTTATTTATACACAAAAAACTTTGTTAATATATTTGCAACGAGATTCAATGTGAGTGAGGATTTGGTTTGTTGATTAGTTCATCTTCAGTGGGCTCAAAATTTTCCGTGGAGTTGTCGCTTTCCCAAATAGGTTCTTCTTGTTGTTATTCCCATTGTTTTCATGACTTGCTGCCTTTCTTGTAATTTCCACAACTTCCATGACATCTAGAGCATTGTCGTGAGGCGGCTGGATGTTGTGTTTGTCGTAGTATTCCTTCTTTGAAGGAGAACTGCTGTTGAAAACTTGGATTTTCGGTTTGTGGCTGATATGTTGCTCATTCGGAGCCATAATGGAGGTATTGTAGAATTGCGGGATCAACGTTTGATAGTAGGGCTGGATGAAATTGAGCGTCGACTGGATTTGTAAGGAAGAGAAACCTGGAATTTGATGGAGAAATGAGTTTTGGTGGATCTTTAAATGTATGAAGTCTTTATATGGTAATCTTGACATACCAGTAATTTCTTCGGTCATCTTGACATCCTCAAAACTCGTAAAAATCACTGCGGCGGCAAGTTGTCGATAACTATAATGCAACCATTCTTTATCGATCAAACTGATGTCCAAAACCTGAAAAAAATCGTTTTCTTCAGGTGGAATATGTTGGTTGACGAAAGTTTGTTTGAAATTTTACCTCAGCCAGTTTGATGAACTCATGACGCATAAAAACGGGCACAGCGAACTGTCTCGTTTTGGTTTTGTGAACTTCGAAATGATTATCGAATTTGTCAACTAAAGGGGACGTCGATAAGTCCGAAAAACCTGAGTCTTGTGTGAAATGTTGACTAGAACTGGCTCCATTTGGACTCAAGGATCTCCTCTTCGGTCTTGGGGCACAAATCTCCTCTAAACCTCGCATAATATTGATCAAGTTGGCTTACCTTCAATAGCAATTAGTTGGAGAAAGAAGGCGAGCCATTGAATCGCTGTCATTGGTGTGCAATGATAATCTAATCTGCTCAATAATTCCTCTTCCATTTTTAGTATTTGCTCTCCGGTAAAGTATTGCCAAAGGGAGTTGTTCTCTCGACAAAAGTGGAGCATAAGTTTGGGAGATGGGGTTCGAAATTCTTCGACCTTCCCGGCAATGTGGAGGGATGCCATTCCGATTAAACCACATCTTTCGAGCAGATTTTCTTTGAATGTGGAGCGAGTGATGTACCGATCGACAAGGTCCATTGCCAAATGAAAGGTTTCTCGATGAAGATTTAGTTGAGAACACAGCTATAAACAAATATTCTTATGGCTTGCCTTAATCGTACCTTTAGTATGTTCTCATAGATTGTAATTCGAATGTCTTGAAGACTAGGATCATTATCTATGACATGGTAATCTCGGGCATATTGGGGAGTTTTCTTCTCATCAGCGGATTCGCACAAACTTTCCCAAAGTTTTGTGGGTGATCCAAATTGATTCATTCCGTGTAATGCCAGTGGCAAAACAATGGGCTTCTGAGGACTTAGCTGAAAAAAAGGTTTTAGTTGTGCGTTAAAATAGATTTGAGTAACATACTGAGGCTCTGTAAGATCTCTTAGCCGGCGCTCGGCTGTTATCTGCTCCTGGACTAGGCCATTGCATATGCTCTGGAGTCGAATGGACCTTATACTTGCTAATGGAGCAATCGCTGAACCCTGAATCGTCCAAATTTCTGGCATTCTTTTTGATGATTGGTTTAACATCAGCCAAAGGAACCCTTATCCGTTTGATTGGACTGTATTGCGGCTCAGCGGCATCGTGCGCTTTCCGCATCTGAAAACAGCGAAAAGATTATGCAAATCACGGGTTGTCACTGCAAGAGTTTTTTTATATAGCGATAGAACCAACAACCTCCAAACGACCTCTAATTTGGGGGTTGGGTAAGATAGCAAAAGAAACAGCGATTCTTATCAACGGAACGCCGAAAGTTTATTCAGAGGTGATTAGAGAGGGTAAACAGTAGTTGGGATTGTATACAACCGATTAGAAGTTGCCTCGAACTTGTATACAAGAGATTAAAAGACGAAAACATTCATCGAATGTGATTATAAAGTAAAATTGAGTCCAATAGAATGTGAATGTACAGTAATTGAAAGAAATATGGGTGGCACGCCAATGATCAAACTACTCGCAACGATACGCAATTACATCCATGACTTGATCCCAAAAAAACATAAAGAGAAGGCGTCCACCAAAAACGCAGCAGCTGTTGAGTGAGCGACGGAAAGTCTTGGGACCAAGGGAAGGCAAATGGCATATTCAAACCGAAAATTGCGCGCGCAAGTCTCCGATCTTCCCCTCCTCTTCGGCTCGGGCGTTTGTGCCATTTTTTCGTCCGTTTTTTCGGCAGCGAACGCAACCTGATCGAGATTCATTTGTGATGAAAATTTGCATTGGGTTTATGAGCAAAAACGCATCAATCATAATGTAAACACACAGTAAGACAGTATTAAAAAGAAGATGGGTAATTAGGAAAGAGGTTCAAAAAAGACGAAAATAAAAGTTGTGGCAAGAGTTTTCTCTTATCCTACAAAGTTCCGCTCGATCGCTGGTTTTTGTTCTCGGCTCCCAGCGAAGCTGCGGTTACCCTTGGAGTTCTTTTCGAATTTGTATGAAGTTGAATAGGATCGCGCGTCTTTTTAATGTTCCCGCTTAAGGTTGTTAAGAAATTTTTGAAATTTTGTAAGCCGAATTGTTCCTTCTTGGCAGACTAATTCCATAGGGAGTACAACTAATTGCAACTAGAATTCACGGAATTGCTATACGTGGAATAAGCGTTCGAAGGCTTTGTTTTTCAGTATTTCCAATTTGACCAAAATGAAAAGAAGTTCTAATCATAGAATAATGATTTTTGCCTATATTGCTTTCACAGACTGCAATTATGAGCTCTATAATTTTGGAAACTCGTGATCCGACGTCAGAAGGGCCCCTTCTTGCAACTTTTATTTATTCCTTGAGGTTTTTCGACCTTTCGTTCCTCCTCGAATCAAAAGATTGTTTGCTAAAATTATTTGCCTCATATTCTTGTTTGAATTTTCGATACATTTGTGGGGGAATCGTTGCTGTCACGAGGGGAAGGAGTTTTTATTGAAAGGAATGGAACTTTCTCTAAACCGTTCGCTTTCTAAAAGCCGAGACCATATGGCGTCGTCATTTATATTGGGGATCACAACTTACGTGGGTCCTGAGACACATCTTGCGATAATTATGGTCGTCCGGGTGTGAGGATGGTATCATGTGTGCTTTTAAGAGCTGTAGAGCGCTTTTTTTGGGGGTATAAACGAGTAGTACGTCATTGGCACAAGTTTATTGGCCTTTTCCTCCTAAAGGCCGGGGCGTACGACCCAAACGATGATATAGTTCTCGACAAAATCTTTCTACTATTTCTTTGGCCTCGTGCGAAAACAAATTGTATAAATTTCCGACGGCGCTTTTCCGTGTCCGCCTTAACACTTGGAACCTTATTTGCACACAGTTTTCGGGGATCAGTCACCGAATGTTGTCCAGGGACTGACCTTCAATCGAATCCAGACCTTGCGGGTCTAAACGAAGTTGTTTTTGAAGAAAAAGGACAAAGTGTTCGGCCTTATTGACGCAAAATCCCACGTGTTCTCTCCCCATCTTCCACATTGACTCTTTTTATCTTGGCCCTTTCTCCTTCCTCTTTCGCTCTCTGCGGGTTTCAAGCGGTTGGAGGAGGGGATGAAGAAAATAAAGGCTCTCCAGGATGTTAGATACCCCTTTTTTGTCTATAATAGGAAACTTGAAAGGAAACTTTCCTAAAAGGGTTTTTCTACGGAAGTTGTGTGTGATAAGGAGAAGATTGTTGAGGAATTTTTATAATACGAGATCGCTAATGACGTTTTGATAAGTATTTTTTGAACGTGAAATCCCCTCCAATTATGATCAAGGTTATGTTTTCTTTGTCGGAAGAACATGCCTTGCCTGATCTCTCAGTGATCTCTCGGCTACATGTGTGAAATAACAACTGTTTTCCCTCCACCCTACGTCTTTTTTGCCCTCGTTTCCTTGATCAGAACGCGTGAGGAGCCAATTGGCCTGGGTTATAATTTATTGGGCCTAGATGTTTTTCGCGATATCACATCATTGGATTGGACTATGCCCGGTTAACCTGTTGACATAGATTTGTTTCCTTGTTTCGTTTTCGCTCTGACTTTGTTTTGCTCGAGAAAGGCTATTAATTTGTGAATGTTGACATTTCCCACGGAGTGTTCAGTTAATTAATTTTCCTGCATTCTCTATTATGCCAGTTTTTGAAGACTTGTCGGTTCTCTAACTCCTCCGGGCTTCCCTTCCCCCTCCGTGGTCCATTCGCAAGTTTAGTTTGGCCGCCGTTCCAGTTGTTGGAAACGGGAATCCGAGGGAAATGAGGTTGGAGGTTTCCTCTGGCTAACACTAAAAAAAATAAATAAGTTTTTCTCATAGTATAGGTGACGTTCGTTCCCACTCTCTCCTTGCCGAGCCTCTAAAGCCAACCCTTCCAAAGATTATTTTGGAATTTGTCTTTTTTGTTGCTTCAGTGTTTCCCATATTTATTTCAAATTTGGTTGTAATAGCAGCATCGGAAAGTACTTTAAAGTCCCTTCGATCAAATTTAAATAAGGTGTTCGTCTTTTGCGAGATTTCGAAACCTTCTTCTATCCCTGCAGAATATCGGCCTCGGTTCTCTTTGCGAAGCCCTCTCCGGCCTCCACCCTGTTTTCCCACTCGGGCCGTTCGTCAGCGCCGCGATAGTCACGTGCTGTTTCATTACGGACCGAAAAACGAAAAAATTGCCGCTTAATTTTTTTCGGTTGTGGCTATCTAATCCCCTTACCGCGATAAGGAGTTTGTTATTTTCGATGATGAAAAATACAACACAGGAAACGAGGTGCACCCGGTTTTTGAATTAACTAGTGAGATTTGAGGTTCGACTAAAATTCATCAATTAGGTTTTTGAAAAGATGAATTATTGCGGTTTGAATAAACATTCGGATTTCTTGCCCATTCAGACATTGTTGTCATGTCTTTAGGACGTGAATTGTTAAGAATTTGGAGTGCTGTTTGTTATTTCGATTCAATTTCCATATATAATAGTGCTCACACGGGGTTAAAGACTACTCTCTCACTTCCCCCTTTTTGTTTGTATTTTCCCCTGTATTTTTATGGCCGGAGGGAATTTAAAGACCGAGAGAAGGAGAAGATCCTTTACGGAATCATAAAACCTTGCAAATAGAAAAATTGCAAACGTTTTTATGAGCCGTTGAATTGATCAGGTCAAGTTATTTGAACTGAAATCGAGAGATCTTTGTTCACTCAGCTTTTACAGAGCTGGTCTGTTTTCGAAGCTATCACTGTGTTTTCGCTTTTTTTGTACTCTGTTTTTCTCCATAATTACTCTTATTGCATCGTACTGGCATTATCCGTTTTTGTCAGCTCTCATCCGCCATTGGATGGGTGGCTTGTTGTTTTCCGACTTGTTTGACCCGATCCTCTCTTCATTTTCCTCCTTGTCCATCATTCCCAACGTTCCCTTCTCCTCCGGATTAGTGTCTTGTGATTTGAGTAGCCGTTTAAAGTGCAATTCCCCCCTTCGTTGGTTTCCATGGCTTAATTAGTCATGCCACATAACAATTGTATTCGCGGAAAAACAACGTTATGTGGTTGGGCTGTTGTCATCAAGTGGAACAATGTTCCTTCTTGTTTTTGCAAAATTCGGAAATGGTTTTGGCCTTGGAATTGTAACTCGCTATAAATTAGAGGACATTAATCTAATGGAATTTTGGAAGAATTAATCTATTTTTGACGGCCTCGTGACTTGTAAATCGCTCTGTTATCCTGTATTCCGTCCAAGAATAGCATTCACATCTCCGAATTTAGCCCCCGGACTCGCGCGTCCAAAACGTCGCAGCTACGTAGTTGTTCTAGCCGGGCGTCGAGGACCCCATTCCAAAAACGCCGCCCCTCAATCCATGTTCACGGCCGCGAAGAGCGGCCAACTTCGGCGCGGCCGATTCTCCAAGTCCAAGACCAGTACGTCCGGCTCCTCGAACGAGGGAACCATCCCAACTGTAAGCGGCCGCATCACCCCGCAAATCAACATAAGCGAGAACAACGACAACAACAGTCGCTCCGTCTCGGAATCATCGAATTACAATGATTCCGAGGCATCTCCGCCCAGCAGAACATCCTTGTGTTTGGCCATCCACGAAGGGCAGGAATTGGACACCAATGAGATGGCTAAATTAAGACAAAGCGGCTCGAAAACCCCGACCGGAAGACGATTGCCACCACTTTTCAAAACAAGAATGAGAGTGAAGTCGGCAACGACCGTCCTCGGATTCCTCTCATCCCCCAGCAAAGAAGAGAAGAAGCCATTGAGCGTGGATGTAACCTGTCCTTGCGTCGAGAAGTTGAATAGTCAAACAGTCCCTAATTCCAACTTCTCAAGCCTCTTCAATCGATCCAAGAAATCCAAAGGGAACACTCATCTCCAGACACCTCACTCTGGTCCTTGCGCCTTCGGTGAGAACAATGATCCGGCCCTCCATCTCCGCTCTACCTCCGCCTCTCCTCGAACTCTGGATGGGCTGATTAGTCCGCCTCCCGGCAGTCAGCCCGGCTCAGCCTTCAATCCAGTCCATGGCCAATGTAAATCGGCCCAGGTTAGTCCCCGTCCGCCTGGCGGCTCTGCAGCTAGTCCCGTCTCTCCCCTCTCTTACTCCTGCTCGATGAGACATCACAGCTCGTCTTCGAGTTCGGCTAGCTCGCCGGGATCGGGTCTCCTTATCAGACAGCGCTCTCTTTTCGGCGGCTCTTTCCGCTACAGCCCGAATTTGTTGGCCGCGCAACAGGCCAGCCAACACCCAACGGTCTTCGACTTTGAGCACTGGCATGAAACAAATTTGAGTAAGATTTTGAACATTCTAATTGGGGGCGTTTCAGGGATCCCTTCTGTCCGGTCTGGCTAACACCAGTCACAACGCATCCAGCTCTTCACTCTCGTCCAGCATCCCAGAAATCAACAAGATCATTTTTGGTGCGCTACTTGGAAATTTCCCTTCTTTTGGGGCTTATCGTAGGGCGCAGCTTGCCATTTTCATTATTTTTCGGACGTTTCCCAAATTTTAGTTCCGGGGTTATGTATGGTTCGTACGGGGATGTCCAAGGTATGTGATCAATTTAGCATAAAAATTATGACGTAAAAGCTAGAGCTGCGCCTGAGATAGCCTGATGTTATATTACACTGGGGATCAATAAGATAACCGGCCCATGAAACCCGTTTTATTTTCAGAAAACCAAGAGGCCGTTTATTCGTTGTTTATGAAAGCCCATAAATGTTATGATTTGATCCCCACCTCCTCGAAATTAGTCGTCTTCGACACCGAACTTCCCGTTTCCAAAGCCTTCTTTGCTCTTGTATATAATGGAGTTCGAGCAGCACCGCTTTGGGACTCGACAAATCAACAGTTTGTGGGAATGTTGACCATCACGGACTTTATCCAGATTTTGTACAAGTAAGTTTCGGTTTAATTTTTTCTGAGAAGTTTTAGTGAGATTTTTGGATATTAAGGATATTGTTTCAGATATTACAAGAAAGACGCAGTGAGCGATGGAATCAAAGAATTGGAACAGCATAAGATAAGTACCTGGAGGAAAGTGTTCGAAGAAGATGGACATCTCAAGAAAATGACGTACATTGATCCATCAGAAAGGTAAAATTGAGCTTTGTTTTATGTTTTAGGAAATAAAATTGTTTGCCGTATCTTATGAAATGGTTTTCAGTCTTTACAAGGCCGTAGAAATGCTCTGCGAACACAAAATCCATCGACTTCCGGTGCTGGAGCCATCTTCGGGCGATATTTTATACATCCTCACACATAAACGCCTCATCAAATTCTTGTTTTTATATGTAAGTCGAGTTTGTTTTTATTTTTGTTGTCTATTTTAGGTGTAAAGAAAAGTTATGTCGGTTTTTTTCAGTTAAACGACCTTCCCCGGCCGCCTTTTATGGACAAAACGCCGAAGGAGCTGGGCATTGGCTCATGGGGCGAAATCTGCACGATCTCCAAGGATACTTCGCTGATCGAAGCCCTAAAAATTTTCCTTGAAAAACGGGTATCCGCATTGCCGATAGTCGACGAAGATGGAAGAGTAAGTAACTTATATTTCTAGAAGGGAAAAGGTTAGAGTAAAAACCGAATGTACGATTTGGCTTTGAATAAACTGACTATTAAAAATTTTCTTTCAGGTGGTTGATATCTACGCCAAATTCGATGCCATCAATCTCGCAGCGGACAAAACTTACAATGACCTCGATGTAACAGTCAGCGACGCGCTCAAACACCGATCCGACGTATGTTTTTCTTTTTTGTGTTGTTTCTGATATGTAGGAGATGCTAGTGGGTTCGATTTGGCATGAAATTCCAAGCACAAGCCTCGTATTTGAACAAATTGCAAGTGTTTTTTTATGTTGTGATATAAAACCAAGTACAACTTAAAACTTTCAGTGGTTCGAAGGCGTACGGACCTGCTCGGTTTCGGACTCCATTGCTCAAGTCATCGACACACTGGTCAAGGTTGAAGTGCATCGTCTGATCATTGCGGACGACGACCAGAAGGTGGTCGGCATCATCTCTTTATCAGATATCCTCAAACATTTAATCATCGAACTCCCCAAAATGGCCGAGTCCCCCATCGATGAGCTCATCACCGAACCCATCAAGGCTGATCCCATCCAAGAAGCCGAAATCGAATCTACACCTGAAGTTGCTTAAATATTTTATTTTTATTTTCGGTTGGAGCAGTGACCGAGCCGAACAGAGTTTATTTTAGTATAGATTGTAGTAAATCCCATTTCCATTATTGTTTTGGCTAATTCTCTGCGCCCTATTTAGTCGTATTTAACATGTCTCGGCTCTCCGCACCATCCACGACACCCCCATATCGATTACTTTTGTGTGTTTCCACCTAAAGTTTTATCAACTGTGACCCAAAACATGTTGAAATTGTACAAAGACTGTTATCCTCCATCTGTAGCCGTCACAGTAATCCATTTTGGGACTTTGTTATTGCGTCTTTTCTATGGTTATGTCCTCCAAAACGACTGCCCATCTAATTTCCCCGCATACCTAATGTACATACGAACATTTGGTGTTTCCATGTCCATTACCAGTTGTTGATGCCATCCAAGTCCATAAATCTGATGTTATATGTCTAATTATTTACCCGTATTCTAGAGCGGAAATGGAAAATAAAACGTGTATATATATAATCGTCGTTGATTTACGGGATGAAGGGGGGCGACAGGATCAGTATACGGTAGTCTGAATATTTTGAGGCGAATTTGAATACGTTTTGATTTTTTGCTTTGAAATTGTCCATAAGATCAGTTGTAAAATATTTACGCTCAAATCACTCGACAACAATGCATCGTGTCGAAGCAGAGGTGATGCACAAATTTTGACACATGGCATGCCAAATTTCGGTAGCTGTGGTTCACATTGTTTTTTTTATGGTGCAGCGACTGCCGATACATTGTCTGCATGAATTTTGTTGTTCAACAACCAGTTATTTTTGACCTTCTAGTAGAGACATCTCCCGCTTTCTTTTTGCTTCCACAACAGGTTGCCACAAAATTCCAGACATTACGGCTGATAGATAGCTGGACCACCCTAAACGAGGGCTTGGTCCACAGTTATAAACTTACGAGTACGACTGCACAATAATCATTTCCACGACCCATTCGAGAATAAAATTTTCCACAATATAAGACAACCCGAAGAAGGCGTCGTGGTCTGATAGAAAAAAGCTAACCAGTTGTATGGACAGTAGAATTGGAGACACAGTACTCACAATTAACAGTTTCCACTCTGCGCGCCGCCGACGTTTTCTTTGCGACTTGTCGTTCCCGGAGATTTCGCACTGAATCTGTATACAGTTAGTACTTATTGACAGGGGAAGTACCCCAAGCGCGACGCTCAGATTTTGTTGGAACTTGGCACAAATTCAGAACAATTTTTTCTAACAAGGGAAGTACCCCAAATGCGACGCTCAGATTTTGATGAAATTTGGCACAAATTTAGAATAATTTTTTCTAAGACATATGCGAGAATCCTAGCTCTCGCTTTGCAGAAACAACCGATATTTTTAGATCAAAAGTCGGCAAAAATTTAACACTTTTTGCCGAATTTCGGCACGAAAAGTTTCGTGCCCATTTCTGCCGTAAAAAATAATTTTTCTACAAAAAATCTAATTTTTCCGCACGAAGCTGCTAAAGTTATGGCCAAAAAAGCGATTTCTCTCTGACCGCTCTCCGCGTTTAGCGTGCTCTCTCGGCGGCAAAAATCGTTCGAGATCTCGGCGGCGCCTGCAAAGCGCGAGCTAAAACTTTCATGAATTGATACTTAGTCCATCACCGACGTGTGCGCAAATTTTAAAGAAAATCTGAGCGTCGCACTTGGGGTACTTCCCTTGTGAGTTGTTTTTGTCAAAAACCTACTTTATTTAATGAGTGAAGCTTGATGACCGTGACTACGGACAGTATGATACAAAATAACAGCGGTCCCCATGACGAAAGTAAGTAGTACGCATTGTCATAGTCGTAGTCGCACTCTTCTGTCAGCAGCGTCGTATTAACGATGTTGTAGCCAAGGGTTAATGTTGAATAAGACCTTAGGCAATTTCCTTCAATATGACAGAACTTTAAAATGATTATTGCCTTACCATTAACTTCATAAGCCATAGATGATATCAGTATCATAAAAACAATCAAATTGCGTCTTCGGAAGACGTGTTTGAAGGCCATTGGGTAAAAGACTCCAACATATCTGGCAAAAACAATCAACACTTCCAAACACCTTGCAAACGAAGCAATATGGAGAGCAGTTTCTGTTAAGAACATATCAAAATAAAGATAAGGGATCGGTAATGCAGCCATTTCATCGTCTTGAGTAATAGGTGCATAGGTCAGAGACCATGGAGTGTACCAGAAAACAAATAAAATTGTGTTTGGAAGTTCGCACAACACCTTTATAATCACCAGTCTAGTGTGAACATTCCGTAGCGAAGAGGTTTTATAGAAAAACCACGCGGTAAAACTATTCACAGCAATAGTTTCTAGGCCAAGACCAGCACCAATAATGCACAGAAAAAACCGTAGATTTGCGTCATTATCCTGAAGGTTCGTGGAGTTCGAAATTGAGGAATTCATAGGGGCAAGAGACTGTACTCTTACCGTCAATTTATTCTTTGGTTATATTGAACAGTAAAGGAATTATAAAAGCAAGTAGTTTACGACCAATGTGTGTTACCTAACCTTGTCGAATTACAATTGCTTTTTTTGAATTTGGAAGTTCGTCGCGATCACAGATTCAATTTTTTGGCTGATCACGATAGAACGGTGATTAGGTTTTCCGTTTCCTTAGGCATTCAGTTTACATAACTTTTTTGCTCTCACACTGATTTGACAATATTTATACTTGAAACAAAGGAAAGATGTTTTGAGTGATAATAGCCTATAACAGAAGAAGGGACCCGTTCGCGTTTCTGTTTTGACATACAAAGTGTAATCTGTAGAGACTAGAGGAACATAAATAATGTTTGAGACTTAATTAGTGGGAGGGACATGCTTTGAGATTTCCAGGGATCAAATTGATTTGACATTTGCGTTATTATAGGGATTGATCAATGTTGATATAAGCGGTTTAGAGTAATAAATAGGTTGCGGTTGGAGGATGGGAAGACCCAGGTTTAACTAGCATTCACATTCAGGTTAATATGTACACCGTTCAGATTGGCCCTAGCGGCCTCATTTCTGCATTCCGATACCAGCTTCTTGAACTCGGTGTCTAAGATTTTCTTGGCTTGTTCATCGTTGGATGGGACTTGTAGAACAACCTGCAAGGCCTGGGCACTGAAGGTGTCGTCAAGGGCGATAAGCGCGCCATGAACACCAGAGTCCTTGAGATTATGGGCATATGATCCGAGGCCACTCTCTTCCACCCATTTGGCGACTCGTTCATTGGACCAAACAAGAACATCTGAAAGGGATGCACGTCAATCCAAATAGAAGGAAAATTTTCCCGCCCCTTTTTGGTGATTCGTTCAAAACGAAATGTCACTATCCGATAAAAAAACATTTTCTTATCTTTGTTCTCAATCCAGCGCAGGATATGCGCTGGATTGACGTGGGATGTCTTATCCAAATTGATAAGTTGTCCCTACCTTTGTTCACATTCTCGCACGCTTTTCTTCTCTCTTCCAGCGCTCTTCTTTCGTAGTTTAACCTCTTCAAACACAGGATTCCATATTGTAATGAAGCTCGGTGGAAGTTATCGACCACTTTCAAATGGGTCCTTAGATCTCGTTTGGAGAGATGTTCGAGCATTCTCGCATCCACCAGACACTCCATGAACTCTCGTCGATACTTCACCAGTCCCAGCGAGGGCAGCCATTCGTTCCCAATCCATTCGTGATTCATGTCGCCAAACGCCAGGCTACTTCTGGCCTGTCTTCCGGCCGAAGGAGAAGTTAGGGAGACCATTTCCTGAATGGCCAGTCGGAGTTTCAGTCGATGCAGTGGATTGCTGATCCCGATTTCACGTTGGATCTCTTGATCGGAGAGGGCGGACATGATGGCTCCACTCTTGACGTTGGCTCGGCATGCGGCCACATACCAGGCCGGCATTCCCACCCACAATTCTAACCACGCCACGACTGTGGGGCCATTCCAGAGCGCGAAGGGAGTTCTCGCTTTGATCGCCTGGAATTATAGGTTGAGTATTCGAAAATTGTCAACAAAAAGAGGCAATGCAAATTCTCACCTCTTCCAATAGTTCGTTCTTCTTCTTTTTCCGCCTATCAAAGTCCATTGAGTTTATATTGGCGGGCTGTCCGTTCGCTTTTGGATATGAGAAGCCTGGCTGATCTTGTAATGCGAGTTCGGAGTCCGAATAGGCTTCGGACGGACTTCTGAAAGCAGAAACAATATAATTTTAGCAAATTATTTTGACTTTTCTCATCGTATTTTAGCTTACTTTTGCTCCTTGCTCTTTTTCTTTGCTCCAAAAATCCTCCCAAGAGTTTTGAACCCAGAACTTGTACTGGACGATCGTTTCTTTAGCTTGGATCCATTAGAATATGGCATCTCTTGGATGGAAGATGAGCTCGAAACGGGGCTCAGTCTGTCAGAATTGTCGCCATTTATTTGTTGCTGAATCCTTTCCATGAGAAGATTGCGATCTGGCACTTGATATCCGCGATTCGCGATCTCCTCATCCAATAAATCCATTTCTTGTTGCGCAAGAGCATCAGAATCGTACATATTGGGTCTTTGTGAGTACATGGGTCGAGCAGGCATCTAAAATGCAATCAAAATTAGATAAAATATAATCGTTTTGTCATTCTTACAGTGCTGAATTTGTTGGGAACACTGTATTCATGAGGGGATCCTCTTTGCGGCATTCCTCGAGCCATCCCCGGAGGCAAATACAAGCTGGGATCATCGTATCCGTTGTTATACATCATCGGCTCTTGCCACATTCCCTGTTCCGCTCTCCGAGCATTCTTCTTTTCCTCTTGGATTGCTTGAATCTCCGAATCAATGGCGTCCAAACGCTCTTGAATCATGGTCGCCAAGGCCTGAGGGTCGTTCTGCGATTGAGGAACTTGCTCCATCTCCAACATGGAAGTGGATGCACTGAATGCTTGATGAACATTAGCCAGCACATTCGCTTGTTGTATCCGATCCCATTCTTGTTCGTTGAGCGTCTGAATTTTGTTAGGATCCTGCTGTAACGCGGCCATCCGTCCCTTCTGTGGCCGCCGAGGTGCAGTCGCCAAATAGTTGTGCATCTCGGCCGCGTTCTGAGAGTACGGCGCACTCGGGTAATAAGGCATTGAGTTCAGCGCGGTCCCATTCATTTTCGAAGCAAATTGAGCAGTTCTAGTTTCGTACAATTGATGTCTTAACTGGTCGATCTCCTTCCTGAGAACGTCGTTATCCCGATCGAGGCGATCTTTGATGCGTTGGGCTTGATCGAACAATTTCTTCGCTTGTTCCAGATCTTGAATCAGCCGGTTTTTCTCTTCGACAGCCTGCATTCTTTCGTTCAAATGGAGTTGAAGCCGATCGTTGGATTCGGCAAGGAGCTTGTCAACGGTCGAGCTCAACCTTTTATTATGCTCCTCGTTGATTCGCTCGCGTTGAACAGCCCGTTCCAATTCCGAGGATCTTTCTTGAAGCAGTGATTCGAGCCTTTGAACCCTCTCTTCAGCGCCCAATTGCTTCTTCTCAGCCGCCGTTAACGCCTCGAGTCGTTGTTGGAGTTCGGCTTCCACCGAGGGCAACGATTCGGCCTTTTGTAGAGATTGAGCAAGTTGTTTCTCGGCTAGCTCAAGACGTTCTTGAAGACTCAGCAACTTTTCTTCGTTCACTTGAGCAACATGGTCCCGATTGGCCAACTAAAAAGAAATCAGATAAATGACAGTGTGCTTACCTGGTATTCAAGTTTGTCTTTGACGTCTCTAAAGCATGACGCTTCTCGTTGAGTGTCCATGAATCGTTTCTCCAACGTATTAACCTTCTGCTCCAGCTCTCTTCGCTCGGCCATCAGTTCTTCCACCTTGTTCTGCTGCATCTGTTCGGCTTCGTGAGCGGATCTGAGCTGATTTTGGATCTCGGCGATCTCTTGTTCCAACTCAGCGTTCCTAAATTGGCAAAATTATTTTTCATACTGTAGCAACGGCATAGAAAAGTAAATAATAACTAAAATATTACCTGGCACTAAGTTGGTGGATCCTCTGAGATGACGCGTTGAGTTCGTGGTTCATGAAGTCGAGTTGAGACTGCAGATCAGCAATCTTGGCCGCCTTTTCAACGTCCGAGTCCCTCTCCTTCTGCGTGCCATTTATCTGAAATCAATAGTTTTTATACTTTTTTCATCAGATAAACCATTCCTAATGGAGATTCTGAAGCTCATTTTGAGTCCATTATTGCCTAGGGCTATAGAGGAATGAATAAATGAGAAAGGATGAAATCCTCGTAGAAAAGGAAATTTTCAAACTTTTTTCTGGATTTTACTGACCCTTTTTGACCTTTCCTCGGCTTCAGCTTGAGCCATGGCCAGCTTTGACTTCAGGCTCGCATTCTCTTCCATTTTGGTGCTGAGATCATCCTCCAGCGATTGCACCCGATCCATTGCCACTCGCAGTCTTTCTCTCACTTTCTCATCCAAGTTTTTGTGGTGTTGGAAGAGCGACTTCAACGCTTTGAGGATCTCCACTTCCGAGGAATAGTCCGAACTCTGATTCTGATGTCGTTTCACAACTGTCAATCGGAATGATCGTTCATGCCGAGAGACCAGACATTCAAGGTGTTCGAGGAGTAATCGAGTGTTGTTTCGCTCTGCTTTCAGCTCCACAATCTCTTCGTTTCGTTCGTTCAGCTCTTCTCGACATTGGGCAAGCTCTCTTGTAATCGTGGGGAGGTCCTAAACTCAGAACAATACATTGTAAAAAAGAAATTTTCAAAACATGAACATAATAATGTCATGTTGTATTTTCAACCTTTGTGAAATCAACTGTTACTTACTCCATGCATATGTTGTTTCTGCAGGTCCATCTCCCTTCTGAGAACATCCTTTTCCCTCTCACTTCCCCTGAGTTGTTCTTCCAGTTGTTCCGCATGATACGAGGCCTTTTGGAGTTGTTCGGTCAACTTATCTCGTTGCTCCAACATGCTGACCATGAGTTGCTCGATTCGAGCGTCATGGAGATCAACGTTGTCGTCCACAGGCAGTTCATGATGTCGGTCATTGTTCCCGTCCTCAACAATGGTGGGCATCATGTTGTTCCAGGACATAGTACGGACTAGCCGACCATAAAACTGGTAAGGACGTGGCGATCTTTGTGTTAACTAGCGATGTAGAGACTGAGGTATGCAGTTGTTGTTGAAAGGAAGGGGGGTCTTACAAACAGTAGATTTTGCGAATAGCGGAAGCAAAATATGATGATCAAGACGACGTGCTATTGTTGATTGTAGATTCAAATTATTGGTTTCGAAATGCAGGAGATTCAGTGTCGATTCAGGATATTATGCGAGCAGTTTGTAATATCATTCATAGCCAGTCAAATATCCATAAGAGAGGCTGAGGCAAACGCCTTAAACAATAAAAATAAAAACATTCAATGCCAGAAGCGCGCACAAAAAACGAATCTGCATACCTCGCTGCCCATATGGACTCGTTCAAACCCCCAAATTAAGCCCGTATTTTGGTAAAGCGCCCACTTAAAATTTGCATAAAAGAGCAGAAATCGGGGAGGGAAAATTGAAAGGGAAAATTATAAAAGCGAGGCGAGCGAGGGAGAAAGAAAGAGATGACCTCCACTCGAGTGAACGTCTTTCCCCCACAGATCTGCGGTCAGTATTATGGGAGACTTTGGGCGAGATTAGCCATCCAAAAACACCCGATAAGCGCTACAAAACCTTGTTTTTTCGAAAAAATTCATCAAAAAGGGATCGTTGGATGAGATAAAGCCCAGAGTTACAACGTTTGTTTTCCTGAGTGACATCGCCCAAGAAGTCCGACAGTTGTTTTCGGCGAACTCCCCACCATTTTTTCCCCAAAATCCCGCATTTTTTCCGAAAAGTCTGGACTGTTCCCGGCAAAATGGGAGCGGAATTGAAATTAGACGTGTAATTAAGCGGCAATGAAAGCATTCCGAATAGCCTGAGGGCGTCTTCTTGAGCGTGTGATTAAGCGGAATGTGATCCAGCCGAGTTTCCGATTGGAGAACCCAATAAAACGAACGAAAAAGGGGAGATCTCCAAGCCAATACCGCATTTCCACCCGAAACACCGGCCTTCCGCCAGTGGGGCGTCTTTTCTTGAGGCGCCCCAAAAAAGGCCTCGGGCCAAGACCTTTGAAGCGGGGGAGGGATGGGTGGCCAGGACATAAATTGCCAGGAAATATGGACGGTAACATGGTTTGGGGATCGGTTTTTGAGGGTGGAAGGCGAAAAACTGTACGGAAACTCCATTTCCAGGCCTTAAAAGTGGAATTTCTGACCTTTACGAGCCTAAAAAGATGGGGGCTTATTACCCAACTCTTTGTTCATGAGTAGTTGGTCTTAGTTCCGAGGAAAAATTAGTAAAGGAATATGTCATAAATCAAGTTGATGACAGCATGCGGGGATTATAAACTACATAGCCGAAATGCCAATCAGTTTAATGAGCTAATAGATCCAGATTTGATTCCAGATGTTGGGTCAGAAGACTGGACAAAGATACGATTTGATAATGAGATTAGATAGGGCCCAAAAGGGCAAAGAAAAAGACAAATTTAAACGCTCTCTGATACTATAATTATCGACTTTTGTTCCCATCCAAATAGCTGTCCGTTGCCCTTATTCCGACTACTTTCAAAGGTCTTCCATTACCCGCTTCCCACGCCTGGAATGCATCAAATCACGGCCTGCAGGCGGCTAGCCAAACACATGCCGGCCATGCGTTCAGAAACCCGAAAAAAAGTACAGCTGAAAAAAGAAATTGGGTTTCCAAAAAAACGAAAAATAAAAAAAAGTCGCGGGTATTTTCGGCTCGCGGCCAAAGGCCGTGGAATTTCCACTTGGCCGGCCAGTTGTGGCCATGTCTCCTCGCTTCGGCCGCTCTCTCCCCGCCACCCGAAAACGGGGTCATTCGGGATTCGAGAGCGACCGAAAACGGAGAGAGCACGCAGAATGGAGAGAGTGGCCAGAGACAACTCAGCGGAAGGGAAGAGATGCGGGATTGGGAGATGGAAATGAACAAGGGATATCGGGGATATATGTAAATGAGGGGAGAATGAGGGATTACATCGTGTTTCGGTGGCTTTAAACGGAATATGGCGGCTAATATTTGATGCTGAAAGGAAGTGTTGAAAGGTACTACCGACTTGGATTTCGTGTACCAAGACCTTGATGACGTTCTAATTACTCAAAATTTTGGATAGCGCTATATAAAGAGATTGAACGAATTTTTCAGTGGAGACATTGGGAAAAATAAAGAGTGTTAGCAGAGAAACAATATTTTTTTGCTACAGCCTTACAAATTTAGTGGAATAAAAAAAAATTTTTTGTTCACCCGTTAAAGATACTGTTCAAAAAAATAACCAAAAACTAGTATCAGTGTTTCTCCGATCCCCCACACATCTTCTTTTAATCTATGGCCAGTTAACTTGTCACATCAAGTCACCTATTTCTTCGGGCGATTTCTTGGCCATTTTCCCTCGAAAACGCTTCAACTCCGTTTGGCCTGACCCCGAATTACATTGTTTGCCTGTTCTCATCTCAGAATCTGTCATCTGATACTCCTTTTGGGTCACTCGGGGACAAGAAAAGAATGATTAATATCTCATACAAAATTCGTTAGGAGCCTGGTAACAAAGCTTCACGATTCTCTTGAGAAACTTGACTTTACAGTAATCGAAAAAACTCTAAAATTAATAGACAGCTGTCCGTTAATAGCTTTATTAATATTTTGGCATTAAAATAAATAACAAATGAGGAATGTGACAAAACAAGATGACAACAAAAGAATCTCTACGAAATAAAAAGTTACAGTAAGACACTGTATACAAGGTATAACAACATTGTGAGCTTAGGGCTGTGACCGGTGTGTGCATGAAAGATTATTGTATAGAATGTCCGAATTGTGTTGCCTAAGGCAATGTTATTATAAATGAGTTTTATTGCCTCATGCGATTAGATGTAAGGCAAATTGTTAAGACAAAATCAACCCTAAAACTGTTCAGATTTGACTAGAATATGGGAAGGAGAAGAGAGAGAGAGAGAGAGAACGATATACATACTCAGGGACCCGTGTTTGAGTTTTACTTAGTAACGACTACTGTGTTGTTGGTATTCGTATTCAGCTTGTTGGCGGACTTGATCTCGGCCTCGCTGGTCTTGGTCAACAAAGAGCTGAGGTCCTTGTCCGTCTTTTTGAACACATCATCAGCTCCCATGCTCTGAATGGACATCAGATACGCCTTGTCCAACAACGGCATCTCTTTGGGACCAAAGGATTGGACTGTCGTCGGATCAAGTCCAAATGGTCGTAGATGGTAGACCAGGTATTCTAAGACGTACATCAAGGCGGGCGATACGTAATGGAAAGAAATGGCATAATCGGAACAACAGCCAGGCCCCTAAAATCGCATTTATCATGTTGGAAAGGCAGTTTCAGTTTCATATTACAACCTTTCAATTTAGTATGCCCCATATTTCGTATCTACAAACGACCCGGTCGTATACGTACTTACTTCCCAGCGTCACCTCTATAAGCTTTAAAGCTTAGAAAATTTGTAATCCCAAAACCCCTAATCTTTTTCAAACTCCAAGAATCAGGAAACAGGCGGCGGAGGAATAAAGTAAATTCATAATTTCATCAAAATAAACGAGAGTGACGCCCAAGATGACGTCATTTGATAACGAAACCGGTCACTGTGGGGTAGTCCGTTGGTAATTAATTTTTGGTTTCAAGAAGGTGAATATTTTAAAACTTTAATTTTCGAGATCTTAGCCACAATCAACGTACTTCAATTGTAGAAGATGCCCGAGGCAATTAAAATTTTTTGAGATGGTGAATTGACAGTCCCCATTCGGAAGTGTCTTACCTGATCCATAGGATAATAAATATATTGCCAGAACCAGAAGCCAGGGTCCACATGTCCCGGGACCAAGTGATGCTCCGGCACGAACGGTAAGAACCGATGATGGCCATCCGAATCCCTCGAATCCCCAGCTCGGACTCCCACCTTCTCCAAACACTTGCCCATCTCCGCATCTTCGGCTCCACTCTCCGATGGGGAGCATTTCTTCTTATCCGGCAACGCTTTGGCCACAAATGTCTTCAAGGCTTCTCGGGAGAGGACGTAACCGGCTCCTCCACTCATGTAGCCTTGTTTGGTAAAGGGCTTGAACTTGCAACCGAAGAAAACGGGCTCCTCCGGTTTGTGGGACATCAGCATAAATCTGGAAAAAAGACCACGTGAAATGAGGAGAGTCGGCCAGGCAAAAAACTTTTTTTAGCCAGGAGATTATTTTTCAATGTGAAATCCACAGATCTCATTAATCTTATAAAAAATCTAACAACAAGTATTGTATTTTGAAATCGACCTCTGCCCCCACTGCTATCGTAAGTCTACAAACTCCGAGAATCTGATGGCATCTTCCAGAAAAAGGATATCCCTTGCACAAGATCTTCCACAATACGGCCGTGTGGATGTTAGGGCTCATCCCCAAAGACGATGATCGCATTCTTCGAGAGCTACGAGCACAACAAAATATCCCCCCTCCTCGTTGGTTACGTCAATCCCGAGAGCGATAAGGCCCATTATCAGCTCCTTAAAAGCACAAAGCCAGCGGGGCTGAGTAAGCCCGCACCCAGCGAAACTCACCGCAGGTTCTCCATGATGACGTACGTGTCGTCGTCGGCCTTGAGAAACCAATCGTATTCGTCCTAAAAATAGGGTTGCGTCAACTTTTGGCAATAATTTCAACATTACACTAAGCGTCGTCCTCTTTTTTGGTAAATTAATCTCTTCCCTCCCTCCCCCCATTCGCCTCCAACCATTCTCGCGATGACGTTAAATACGCAAATGACAAAATCCGGGAGCAGAAAAAAGTTCCGCGGGCTTCGGAATTTAAATTCGGGACTGGGAGGGATAAGAAGTCAGTTCAAGGAGGGCGCGAGCGGCCAGATCGGCAAGTCATTCTCTTCAATATTGCTTTCATTTGGTCTCTATTTAGGTCCCAGATTGATCTATTCTAATCGTATCACTATTTTTTTCTGTGTTCTGTATTCTTCCTTAACGATTCGACCCCATCCAACTTACAATATATCGATCGTGGATGTATTTGAACGCGGCTTTTGTCTTGGCCCATAAATGATCGCGGCCTTCCGAGATGTTCAAATTGATCGCGGGTAGATCAGGGTCCTCTGCTGAGGACATGAACACGAATTTATTGCATCGCCTCGACCAGGTCGCTTTCACATGTTTGGCTCTTTTTTCGTGATTTTGTTTACCCGTCAGAATCCAGCAGAATATCCGAACTCTTTTTGAGATCTCCAACGCTAATTGACCTTCTCCTGAAATAATGTTTTGTCATAACAAGCAATGCGTGTCTCTGACGACGCTTAAATTATGCATGTGTCATCTGTCTGGTCTCAGCGATTCGTAGAAATTTTAGATGACGCTTTGTGATGTCTTCGAAATTCTTCAACTATTTTTATTAAGAGACTATGGAAAACGAGGAGGGCCGGCTTGAAAAAAAAATCCATTTCATCCAAAATCCAAGCCATGAGACTGTAATTTCAAGCTTCAAAGATGTTTCCAAAATCGTTTTTAAATCGAAATCTTATCCACTCAAGAATAATTAATTCAGTTACTTTCGGCCATTAGTTGGGTTTACGGACAGCTTATTCCTCCCCCTACACTCCAGCTGATCAGTTGTGGGTGTGAAATTATTACTTTGTTTTCTAAGCTCTGTCGAGTCGGCGAGTAGGAGTTTGAGCCGGAAGGACCGCATTTTTAACCACTAGAGACAAGTTGAGGATGGTAAAAGTGCCGGTACTTTCGTTTTAAAGCGCCTCTCTATGTGACTCAATTCTCGATTACATCGAATTTGCTGTTAATATGAGGAAACATGTGGAATGAGGGTAAGGGTAAAATAAAAGTTTAGATTTTTCTTTTCAATCAAAAGAAGGTGAGAAATGAGAGTGAAGCTCTTACCATGATGATGATCAGTGCCATTTCCGCCATGGAAATGCAACGCCTCCTTGGGAGCATCACTATCGTCTACTTCTTCATCATCATGGGCGTCGTGTCGATGTAACGGCTTCTCCAACCGGTTCGCCCTAATGTAACCATAATCTATCGAGGACCGAGTGCTGGGAAGGATGAATACAGCTATCGTGAGACCAATGACAATCCCCACAAACAGGTTTATCACGGCCGAACTCAGTCGTACCATGGGTGAGTTCTGAAGGTTATATAATAGATATATTTAATAAAGCGCATTGAGTCAAAATATTATAGTTTTAAAAACAGAATTATCATCTCTGGAACTATGGAAAGCTGATGTTTCGACTCTGGAAACCATCAAAAAAGATCTTTGAATATCGTGACTAAGGCTGCAAAACGCGACCTCAAATTTACAGAGGCCACTCCGTAAATCCGGCGTAAGTCTGTCAAGAAACTCGAAGCTCCACACGGTGATATCCCCCTCTCAAAAACATTATAAACCAGCTAACCTTTGCAGCGTTTGTAACGTTGTCAATTCGAATCCGGACGAGATCTCCTCAGACCCATTCAGTGTTTGCTCATATTGGCCACAACTGAACCAACAAATTTAATACATTCATTCGAAAAACGTCAGCTAGCGCGATTAAAATTCACGAAGACTCCATCATTCATTACATTCCCCGCTTCCAGCCCAAATTCGGGGCTCAAAATCAATCCGCAAACTCGCAAAGAAAAGAAAGATTCGAAGGTATGTTCGCTGCACAAATATCGGTTACCGGCTTTTCTAATTCCGAGCCTGTGCGCTTAAATTGGAGGGTACACAAAAATGGGCATTCGAACATCGAGTTGGTATTACTTTTTAATGCAAATCCTCGAAAAATGATTATTTGAGACGTGGGCACGACAACAAACAGGTATTTGAATAATTGCAGGTGATGTGGAATTGGGGAGGGTGATCAAAATTTATTGGGAAATTGACCGACTTGAAAACACAAGTCAAAATTATGAATAAGACACAAGTCTTACAGCTCGTATATTTTCTCCGTTAAGAAAATTAAAACAAAATACCAAAGGCCCAGTCAGTTTCTATTAATCAGCTCAAATTACATTGATTCACAATATTTGGGAAACGGAGAATTACCATTAAATGGGAAACTGTCCCCGTTTTTACGGAACAACAAAACGATGGAGTGACAGTGGGCTGGTTTTACAATATAAATGCACTTGCAGCACTCATGGGGATATCATGGCCGATAAACAGCCTCCAATTCTATTGTTTATTTACGCGCTCAGTTTCGTATTTCACTACGGATCAATCCGATGTACAAGATATTCAGTAAGAGAGACGATCTTTAAAAAACTTTAGTCACATTTCGGAGCCATAAGACAACAAAGAAAGTCGTCGTTAAGAGTCCGGCGGAATAAACGAAGGCCTGAATAAATATTCCGGATGTTTTTTCGTCCCTTTCCAAAACCTCCGAATGTGCGAAAGACGGCAAAAATGAAAGAATGGATCAATTACACAGGGCTCGGAGATCACGAACTTCTTGCAGGCAGCAAATGAAGGGTTCAGTTTGTAAACAGAGCAGGGAAATTTTGGACATTGTCACCATGATGACTAGTTTTATATCATGCATAAAACTTGGGTAAAACGAAGAAAAATTTTGAAAAAACTTGTTTTGATTAATCTAACTATCCAAATTGGTCTAATCTCGCTCTAACATCATTTTGAACTTGATCTCCACCTTCAAAAAACGAACCCTACACCCAAAAACTGATAACGTAACGGAAATTCTTGACGTGTCCGATCTGAAGACAACTTAAGAGCGCGTGAAGAACGCAAGTACTCGAGAGCGGAATTGGAAGAACCGCGAGAAGCACGCGGTTATTAAGCATGTTTTTATGTTTACCGATTACTCTGCGGATTACTCTCAACGCGGATCGTAAAGGGGAGTCAGTGCGATAAACATCTGGGTTTTGTAACTCTCGCTTCCGCCCGAACCTCCCGCTAACCTGCCTCACGGTTCGTAGCCCGGAACGTTCGTAAAAACAAAACCATTTCATAACTCGACTGTTATCTGCAATCTCCGGTGTCGCCGCGGAAACCGGGCGAAAATACGGGGAGGGGTTGCAAAAAACGACTAAAACGGACGGGATGAGAGGCGAAGGAGAATATGTTAGAAGAGCCTTGGAAACCCGCAGAATCCGTCCTTCCCAGACGGCAAAAACGGCTACTCAACGAGGTCAGAAACCCGACAAAAACCCCTCTACATCCCTCACAAAATTTATGGTTTATGAAGCGATCGGTGGACATAAAAAAAGTGAGAAGAAAGTGAGGTGCAGCGCAGATTAAACGAACTTTTTAAGGGTTCGAAGTGAAGTGGAGGCTGTCGGATTCTAAATTGTAAAAAGGAATAAAACATCCCACTTACTTGATCATTTCCAATTGTTTCTAGAGGATGAATTAATAAAATTGAAGAATTGTGGACCTATTACTCATCAAAATAAAACAGAGCGTCCACTTCCGGCAGCTCCGTAATTTTAAGCGAGAGGAAACAGCGGCCAAACCCGCCGTAAAGAAGCCTCATATACCTTTCGGTCGAGTTTAAGACGCCGTTTGACCTTCCCCATATAAAGATTGCGAACTTCTTTTGTTTCTTCGAGGAACCGATAAAGATCTTTGGATCCGCGGTCTGTTCTCTTGCACAAACAATATCTATATGTTAGAGCAGGAAAAGAGGAAACCTTAAAGGCGCCAAGGGATCACGAGCAATCTCTTCCTTGATCAAAAAGAGAAAGGAGGGATATCAGGTAAATGAATGTGAGTATACTCCAAGTAACATACAAATTACTGCTGAGTGTGTAAACAAAACAGCGAAACTAAAAAACGCGACAGAAAAGTCTGAAGAGTTTTTAACGCGCAAAAAAAATATTGAAGATATTTCTTTGGTTATATCGGAATGCCAGAGAACGCAAGCGCTCTGGGATTGGATGTCTTCTTTTGATGACTCTCTGTTCAAATGAACTTCACAGACAACTTTCCGAACTGGCTCTTCAGTTTAATTTATATACCTGAGAAATAATACATGTCGATTCATGTATTTATAATCCATTCAACCTTTCTCTGTACGGGTACCAGTCAAGACATAAATTTTGAATTTAGCTTTGTTACTTTGCATTGAATGACGCTTTAACATTATTATTTCCCATTTGTTCTAAGAATATCTTTTGGCAGACGAAAAGTGATATGTGTTAAGTGGTTGTGCAAAACTCTGACCAAACTTTGCCAAAACATAAACAAAGCGATAAATCAAAAGTTGAAGTCGTTCCGAACCCATTGATTTCCGGGGATCTTGCCAATATAAGAATGTTGTTCTTGTGTCTATTGATTACTACAACAAATTCTAAAAATAGCGAAAAATTTTAACGAATTTCGTATCAATTTAATTGAATTCGTTTCATTCAGACATGAGTGACAAATGGCCGGTCATTGTAAATGTTTCGAACGCTTTGTGACCAACTGCTCGGTCTTTGTCTCATCATTCCAGCCGACCAAAACATCTTGATCCATCTTCCATGGCATTTTTAGGGTGACTGGAGGTTACTGTAGCCTATGATGACAATTACAAACCCAATGGCCTATGTTTAAAAAGGCTATAGTAAATTCAATGGTCAGTATACTATATTGATAAATATCCACAACAAGTGGTTGGTTACTATACCCACAGTATAACCTTGCAATCCTACTTATTGCAAAATAATGGTCCATTTCTCACACTATATATCCATTACATTTATATTCTGTCGGCTTGAATGACCGAGAAGCAGCCGGATCACGTCCATTCCACCTGAAAGCCGGCTTGCCTCAAAGCCAAAGAGCTCAAACCCTCCGGGCCGAAAGGGGAGGATCCGAAGAACTTTGGGCTTCTTCTTATTTTCATCAGTCTGCTCGGTGTCCCATCGGTTTGTGGGGTCAATTAGTGTTCCTTGTCATCGTTTCACAAGAAATTCGATTCCATTTCCTCGATTCGAAGCCTCAATCCGAAGCCAATTCAATCGCCGCGGCTATACGATTCGATTTCTGTACCCCTCTTTCTTTCGATACGACCTGAGCCGGCCTTTGTTTTAGGATGGAAATCTCAAGTGGAAAGTCGCGCTCCCTGTCCCAGGTTCGGCCGCTCTCAGGCAAGGATTTGTGGAGGAAGCGGGGATCTGTTTCCACGGACTGTGCGTCTCTGTCATCCGCCGAAAACGACGAAAATGAGCACCCAAATTTGATGGACGTGGATGAGAACGAAATTGTAAGTTCGAGACTGTCGTCTTGAGCCTTTAACAACCATAGCTGTATAGATAATTGAGTAAGGGGTCATAGAAGGGTCGTTTGTAAAGATGTGACTCGGATAGCATACCATTTTCGTGGTTGACTCATCTTTATTTACATTCCAAAGTACAACTGTGTGGGTTAAGTTTCGGCTTTTCTACAATGTCTCATTAGAGCTATGCTACAGTAAGATTTGTTACTTTAATATTTCTAGGTGATCCCAAAGGAACGCCGTTTGTCAGCCACAGTGTCAATTGACCTTCCAACTGGACCCCAGAAACGTAATTTTCCTCCGCCAATTCGCCGTTCTCATTCCGGCAGAATGAGTCTTCCAAGGTAAGTTATAGTCATCGGTAACAATAGACGATTACTTGCTAGTACTGGTTATTATTTTTAGCTCTCTTTTTACGTACGTTCTGAGTATAGATTTAGTTTCAACTTTTTTCTTGTTTTTCAAATAGTATAGCCGTTCGTTTTTCGGGACGTCTTAACTTGTTAGTACTACTTTTTTCTTTGTCAACACAACCACAATATTATTTTCTCTGCAGATTCCTGACATCTTTCGGCCCTCTTTTTTCTCGGTTTGATTGAAATTCTAGACGAAAGAACGGCCGAAACTTCCTGGGTTAAAAAAATGGTTGTACTAATAGATCAGTAGGACAAGGTCAATTTAAGTTTAGGTTACTCGGTTTATATAGACATCTAACTGACGGAAAGGATGATTATTGATGAGGTATCAAAGTAGTCTTTATAATGACTAATCGCTTTTTGAAAACGCCTCAAGAGATCTAGCTGGCGTCGAAAATAATATAAACAGCTCGAAGTAAAGTCAAAACAAAAAGCGGGCCAAATCTCTTATCAAAAATATAATTTAATGACGAGTTATGAAGATTTCATTGTAATTTGAGGCATTTCAGTATCAGCAATAATTTCGGAGAAGATGAACCACTCGTTTTCCCTAAGGACATTGCCTGGGATTGGCCATTTTGCAACGAAGGTACGTCTCATCATAAAAAAGGATTAATTTCTTCCTCCGACCCCTCCAGAAATGACTTTAGCCGTCGCTATTCCAAGAATCCCATGTATTCCCAATCTGTTTTTATATTTACGAAACACCCAACTTTACGTGATCTAAATTCCACTGGCTCTTTTTTTATCACCACCCACATGGGCCCTTGCAGTGTTTGCCAATTTTTGACCACATGTTTTTTTATTTTCAGGAGTCGCCCGAGGCGTTTTTACCGAAGAGAAGTTTATGATATGCCTTCCATTCAACAATGGAGGGACAGGCGAAGGGTACGGCAATGTGAGTTTGATTTGATGAAGGCAGTACGATTGTTTAGACCAAAAAATTTGAAAAGATCTCGGAATGCAACTTCAGCTGGACGATTGGTCTTTCAAATGGAGGAGAATTTGGAACGGGATTCTGGAGAATGGAGCTGGAAATTATCAGAAATCTGAACATGTTGGCTTTGATCGTCTCCAGGTAGGACAACATCTGTATAAAGTTTGCGCAACGTCGTACATTCTCTTATTCATCTCAAATTTCAGAGATATTTCTCGTTCCGAAGAGACCTCAAAACGTCTGAAAAGAGTCCGTAAAGTCTATAAACTGCCCGATCATTACGACATCCGGACCCTTACAACCACAAACTACGACTTTGCGATTGTCCTGGAAGCCACGCGAAGGCCTGTCCGTCGTTTCAGACGACCAATGTCTCTGAAACGAGCCGATTCTTTCCGTTAATTAACTTAACCACGAACGTCAACTCTCAATCCTGGTGATCTGAACTTTATAACTTGATTATTGTACACTCAATCCTGTTCATTTTGCACGCTGGGAATTATCCCGCCTTATTAGATAAAAATAATAAATTTATAGTTGTTACTCTGAGTGTCTAAATTAATATTCTCATATAGGAAGGGTGAAAATATCAAAGCAAAACACAAGAACAAAGTCAATATTGCATTTGGCACGCCACGAAAAACGTAAGGCAAAATTGGAAATAGAGATTTCGAGCTGCGCCCAATATTTTTAATCTTTTTTGAGCGCATGAATATTGTGGTAGATATTATTGTAACTCTGAGAGTTGCAATAATTTAGAGATGAATAGTATGTCAAAAATTACGTTTTTGTCAGTTTCAAGTGTTGAATATAATGGATGAGTTCATGGAGGCCAGCCCATTGCGCTCTGACACAAAAATGATTCTCCAGCTATTGATGTGTCTATAGAAAAGGTAAGATTTCTCTTTTTGCATCCGGTTTAGGAACAACGTAGCCAATTCGTTTGTGTGAAACATCCTAGCGGATGTTTTAAAGAAGAAATTTGGAAATTTCGTAGTTGAAAAAGGTCACTTGCTAGTTCATTAATGCATCATTTTGCAGTAGCTGATGGTGTCTCCAGAAAATGTAAGTTATCTTTTTATTCATCCGGTTTAGGGACAAAAGAGCTGATCTGTTTTGTGTGAAACATCCCAGCGGACGTGGTAAAGAAGAAATCTGGAAATTTGACAATAGCAAAAGGGCACTTGTCAATAGATTATGTACATCATTTTGCAGCAGTTGATAGTGTCCCAGAAAATGTAAGATTTCTCTTTTTGCATCCGGTTTATGAACAAAGTAGCCAATCCTTTTGTGTAAAACATCCTAGCGGATGTTTTAAAGAAGAAATTTGGAAATTTCGTAGTTGAAAAAGGTCACTTGCTAGTTCATTAATGCTTCATTTTGCAGGAACTGATGGAGAAATGCGAGAAAGGGCTGGAGAATACGTGAGGAAAGCTGGATCAAAGGAAGCAGACGACGTTCAGAACATTTCAAGGTAAGTTTGTGACATTGCCTTTTTGGTTTTTTTCTTTTTCTAGGCCATTGAGCTAACAATTTTCTCTGGTTATACCTAAAATAATATAATTGATATTTAAGCCGGTTCATGCTGAAGTAGAATGTGAAAGCCAGCATAACGTACTAAAGGGTGTGGAGATGGAATTCCGAGTTCAGATTGCATCCGGCAAATTCGATGGATTGTCGAAAATTATGTAATTTTAATTATTCTTATTGATTTGATATTTAGGTGGAAATAAAGAAGATTTGATGAATTTCAATTTAGTAGTGGTGTTTTGTAGCAATATCAAAACCCTGCTAGTCTTGTTTACCCCCCGAAAAGCTCGAATTCGGTCAGATTCGTCGATTCTGATCCAATTTTGCCTAGTACAATATAATTTCTTTTCTCTTCTTCGATCAATCTGAGAAGTTTGGGTTGCACCTCCTTGAAGCCTTTCGATGCTTTCTCGTTGGTTTTACACGTGAATTGTTGTTTTATTAGAACTTTGGGATCATTTTTATTATTTATTTGTAAAGGTTTCAGCGTATGAAATGTCGAAAACATTTTCCCGCGAATTTCTCTATTTCCACTTTTTTCGTGGCGTGCATTTGGACCAACATTGCGAATTATTTTTGCAAAATTTTTATTTTACAAACACCTTTCATCGTATAAAGCTGCTCCTGAAACGAAGTGTCAAAGCCCGTGGCTTTTCGTCAAAATAAAAAAATTATGTTCTGATTTTATTGGGCCTTTTATCACTTATATCAATGTTTATCTAATTTATTTGATTCATGTCAAATCGACGGACTCTCCAAGATGATTCAGAGGTAAGATACCATCGTTTCCAAGTTGACTCGTTTAGCTTATTACGAAAATCAAAGAGCATTATGAAGGGTTAGAGAGCCGGATGCGCAGTTTGGATGAGAAGACGCGAGATTTATTCTTTGATACGGAGCTACTTTACAATGGATTGGAAGATGCCAACAATAAAATTTTATTACTAAAGAATGTTAAATATGTCAAAGAGGTATGTAGTTTTGATTTTTATTGTCTTTGATGTTTAGGTACAGGTGGCGAATTTTCCATGCGTTCTTTGTTTTTGGGATTTTTTTAGGCATTTATATTGCTTGTGATCGTTGAAAAATGAATCACAAGTTTTTTTTTAGTCCAATGCTATTTTTAGATAATATTGGACGATGTTGTGGACAATCGTTCAATTCGAAGTCACTTATCCCAACCTCAACCACAAGACAGGCAGGAAGAACGAACTGACCAGATGATATCAATTCTGAAAACGGCTGCCCGTAATGGTATGGGGATGGTGAATCAACGGGTAACCGAAGTGGATGTTCCGAGAATCGAAGGGACTTCTTCTGAACTTCTACCCAAGAAAATGTATGAACCTTTGAATCCTTACTGCCTAAATGAACTTCCACCTCTGATAGGAACCAATGAATTTTTGAATTGGGACTATAGCCTGGTTGAGGAGGAGGAGCAGAAGAAGCCAGAGTTTAGTGAGGTGGTTGTGAAGAGGACGGAGACGTTGAGTTCATTGTGAGTAAAACATGATTGAAGCCGATCAGATTTGAGGACAACTTTTTATCTTTTTTGTTTCAGACCATCTCAACGTACGATGGATAATGAGCGAGATTCTCAGCCGACCCTGGCCGAGCTCCCATCGTCTTCTTCCTTATTCATTCCCACTTCTAATCTTGCCCATGACAGTCGATCTCCACTCTTATCCGTATCTAAAGAGGCCACATTCTTTGAAGATAACGATTTTGAGTAAGACTCGTTTTCATTGTTAATTTCGAATTTTAGGGAGAAAGATATTGTCGTTAACAAGGAGCCGGAAACTCCGAAACAAACAGTTTTGAATCCTCAGAAGAGCGTTAAAGATGAGATCGAAGCTCTGTTTAAAAGGAGAAGTCGAGCAACACGGTATGGGCTTTTGACTTTGACATATTGCTATTACGGTAGCGGATGTTAGTTTAAATGTTTTAAGGTCGTCATCAGAGAGTAGTGGACATGAAGAAGATGCTGTGCCACCTCCATTACCTCCAAAGTCTGTTCAAATTGGAGTGCCCACACCTCCCCCCGTACCTACTCGACTTCCTAAGAATAGTCCTACGCTAGTTCCGAACTTATCGGATGGTCCGTTAAAAGAAACGGAGGTTGCTAAAGCAATATCAAAAGATGAGGTCCTGCCGTCGACGGATTTTATTAAAGATGTACTTTCCGTGAAGACTCTGGAGAAGATGGAAAAGAAGGATGAAGACAAGCCAAAGAAGGTCGTTGCAATTAAAGAAAATATACAAGTAAAGGATGCGGTAATTGAAAAGGGGGAAGCCGAAAAGACAGCGGTCAAAAATGAGAAGACGACAAAGAAAGAAGGGACCAAACCAAAGTCTTCAATTGTAAGTGAATTGATATGTTTTTCATGCTGTATCCGTAAAATAAGGGTTGTTTTTGTCTAGATTTTGAAGTTTTATTGTGCTCAAAGTAATGACATTATTTCAGTTTTCGGACGACTCCGACGATTCTTTCGACAAGGTCTTCAACGTGAAGCCGCGCCAACCCGAGCCGAAGCCCTCAACCTCCATCCCAACCTCTATCTCGACATCCAACCCGAGTCGGAGGGCGGCAAATCAGCCGGAAGAGGAGGCTCGGAAAGAACGGAGGAAAATTACGTCAAAGGTGAGGGATATTTGCTTTACTTTTCAGCTGATCTTTATATTTTTCCTGTTTTGACTCGCTTTTTGCGAGGTCGAATTGAAATGACGGAGGTCTTTTTGAAATTGATGAAGTTAGGGGGTCATTATGTATTTTACGGATCTGTGGACGGGACTTGGTTTACCTTTTTTAATGGTTTAGGAGTTTTCTGTCAGTTTTGTAACATACAGTAAGAAATGGTCGCAAATTTCTGGGTATCTCGAATTATCTTGAAAACTTAGTCATACCGTTTGCTTAACGTGGTTCCAAATTAATGAGAATTTCACCAGAAAAAAGGTTTACTTTCCATTACTGAATACTACCATTGGTTTGCAAATAGTTGGATCACCTGGCTTCTTGTTGTCCTCCCCAAAAAACAAGTGTGTAATGACGTGTCCGGGCACTGTCTAATGAGTGAAAGACAAAGACCCGTCATCCGAGCCGCCCGTTTTCACTAGTCGGAACTCAAAACCTTGACTCCCACCTTGATCGCCCTCCATTCCCACGTACAAATCCCCGTGGAAATTACAGTTAATTCGGGTGGTTCTTCGACTGCCTAATTGAGCTCACGTTTATGGGTAAATTATTTGGGAAGAGATCGCTTGTTTTCGAGGAAATCTTCTAGGATAAGATTAGCGATGGGATTTTTAGTTGAATTTTTATGAGAAATTGAAGTCCTTTTTCCCTTGATTAAAGTTTTTATGACCGGAACCAGGTCCAAATGTTTCGCTAATGACCTCACTCTAATCCCGGCTCTCTTAATCCCCTCGAAATCCCCGAAAAATGTTTATTTATTATGATTCTTTGGCCGAAACCGGCATCTCTTTTTCATTCCAATTTCCACTTTGGCCAACACTCGAAATGATCTCCAATTTATTCCTCGGGACTTTCTTCCTCTTGTTTTATGTTTGGAGGTTTGAAATTCGAATAAAAGGCGTTCCCCACCACCCCTCTGGGGATCTCATTTCCACTTTCAAACGTCTGATCTCGTGAGATTTATTTATCCCGAGGCCATAGCTCGGCAAGGTGTGGGCCATCCGAAAATTTTATATTGAAGGGTTCGGACACGTTTGATCGAGTGCTCTTACGGCTTTCATCCAGGTTTATAAACTCGTGTGGTTTCCCAATACTTGCATTTTAATGGGTCATTGTGACTAAAAAAGATTATTTGGAAATTTCTTGTCTTAGAGATTGTTGTCGTTGAAGCTCAGCAGTTTCGCTGTAGTTTTAAATTTAGCGCTGCTAAAGGAGTTGCATTATGCATGAGCAGGAGCGTTGTCATGGAGGATTTAGAGGGTATACCTAAGTGGCCAAATCCTTTGGGAAGCAAAGGGAACCTCATTATTGTCGGATTAGTCCAAGTTTCATGGATATTGGGCACTGCGCTGTCTCAAAGAAACTTAGCCCAGGAAGGTAACTTCGGACTTTCGTGGTTCTTTTTGTAGAGGAACACTTGACTCAAACTGCACAGGGAGGAACACTTGACATTTTCTTCGAAAAAATGAGAACTTTTTCTCGAGAAAGTTTTGGCCAGATTTTGTTGTCCCACAGACGTCTTGAACGTCGTCCTTGTGATCCATCATCAGAAATACGTGGTTTTATGAGCTGAGCATCTGTCCCCGCATTTAAATTATCATGGAGAATGTAATAATATCAAGGCCATTAACTCCGGGTTATGACCGTTGAATTCTTTTTATGCATTCTCCAGAATTAGGTCAGGGACTGGTTGCGGTGTTGTTTCTACTCGCACGGAAACAATGAAGCAACCTTTCTGGAGGTCCAATTACCCATTTTCACTTTCGTTTTTTTTTTGGTTTTTTTTTCTTCGATCGAGATAGGTATTCACTGGGAACTATAATGCATTTAGATGGCGTTGTGTTGTTTTTTAAATTCAATTTTAGTTCGATGAGATGGATTTTGATTTTTCACATTTACCTTCGCATTATCCTTGTTGTTTTCAGGTGCGCTCCCTCTTTGACGATAGCAGCTCAGACGAGGACCTCTTTCTAACCTCGGCCCACTCGGTTACCAAACCCAACGTTCCAGCCAGTTCATCCAAGGAACCCAAGAAGAATTTGTTTTCCGATTCAGACGAGGAACAGGTGCAGGTAAACAAAGAAGAGTCTGGAGGGGAAGAGTCCGACGAAGACATGCCCAAAACTGTACTCAACTCGGTCCCAAATGACTTCTCCAACCGATTAAATGCTGCATTGCTCAGGAAACCACCACAACCGGTATGTTGATCACCTTTTGAGGAATTCTCTACGGGAATTCTCTAGAAAGAATTGTTGCCAAAAGAAAGGATTCTGTATTTGTCGTTGGTCAGACATAAGTGTTGGGATTCTGTAGTGTTTTGGGTTGGCAGAAAGATATGTTTTATTTTCTTTTTGCATGCACATGTTTCAATTCTTCAGGGCATATGGCGTTCCAAAAAAGATTAGGATTGAAGATAATGGATCGTTTTATATATAGTCTACTTCAATGCACCTTACGTGATGTATTGAGGAGGAGTAAGCGGATATATGGCTATAACAGCCATATATCCGGATATATGGCTATAACATGATTGATGAAACGAAAAATTTATAATATTCTTGCTAGAAATTAGCCATTTAACACTGCGTAATTTTCCAGACTTTCATCCCTAAATTGACCGATCCGGATCAAGTGTCGGTGAAGTCAACATCCTCTCCGAAGGCAGCTCAACCAATCGATCATGGACCCCAGAAGTCTGTCTCGGCCTTGAGAAATCAGCTGGGAGACTCACTTACAAAGATTCATGGAAGTAAATTGGGGGTGAAGACAGAAGAAAAGAAGGATACGATCCCGTCTAGGTCTCCCACTCCTCCAAAACTGCCATCGCCTTCTTCCCAGCCATCAACTCCAGGACAGATGAACTTCAGTGCTGTTAAGGTGAGTGTCATGAATTTTATTTGGTTTATATTATACATTCCATATGTAATAAAAATTATTGTTTTTTTTCTCTTTAGGCTCGTCCTCGTGGACCAGGCGGACGTCGTCCTCCCCCTCCAGCGCAAACGGCAGCCCCTGCACAAGCGACTCCCGTGCAAAAGCCACCAACTTCTACGTCAACTACACCTAAAACAACGCCTTCCGCGTCGACAAAAAAACCTGCCAAGAGTTTATTTGAATCTGATTCGGATGATCCCTTCTAATCTCTGTATTATCAGACACAAATTACAGTATATTATAGTCATTTTTATACAATTTACGCATTATTTTTTAGTATTTTATCAGCATGTCGTCTTCCAACGGGTAATCCAATAAATGTGCCTATTTTAAAAACGCGGCGTTATGTTATGTGACATTATTAACGAAGGGTTTGAAAACATTAATACTTATGGAAGTGTTTTGGTAAAAACGAAAGTAAATTACGTCATCTTGACCTCATACCGCGACAAGCCGGCTATTGCGTGTTACACCGTGAAAGGGTTGGACGAGAGATCAGCGATCACTCACGAAGTGGGGATTCGATCAAAAATTACAAAGAAAGGGGAATATTTCGTTTCTTTTTTATCATTTTTGCCCTTTTTCTTATAGCTTATTGTCGGTTTGCTTTCAAAATGTTGTAAATTTTACGGTTCTTCGGTTGATAAGAGAAGCTTACAGAGTTTTTTTTTTAATGTTTCAGGGTTCGAGTTTTGCAAGGAATGGACCTTTAGGAAGCGAGAAGGGGGAATTTCATTTTTTGCGCTTTTCATTATCGTCCGAAGCACTTTTTGTCTATCCAATTCGAAATGCGCTAATTATAACGTTGGCAAAATATCTTTTTTTTTCGTTTAGTGTGTTCTAAAAGGTTCAACTTTTGAATTGAAACTTCATCTCCAAGTCTACCCATTGCCCACGTGTCCTCAAAATTTTGAGACGAGTGATCACCTGTCCTTTTTACTTTCCCGTCTAGTTTCTTATTTATTCGTCTTAACACCGATTCCCTTAGGGTAATGATGCTGCGAGGTCTGACTCGTCTACCGCCGCGACTCTTGGCCAAACGTTTGTATTCTCAATCGACCGATGAGTTCAGACTTCACGAGTACTCGGAGAAATATTTGGGCCATCGAAGGGTAGGTTTCTTTGTAATATTCGTATCTCCGCAATCCGGTTACAATCCCTAATTTAGTGAATTTAAGTGTAAATCAATGAGCTTTAGGCCGCATTTACCGAAACATTAGAGTTCATCGATTCCACCAAGTCTGACGCCGTTCCGATCTACCGAATCACCGATACAAACGGCGAGTTCATCGATGGAACCCAGGATCCCGGATTCTCGGAACAAGAAGCCACCAAGATGTATAGGGACATGGTGACTCTAAACACAATGGACAAGATCTTATACGATTCCCAGAGACAAGGTCGAATCTCATTTTACATGACCAACTTTGGCGAGGAGGTACGAACTTTTTTACAATCTTTTGGTTGACGAAAATCTGATTGATACGGTAGTTTAGGCCTCTCACATCGGATCAGCGGCCGCCCTTAGGCCGGACGATCTCGTTTATGGCCAATACCGAGAGGTCGGCGTCCTGTTATATCGAGGATTCAAACTCGAGCAGTTCATGAATCAATGCTACGGAAATGATCTTGATATTGGTAAGCAATAAAAAATTGGCTGACCTATTATAATTAATGGTATTTTCAGGAAAAGGCCGTCAGATGCCTGTCCATTATGGCTCAAAGGACTTGAATTTCGTTACAATCAGTTCCCCATTGACGACGCAATTACCTCAAGCGGTGGGATCAGCGTACGCCTTCAAAAGAGATGGCTCCGGAAGGATTGTAACCTGTTACTTTGGGGATGGCGCTGCCTCGGAGGGCGATGCACACGCGGCTTTCAACTTTGCAGCTACTTTGGTAAGCTTTTTCATTATTCCTTTGACGAAAGGTTGGGGTGATAAATTGTTTTACAGAAATGCCCAATCATCTTCTTTTGCCGAAACAATGGATATGCCATCTCAACACCGACTTCGGAGCAATATGCGGGCGATGGAATTGCGGGGAAAGGCCCAGGATACGGCCTTCTTACCATTAGGTATGACGTAGTAGGATCAAAAGTTATGTAAAAAAAATTCGATTTGCAGGGTTGACGGTAACGATCCCTTCGCCGTTTACAATGCCACGAAAAAGGCCCGCGAAGCCGCCGCCAAGAACGAGCCAGTCCTAATTGAAGCCATGACCTACAGAATTGGTCATCATTCAACTTCAGACGACTCCACAGCTTACAGAAGTGCCGAGGAAGTGCAGCAATGGACGGAAAAGGACTTCCCAATAGTCAGATTCAGGAAATACCTAGAGAAAAAGGGATGGTGGAGTGAAGAAAAAGACCAGGACTATCTAAAACAAGTAAGTTAATGAATAAACCTCACTCTATAAAACTTTCAACTGCTGTGAGTTATGTTCTTTCAGGTGAGGAAAGATGTCCTGAAGGCGTTTAGTGCCGCTGAGAAGGTGAAGAAACCCTCCATTGACCTGATGTTCACCGATGTCTATAAGGAAGTCCCTGCGCATCTCAAGCGTCAACAAACAGAACTCAAAGAGCATCTAGCCCAATACGGGGAACACTATCCGTTAAATACTTTCAAGTCCAATTAAAGTAGTATTTATCAGAATAAATCCGTTTTCTTCTACCATATATCTGATAATAAGATGACATAAAAAGAGATAATAGAGATTGTACAAAATATGGGTTTAACACAAAATAAGTATGTATATGGGTATATTACATTGATATTATCACTTGGAGCTTCTCTTCGCATTTAATTCAGACGAGGCTCTCTGCTCCATCCTCCTTGGGCCAAGGGGTAAAATGCGGAATATTGAAAAATTTTTCCGCCATCCAATTGTCCTTCTTACTCTCGCGTGCCTGGCGAAACTCCGGAACAATCCGCTTCACTCCTGTCCGCTGTAGTTCCACAACGAGCATGGCGCGCATTTGTCCAGGGGATTTAATCTTGTAGACCGTGTGCAATGTCCCGGCGACAGTCATGGTGTTCCTAAGTCTTCCCATTCTCAAAGGCCATTTTTCATCTCCAAATTTCCTAAAGATACCAAATACATGAACAACTTAGCAAACTTACATCACAAAACAAGTGTTATCAATTCGGCGATATTCTCCTTGAACTCGAAGTGCATCGCAATCGCTGGGAAAACTTTTATCCTCCGGCCACGTTGGAAATCGGCCCCCTGCTTCATACAGGTTTTTCATGACAACAGCCACTAAAACACAATACATCTGAAACACAGAGATCAAGTTAAAATGTACGCCGAAACGACAAGCCCTTACAGTGCCAAGCCGTTCCCTCGTGGTTGGATTCCTCCACAGACCAGCCAGATCAGTGAGACATTCAGTGGCCCAAATGCCCTCACCAAATTTCCTAATCATTTCGGTGTTGTTGATGCTTCCCTTTTTAATAAAGCCCGTGCTCAGATATTCCATAAACTCCTCCTGGTTCAGGTAGAGCCACAGGAGCATCCTAAAGACATGAACAATTTATGTATAACTCGGCTTACTTCTGCTTTTTGCCTTCTTCTGGAATAAACAACTTCGGATCATCGCCGCAATTCGTCTTTTCCTTCGCTGTCATAAAAACATTTCTTACTGTATATTCGTCTTTGGTTGGCTCCATACGTGTATGGACCTCGCTGTTATACAGGTTGGAAATAATCTAAAAACATAAAAATCAAGGGGTTAAACAAAACCATTATACAATACTATATGACAAGTCATGTGTGGCAGAAACTTTTACACGATAATAATAGCTCTGTCGGCTCATCTTTCCAACATTCAAACAAGCCCTCTCCAAATATGTATGCTGGAAGTTCGTGAAGGCCTTGGAAAGAACGAGATGAATATGGAATTCGTTCAAGGCAATCGGGACGGAGATGCTGCTAAAGTCCAACCGAGGAGTCGGCAAGACAAATCTGTGCTTAAATTGATGCTTAGGATCATAATTGGTCTCCTCCACAATCTGCATCAAGTTTCTCCGGGGTGGGAAAGGCCCGGACAGTCGCCGCTCCAATTCCTCAAAGCCGGGCGCCCTTACCTTCGAAGCCATCTAAAAATAATTTCCGTTAAACTATCAAGGGCTCATCAGTTCGGTCGAAAGTGCGCGAAAATTAGGGAGAAAAAGTTGAAATTGTGCAAGAACAACATTAAAAGATGTAATGTCGATTTCTGTAAACCGCCCCACATGTAATAACCTGGCCACAGGTTCCCTTAGCACTGTTTCTTCTTCCTGTCCTCAGGTACTTTCGGTCCAGTCGCAGTTGCCTTTACCCATTTGCAGGCAGCCGGCTAGCCATCACAAAATTTTAGAAGAAAAAATTCCGGTTTTCCAAAAAAAACATCGCACTGACCGATTTTCTAAAGCAAGAACGAGAAAAAAATGCAGCTACGTAACTCCAGATAGCACAAATTCGCCGAAATGTTGCTGTGCTTGTATGTAATCAACCTCCAAATAACTGGATACGGTTTTTCTTTGGCGTCTACAAACACACCGAGCTCATGAGGTAGTTCTAGTGAAAATTACTAATTTTTTTCACAAAGTATTCAAATTCCCTTGAACTCGGTTGAAAATGAGCCAACTATATAAACCACGGTCGCGTCCAATCGGTCTCACTCTTTTTGGAGTTTTAATTGCTGCTGGTCTGTTTCCGTTGCTGCTGGAATTGTCGGATATTGTCTGGCCATTTAAAGATCGGCCAGAACATCTGAACCTTGCCTGAAGTAAGTATTTTCATATTATGGTTTTTTCTTGTGTTTGGTCGATGAAGAATATGTCATTTGCTTCAGTATGGAAGTCCCTGCGACTCTGACATCGTTCCAAGAGCCGGCCTTAGCTTTCGTTGAAAACTCTTCAGTTGGCGTCACGTCCTCCTCGGCCCATGATGGTATAACCACTTCATCTTTGCCCGATTCGACTGATCCTGCTGCTTCCGAACTCTCCAATTCTCGTCCTCCAACTGATCGTGGTTCGGTTGGACAGCCCGATCTGGATTCGTTATCCTCGGCTTCTGGCCCCAAACGACATGGAGATGTCTTGTTGGTGGACGACAATGATCATGACTCCTATTCCTGCGATGAATCAGTCGTTAGCGAGAGCGAAGATGAAATTGAAGTCGCCAAGGTGAGTAACGATTTGTTTTGTGCAATTTTAGGTAACATTGTGTAATATGAAAGTTGCAGGCCAAGTTGTCTATGTTGAAATTGGAGGAGCCTGTCATTGAAGACTCTCATCAGTATGCTCAAGCCATTGTCTGTCGTCCAGCTGTTGGTCAAAGAGGTCGTGTGATTCCTCTCCGAGCCAATTTTTTTGAAATTCGCATTGCCGATAATGGCCTCCCAATCCACCAATATCACGCTGAAATCCACCATCCTGGCATGAGAACGCTCGATCGGCAAGTTTGTTTATTATTTTCTCGTTTCAATTTTAGATGAACCTCTAAATGGAACTTTATGTTTTTAGCGATGAATCTCGTATGATCTTCTGGAAGATTGTTGAAGACAACCCTCCCATTTTCCGTCAGCACTTTGCGGTTGCCTATGATGGCGGCCATCAGATGTATACAACTGAACGGCTTCCTTTTGGTGATTCCATCACCCTCGAGACCCATGTTTGTCTGGCTCGGGACTCTTCAAGAGGCACCAGATGTGGAATTACCCTTCGTTACACTGGATCCATTCTTCTGGAAGATATGAGCAAGACCCAAAGGAGTCTTAACGATGGTACGGTAGCTCCGCTGCAAGTTTTGGACATTGTGATTCGCCAAGCATTGACCTGCCCCTTGTACAAGTAAGCGCGCAAACATGGCAAAGACTTCTGCATTGCTGATTGATTTTTTTGATATATTAATTGGATTTGTATTTTTTTAGCAAATCCAAGTTGTTCTACTCCTGGAAGAATTCTTGTTATCGCCTTCCCGGAAATGGTCATCCAGCCCTGAATTTGGAAGGAGGAAAGGAAATGTGGACTGGATTCTTTACTTCGGCCACTCTCGGTTCGGCCTTCCGTCCTCTGCTGAACGTTGATGTTGCCCATACCGCCTTTTACAAGCCACGTATGAGTTGCATCGAGTTCTTGTGTGAGATCCTGAATGAACGTTCTCATGGATACGACACTCGCCCCCAACGTGGTCGACGTCAAGAAGGAATCAGTGGATTGTCGGTGAGTTTGTTTCGTTCTTGTGTTATGATTTTAGGCTGATCGTCTCCATGCCGACTCTTGTCTCTCGACCAATGAACTCCGTTTCTTTGCCGAATCTATGAGAGGTCTCCGAGTGCGCGCTTCCTACCAAAAAGGGTCAGTCCGTGTCTACCGTGTGAATGGCGTCAAAGGTCCGGCCAATGTTATGTCATTCCCCACCCGAGACGACGCTGGAAATGAGGTCATGGTTACTGTAGCCGACTATTTCGCCGCTCGCTATCATCGGCTTGAATTTCCATCTCTGCCTTGTCTTCATGTTGGTCCTCCCGCTAGAAATATCTTGTTGCCACTCGAGGTGTGCATCTTGGATTCGCCTCAGAAGTTCACTCGCAAGTTGACTGATCGTCAGACTTCGACAATCATCCGGGTGAGTTTACTATTGAGGAAAAGCAGTTTTCTTTTGTTTAGGCCTCAGCTGTTGATGCGATTCAACGCGAACACAACATTGAAAACCTGTGCGAGATGGCCGGGTTCCGTGATGATCCTTTCCTCCAGTCTTTTGGGATTCGTGTTGACACCAAGATGATTGAGACTGTTGGCCGTGTCCTACCCCCTCCTCAAATCTCCTATGGAATCCAAAAACAAGATATCATCACCCCAAAGGATGGAGCTTGGCCAGTGGAGCATCAGCGTCTCTATGTTCCGGCGGAATGCCTGTCTTATTCGATCTTTGCGTTGGTTAATCCCAAGGAGCAGCCCGTCCTCCAAAAGTTCTGTCAGTTCCTTGGTCAGAAGGCTCAACAGATGGGAATGAACTTTCCCCAATGGCCGGAGTTTGTTCGCTATGGCCGGGATGTTAATGATATTGAACGCATGTTCCATCAGACCGCGAGAGATTACCGCAGTTCCGGAAGACAATGTGATTTGGTCATTGTCGTGCTGCCCTCCAAGAATTCGGATTTTTACAGTGAGTTTTTGTGATCAATTCATGAATTATTAGGCTATCGATTGATTTATAATAATTTTTCCTCTGCAGTGACCATCAAGGAGCTCTCGGATATGCGTTATGGTGTTATGTCTCAATGCATTCTCTTCAAATCAACCCAGCGTCCATCTCCAGCCACTTGTGCCAATCTGGTCCTCAAGATGAATATGAAATTGGGTGGAGTGAACTCTCGTTTGGTTGCCGATCAAATCACCGCCAAATACTTGGTCGATCGTCCAGTTCTGGTCCTCGGAATCGATGTTACCCATCCTACCCAGGCCGAGGAACGAATTGGCATGCCCTCGGTGGCTGCTGTTGTCGGAAACTTGGATATGATGCCCCAAAGCTATGGAGCTAACGTAAAGGTGAGTTTGTAGGGTTGGCATCATTATATGCGGTCTTGTAGGTTCAACGCCGCTGTCGTGAGTCGGTTGTCTATGTGACTGAGGCTGTCCGTGAGCGTCTGTTGGCCTTTATGGCTGCAACTCATCGTCATCCCGAGAGAATCATCGTCTACCGTGACGGAGTTTCGGATGGTCAATTTGCTGAGGTGCTCCGAGAAGAACTCAATGGAATCCGAGCTGCTTGTGGAATGATTTCGCAGGATTACAACCCTCCAATCACTTATGTTGTGGTTCAGAAGCGGCATCATGCCCGGATCTTCTGTCAAAACCAGCGGGACATGGTCGGTCGAGCCAAGAATGTCCCTCCAGGAACCACTGTTGACACTGGAATCGTCTCCGCCGATGGATTCGACTTTTATTTGTGCTCCCACTTTGGAATTCAAGTAGGATATTATGGATTTTTTGTAGTCTTTTTTATTCTAGGGAACTTCCCGTCCCGCCCGCTATCACGTCCTGTGGGATGACAACAAGTTCAGTGCTGATGATCTGCAGGCCATGACCTACCATCTTTGTTACACTTATGGTCGCTGTGCTCGTTCCGTGTCGATTCCCGCGCCGGTTTATTACGCCGATTTGGTCGCCAACCGTGCTCGCTGTCATTTGAAGCGTCATATGTGAGTCTTACATTTTGACTGTTGTGATGTCGTTGTTTTAGCTGCGACATTCGTGACGGAGGCTCATCTTGTGCTACCACTTCCACCCGCGGTCCCCAACCCTCCCATCACGAGAACAACAATGATTCCCAGATGCAGAACTTTGTCGCAGTTACCGAGTGCTTCAAGCAACGCATGTACTTTGTCTAAACATATTGCGCCGGACGTTGAATATTTCTACGTATTGTAATTTAAATCATAAAAGTATTGTATAACACATTTGTTGTATTTTTTAACTCTAGTCGGTAGGTTTTCCATATTATTGGAGGTTTGTAGCCATACAGGCTCGATCTAAGAGCCAAGGATGACAAATTACCGTGACTTCCGAACACAATCCATATCAACGACCAAGTGATTCCCCGTAATGCAACTGTTTCAACCTCCTCGAACACGTGTTATTTGTGGTCTTCCCCGGGCAGCCATCAAAATCTTGAGGGTTTAAGCCATCGAACAATCAGAAGAGGGCCTCGGAAATGCCCCCCGAGGGTGGGGGATTCGGAATGAAATGTCTGTAGGGAGAGTTGAAAACATTGTCACCCACGATATCCTTCCGCTCTCGGCGGAAGGGAGCGGAGAAAAGGGCGGTTATTTGTTTTTTGAGTGATTGAGGTTTGATATGGCATGTTGAAGGGGAGTGGGAGGTGGGAGCTTGCCCGCCCAATGTAGATCCTTGTTTAAAGGAGTACTTTTAATAAAAAGAAAAACAATTCGCGAGACTGTAAATCGACGATTACCCGAAAATTCTACTCCCTTTTACATAAATTAGGTCCCTAAATGTCCAAAAACACTTCTATGAAACTTTTTTAGAAAAGATAACACGTTATAATAACGGATTTACTGGAGTATCTTTGGCGCTTTCTCGCCATATCACGCTAATTTTGTGTTTGATGGCCATCGTAGATGTGGTGACAGAAGCGGAAAACATGGTACAGAAGGGGTATTGAAGGTCTTGGAAAATTTTTTTCACCCATATCAAAGTCGAAGGATTACAGTAACAAAACGGAACTGGACGTCATCTTTATAATATGTATAAAATACCGTTTTTTGGAACTAGTCAAAAATTTTAACGGAATTTTGTCTCAGATTCAGTATCGTTTTTTTTACACTAGATACAGTACTTCAGTCCTAGGTTACATTGACAAAATTTTCGCCTCAAGGCAAAAAACTGTTTTTTTAATGGTTTGAGGGTTGCACTGTGCGATGAGAAAGAAAGTTCCAACCAAAAGTGTGGGTGATTGAATTGAAGATTTAAAAGATGCCATTTTTTGAGCGTTTACAAAGCCCATTGTGACGTCGATGACGAAAAAATTGTCCTTGACCACCAAATCAACTCGTAATCAGCACCGCACCCTCAATTCCTGTCCTTTTCTCTCAAACTTCCTGTTTTCCCATTCAAATTCGGTCCGACTTGTACCCAGTACTACATCTACATACACCCAATTGGCGGGATTGTTCTCAAAAAGTTGTCGTCATCTTTATAAGGCGCCCATCCATCAGAAGGCCGACTTGGATAGACGCCCTTAGGGGATGGGGAAATGAAAAATGATTTGAATCCCGACTTCAATTACTCGAGCTGTTTTTTTGCGGTGGTGTCTTGGGGCTCCGTTATCCTGACGTGAATGTATTTTTGGGCTCTTTGAGAGCTATTTTTGGTATTAATATCCGATTTTCGCACAATTTCAATTGTTTCGTGATGAATTATGATGAATTGCGTATTTTATTCGAAAAAGAGCTTTATATATTTGTCAAACCTCAGTATTAAACGTTAGCGTTACATTCCAAAATTTTGGAATATGGATTTAGATGGAATCTTGGCTATTCTTGGTATGGTATTTCGGCCTTCTTTGTTTTGTTTGTTCAGATATTTAAAATGTCAAAGAACGCCAGTTTTAACACATTCCAAAATACCATCAACGCCGTTGGACAGCTGAAAATCCTATGGTGTGAGACTGTCTGGTCACTTTTTTTGGATCACAGGTAGCTACTACAATGTGTAGTTTTATCAAAAATTTTTTTTATTTGGCAAAAGCGCAAAGTGATAGCTAGAAATTTTCCATAAATCCCAAAATCTAATCCAACTTTGTAAAAAGTGCATTTTTTATGCATTTTTCTATTCAAAGTTGTAGTTCTGACTTGTTCTCCTTTCCGTTTATCTCTTTTCAAAAGTTTTCCCGCTTTCGCAGTATTTTTTTGCAGTTTCCATTCTCCATATTGCACTTCCATCTATTTTCGTTCTGTCAAAATGACAAATTTAATGTGGTTCTTTGCCCGACCGCGTCTTCGAATCGTCTTGGCCACAAACGACGGGCCATTCAAGAGGGCAAGTGATCGGGGCAAACTGTTGACCTCTTCCATGACGTCTTGTATCCTTTGTGTTATCATAGCTGTTTTTATTTGGGCTGAGATGAGAAGTGTGATCTGAATAATTAAAAATTGTTTGTTTGGGTTGCCTCCTGGCTCATTAGTTTTTACATAATTAAGAATGTTGTATTTTCCTCCGTCTAGATGCTCTTACTATTGTTGCAGATGGTGTACGACGTTTACGGAGGACGCCATTTGATCTTTGACATTTTTATTCCTGTTTTTGAAGCCCGAAATTAGTCAAACTTACAATTAGAAAATTTTTGTAATGCTTTTCAAGTGAGTTTTTAGGAGTTGGAAAATTTTTGGACTTCCGGCTAAAAAAGTCCCCAAATTCGATCAAAAATTTTTAAAACAAATTAAAGTTCACGTCTGTACCAAGTGCGTCAAAAACATATTTCAGTCTAGGCGAGGAAACAAGTCGGACGAATCAGAAAGGAAGCTTCTCGGGAAATCTAGACCTCAAAACTTGCTGCGCATCTTTGATGTCGTCATACATGTGAACAGCCCATTTTTGGATGCCTAAGATAGTTCCACTGATCGTCAATAGACTCATTATACTCTGAATACGTGGTTATGGTTGATCACTTTTCAATCTTTTATCATTCTTTATATTCGGCATAACTTCAGACATAACCTTGTTTTGTGGCCTTTGAATTGGCCATCTGGACATCTATTACCGCTAAGATCAAGGTCCTCAAGCTTTGGTTGAATGTGTTTGTGTGTGATTCAACCGTGTGATACCTGACCTCAGATATTCGAATACCACTTTCCGCAGTATCAGAGAACTCATTCCAAGGCGATTAGTTCCCCGCGAGGAGGGCGGATTTTCGGGGCGGATCAAACGCCCTGAGGGCAAAGCCCATGACTTTTTGGCACCCGGCCCCATTCGGCGTCGCTCTCCGGGGAATTAGCGTTCCGGCTCTTCACGCGTGGCCGTTCGATGCCCCGGGGCGATATGTGGGCCGCCGGCAATGGAAACAAAATGCATATTCAGAATCCCGTTACATCTTCAGATTCCGTTTTTATCTGCGCGTTCGTGGAGGAGCCAAGGGGAGGGCGCCATTTTTAGAACATTCGCTTTTTGTTTTTGGGACCTTATTTGTCGGGTTTAATTCAATATAAGAGTTACCGTAGGCTCGGCAGAAGAGATGTGGGAGATGTTAAGGGCATTTGACGGTAAACGAAACGTTGATGCGTGAGCTCTGGGCTTTCAATCCAACGCCCTGTTCGAAGGTTAAAATTGAATTTACTGTAACTTCTTATATGCCTTGTTTTTATATCCTCAGATATAATATATTGGCCATGTTATCATGCTGATGACTTTACCCTTGCAACATCATGTCAATATAGTTTTACTATACCCCGCCGTTTTTCATTTCCCTTAGTTCCGAAATAAGATGTATTATATACTCAAAAGAATGACATTCGTGTCAAAAAACGGTCCTGTTTTCTGTTTACATGCCTACTTACATATACAGCATGACACACATCAGAAAACATTGGAAAACAAAGTCATTAGGTTTGTTGAGGGAATCTTATTTTGTCGCCTACACCCAATGTACTCCTTTTTTAATCCCCTTTCTTATTATCCCTTTCTTGCTATGAATAGACGGGCTTTGTGAAAGCGTTCATTTCCGGACGAGTTCTTGACATTGTTAAAGAAAACTTATTTTCAGATAAATAAAGCAATAGGAAAACGACTTAAACGACGTCATGTTGGGAGCACAGGCGTTACGGACTAAACAGGTAGGGGAATCAGCAGCGTTTTCAAATTCATCATGAACTTGTTTTAGTTACGGTAATTGTTTGACTATTTTCAGAAAGTTGAACAGAAAGAGAGAGAAAAGAGGCATAAAGAAAGGCAACGGAATATGGAAGCTCAACGTGAGAGGATTCAGAAGGCTGCCAGGTGAGTCGTAATTCTACTATGGCACAAGTCAAGCTATTTAAAATATGGGTTTTACCGTGATTCTTAGATTTTTTGTAAGCACTTGCTTCGGCCACACAATTTCTTTAAAATGTAATATTTTTCCTTTTTACTGAGTGAACATAAATAGCATTTTCGAATTTTATTTTTGGCTTTTTTTTGTCAGATCTTGTGGCCCGCAGCTCTCTGTTCTCCGTAAAGTTCGGTCCATGATTTATGAACTTTTTTGAATCTCTTTTTGTATTTTTAACGCCGGTTCTGTTCCATTTTCCCTAATCCCCCGGAGGGCATAGGTTGATCGATTGTGTCCAAAAGGCGTTAATTACAGCGGCTGCTCCTCAAAACACTTTAAAGCGCTCGCTAAATTTATTGCCCTCAGGGCGAAATTAAATGCCAAAAAGTAAAGTCCAAATTGTTGAAACAAAAGAGGAAACGAAAAGTTGGGGAGATTACATGCTTTAATAAAAACCTTAATCAATTTAAGTGTCAAAAAATAATTGTAAATTGAAGCATGCCGGTTTTTCAGCGAAGATGCACAACAACAAATGTTAGAGTACATGGCTCATCAACAACGGCTGCAGTTGGAGGAGGAGCAGAGAAGCAAAATACAACAGAGACTGTCGTTGCATGCGAACAGCCTCACTGATCACATGGTTCCGTTCAGCGCGAGAGAACCCAAAATTGGAGTAAGTTTGTCTACGGTACTCTTCCTTTTACTCACTTCCTCATTGCGAAAATCCTGCATCTTCTGATGATCAAAATTGATCATTGATTTCCTTCGATATTTATGATCTCATTATTCTCTATCCCCTTTAAGATTTACGATGTGCTGGGTGCAATGAAAGAGTTTTACTTTCAGAACACTCCTCGTCGGTCCCCATCCACAGATTGCGCCACAACTTTAAAGGTCAATGGAGACGGTGGATCTTCCGGGAACCGATTAATGCGTTGGTTGGGGTTCAACAATAAAAAGCCTAGACGGATGTCTACGTTCACGTGATCAACAGTGCTGACCAAAATTGCAGACTTTTATTTTTATTTCGGAACTTGTTTTAGGCCAAATTTTATAAATTTTTTACATAGTTTTTTAGCAAAGTCTAAAATATTCTTTGTTGAATGTAATAACTCGAAAATTAAAGCTCTGGCTATGACAAGGTCCGACCAAAGAGACTTCCGGGTCTTTTCTCTCGCCTTTCTCTTTCCCAAAACCCCGTTGCAAGATATATTCCTTCGTATCTTACTCCATGTTTCATACGTTTTGATACCCTTAAAGTACAAGTATTATTTTTTTTATTTTATTCAAATTATTTTAAAATTTCAAGGTTAACCTGTAAATTGCTTGTTGTATTATTCTTGTAAATAAAGCCTGATCTGTAAATTTTGGATTATGTTATACTTTGTGGCTTTGTTTTATGTCATAATTGGTCCAGCAACGATTTAGAACGTCTGTCGAACAAATAAACGCTTCAGAAGACAAGAAACGAAGTAAGTTATATTCGTAAAACATGAAACTTTCCAAAAATATTTTATTCTCTATTCTTTTCTTCAGTATTGTAAGTGTAGGCTCGTTAAAGTGTAGCTGTAACACGGATTTTGTTCGAAAAAATTCGGCCATAAAATGCGTAAATGGAGAATGCGATGTGGAAAGAAATGGATGTAGGTCGTCAAACGTTAGATATAATACAAATTTATAGTTCATCTTTTACCAAAAGTTTTCTAATCTTTCTTTCATCCAGATTGTGCATCCATTTATGGCCTCAGCGTTATCAACCTATGCTGGTTGGCACGTGTTCCTTATAAGGATTGTCGAGTCGTCGGGAAAGGATCAAATGAATCGACTTCCATCTGCTTCTGCAACACTCAAGACTACTGCAACTTGGCTGCTCGCGACAAGACGCTGACCGAGATAAATCATCCTCGTAAGCCTAGTGTCCGCGATGGCATTCCAATCGAATCCATTTTTGGATTTTCATTTTTTACAGTCTCTGTATTGGGCTTTATAAGTTACAGTATCCACAAATTCTTCTAATGATAAACTATATATGTTCCCACAATAAGCTTCAAACAAAATCTATTTATATTTATGTGATACGGTAAGAATAATAGTCATCAAAAAGTAAAAAATTTGGATATTTAGAGCGATATTATTTCGGGATGGGTGTGTTTATGGAGACTAATCTGACTGTTGAAAGTGTTGAAGATTCCGTGTCAGGGCCTGTTCTACAGTGGAACCAGGCTTGAGCTCATAAATCCCTCGCTTAAACCGCTCTCCGTTTCGATGAACTGTCAGGACTTCGTTGCCTTTGGTGTTGAGGTATGTGTGGACGTTCACGATTACAACAAGGTCTCCAGGCTGAAATACAAGAGGCATTAGTAATATTTCTATGAAAAATAAATATTTACTAACAGCTGTTTGTAAACTTACACTAAAAAGTCTCGCCTGTTCTGAATACTCATCATACACATCAATGTCATACAGTTTCCCGTCGTATTTGTGGGCCAATTCTGCATCGATTGTCCCATCCAAATCGAATAGCGGAACTCTGACGAGGGTTCTAAAAGGTTTATCATTATTGGAGTTCTTTCGATGAACATCTTTTGTTTCTCTTCCAAGCTTACCGGCCCGCAATATAAGTTCCATCCGTAACCCTGAGCACAACGTTCGAAGGGTTTCTATCGTAGACGCCAACAATCTGAAAAGGAATATTCAGATATATCGGAGGGTGTTTATACTTACCTGACAAGCAATATTGTAATATCTGCAAGCCAAGAAGTATTGCATCTGCGTCAGCAGGCAGTTCATATCATATTGAGGCTTCGGGGTGGGTCGACAAATCTGGCTAAAGTCCCGTTGCCAGGATGAGTTCATGCCACCATTATCTTGGTTGTATTGTGCAGTGTTCATATTCCTTTCCCTTTGATGTCCGTTCCTTCTGTTATTGTATTCCTGACGATTGTTATATTGGTTTGGCTGAGGGGGACTTGTTGTAGCTGGCCGTTGAGATTGACTTGCGTCGTCCTGCCAAGACGAGCTCAGTCCATAATTAAATTGATTCGTGGGCACTGGAGAAGCCTTCATTTGAATCGCATTCATTTCTCGATGGGCTTCCCTCTGCGCAGCGTTCAGCTCTCTTTGGTAGACATCCTGGCTGTACGGGACAGCATTACCATTGCCATTTTCCATCGGGGGTGTGGAATTGGCGCTCCTCGAACCGGACTCTTGCCTCACTGGATCGCATGTGGGCAGTGGAGGAGGTGATTTCTTCGGGATACGGTAAACTGGACTGGCTACTTGTTCTTTGATCGGCAGGACAGCAGGAGGGGGAGACTTATTTTCTGCTTTTGGCTCCACTTTTGCCATCTCATGGACCTGTTGACGGACGATCCGATGGCTTGGGGGACTTGGAGAAGGTGTAATCATTGAATGTTGCTCGGCCTTGACTTCTCTTTTGATTGGCTGAGGATTTCTTGATGGAATCACGATCACTTGAAACAAGGGAACAGTGCCGTTAATGCAGAGATTCGGGCGTCTTTCCGTCATAAACTTGCGGACTCGTTGAAGCTAAAATCCAATCGAAAATATTAGTTCTAGGACAGTTGCAAATTTTTTTGTCGATTTTTTAAAAGCTTACCCTGTTCCATTCTTCTCCACTGATCACAGTTTCTCTTCCATCAACTTCTCCATGGGCCATAATGCAATTCAAATCTCCCCTCTTCAGATCGAACCCGTAATATCTGGAGAGAGGGGAGGCTACCGGGTCAACAATCATGTAGGGTCCTTGCTCATCGGTCTAAAAAATTATTAGGATATAGTTAGTATGTATATAAAAACCAGCACAACTCAAACCGAATGATAATCTTTGCATCACAAAATTTACCTCAATTTTGACGTTCCTCAAGCACAGAACAACCCCTTTTGTTATGTATCCTTTGTAAGTCTTCCTTGGGTCAAATGTTAGACGGCATCGAATTGGCTTTTCGATCGTTCCATCATTCACAGAGACTTGGATTTCTCCTGAAATAATTTGAATATTTGTAAAATCATCAATTCACATCTTGACTACAAATTTAAACATTTTCTAGCAACTTACCAGCTTCATCATGACCTTTTGGGATGACAACTCCATCCACACACACCACCCCACACACAACAAATTTGGCATCTTCAACAGTATGCAAGTCCTTCAGACGAAGTGTAGAGGCCATCTCCGAACAACGATTTAATCACAAAGTAACCAGTGACAACACTCAGGGCTCAAGCTTATGTTCCAACTGATGAGAATAACCTTACATCCACAGTAAACAGACAGAATCAATATTTCCGCAGACAAAAAAAAACTCTGATTTGGGTTTAAAGCTCCGCTTTGGCGCTTAAAGCAGATCTCGTATCGTTATTTGTAACGGCATATTTCTGCGGTAGAACATGGCAGAAAAATCGCAATTATGAATAAGTCAGTGATCAGTTTTATCATCCTCATAACAGAAATTTTTGTTTGACTTTCCGTTTCAGGGATACGAAGGGCAATAAACTAAAATGCGTTAAATGTAAATTTTATTGGACAGGCAAGAAACCATCGGGAAATTGTAAAAGACAACTGAACAATAGCAATGAATAGTTTTGTGTTGCTATTACTGATATCTACACTTATCCTTGCCACTGTTTGTTTGGACTGTGAGACCAAAAACGATTGCCGAAAATATTGCGATAGAAGTTGTGGCAACCCAGCTGTGCCGAGATGTGCTAGTTTCTTCTGTAAATGTCGATGTCCAAGAATCGAAAAAGGTAATACAAAAGGCCAATTTTAGAGGCTTAGGTTAAAGTACATATATTTTTTATTGTTCACAATAAGCCCAACGCTAAAAATTTTTTATTTCTGTCAAGCCTTCATATGTCTTCATAGTCGGTACTAGTTTGTAAAAGACCGATTTTATTTTAGTTCCTGATTGCACAAGCCCCAAGTGTTTATATACCTGTGGTTCATTGGGAAGTCATTTTGGAGATCAATGTTTAGATCACAACTCTTGTTTATGCTATCATGATTAAGCTTTAGCCTTGTGTTTTATTCAATAAATTCGGTAAACAATCGAAACTGCCTATTTGTAAAAGTAAAGCGATGATTACGAAGACTTGCTTCTTCTACGTGTATGCTTCTATATAAGTTACCATCGTTTCGTAAGAATACCCTCGATTCCTCCGTGATATCCCTGAAGCAACATTTCAATCGCGTTCTTATCAGAGATCCCTCGTAAGTGCGGGATCTGGAGGAAACGAGTCATCTTCCTCGTCACAAACTTCATGTTGCAAGGTCATTTTCTTCGCAGCTGGTTTTTTGTGGGTTTTTCGAAATCCGGAAATGATTTTGTCCGGTTCGGAAGAGAAAGGCGACGCTCATTGTCGCCAAATCAAGCGACGGTTCGGATGGGTTTCCATGAGGTCGATTTCCAATGCGGGGTTTGTTTGTAAGGGTCAGATTCACAATTTTTGTGTTGAAAATTTTGTGGTTCTTTTGAATTTCGACAATTTTTTATCAAACTAATATTATTGATGACAATAAAATCTCATTATTTTTTGATGACATAACAATGTCGTCATCTCGGAGACAAGTCTACGTAATTTTTAATAAGATTTTACATTTCACCTATCAGTTTAGCGGTCAAATAAATATTTAGAAAGGGCTCTTCTTCTAATCCGTTTTTTCTCTGGATCGAAATAATCGCCGCAGGAAATGGGTTTGAGGAATCCCTAAAAGGGAAATATAAACCTCTAGAGAGCCGGGAAATAGTGAGAAACTTGCGGAGAGGTATTTGAAAAGATCATCGAAAGAAAGGAAATAGAATCAAAATTGAAGAGAGTCCAGAGAAAAGCAGAGTCAAGATGCGCCGAAAATTACAAAAGCGATATCGGTTATAAATAATTGAAATGTTCGCTCCCATTAGCCGTCGAAATTGCAATTTGTGTTTCATATCCATTTCGAATAATTTTTGTAGTGTTTGCGCTCTGAAACCAGTTCCTCTCCTTCCTTCGACGTAATCATTGGCGATTCCCCAATGATATCTCTGGTCTCACTTCTCTCATTCCCAATTCCGTGGGCGACTTTGTTTGTTCTTATATCCTGAGTAATCAAGGATGGGGATTTGGTGATATTTGAATTTTTAAGGGAACTTTTAGCATTGAATTTTAGCCTTATGTGGTTACAATTCCTTTGGGCAGACCGAATTTCAGTGGTCGATGTGAGAAGCATCTACATATGTTTTTAAAATATTTGCTATTTGTCACCTTTTTGAAGTTTTTGGCAAAGCGCGGGCTGGGTTTTTTTTTTTTTTTGATTATTCCTTATATCTATTGATAAATGTATGTAGCCTCAGGCCAATTGCTAATTGAAAAAGTGGTGTTTTTCTTGACTTCAATTATCCTCCAATTACTCCTTACAAAATTAACTATTTTCCCGAAATTCGTGTCTTAGCTGCACCAGCTCCATTTCTCCTTGATTACCGCTACTTTCCCCGTTCATTTACTCACTCAAAATCTTGATTTTGTTTCCATTCGACGGGATTACGTTAGGATTGAAAACAGTGGGGATAAAAGTTAATTTTATGCCTCCGAAGCCGGTTCTTCCTCAAACTGTGAACTCCGTCTTTTGGCGGCGCTTCTTCAGAATCGTCTTCAGATCTCGTTTTGACCTTATTCGATACAAAAAAGAATCGAATTCTTTTCACTTTCGCTCCGATCCGTTTTGTAACCAGTCCTTGCGGGGATTCAATTGAACGGTTGTCTCGGTTTGATGACATTTTTTTCATCGTAATTTCGAAGGGGATTTAGATGAAAGGGGAACACGTTGGCCGCTGTTCGCGAGTAGTGCCCAAAGAAATTTCATATTATGACCAGAGATTGCCACGGTCAAAATTTCGGCTCCGGCTCCGGCTCTTAGCTCCCAGAGCCGGAGCCGAGGCCAAATTTGCAGCTCCAGCTCCGGCTCCCATAAAACATTTAAAAAGGTCTCCGGCTCCGAATCCCGGCTCCCGTGCAAAAAAATTTTTAAAAATATTTTTCCAAAAATAAAAGTTATTAGTGTCAGAGATCATACACCCAACGCTTTTGCAGCCAAGTCGTACGCAACACACCCTCCCCAGTATTTTTCAAGCAATTTGGTTTAACAAGATCACGAAATTTTTACTTTTCCGAACGCTGAGCAGGCTGGCTCCGACTTTGGGCTCGGAGCCGGAGCCGCTCAGAGCCGGAGCCAAGAGCCGTGGTAATCTCTGATTATGGCTTTCCAAGCATATCTGAGAGTTTTATCTCGCGATTTGGAACTACAGAGAGCTCTATGCGGAGAGTTGTTCGAGTTATAACCTTTAGTCTGTAGAGATCGCTAAACACCTCTAACGAAAATTTTTTTAGTGAAATCATTACAGTTAAGCTCTACAAATCCTCCTTGATGTGGTAGCAATGGACGAAATACTGAACGCAACAGCTACCTCTTGGGTAGACCGAGTATTTACAAACACTTCCTTAGGAGCTCGCCTCTTGCATCGACTGGATTGGACCAATCTCCGACATTGTTTTTACTTGATCTCACCTTATGAAACGGCCGTTCAAAGTCTCGATGAAGTGCCCAATTACAATGTTCAAGTAAGAAATAGCTTCCAGGGCAAAGATTACTGTATTTTCAGGTCAGTGCTTGGTGGGTGACTTTAATCTTCATCGAATTCACATTATTATACGTTTCTCACCATGAAGACAGGTTTGCATTGAATGATACAATTACGTCATTTTGTGCGGGAATGCTGTCACAATGCTTCAAGTAAGAAGTAATTTTGTGTACAGGCCCTGTTGGTCATCTTTAACACATTAATTTTTAATTTGACAAAAAGATTGGAACTAAATTTGATGACGTAATATTATTTTAGGTTTGGAGGTAGAACAGTTGCAATTTTCCTCTATGTTTTCATTTGGAACAACTTCAGAATCCTCGAATTACCATGGGATTCCCCCTGGACTTGGATATTCTGTCTGATCTTTCAGGATTTCCTATATTACCTGGGGCATCGAGCTGTTCATGGTGGGTTGCAAATTCCTTCTGCAAACCTAGTGGCTTAAAAATAGTATTTTGAATTTTCAGAAGCCGGTTTCTTCTGGGGATTGCACACGATCCATCACAGCAGTGAGTATTACAACTTGTCGACAGCCCTAAGGCAAGCGGCTATTCAAGATGCAGGCTTGGCCATCTACGATGTGTTACAGGCCTTCTGCATTCCGCCGCCGATCTTTTTGGTCCATCGATACTTCTCGGAGATCTTTCAATTCGTCATGCATACTAGTGTAAGTTGACAGAGAGAGTGCCGAATTAAAACACTCGATTTTTTATAACTTTACAAGCACCCGTATCAAACTCGAAATTGCATTCAAAGGGACCCCTTAAATTTTTTGTTACAGAGAGGCTTCGTTGAACGGAGTTTACACAGTATTTTACATTATCTCTTACTGCCCATGTTTTAGTTGCTGGGAAGCTGTGGCCCTCTCGGTTTCATATTCAATACTCCTTCCCATCATCGAGTCCATCATGGAAGAAATCCCTACTGCATCGACAAGAACTATGGCGGTGTTTTCATCATCTGGGATCGTATGTTCTACACTTTCGCGGCGGAAAGACCAGAAGATCCTCCAATATATGGTCTAGTTCATAATGAAAACAACTTCAACCAGATCTATTTACAAGTAGGTTCAGTTTTGTACCTCAAGCTGACAAATTCACATGACAAATCACGCGTCAAATTTTAGTTCCACACCTTATACGAGATGTTGTTTGTCAAATGGCGTATGCGAGATGAGAAAGGGGAGCCCATCTTCAAGACCTGGTTGCAGAAACTGCAAGCCACTTATTACCCTCCGGGCTGGTTTCCCGGAGTCCGAGTGTTCCCGTTTTTTCATTGGTTTAGTCTCGAGAATCCGGCTTATGGAGTCCCTGATATTGAGTACCCAGTCGTCAAGTACAATCCTCCAATCGCGGTTTGGAAGAAGGTTTATTGTGTACTGCACTTCATCATCTTACTGTGCATATTTATGCATTTTGAATATGATCGAAGTGAACTTGGATATGCTGACTTTACCTTGAAATTGGCGTTTTTTGTCTGCACGATGCAAGGATTCGGCGCTATCTTTGATAGAAAGTAAGATCATAGCCTCTCAAAATTAAAACATCTAACGATAAATTTATAACCACCCCTCGATTTTAGATGGTACGCCGGTTATATTGAGATCTTCCGTGGAAGTGGAGTCCTGGGCTATTATATCTACAAGCTCATGGACAACGGAATTCTGCCCAATCGTATATTCATGATTACATTGTTCACATTATCCATGCTTCTTTGGATATTTATGGAAGCACGAAAGGTACACACAAATTAGAAAAATGATGACGTTTTAGGCATGGTCCGACCCGCAAAAAATAGCCGATGTAAATGTGGAGACAAATAAACCCAAAATGGAAGTCAATGTAGGTCTAAAATACGAGTTAGCCTTTTATATTTCAATCCACATTATAATATAACTAAATCATGCTTCAGACAGTCTCATCCCATCCCAAGCTCGCGATTAGGAAGAGCGAAAAGGCCTGAGAAGATGAAACACCTCCACCGTGCAATCAAAATGATCATCAATACGTGTCTGTATATAGCACTGGCTTAATAGTCACAAATAAGTAGCCTTCGAATCAATAAATATAAGTCCTGAGTATCATTTATGAATAAAAATTTATAGGTACAAAAAACAAGGTTTAAAATATTTTCCATCCAGTTTACGGTCGATTTGCCGGGCTTTTTTGTTGGGCACGAGCGAGGTTGCTAAAATTACATTACCGTTATCAACCAAATATTACATTCTTTTAGCCCAAAACTAAGAGAAACTTGCTTCAAAAGAGCAGTTCCAATCGTAGAATCGGCCTTGATTTCGTAGATTCCTCGCTTAAATCGTTGCCCGTTCCGATGGACGGTGAAGATCTCGCCACTTCGGTTGTTGACATATGTATGTACATTCACAATGACCACAAGATCACCAGGCTAGAGACAAACGCTCAAAATGATGCATAGAAACCTACACTAAACAGTCTGGCCACATCCGCATATTCATCATAGAAGTCGACGTCATATAACCGGTCACTGAATTTGTCAGCCAGGTCTTGATTGACAGTTCCATCTGCATCAAACAACGGGATTTTGACCAACTCCCTGAAAACATGTCATAAATAAAATACAGCTATTAATGAAGAATATAGCTCAATGCATGAAAAACTTGCCGGTTTTTGACAAAGGTTCCATCAGTAATCCTGACCGCAACATTCGAAGGATTCCGATCATAAACGCCAACAACCTAAAAATTAAACCCTAATCATAGTGCTACATACCTGACATGCTATATTGTAATAACGACATGGATTTGTGTATTGAATTGGAGTTAGCTGGCATGTGAAGTCCAACTGGGGCTTCGGAGCTTGTCGGACAGGATTCTGGATTGCCAACAGGACAGGATCTTGCCATGAGGTCTGTGGATCAACATTCTCATTGTTGTGTGTGCCAACAACATCCATTTGAAGATTACGCTGTTCAATCTCTGTTTCACAGACAACCGAAGACGTATCAATATCTCCCTCGACTTGACGTTCCTCTTCTTCTTGTTTGATCTTAAGAAAAGTCTCTAATTCCGTGACCTGCACTTTGAATAGACGCCGGGCGTCGACGGAAAGCTCCGGATATTTCTCGGACATAAATTGACGAACTCCTCGCAACTGGAAAGAGATGTAAAAGTCACTAATATCTAAAACTAGAAAAAAAAACACCTAGAGAAACTCACTCTCTTCTCCTCCCCATCGCAAATTGCTTTCTGATTTTCTTCCAACTTCCCATAAGATAAAATACAATGGAGATCGCCTTGCGTTAACGAAAATCCAAAGTATCTGCATAATGGATCATCGACTGGATCCACCACCAACACCGGAGTGTCATTTACTGTCTGAAAAACATCAATGAAAACAGAACAAACATAAATTGTCTAAGTACCAAGCGCAAGACTCTTACGTCGACCGTAACATTCCGCAGGCAGAGAACTAATCCTCTCGCTATCACACCGATGAATGGTCGCTTTCTGTCAAACATGATCCAACATTCTACTGGATTCTCCACAGTTTTGTCAATGACTTCCAAGATCAACGTTCCTAAACAGATGAATAACACAAAACGCTTTCAAAAATACCTTTCCTATCCTCGGCTTTGGGATAATCAATTTGCACAACATTCTTGACGGCACAGGTGAGAAATCTGACTTCATTTACGTTTCTTATGTCTTTCAGACATACGAAAGAAGCGGACATTTCCGGTCCACCGGATTTTTTACAAAATTTTGTCGAAAATAATTTAAATTTTATTTTTTTGCGCCACATTTTTGCGCGCCGAGAGAGAGAATGAGCTAATATGTCATACGAAAACGACTTTATTACTGTATTCTTTACAATCAAACTGTCCATTTATGATTGTTTACCATTGTTTCCTCCATTTCCTCTGCCCATGACCTTGTCGAACTCCTTGAATATGTTCGAATACGGTTATATTAACATCAGAACAGGGATTGTTCGCCGCGGCGGGCTCCTCGAGAGCTTTCGGCGAAATAAATTGATCCGCAAACAAATTGAAGGCAAGTCGCCGGATTCTGGAGCATTTGTTCCGATCTGTTTTTGAAATCTGATCTCATTGGTGACTGAAACATTTTGGAGATTACTCGCAAAAACCATGCGGGCTACTGTGGATTCTTGGTGCTTGATGACTCTACTCGTCTTTAATTTATTCCTCATTGGAGAAACCGGGGTGTTTCGAGGGGCGTTGATCAAACGGCAAGCATCGGAACCCCCTGTGGCCGATGTTTTCAGTCCTCATCGGGTTGAGGAAAAGATTACGAAGGACACCAATCGATGCAACTCCGAGTCGCTGGAGAAACTCATGATGGAAGTAGGTCGCTGCTTTGTTCTTACCGTTTCTTTCTAACCCCGTTTCCCAACCAATCCCAAAACATTCGAAAACTTTATAGAACATTGGGGATGATGTCAAGCAATCCAAACTTCGGATCATGGAGGCAGCTGAAGCAACACTTGGCGGTGCATTCAATGTGGTGTGTGCTCATGGGGATTTCAGCTACATTACCAGTACCAAACTCTATTGTTTGACTGGGAATGACGCCGTCAAATGCTACGCTTTCCTGTCGTATGCATCAGATTCAGAATAGTAACTATTCCGATACATCGAATGTGTCTGTAAATAAAGTACCGTAATCGCAAATCAGCGTAAATTTCCTGCATTCTCTCATCCATTATCTCCAATATCACTGATATTTATTTTAATCCATCTTTCGATCACAGGAACATCTCAAATTTACAGTCAGTACAAGTAGTAAGTATCAGGTCACAAAACCACCGATATGTTGGTTTACGAGCGAGTGATGGGATCGGGTTTGTAACCGAGAATCTTCTTCATTTGGTTGTCTTGATGACGAACAACATGGTCGTTGCGTTCGGCCTTAACTTGGATTCTGTCGAGCAGTTTGTTTTGATCATCAACTTCGTCTCCAAGGGCTTGACCAAGCATCCGGAGACGTGCGAGCTGGCCGCTCATACTGCCTAAAAGGCAAAAAACGTAGTATTTTCTTCGTGGTTCTAGTTGTGATTCTGGACGCCGTTTGGATCCATTATCAGCTTATGATTATATTAACTTACCCAAGTTCTCATCAATCTCTTGATCCATAGCTTCCCATCGGGTGCCCTTGATGGCGTTTCGACTTTCGGCACCCAACGTGGGTCCCGAGCTCAAGGTGTTTGCCGCATTTCCAGTACGACTCTCCACTTCTTCCACAACTCGGGTCAATTTTCCGGATGATGCTGATGGAGTCATCTAAAACAAGGTAAATTACTCGAGAACCCACTTTTTTTCCTTGATCGGTGTAAATTTCTGTTTCAAACTTGCCATAAAAAACTTCAAGCTCTTACCGAATCAGGGGTGCTGGGCTTCTGCGGAGCCTTGGAGAACTTGTTCTTGAAGAATCCTCCGAAGACGCTCTTCAGACTATTCAAGGAACGTTGAGTCATTTGGGTGGTGTGATTGATATCGTCCAGATTCCGTTCGGTCTTCTCCAACTTCTCTCTTTGTTCCAGCAGATTCAATGCTGTTGAATTTCCTAGCTTTTCGGCATTATCCAATTGAGCCGTTGAACGTTGAGTCGAAGAGAGGGTGTCCTGCATCAGCTCTTCAATCTGACGCTCGTACTCTTCGATGTCCTTATCTGCACCAACATTTCGAGAGTAACTCTTCACGGGCACTGAAAGAAAAAGATTTTATTATCTAAAATCTTTAATACGTCAAACGAAGAACTTTATACCGCAAAATTATTCATGTTCCAGTCTTGCAAAGCATTTGGCGACTCTAAATGCAAAAAGGAAATAAAAGGACTTACTATCGTCGTCGTCATCGAATGGATTGGCCATGATTGGATCTGCTTCCTCCCTTCACCCGTGTCTCTAAAACAAACAAAATTTTAGTAAAATCCAACAAAGCGCTGCTCGGAATTCCTTTCTCCACGGTTGTTATCAATGCTTGGAAACAATAAAAAACGGATCGAATTCCAGACAATCGAACCAAAATTAATATTATTCGACAAAAAAGAATTTCTCGAAAATATCCGGTTTCAGTTTATTCCACGATTCAGACAGCGAGGAGAGTCGTGCGTTGGGGCGAGTGGACATCTGACTGGTGGGGATTTCGAAACATTGTGGTTGTTACAACCTTTCTAGTGTACTTTTCGGGCAAAGTGTTTAGCGAAAAAACGGTGAATAACACGGACTTTAATTGAAACTTTTTGAAAATATTAAACAATCAATTACTTCCTGTCTAAAAACCCCCTTCTAATCCGCAGAGATTTTTTTTTGACAATACGAGAATTTTTTTGACAAGACAAGAAAACAGTTTACCACCCCGGACATGTCTCTCTCATGTCCAAAAAATTGCGAAAGGACGTCTGTTTCCCAGCGATAAGAGGGGAATCGATTGAATTCATTGGAATGGGAATTTTAATCATGAGCTTGGATCGGAGAAGCGAATCGGGGTCCTCCAAAACTTTAATGCAGTATCTTCACATAAAAACCGGTTTACATTCAGAGGTTTAAAAGTTTATTTGAGTACATACAAGATGAAGGTATTCTACAAACTATTAAAAATATACATAACACCTAAGAATTTGCGTGACAACGTTGGTTTACAATTCAATGCTGTAATTTGCAGTCATAAAAACGGTCGAAAATTACATTACTCCGCCTAGAAAGTTGTCACAATATGAACAGTAATAGGTATTACACTATACTGTTGAGCACAGTAGAATCCATAATAACAGATGTTGTACGGGTTACTGTAGCTTGGACAGAGGTGTTGGGACAAGTATTTTGGAGTTCATCTTCTTGATCAGAGGTACTGAAAAATAAAATTGACGAATGATAAGCTCACATTAAATGAGATTTAAATCAAAAATGCATGACTAACCTGTGTATTGTACGTTTATATCCCATCCAGGTTTGGCCCATGTGTCTTGGCGGGTGTGATTTCTGTGGACCATGTCCTTGTAAGCCCAGAAGTGGAAGACCATATAGAGTTGACCCACTTGGGCGAAGAATCCACCCACATCTTGGTTGTGTTCTCTTCTGTACGTAATACCTTTGGCCCAGGCATTGCCCCATTCGATCATTGTGCCGGGCTGAAGTCGAATTATTAAATCAACAATAAGATGAACCGTCTAAAAACCAAAGAATAATCTAATAACGCACCTTCAGGACGTATGTTCTCATATCATAGATATGGCTAGGCTCTCTTTCCTTGGGCTCTCCCCAGTAGCTGAATGGTTTGACTAACACGTTTCGTCTTCTAGTACATAGTTTGGCGACATCCGAGTCGACAGTTTGTAAGGGGCCAGTGGAAATAGCTCTGATTTGTCTGAAAAAATTGGATCAATCTTTAAATCGAGTAATTGTAAAACCATATAAATAAAAGCTCACTGATCAACATCACTCCATCCCTTCGCATAACGCCAGAGATGAACGAATTGATCCTGGTTTCCATAAACGACTTGGAAAGATCCGATCAATTTCAAACCCGCGTTGGTGGACTGAACTTCTTGGGAGTAATTCTTGTAGGCTTTCAGGTACCCTTCTTTGTTTCCGGAGGTAGCATCGTGCGCTGGAAAGAATAGGGTAATCTCAAGGAAAACTTTCTCTCAAACAGATCCAAAATACAGTCTGCAGAAGCATTATTTTACTCCTTCATCCGTCAATTGACTGGACTCTAAACACTGAACTCGAAAGAAAAATATAAGATACTTACTCTGAATCTCAAAAACAGCATCAGAAACAGCCAAAAGCGAAGAATGGGACTGTTTGTGGAAGCCGGACGGGTTCATGGCGGGTCCAGTCAAGATTCTGGACAACCAGGACTGTCCTTGGCTGTCATTCTTCTCCAGGTCCAACTGACTTGGCTGTTTTTGACCGGAAGGTTTATCTCCAGAAGAACTGGCAAAACTCCTCTTTGGGATCGATCGTAAAGACAAACGAGACAAATTGAGCATCCTAAAAACAAAAAATAAATGATTTTTACCGAAAAAATTGCAATTACTAAAATTCGTTCCGACGTTTAGAGTAAAATAAATTGATAAAAAAATGGCTGCATAAGCTAGATTCGAACATGAAGACGTTAGCTGTGCCTCACGAGTACAATCACGCGAATTGGTAAAAACAATTCCCATTACATCCAACGATGGAAAAACACCCGAAGAACGTGCATTTTGACCCGAGAAACGGAGAGAAAAATGGACGGGGAAAACGAAATGCCCCGAGAAAAATAAACTTCCAGCCGTTCCAACAGCGAGAGCGAACGCGTTTCGTAAAAATCGAGGTCAAAGGTGAACAGTTCGGGTTCGGAAGCACGTGGTGAAAATTTTTTAACGGCTTGTTCGAAACAGAAATTCAAATGGACCTAACCTTTTGATTTGTATAACCCTCCCACTCTTCTACCAGACGTCCGACTATCAAAGGTAATATCAGATCTATTATACTAAAAGAAGCATGAAGTTCGAACACTTTTCTAAATGTTTTATTTTCCAAAATCAACAAATAAAATAACCTAAAAATATTCAGATCAGATAACGGAGATGGAACAACGGAACTTATTCGGGTCTTTGCGTTGGTGTGGAACGAGCGATCGGCTGAATAATATCAGCATTCACTACCGCCTTCTGCGGTACTAGACCTCCACTGACATTGGTTTGGCCTCCAGTGTAGGTCAGGCGACCTTGGACAATAACCCGGGTTCCTAAAAATAGCACATTCATACTGTAACACCATCAAGTCAACATTATCTGAAAATGCCGACAATTGAAATTCGAACCTTTTTGAACATTTGCGAGGACGTATCGTGACAACGGACCGTGAGCCACAACGTGATGGATGTCGGTGTGTTCTGTAAAAGATCCATCAGCTCTTCTTTGTTCCAAGTTGGTGAACATATCAAACGTGCAGAACTCCTTTCCATTTCTGGCGACTCTCTGAAGCGGATTATTGGCCACGCCACCGAGAAGATGAACTGAGTTGATTCTGAAAACATTGAACTAAAATGAAGAATCTTATTCATCTTCTTGATGCATAAAATATACCTAAAAACAACAAAATTCAAGATCTTGTCTTTTTTACGCAAGAAAACTTACCCAGGTCTCTGTCTTCTGGGTCTGTTTTGAGCAGCATCTGGGTTCACCTCGGGTGGGAAGAGATTTGGCTGGTCTTCTGAATACTTGGACGAGGTGCTTGAGAAAGGACGAGCATTCCTCAACGCCTGGTAAGTAAAGGCAGAAAGACGACCTAGACTCATGTTCTAAAAAGAAACGATCAGACCAACTAATTAATAAGTTAATCAGTATTTATGGTAAAAACCCAGGTATCTTCGTTAATAACCACTTCAAAACTGGTTTATTGGAAATTAATGCCTATAACAAAAAAAAACAATACAATTTGCAACAATTATACTGTACACGAAGATCTATTCGACTCTCTTTGTAATCCTGGCCAGAGGCTGAACCAATTCGGCAGTTATCACTGCTTGTTTTGGGGTTCTGTTTCCAAGCTCATCAGCAACACCTCCAATGTAAGATAACCGTCCGTTTATCACAACTCGTGAACCTATAACCATACATATACAGTATATACAACGATAAAAAATAAAAAATAGAAACAATAGAAACGCTATAAATTACCTTTCTGCAAGTTATTCTGCACGAATTTCACCAATGGTCCGAAGACAGTGACATTGTGGAAGTCAGTAAACTCAGCCAGGGATCCGTCAACTCTCCTCACTTCTACATTCGTGGCGACTGTGAATGATGCAATATCCTTTCCGTTCTGTGTCTGATTTAGCCTGATGTCGGACGCGACTCCACCAATCAATTCGATTCTGTTCACTCTGGAATTTTTCTTCACCAATAATATTCTTCCTTTCTACAGCTCTCAAAAACCAAAACTAAATTGAAAACAAGACTTACGATGGTAAAGGTCTTCGATGCGGCCTCTCAGCAGGGTCTTCGTCAAATGTAGACTCTTTGTATTGGTTGAAACCTTTTGGAACAGCTCCGAATCCCTCTGAGAGTGCTTTGGAGGTGCTGATCTGTCGGATGGAGCTGGTGCATGGTCGAAGAGCTGATGCAAGACGAAACATTCTGTTCAAATTCTTTGTTTCGCTCTTGACTTTATCCAAATTCGCGAATTCTTTGTATTTTCCAAATTATTTATACCGAGTTGTTTGTTTTCGTGGTGGGATACCCACGGCAGATTAGTGTCTGAAGAAATCCTGGAAATTTGAAACTTTGATCATCAGGTTACGAATGACCAAAATAAAATTTGAAATATGTATTATACACCAAACCAATTCAAAATTCATTCCAAATATCTGGTTTTATCGTTGTTTCCAAACCCCGAACCTCTTGAACTTCTCGGGAAATTCCCGAGGAACGCGCTGGCTACTTCCTGACAGTAGCGCTGCAAAGACATCATATATGTCCTGAAGTCTGTTGTACAATGCTTTTAGTTTATATTTTGCTCATTGTCCCAGTAAATTGTCAAATTTTAAATCCTTTTATGGCTGGTGGAATGGGATTGTATGGAGGTAGGGAATCAAGATGCCTGGTTACGAAGATTGTTTGAATTTCTTGCTGGCTATTGACTCTAGTTGCTAGAAATGGCATATCCATCGGAATACTATTTTATTTTTAGGTCTAAACCCCTACATATACCAAAATTTAATGCAATACGAGCCAACCAGCATGATGATGAGTCCGTATTCTCTTTACACTGGTTACAACCCACTCGATTACTACAGTAATCTAAGCCCATTCAATCCATTCAACGGCCTGAGTCCTCTTCTTGGTCAGAGTTTGAATCCGAATGTTTTCAATTTGAATCAGATGGGGAATGAACTTCAACTTGGACAAAACAATCTTCTTCAAGCGGTTACCCCATCTCCGTTTAACTTCCTGCAACCTCAAACAGCTGTGAATCCGTTGAATTTTGATGGGTTATTTAAGCCCATTTATCCGACGCTTCAGCCGCTGATTAATCAGGGCTCTACGAACACAATGTTTGGAGCAAAAATTAATAAAAAAATACCGAGTAAGTATGCAGTCAAGGTCAATACGAAAAAAATTGTAAGGGAATAATTGTCAATAGGTCTTTATTAAATTTGACGTTATTTTAGAGTAAAAATCACCTTTCACTTTTGCCACGGTTAATAATTTCAGCGGTCGACAAAGATATCACCGACTTTCGTCGCAAGTCAAAAAGTCTTCATTGTCAATTATTACCACTCGATCCGCAATGTTCCAGCGCTTAATTTGTCCCAAAAATAAGCCGTTGACCGCCTGTAAAGCACTTATGAGGAATCCAAATGCCTGTTTCCCAACCCACATCACTCAAGTCTTCGTTTAAACTGGCATTTGATTGTAACATTCACTGTTTTAATTAAAGCGGGTCATAAAATAAAAGAAGGCGAAATTCTCTCGCTGCTTCGAAGCTCGGGTTTGTTTTAAATGCCTTCAAAACATTTCTTCTTTTCTTGCGCACCTTCTTATTATGCAGTCGACGAGGCTTTCGGTGGGCGAAGATTCCGAAAATCATGGTCCAGCGATGGCGATGGTGGTTCCTGTTGATGATGTTGGTCTGTGCTGAGGCCGGTCTACAACAGAGATTGAAACGGAGCGATCTCTTCCCTCCGGACGTTGATTTACAACCCGAAAACAAGACTGTTTGCGGAGGGCATGGAGTGAAGATGAACAATAAATGCGATTGTTTTTATCCATACACTGGTCCAAGATGCTCCGATTTTGCTTGTGGTAAGCATAAAGCAATTCATTGTTGTTTTTATCGGTGCTGAATTTACTTACATTCCCTTTTAGTTTAGTTTACTTTGCATTTTCTTTTTACTCCCGTAGAATCATCAATTTTACCAAAATGACCTTTAGAAGGTGATAAAATTGTCTTTTCTCAAACTTTCACCTTTAATAGATGACGGTGATTAAACGCTTTATAAAGAAAAACCTTAATGATGAATTAGCCGGAAGGGTTTTACTGTCGAATATGAAGATTCATTTCGTTCTAAAAAAACTTTATTATGATCAGCCACACGTAATATGACCTTGTAAATCATGACCACTTGAACAAGCGCAAACGCTGCAAAGCTCAATTCTCTTCTGAATTTCAGAAATGCTCTAAAATGACGATTTCCCGCTACCGAAAAAAACTGAACTCATTGAGAAAACTGGGCCGAGTTTTTGTCAAATTTAGAAGCTATTCACATCCCATGATATACCGATTGTGTTCCCATTTGATCTCTCATGATCGCAAATGTTGCTATCGAGAAGTTAACCAATTCATCTGCTCGATTAGACAATTCCTGCGTGATTAAACCAAAATTTAGGGAATTTAACAGTACAGTCATAGGAATAGTCTCAATTAGTTTCCAATCTTTGATCGGAAGAATCAAAATACATATGTATTGCATGTATGTATGCTTCAAACCAAAAGATGCCTCAAAATTTTAGAGCACGGCCTCTCCGTTGGTCCAAGATACGACCCGACTTCAATATTCTTCAATAAGAAATGCATTTGTGACGAGGATTGGTCGGGAGAGCTGTGTCATATCCCGATTGCCAATCAGTGTAATGAGCGGGGGCAGTATGTAAATGGCCGATGCATTTGCCATGGCTATTACTTTGGACCCAGATGCCAATACGTCGGGAAATGTGTGCACGGGAAATTAACTGAAGGAGTGTAGGTAAATCATAAGTAATAAAGAACCTTTTATGTAGATGCCAATGTTCATATGGCTACGAAGGAGATTACTGCGATCAAATTGTTTGTCATCATGGATATCCGGGTGAGTTTTTGATGAGTTCAGCGCTTGAAATTTGCTTTTTATTTGACATACCAGTTCTCCCTCGGGCAAAATCATACTGTGAAAACTTGAGCACGCTCTTTACATTCAAACCAAACGAAAAAAATTCGGCTTTGCATAAATTTCTTGGCAGTTTCGAAAGCGCTGTCAAAAACATCCTTAAAAAATTTGATGTAATTTATGTCATGTATCAATCACTTCTACTGCACTTTCCAGACAAAAACAACACCCTCAAACGATGCATTTGCCCTCCCCGACATACCGGCCAATTCTGCGATGAGTGCTTACTAAAAGAGGAACACGTTCTTCCCTTTCCAAATTGCACTTTGGAAAAGGTCCCACTCAAAGTGAAACTCTCCAGAATCAAGACGAACCAACTGATCTTCAAGAGGATCCTGATTATCCTCTTGATCTTTGCCGTTCTCATTGTTTTAGTGGCTGTAATGTATGTCTTGAATTGGGGGCACAAAAGAAATCAAAAGATGGATAATGCCGAATTATTGAGACAAAATCTGGTGAATGAGAGGCAGTTGATGCTTCAGAACATCTTCAGTCAGAATAACTTGGAGGTCCCGAATGATAAATTGGGAAGAAGGTGAGTGATTACCGTAAAGTCATCATAAATTTTCTTAATTCCAGAAAGAGTAGCCAACGATTCTTGGACCCAAATCGCATGGACCATTCGCTCTTTTAGTCGCAATTCCTTTTATCTATGTTTGTACACATTGTATTATCACGAATCAGCTCATAAAACTGCCTAAGTCCTTCGAATACCTACTACAATATATTACATAAGTTTGTGTTTTGTTCGTCTGTTATGTCATTCATTTGTTTTCAAAAAATAAACGATTTGAGTTTTGTTTTTCGGGATGGTGTCTTATTCCCGAATATTTATTTTCGGCGCCGCAGAAAATAAAAATCTTTAAAGCGGATGTGATTGAACTTGTCCTCGATTTATCGAATATTTATTCTCGGATTGTTTGAACTCCACTTGTGCCCGTTTTTTTGGGCGATGCCGAAAGAGGGGTAACTCGGGTTTACTAAACGAAAGAACTCGAGTAATTTGGTCATCTTGGCGGAACTTTTGGTTTGGGATTTGAACTTGGGAAGGTAAACTGTTCTCAGATGTGTGTGCTTCCGGACTTGGTGTTCGGCTTACACTTCTTTTATTATATTTGTAGAGTAAATCCTCATAATCAATGACTTTTGATTACCTTTTACCATTTACAAACTTTGGCTTCAAATGCTTTGACTTTATGTATTTTTTTGACTCATGGATAACTTTTTGAGAGATCGTTAGATAAAAATAATATTTTTAGACGAATGAGGTCAACGAGAACCACGCAGACCCTACCGTAATTCCAATGCCCTCCGGATGAATTGTCGAGGACCTCGGCGTTGGCTAAACCTGCTGCTGTTTCTGTTACTCCTACAGCCTGTCCCAACAAGCGCCATCGACCGACTCAGCGCTTCCATTTTCAAATTTATTTACGGCCACGAAAGCATTTGTAAGTCCGAGGCATGGAAATTGCAAAACTTTAGTTTTTTGGAAGAAGCTCATCGCCGTTTTTAGTTCTCCTTTTATTATGTAACCTTTCGGAAAAAATATCGTTGAAACATGACTCCGCTAAGCCTACAAATTATCGGTGAAAATTTTTAGGGGTTGATGTATATAGCTCATATGTAGCAGGGATACAAACTATGACGGAGATCAGGTTTAGGTGTTGGAATTAATTTGATTTCAGGTGGAGACCAATTCGGAGACCTCGCCTGGATGCCGGCACATGATCATTGCGAGTTGAATTGTGACCTCCTGACCGAGATATGTCAGTTGTCTTCAGATAAATCAAGTTTGGTGAAACAACGATGCCTACAATGTGAGCCCTTACATTCTCCTTAAGACCCAACTTTATCTCTTTCGCATGCTTTAAAACTTTTCCCTGTCACTCACTACTTACAGTACCCCATGACTGCACCTCCGCCCTCAGTCTCCACCTCTACAGTCTCGGTCTGACGGATAAACGGCGGACGGAACCGAGATTCGATGGGATTACAATCTCCGGCACCACCAATGACAATATGCATTTCGGCTTTTCAACGCTAAAACCGACCACTTTGGAGCCCTTGAAGCCGAACGGCTTGAGTATAAAACATATCAAGGAAGAGAGGGTTACTGTGACATCCTCACCAGAAGCAGCCTTAATTGAGGGCCAGTTCAAGGAGTTTCAATCAAATTTCAATGAATTTTTCGAAGGAGAGGAGACGGAGGGTGAGACTGTAAGTTTATTTAAGTCGTCATTTCAACATGTATGAACACAGATCGATCCACAAGTCACACTAATGTCGCAAGAACCCGAAACAACAACTCAAATCCAAGAATACAATGATCAGGCTTATGATAATAACATCTTCATGAGCGATAAAAATATCTTCGAGCATTCACCGGCACCGGAAATATCCACAACTCAAGCCTTCGAGTTCCAGGAAGGTTTGTTATGTTAAGAGCTACGGCTTTATTGTACTGAATGCTTCCAGTCACGGACAGCCGTCTCGAAATGCCTTCTTCTGTCCCAACACCACCCTCCGAAGTCCATATTTTCGGACCACCTTTCGTGGAGAAACAACAGTAAGATAATTTTTTTGGCTCTTCCACAACAGGGTTTTAAAATTTTTATCTTATACTAGACAGTGAACTTGATCAATTTTTATTCTTTAAAATATTACATATTTGCAGTGCCGCACCGACTTTCCCACTCGATTCCATCTCGGATCTTCGACGACTACCCGCAAGTTTGGGGGAATTTGATAAGTAAGCAACGCAACTTTTTTAGACAAATTTTTATTTTCCTACATTTTGTTCACATTAATTTAGAGAACGAGAAAGACAACCGTGGTCTTGGAAAGATCTCTCGGATCGACTGAAAAGACCTTGGTCGTTGCGTAAGTTTACAATCATATCACCATCAATGGTTTACTTTACTAGAACCGCCCGATAATAAATACTAAATACGTTTTAGAGAATCGGCCAGACAAAGATTTGAGTCATCGCTGTTGCCAATGGGCGTTGGACGGGCTGTGTGACCGGAGTTGGCAACGAGTTCGAGTTCTCTGTCCGAAAAGTTGTGGGAATGTCGTGTGTTCGTGTAAGTGCCCAATCAAGTCATCAAATCTCTCATTTTTTAATATGGTCCGACTTGACTGGACCTCATCACTTAGATCGACTCTTCGACGATCCTTGCGCTTTCCAATCTCCAATAATTTACACTAACCCAATCCTTTCAGCTGCCGACGGGGCCCTTTCGTGTAACCGCGCCATCGATGTGGATGTTGTTGACTGTTACGAAAAGAGGAAACATAATCTTCAAAGCATTTCCAGTCGATTCTACGATACTCAACCATCTTATCACTCATTCCAAGAGGAACCAGTCAATCAGCTAAACATACTGCCCGAGGAGATGCACTTTGGATGGACCACTACCAAGACAAACACGGTCCCACCTCAATACTTTTCGACTGCGCCCGCCTTACACAACAGGATGCCTCCAGTTCAACGGGCTTACGCGGTAGAAGCGGAGATCAGAAAGTTTAAATCAAGCAGAAATTTTGGATAATATTTAAACTCAAATGTAAAGTAATGCAATAAATTTTAATATTATGCAGAATTGTCATTGCCACGCAACGCAAAGACCAGCCTCTATTTTCTATTGGTATTATACTTCGTTATACCGATTTCAGGCATCATATTGAATTTATAAACCACCTTTGTCACTCTGTTTCAAAATTTCAAAGTCCCGTTTTTCCCTCCGGCCTTAAGAAGCACCGAAAGAAAACCATGGATATTGGAATTGAAAAGCTTGGCAACCGTCAATTCAGCCAGAAAACAAAAAGGAAACCCGTTTCCGACCTCATACGCGGCTAAAGTAATTCAAAATGGGCGCTGATAAGGATAATGTGATCGTGGCTGTAAGAGTTCGGCCATTCAATGATCGGGAGAAGCAGAGAAATGCCCAGCTCATCATTAATATGCCCAATAACACTGTTACCGAGATCAGGTATGTGATTGTCGGAAACTGAAATGCGGTACAGCATACAGAATGCAATGATTTTGATATCAGTTTGACAATCCTTTAGAGACCCAAACAACCCAAATGACGAGCCCAAGAGGTTTACTTTCGACCACAGTTATTGGTCGCATGATGGCTACAAAACCGAGAAGAATGGTTATTTCAGTCCGGCTAATGAAAAATACGCCGACCAGGTGAGGTTTACTGAGCATCATTATGAGTAATCATTTAGAAAAAAGTGTTCGACGATTTGGGAAAAGGAGTCCTGGATAATGCCTGGAAGGGATACAACTGTTCCTTATTTGCCTATGGCCAGACTGGCTCGGGGAAAAGTTATTCTATCGTGGGGTTCAACAAAAATAAAGGTAAACTTTGTAATAAGATATTATGATTATATAGATTTATCGAAAGTCGGATGCCTTATGATAATTTCTAGGTATTGTCCCTATGGTATGTGAAGACTTATTCAAAAGAATCGACAAGAAGAAAGAAGAGAATCCGGAAATAGAATATCAAGTGTCCATCTCGATGTTGGAGATCTATTGTGAGAGGATTCGAGATCTTCTTAATCCAACACCGCCACCAAAGGGAGGCCTGAAACTGAGAGAACATCCCAAGACTGGGTTCTACGGTAAGAGACAAACGTTACAAGACTTCCCTACATAAGAAGCTTACTTTTCTATGCCAAAAATCACCATATTTTCAGTGGAAGGACTGAGTAGTTCGCCAGTCAACTCTTACAAAGAAATTGAAGCCAAAATCAACGAAGGAACAAAATCTAGGACCATCGCGGCGACAAACATGAATGCAACTAGTAGTCGGTAAGAAATTGATGAACAAAAAATATAAATTTAGTGCCCACACAATTGTAAAATTACAATTTGTTCAAAAAACCGCCAAAAAAGGAGGAGAAGGAGCGACAACCAAAACCTCCGAGATAAATCTGGTAGATTTGGCTGGGAGGTGAGGCTAATTTAGACGCAAATTATGACTTTTATGTTAACTTTTAAGTGAGAGACAAAAGGACGCCGGATCTGAAGGAGACAGATTGAAAGAGGGAATCGTCATAAACCAATCCTTATCGACGTTGGGAAGAGTCATCAAAGCACTTCATGATAAACAAAATTCGAAGAGGACAGTCCAAGTAAGCATCAACTACCAGTACTTAAATATTTCAGGTGCCATACCGAGACTCTGTTCTCACCTCTCTCTTGAAGAATGCTCTCGGTGGAAACAGCAGAACTATTATGGTAAGACAAGTCTTTATACCGCGATTACTTTCTCACTTTAGATCGCTGCGATCTCCCCAGCTGATATTAATTACGAAGAAACGTTGTCCACACTGAGGTTTGCTGACCGCGCGAAATCAATCAAAACAATGGCTGTGGTCAACGAATCCGCAACCGAAAGGCAAATCCGAGAATTACGAGAGGAAAACGAAAAATTGGCAAAGCTTATCAAGAAGGGAGCTGTCGATGGATCAGCGGCTAGTCAGGTAAAAATGATTTTTTTATAATTATTAAAAGTCGTCCAAATTGCTGAAGTATTAAAATTGAGACCTAACTTGTTCCAAATTAGTCAGGATTGCTCAAAAAAGCACTCCGCAAAACTCCGTCCAATATCTTAAAGCAATATTTATACCCTACTGTTAGGAGAAGGTGGATTTTATGAGTTTACTCCTTCGACAACAATACAAGTCAAAAAAATTGCCTTTTTCTTGTGTACTCCCCCCTTTTATGGGCACGTTCCCGAATAGAAATATCTATCTGTATGTTCGGGATAGGGCCAACTTTATACGGGTAAACTTTAGAACTAATCTTTTGAAAAAATTTTCATGCTGACTATCTAAATTTAGGATGAATTGGAGAGTCTCAAACAGCAGCTGGCCGAGAATCAGAAGGCGATGGAGGATCTGGAGAAATCATGGCAGGAGAGGCTAAACGAGGAGAGGAAAAAGGTTTGTAAAGCGATAAAATACGAGTATCTTTAATTAAAAAAATAATTACAGTACGCCGGAGAAGACCGTGCCGAGATTGAAGCCAAAAGAAAGACCGTCGCCCATATGTGGAATCTAAACGAAGATCCCGCTCTAACAGACATGGTCGTTCATTTTATTCCTGAAGGAGAAAACAGAGTTGGCAATGGGCAGAATGGACAATCAGCCAACATTGTGCTCAAAGGATTGAGTATTCAACCGGAACATGCGATAATCCGGAATAAGGACAACAAAAAGTTTACTATTCAGCCAATAAAAGGGGCTGATATTATGGTGAATGGAAAACCGGTGGTGGGGGAAGTTGCGCTCAATCAAAACGACAGGTGAGAAAGTATCCGAGAAACAAATTAATACACGGAAAGTCTCAACAATTGATTTTGTAGAGTTCATTTTGGTGGCAACCATCTTTACGTTTTTGTGAACCCGAAGAAAGGCGGGATCAAAACCAATCAAGAGATCACTTACGAAATGGCGCAAAAGGAAATTGCGAAGAATGTGGGCATAACTGGAGGTCTAAGCAAGGGAAAATCAAAGTGTAAGTTACCTTATAAGCAAGCAACAGATTATTCTACTATCAGATTTTACGATTATTTTACTTATTTTATGTTGTCAAAATTTCAGCTGGAACTTACTTGGAGGAAGACCTTATCAACCTTCTGCCCAATGTCTACAGAGCCAATGCAATGGCCAAGGAGCTAAAAAGGAATGTGAACTTTGAGATTGTTCTCATGGCACCAGAAGCTCGAGGTCAAAGTGATGGGGATACGGAGGTAATCCATTTATTCAGATTAAGTGTACTGTAATTCCCTTGTAATTTAGCGCCCATTTTACTAAAAATCAAATTCCAGATATGTGTTCGAGTCACAAACAAATCAGACGACACAACTTTCCTCTGGGATGAGCACAAGTTCATGAACAGGTACTACGGAATGTCCGAGATGTATCAAAGTTACATGGACAATGATCCCCAATGGAATCTTCCAAGGGACAAAGACCCGTTCTACGAGTCAACAGACTCCTCGGTGGATGTCGGCACAGCTACCGTGTATCTGAGAAGCCTAGCATTTTTGGTTGAGGTCGAAGAAAATTATCCGATAAATGATATCCAGGGAAGTGAGGCCGGACAACTTTCAGTGGCACTAACACCTTGTAATGCTAACGGGAAGGAGATTCTGGGCGAGTTCGTGGAAGATCCGATGGAATTGGTGGGTACAATACGAAAGGAAAACAAATAAAAAATGTTTTAGGTCGGACAAAATCTGGGGTTCAAAGTGAAGATTTTAACTGGATTAAATTTACCGCGGAGAGTGAAAGAGACCTGGTGTAGATACCGCTTCTTTGACAGAGAAGAGACCTCGACTCAGAAGGCCAAAGGAAACAATCCAGCGTTTGCGCATGAAGAGTTGTTCATGTTCAAACCGGTTTCCAAAGAGGTCAGTTGACAGTTGGAATTCTTTGTATTAATATACGGCATCAGCCCTACGACTAAATAAACCTTTTCAGTTAGTCGAATACCTCCGAGATCAAGCTCTTTGCATCACAGTTTGTGCTACGCAACGGATCAAAGAGAACGAGAAACATACAGCCGAAGTCGTGGAGAAGATTAACAACTATTTGGACGAAGGAAAAGCGAAAAAGAGATCCAAGTCCAAGAATTCGGTGAAATCAGCAAGAAGAAAATCAAAGGACGGAAAGGAAAACAAGAAGGAGATCAATGGGAATGCCAGTTTCAATGGGAGCGTTTCCAGTAAAGATACTGCAATATCCGAAGAGAAGCGAGAACCAAGAGCGGCGGCGGAACGGCCCAAACCAACGCTGAATCGGGACTCCAAAGCTAATGACCATCACGACCGAGAGAATGGAAAAAGGTAAACAAACTTAACACTAAATAACGGCTCTCTTAATACAATATTCATTTTCCAGTAAAGAAAGAAACGGATCAGCCAAACGAGAGTCCAGCAAAGATCGCCGTCAGTCCAGGTCTACCGACAAAAAGAAACGAAGCGCAAGTGAAAAGAGGAAATCGTCTAAATCAAGGAAGAAACCGTCCGACACCAAGTCGAATTAACTGTGATATTTTTTCTGATGCATAAATATTGCAAAATACGTTTTGACGCATTTACACAAACATTTCAGTCTAATATATATCTCTTTTACCGTACTTATCAACAAGAAACAAATCAACAATAATAAATTCAACAATCAAATGGAGATCTCTTCAATTCTGAATCTCCATTTCTTCAGATCAAACTGAATATTTAAATTCTTGGCCAAATCGTCTCTTCTGAAGTGAATCCACTGTTGGCTACCCCTTCTCCATCGTATTTTCTTGTCATCTACATCCAAATTCGTGGACATATCTTTCTGTAGTTCGCCCGTGGCCCACCAGAAAATAATCGCATCTGTTTTATCATCCAGTTTCAGATCAATTTCGGTGGGCCTTTCTTCACCAATCAGATCGAAAATCTTTGTTGTCGAAATTATTGTATTTTCGTATTCCCAAATAGGTAACAGCTCCAGATGATGATCAAATACGATGGGTAAGGGCCTTGAGAGCTCAACAAAGTCTGTGTAATCGAATTCATCCACTTTTGTATAATTGGAACGACGTTTGGAAAGATCGCCCAACTTGATTTGACTAGCTTGGAGATGAAGATTCTATAAAACGACATAATATACGATCAGGCCAATAAGCCATTCCTCCGTAAAACAAAATCTCTTGCCTCAGGAAAGATCCTAATATTAGGAGCGTCCTCTCGAATCTTCTTTAATATCTTCACGAATTCCATTGGAGATACTGTAGGATCCGAATTAACATCGAAAACAATCAACTCCACTTGGTCTAAAGGAACCTTATCTGTACTATCGACCATTTTTATCCGGTTTGAACATAACTTTCCAGTCGAATTTTGGAATTTTTGTCGAAATCTGAAGTCTGAATCCACGTGATAAATAATATTAGCCGAATGTATAAGATGCAACGATAGCGTGGAGTGACTTCCGAGTACCAGAATGCTCTTTTCCAGGGATAACTAAAATAAAACAAAACTGAAGCCTACTTACTTGGATGGCAGTTTCCGTAAAGTCCATTCCTTCATAATGATTCCACCGATTGATAGTTAACGGCGAAACAATCGAATGCCAATCACAAGAACACTCTCTTCGTATCCTCAGGGTCTTTCCCAGGCTATTCGAATCAAAATCAGCTTCAAACCAGAAGGAAACAAGATCATGGGAAGCTGTTATCTGTATAAAGTCGTATTGACGGACCATAATTGGATCATTGAATGGGAATAGCATTGGAAGCCAGTGGTTTCGCCACTAAATTACTTCTTTTACTCCTCAAAACGGAACAAAAAAATTAATTATAAAATAAAATCAAGCATGGAAACTGACCGCTGAATTCCCGGGCTCTGTACTTATAATAATCGATCCATCGCCAGTCATATCAAGCTCCCAGAAGAACAAAACCCCATCAATTTGACTGACCATATCATTGGTTATCTCTATTCGAAGACTTATCGATTCACTCTCGGCTAAACTTTGAAGCGACGCTAAATCAAATGACTTCACCAAAGTCTTCTCAGCTCCTCTAATCAAATCATCGGACAGTTCACTCCATTGGCCTTCTAATCCTCGTTGATTCCCAACACATTCTTCTCGTATTTGGCTTGGGATAACCGAAGAACGTCTGAGAAAATCACTCTCGACAGGGACGATATAAACATTGGCTTTGGCTGGAACTGCCAAGACTTTTGCGCTCAACAATTCCTTCAGAGCATGCCTATAGGTTGTAATCAGATTCTCGCCGATCAATTCGGAATCAACCATTTCCGAGACGAGCACATTAAACTTGAATGTAGATTCTAGAGAATGAAAATGTTAGATTTCATAAATCGTACCATACTCAGTTGATATCCGGTTGATAAATTGGATTTTTTCCGTTAGATTGTTTCTCTGCGCAATGTCTCGGCTTGTCCCGAAAATAACAGGATCCATTTCTAAGGCTGTGACACTGTCCGCATCAGCTTTTGCACTGTAAAAGGAGAGCAGCCCCGATCCAGAGCCTAAACAAAGATCAAAATAAAACATAAATTCCGAAACTTGTAAATAAATTGGTTTTAAGGATAGCACTTACCAATGTCGAGAACATCTGCCCTGTGCTGTTCATTCTTTGCCTTCTGAACCGTAATTTCGATCGCTTTTCGATATTTTTCATTCCGATCCCAATCAAAAACCATGTCCTCAAAGTCGACCCAAGCCTCGGCTTCTGATGATTCTGAACCTGAATCCATTTCTTCTTGAATTCAGGATAGATTCCGTAATTCTGAAATCACGCCCGAGAAGAAAATTCTTATTTATTTTGGACGAAGTGACACGAAACTATTGGTTTTTTGACACTTCGCTCACTGGAAGAAAAGAGTGTAGAAACTGAATAGGCGCGTCAAAGGCGAGAGAAGAAGAGAAAAACGAAAAGAGAGAAGGGTGGTAGGTCGTTTGATAGAGAGGGAGAGAGCGAAAAATTAACTCCAAAAGAGCAAGTAACCCATTTGAAGCGGAAAGCCGAGATTTCTCTTGTCGGAAGTGCGAGCTTTAATCGTCGGTTTATTAACCCAAGTTTGAGGTTAGCTCATGTTTCGGCTCGGATATTTCTGTGGCTGATGAAGAGAAATTTTGGAACGCTTTGTGGTTTACTGCGAAGCACATATTTCTATAAGCTGTGACAAACCCGGCTGTTTTTTTTTGAGTTTTATTACAGATGAAAATTTACAATTTCTCTTTGTTGACGGAGTACTTGAATACATCTGGCCGATTATAATGTCCTACAGTATCCAAATCAAACTTCCCACGAATAATTTCATCTAGATCCAAGTCCACTATGTGAACTGTAGCTTTGTTGAAGACTGGCTGAACTAACGCCTTGCCCAATGGCGACACAACACAAGACCCTCCTCTGATCAATACTTTAGAAGTTCCATCGCCATTTGGAGGTTCGTAACTTGGATGATCTTCCGGGAAATCAGAAGCAGTCAAGAATTGACAAGATGATACCACAAAACATCTTCCTTCCAAAGCTATTGTGGTCATAGTGGGAAGCCAAACATCTCTATCGTCCACAGTTGGGGCCAGATAGATTTGGACTCCATCTTTATAAAGAGAAAACCTGAGTAAGGGCATGTAATTCTCCCAGCAAATAGCCGCGCTGATCTTGCCGAGTTTGGTATCGATAACTTCAATGGTTGAGCCATCTCCCTGACCCCAAACGCAACGTTCCAAAGCTGTTGGGATCAATTTTCGGTGCTTCCCAAGGTGTTTTCCAGCTTCGGAATAGTAAAATACCTAAAATAATTTATCTGCAAACACTTTAATTACGACAAAAACTTTCCTGTTTTACAAACCTCCATTTAAACTTTACTTACTGAGCAGTATAATGTCCCTCCTTCCTTCTCGACAACTCCAATCACCAAAATGACTCCATTTTCCGCCGCAATTGCCGCCAATTCTTCTGATTCTGGCCCTTTATATTCGATGGCGCTGTTATAATATTTCTTGAATTCATCCCGTCCATCTTCACTCCTCATTCCCATCTTAATTCCAAAAGTTTCTCCCTTGATGTACCCACCAATAAAGGCTTCTAAAATGGCATTAAACACCGTGCTTTATTCACAAAATGGCATCTACAATTACAATCCTAAATAGAAAAGCTTACCAGGAAACAAAACGAGTTCGGCGCCATCCGCAGCTGCTTTCTGGGTAATCTCCCGCACTTTTTCGATGGTTTTCTGTGTATTGTAGATGACCGTTCCATCCTGGACAACAGCAACTCTAACCATGACGTTATGCTTAGAAATAACAATAAACTGAGAGTACTAAATAAGGCAAACGTTTTTAAAAGGCGATTTCATTCGCAATTACAGTTTAAACCCCTCGAAAAGATCACGTAGGCAGCAGGAAGGAGGAGAAGTGGTGAGTGCTCGATAAAACGTAAGTTAGCGTAATCGTCCCCGAGATTGCGTCAAAAACCATGGCAAATTAGAGATAAAAGGCCTACTACAATATACAAGATGTCTTGATTAGGCAAGCTACGGGTTAAAAAAAAATGTGTAGAAGAATGTCGACTTACTCACTCGAAATGACACCTCCTAAGCAAAAACATTCAAAAATTTGAGAGTTTTCAGTCAAACCCTACCGGGGACAATAATTGATCATTACAAATCTGTCTAATATCCTGGAACAAAACATACAAATATCTAAAACAAACCACTGAGATGTTGATCAAGATCCAAAGAGACAAAAGAACAAATAAAAGAATATTTTTTATCCAAATATTGTGCTATGACGACCGATTTTCTAGATGTTTGTCAGACATGTCTCAAAGAGCGCAACTTTTGTCCCGGTTTCAGAGACGGTCGATTTCCAGTCCTTTCGTGTTTATCTGGCCTCACCTGACATCTGAATCTAGGGTACCGTCAAAAAATGGTAGTGAGAAAAGATGTTATGCCAATACTGCCTCGTCCAGTTGATATCACTTCGCCATTAATTGACTTGCAATTGAGCCACGCCGAATTGTCTTCTCAGGAAAACAAGGATTTATTCCGTAATACCTGGTTGGACAGGGAGGCTCCGGAAATGTTGAAAGAGGGCCACCGTATCGCGCTTACAGCAGCTCGTGGTCTCAATCGAGGGCATTTCTTCGCAAATGCTGGTAAGTAACCTCTGGTTTTTTCTTTTGATTACTGTATTTAGGGGCTTATGCAAATCTTTATGGATTGATCGATGGTGTCACTTGCAACCAGTTGTTCAGCACTTTTTCCAATTGGTTTGCTGGTCCAGCTCAAACCTTGAAAATGAGTAAATTTGCTTCGTTCCAATACGTCTTCAACTACATGATTCCAATGGCGTTGCAATTCACTTTGGCGAGGAAATTGAATGTCGACATGGGTGTTGTGCATCAGATTCTGGAGTTGTGCGATGAGATCAAGGCACTCGAAGAAGAAAGGTGAGGCTTTAAGACGGTTTTTGCAATCCTTCTTAATTTAGGCAAGATCTCACCGAAGCAGAGACCACTCTCCGATTGATGTTGAGGCAAATCAAGGAGACGTCTCAGGCCGCTTAATCCGTCGACTATTAATATTTTTTTGTTGTTATATTGTTTACACCTATTAATAAATACTCATTCATTACAAGACGTTATTTATTCACAATATACCTGTATTTCAATCATATAGCCACCAATCATAAACGAAGAAGACCGGTTTCTTGGACATTACCCATGAGCAGCACAACATGAACAATAACAAAGAAAATCAAAAAGTAAAACGGCGAAGGAAAGACCATCCAAAAGGTGATTATGAGACCATTATAATAACAAAATTGTATACTGTGATATCTTCTCTATTTGAAAATCGGATTCTTTCTCATCCCAAGGGACTTTCTTCTCTGAGCAGGGGGTGTACAATCGACTTCTGGAACCTCTGTTTTCACCTCCATACCCGTGTGCTTCTCCACAAACTCCGCCAGACTCTCTCTGAAGCTTCCATACTGCACATATCTGGTCATTCTTTCTCGAACCCACTTCGAGATCTTTGGCTGGGGATACTGGAAGCGTTCATCGACCAAAATCAAGGCTCCCCAATCATTTCTGTGTCTCAAACATCTCCCAAGAGCCTGATTTAGGGCTCTAAACGCCTGCATCGAATACCATTCGGAGCCTGGGAGAAGAGTCATCGACTTGGCGTTGAAGTCGTTAAAGTACCGTTTCTGTGCGACTTGTTCATCTTTAAGGTTGGGGAAGGGGATTCCAATCGAAATTACACATCTGGCTTTATCGTCAGCAAAATCGATGCCTTCTGATACCTGAATTAATAATATAATATCATCATATTCAACGAAAAACTACGTTCTACACCCCACCTACCTTTCCTCTAAACACCGCCAACATCAAAGCCCCAGTCTTTCCTTTATTCGGCGTTTGCGCGCATCTTTCATACTGTTCTTGGACATCCTGCATTTCTATGGAATTCTTCGGTTCTTGGAAGACATCTTTGATCGCCTGGAGTCTTACCATCAACCCAGATGTTGTTAGTTGTGTCACAATATCATCCAACATTCTATATGACGCAACAAAGCAAAGCACTCCTTTTGGGACTACTTGGCACACATCGAACACCAGTTTGGCCAATTCCAATTTGATTCCAATGTCGTTTTCCATTTCTTTGTAGGTTAATTTCAGTGCCTTATTACTCGGGCCAAATGGGAGTCCAGTGGCAAAGATCCGTTCTCGATCGATTAGTTGGTCCCCTTCCATTTGAAATCGGAAATCCATCCCAAGTTCCGTGGCGAAAGTGTCGATGGGGTGGAGGGTACCCGAGGCCAGGATAACACTTCGGCAATTGGCAAAGGCATCGCGAACCGACTGAAAACATCAAATCAGTACCTAATACAATATATTCCCTTCAAGTAAATTACACTTACCACCGAAGGTAACATGCACCACAAATTCAAAGTGACATTGCACCCCGGCACCAGGTAATTAATTGTTGTTTCTGGTGGCATAATCTGAGAATTGAAGTCATATCGACCCCTTGATGGCTCAATTCGAAGATTCGACCTTAATTTAAATATCAAACCATACAATTTGAACTCACTTATAATACATTCTGTTATTATCTTTCCCATAAAAATACAAAAAATAGAGAATCTTCTCCACACAAACAACAGTCGCTGAAGCCGGTAAGATTTGAGACACCTCCACTGTGATTGACGGAGACTCTGATCCCTTTCCCGTGATGGCAACAAAAGATTTCTAAAGCTTACATAATTCACATTATGTATGACCAATTTTAGGTACCTATAAATTCCAAACTCACCATCCAAGCTTTAATTTCTTCAGGAAAGCCGGGTTCAGCGATCCTTTTGAATAATTCGAAAGTCTTTGCCCAATCCAGATTAAACGATATCGGATACATTTGATTTCCAGATTTGGCTTTATGAGTAAGATCGGTGAAGATTTGATAGAACCATTTTAGAAATTCGCTCATCTAAATAAAATATAAAACGTCTCTCTTTCCCTCTTACATTCACCATCGAATGGTCCAAAGTAATCAGGAATTCGGTTGACGGATCCTCTTTATCCCTATTCAGCGTTGCTTGGTAGAATTCCTTTTCTGTTTGAAGTTTGGCCATTTTGTGTTTGAAGTCTGCCATAGCTGCAACAAGCTCGGTTTCGTTGAATTGGAAAGATGCTGAGTCCCGACAGACGTCTTCAATGTTATGGGCTTCGTCGAGGATTATGATCGAATTCTTGGGATGCACATCGGAGGAATTTCGAATGATCGGGTCTGAAACATAAGAGAATTTACACTTTATGTCTCTTCAATCTCCCTTCAATGACCTCAAAACTCATAATCTAATACTTGTTGACATTATTACACCTACCCAGAAGATAATTGAATGGGCAGAAGATGAGATCAGCATCAGGTGTCAGATAGCGAGTGGTGGCAAAATACGGGCACATCTTTCCTTTCCCTGAAGCCAATTCTTGCGTGATCTCCTCGATATCCCAGGCCAACGATAGCCGATTCTCCAGTTCGAATCTCAGACTCCCCTTTCGTTCGTACTTCTTGGACAGCGGGTCTCTCCAATCACATCCACTATTCCCTTTCTTTCCTTCTTTTATGAGATCTCGGCAATTCTTATTGATATCACCGGGCTTGTTGCGGATCTCCGCGTTGACACAGGTTTGATTTCGACTTGCCAAAATGGTATGTCTGAAAAAATAGATGAAAATGACAGACCACATCAGTTACTTTAACAACCCGGTGTACGCATAAGGTAACCTAGCGTATTCCTTTACCACTTGAGCAATCTGCTTGTGTGTTCTCGTACAATAATATATCCGGACACACCTAAAAACAGAAAAGTAATATAATAATTATATCGATCTTACGGCAAGCAAGTGCAACCATCTTTCTTCTCCTCCTCTTCGTCAAGCTCTTCTTGGCTCGGACCTCCGAACATAGGAAAGGAACTCTCGTTCATTGAATCACTTGCGGACCTTGGCTCCTCGTTAAACGCACTTGAAACTAAAAAAAATTCCCATTTCGTCTAGTCCAACATACTTTGATCCATTGTACTTTCGTTTAGATAGATTGGATCACTTTCTCCTTCAACCTTGATTCCATTCTTCTCGTCTTTTATAGATAAAGAGCTTTCATTCTTTTTGTTTTTCTTGGTTGCTGGCGAAATGGGAGAATCTTCCTTTATATCCAACTGAAGACCATGTTTAGGACATAGTTTACGCTGTTCTTTTCGTTTCCTCTGATAATCAACAAGCCAGGCTCCGGTTGATGCTAATAAGGCAAGAGTTTTACCTAAAATTTGGGAAACACTGAATGAAAACAGGTGTCGTCCAGTTTAACATTCTCAATATGGGTGAGATAACTTCGCATCGATCTAAAAAACAAGAAAAATACAAAAGCTTACCACTCCCAGTCGGACTCTCGATCAACGCATTTGTTTCCTGGCGCAGTGCCATCAAAACCTTGATCATCATCAACTTCTGAGTAGGATAAGGCGAAATGCCGGCTGGTAGCAGTATTTTGGACCCATTCATCATTAACTCTTGATAATTCGGTGCCGCGGATTGCTTGAGAGCTATTGACCGTCTCTTCTTACTAAAAGATGAAAGGGACAATTTATTTCTAGCTTCCAAATAAAGCCGTGGTAAACTGATATTCTTACCCATAATTCACTTCCCTCTTCCGTTCTATAAACTTCTCCATATTTTGTAGAAACAGTACTCAGAGAGTCCGCAAAAGCACGATTCCTACAAAAACTGAAATCTGTCAACTTCTTTTCTTTAAAAAAGTAGCAACCCGCGAGAACGACTTGACACATTTTGGGTTAAATGTGTCAAGTCTTGCCAAAAGAAAATTTTGACGTAAATTTAGCGGAAAAGCCGGTTTTAAAAATTTTCGACCGGTCAACCGGTTGCGAATTTACTTTGCGAACGCATAAGACTTTAGAAAATTCCTATATCTTTTTTGAAATTTGTTAGATTTGCTGATTTTTCCAATAGTGACATAACTTTCTTGCTATTCATTTTTTACAAATATTACAGCTGCAGCTGAATTTCTATGTCTTCGAAGAAATCAAGGCTCTAAAGACGAAGAAATGTAGCACCACCATCTTGCTCTCCGCTGTCCTCGATTTCAATCGTGTTTGCGGAATTACTCCCAGAATTGCGTATACCCTCTTTTGTCCAATGATTTCCGAGGTTATGCCAGTTTTAAAGACCCGTAGGTATGCAGAATACGGGTACAAAGGGTTTTCGGGCAATAAATCGAAAATAAATCGTGTTTGAGTAATTCCTCGGCCATTTATTTTGAATAAGCATTGGCCTAATCTAGTTGGCCCCATCCTATCTGATTTACGAGATGTTTTCATAGCCAGAGATATCCGATATCCGGGGTGGCAAAGGCGAAAAATTTCTTTTTACGATCCGAGACTCAACGTGCTCTCGAGACCTTTAAACAACGCATATTGGTTCCAGATGTGGCCGAGAGAGCACGGAAAGAGAGGAGAGCGCAAAGAAATGGAGAAGAATTCTGATTGGGAAACAAATTGGCGATAGAGAGGACGTACAGTACTTTCTAATGGGGAATTAGGAAACTGAAAGAGGAATGTGAAGGCATTCAATTATAACCTCGAAATGAATCATCAGTCTATTATGAAAGCCCAAAGTTTTGATGAGTAATGATAATTAGGTAAGTCACAAAAAAGTAAGTTTTTTTATACATCTCCGTCACGAAATAACGAACCCGATGGATAAATATGCAGGTTTATTGATCTTTGTCGGCGAATTTCCCCTTTTCTCAGCTCTTTTTTGGACTCTCGAATCACCTCCCAACAAAATTGGATTCCCGAGTTAATTCAAATGTCCGGAGTGATTGATCGCGTGGCCAAGCGCCGACCCCAATGAGGACACCGAGCTCTGGGAAGGGGAACTTTCGGAGGGATTACTGTAAGGGATTAAACAGTAATCTTGACTCGGCCAGAAGATTTGAGGGGCTCCTGAAGTTTGAGGAAATTCCAGGGGATTCATGGGAATTGAAGGTGCCGGAGGGGGAAGGCGGTCTGAAATACAGGGGATTAGAGGCTGCCATTTGTGAGACTGGAAAAAAGAATTTTGTATTACAATATTTTTTAATCGCTAACACGATTGATCCAAAAGTATCCAGTAACTTATTTACCCTGTAAATTCTCGCATGCTTTGGAAGTGCTAGGCCCTGGACATTTCATCACCGCATTCATCGCTTTCCTTTGATTAATTCCCGTCCTCCACGAGTTAAACGTTGCTGGGATGTTGATCTGATTGTTCTCATTTACGGCCAAATCAACGTTCAAAGTGTTATTTTCTGAGGCTAGCTGAAATCCAGAGTTTTTTAGTCAAAGTAATCGCATATTTTTGGCTTTACTAATTATGGAAAATTAGCTCACCTCACGTAAAAATTGAATATATTCTACAGTAACCCGAAGAGTGTGAATTTTACTTGTTTTGTCAGATGGTAATGAGGGGATCTTCTGTCGGAGTCTAGTGTATGCTGCGTTGAGGGCCTAAAAATACATGGCATATAGTTTTTATGCCAAAGATGTACATTGAATGCCATGAAATCATCAAAACTAATTTAAAATTCATAGAAAACAGAAAATTATTAGTTAGAATAATAATTACGGTGCACTCTAGAAACCTCTAACTCCTTTTCTAATTAAAATAGGCGCGCATTAATTCATTTTTAAGTTTTTATTTCCGAAAAATCTGAGCGCGGTAATCTGATACCTTCAAAAGAACAATAAAAGGCCAAGAGATTGATTCTCCGATAATTTAGCAGATCAAATGTCATAGCACATATAAATCAAGATCTCACTAGCTACAAGGCACTGCATAGAGTCCTAAAATACGAACCGACTTACCCGAGTTCGGTCCCTTTCTCTTTTATTGGCCCGTTCCCGTTGCTTCTGAAGACTGTCCTCGGTTCGGACTCGGTTCCTATCGTACACAAGAGAGCTGGAAGCGGCTTCCTGCGCCCTCATTCACAACAACTTGATCAATAAGTAGTAAAAGTAAATTGAATTTCACTGATCTATTTCGTTTCCGAGAGAGTTTTTTATCTGGCCAATCAGCAATGAGGAAGAGAAGAGAAGCTCCGCCCACTTTTCTGAAACAAAGGGGAGATTGGGGAGACTGTAGAAACAGAAATGAAACTGTAAAATACGCACAGATGAACTAAAAAATAGTAATCAGAACAAGATCCGAGAATACGGTCTAAAATGTTCAGTTAGATCACAAAATTGGAAAATGCAAAAATTTTGCGCCCAAGATTAGTAAAACAAAAAATAAAAGATACGCAGCGTAAATTTGAGTCGTCAATACAATCCGCAATTCCTGACAAAAAATTTTTAGGTTTCTTTTTACCTTTGGTACTATTAAAATTTCTTCAGATAAACTAGAAAATTATAGTCAACATTTTTTTTGCTCCCAAAAATCCCAAAATCTAGATCATTTGAAAACTATTTCGCGTACTTCTCGAAACCGAAAGCGCAAAGAAAATATTGTCATAAAGTGTATGGAAAAGTGAGAAAATTTATTGGTGGGATCGTTTTTGAAAAAGTTCTGAGGCCGCAAAAGTTTGGCCATAAAATCGGAGCGATCAGGCCGAAGGAGGGGAGGGTTGTGGGAAAAGGAATAATTGGGCCGGGCTTTATGACACCTTCCGTCGGAGAGTTTGTTTAGTTTGAGACATAAACTCTGATATTAATCATATTTCACATTTATGATGATTTTGAAAATACCATAATTTAGAAGTTTTGATAGTTAGATTTTTTTAAAAAACTCTACAATGCGCCACGATTCTTTGGACTTTACACCTTTATTATCTCTTAAAATCTTTTTAATCTCTCCAAATCCACCAATTGGCCAACGGTCAGATGTCTCCTCAATCTGTTAATATCTACTGCATTATAAATCATCGTATCATATTCATTCTTCAGCCGTTGGGCTTCGTTTAGATCTCCTAATTTGTTTCTTCTTTCATCCAATAACTCCTGACATTTCCTTCTTTTCTCCGTCAATTCTTTTAAAATGTCGCCAAGATCTTGAGCATCTCTGTAACGCTCTGCCCTTAGGCGTTGATCCAAGATTTGGGTGAGCATGTTTATGGCCGCATCTAGTTGGGCCAAGCGTTGAGAGAAAGGGTAGATTTTTTGGTTGAGACCGATGTTTTGGAGGGTAAAGTTGGGAGTTGCGGCCCGATTGGAGGCTGGACGGGTGGCTAGACCTGGAAATGATGACTTGCGGCTCTAATCGTAAGCGTAAGCTAAAAAAATCGCAATTATCTTACAGTTAGTAGGCGCTAATTTTAATTTCTCCACCAAAATCTACCCGTTACAATCAAAGATGCTCACACAGAAACAAAACTTGACTTACCCGAACAAATATCGCAAGTCGGGTCATTGCATCTCTCCGAAGGAACATAATCATTCTTCATGTAATTCCTGTTGTTACTCCCTCCATCTCTACTTTTCCCTCTCGAGGAACTGTTTGAGTTCCTTGATGCACTTGTTCTGACACTTCTTCTGCTCGGAATCCCCTCCAATCTTTGGTTTTTCTCCAAATCTTCTTGCCTAGCCCGATCGGCCAGCCGATCCAGTTGTTCCAAGGTGGCAATATAATTCATTAGTTAGCAGCAATAATCACAAAACGTATCACATTTATCTGAATACTTTTTTCTACAACATTTTGTTACATTCATTTACCAGAACAGACTTCTTTGAGCACAAATTCGGGGCCATTCTTTTTGGGACTTCATTACTTATGCAGCGAGATCACGGGAATCTCCATGGACAATGCTCGGGTCTCCATGGGAGATTTTTTGGAAAATTTGGAACGCGTTAAAGTGGCCACTGATAACAGTGAAATAAATGATATTAAAAGGGAAACCGGATTCAGAGTACAAATTGAGATTCAGAAAGAAAGATTCGAAATACGAAGAAATACAAACAAAAACGATGACATTTTAATGACAAAATTGATTAACAAGTTTCAGGGTTTGAGTAAAGCCTGCGCTGAATCCGTTGAGGGGTTTTCGGAGACAGAACTCAACTCAGACCTCGATTTTTTGAAGCATTCTCCCCATCGATAGGGCACCCAACAAACAACAATAGGTAAGAAAAAGAGACCATGCAAAAGACCAACTCCAACCACAGCAAAAACTGTCTTGGCAAAGGCCACAATCGCATAAGTTGGAACAAAAATCAGGGGTAACATACAGAGGACGGTGGAGAACCCGGCTTGAATCATTGGACCCGACATTTCGTGGATAGAATGGGCAATTCGAAGGTAATTGGAAGAGTATTGCTTTATATAATATTGATGGGCGATATGGGCTGTATAGTCCACACTGAAGCCGGTAGCGAGGAGGACGTCGACCATGGTTACTGGGTCCAGATCAGCGCCCCACCAAGAGATAAGGCCGACCAGAGCTAAACAGTGGCATTATAGCGTAATAAATAATTGAATTGGGTTATCATTTGATGAAGAATGATAAAATACTAAATCTCAATCCTTACTAAAGCAAACAGAAGTGATTGTAACAGCCACCAAGGCAACAGCAACTGGATTATGGATAAAGACTGAGCAGATGATTGTCATACACGCCACCGTAACCGCCATGGAGCCGATCAAGTCCATTTTTACAGTCAGCAAAAGGTCTAGAATAGCACTATCTCCATCATAGATAGTGGCGTTGAACTGGGGATATCTCGAAATAATCTCTCGGGCTTGTTGTTCAGTCACTGCCCGATTGGCCCATTCAGCTTGACCTTTGGTGATGAAACTGAATTGGAACGCAGAGACTGTTAGGGAACCACTGAAAGAAAAAATTATTATTTATCAAGGTGTGAAAGTTATTGTCACAAGTGATGACTATAATTTTAAAATTTTTTTTTACTTTTTACTTGTTGTCTTAATAAACGCTGGATGATCGGCATAGTCCAAAAACAGATCCAGATTAGTATAACTTAAAGAATAATTGGAAGTGTTGTAGCCAAGGTATCCAAAGAGTTGCGAAGTTTCGTAATCAAACTTCTCAAAGGCTCTCAACCAAAGCAAAGTTCGATTTCGACCATAGGAAGGGGGAAGATGCTCGAGCTCTGATACCATCTCGTAGAATGAAGACAGCTAAAAAATACGTATGTGGATACTCAAAATAGAACGTATAATAGTTTCTAAGAAATTTGGCTCACACTTAGATATGACTAAAATACGATCCAAAATTTCCAACTTACCTCCATCGCATTCTCAATGTTCGGCGGTCGATTTACAATTACATTTACCGGGAAGAATTCATTGAAAACGCTTCTCACAGTATCAATTGACTTGGCCAATGGAGAATCGCATGGGAACGCCTTGGAAGGCTCGAACGAGGACTTCATTGTGGCTACACCCCAATACGCAAAGATATGCATGACAATAAATAAAATTATTGCGATAACACGACCTTCGGTCGAGCAAATGAACTTGGAATACCAGAGAACATGGCGTGGCAGACGTTGAGAAGAGTTGGGAGAGTCGGCCAAGGCTGGAGTTAGCGGGGAGAAGTCTTTTTTCTCGTCTGTGGGGGTACAGAGGCAGATTACTGGGGTCAGCATGGTAAAGGTGAGGATGTAATCGAACAGGAGGGCAAACGAGGTGCAGAGACAAAAGAGAGACATCTGAAATATATTTTTTTATAATTTTACTGGTCGTTATTGTGTCTGTTGGAACCAAGACCGCAAAAAACACGCAATGATAGGCTTTACCTGAGGCGTCGGAGTAAAGAATCCGATTCCGAAAGCGATAGTATTGGTCAACGAAGTGATCGTAATTGATGGCCCGACGTGAGCAAATACCATCGCCGTTCTTTCATCCAGCGATTTAATCGATCGATGCTGGGACCATGATTGTAATATTAAAAAGGCATCGTCCACTCCAACTCCTTGCACCAAAAAAGGCACCACGCACATGATTGTGTAAGTTGGGAACCCCAGTAAAGTGCAGAGTCCAAAAGCCGCAACACATCCCAAAAAAGGGCAGAGAACAGAAGCGAAGACAACGATGGGGACAGAGACTTTACTCATCTTCCCAATCTTGTGATAAACTGTGGCGGTAACGAAAATTGAGAGTAAACCAAAGCCAATGGACATCAAGACAGTGGCTTCGATGGCTCCACGGACCATCTCTTTGTTGGCAATTTCGTCTCCGAAGATTTCAAATTTCACGTTTTCGAGGAAGGTCCCTTGCTGTCCCAGAAGGAAGATCTCCGAAGTTTTCTCGCTCAGACGGCGTTTGCCATACACAGAGTCGGCTCGAGCAAAATACCATAGAATAATCGTCTTTACTGAGGTGATCTTGGAGTTGTTTTGGGGGAAAATGTTATCTGAAAAATACCATAGGTCACAAACTTCTGAATCCTCGGAAGAACTTCTGAATCTCTCTGATACGCGAGACTATGGAAAACGGTGAGAAATGGATAGAGATTTGATTTTTCTTACCAGAAACTGTGGCGCCAGCCAGATTCATCCCCACGAACACATCAATCCCATTGAAATCAGCGCTGGGAAAGTCGAGCAAAAACCCTTTTCGACTCGTATTTTCGGATAATAAATGGTCCTAAAACAATACTGCAGATAATATGAGCCAAACTTACAGCGATCAGATGGAATGGTCGGTTAAGATTGCACAGTGGATCACACTGTCTTAGTCCAGTAAGTCCATCAATCTCGTGGAGAAATCCGGAGAAACTTTTGTCCAGTTTTAAAATATCTTTAAGACATTGCGGCCTCAAGACAGAGCCTCCGTCCTTGGCTGAGAGTAGGATAAAAGACCGCTGAGGAGAGGCTGTCAAATTGAAGAACTCTTTGTAAATTTTGTTTTCTCTGAAAGGAATTTAGATTGTTAAAGTCACCATTACAAAAAAATGAAAACTTTAAAATCATCTTCCAACTTACATTGCGGCTTTGGAATTGGTCGGTGAAAAAGATACCCGAATATCCAATTCGATTCTTAAATTTTTAATCCAGACTCCACATGCGGCAATCATGAAAAGGCTGAAGACGATGTGAGACCATGGATGGCGACTGATAAAGAAGCCCCATCTCCGGTTGAACTCGTCCATCTGCCCCGCAAAAACCATTTTCAAACTGGGGGATCTACCATATAGAGGTTGTTAGAGGCAAAAAGTAGCTTATATTTACAATCTCCTTTGTCTCACAGTCGAAAATAAATGTACCCTTCCTAAAACAAAAAAAAAATTACAAAAATTGGATGACATAAAATTTGAAAACCGTATATCTCGAGATGCGACAAACTTGATAGATTTTACTCAAATGTCGCCTATAAGATCCAACTAGACTAAGAATATCGCAAGAATTTCAAGTCGTGTTTTGCAAAGACAACCGAGATATTCAATGATCTCCAAGGGCAGCAAACCCAAAATCCTCGATGCCAAAACTCTCGATTTTTTTGCATATCATGAGCTAAAAATTTCGTATGGGTCTTCAAGAATTGGAATCCTAATTTTTCAGCAATTTCCTCGCAAAAAATGCCCATTACTTGTTTTATTAGAAGAATGCACCAAAATATTTACAAATAGTTACATTTCACGGTCGATAAATCATGAATAAAAAAATATATAGGAAAACAAAGCAGCAATTATCGAAAACGGAACCACCCAGGAAGGAATTACTATAAGTTTTACTATGGTCTTTGATGGTCTGTATACGGAGATGGTATGAAAAGTAAAAAAAGGCGGTTTAAATTAATTCTGAATTGGGCGAAGAATTTCCAAAGAATTCAAGGATTCTGTGTAAAAATGAAATTGGTTCGTGAGACAGTAATAGTCATGGGAAAGGGGCTTGTTGACAAAACGTTTAAAACTGCAGTCTTTTTTTTATATAATTAGGAAAAAATTGCATTTTTTCGAGAAAAATCAAAGAATTCCCAGCAAAAAAAGACTCGGCTATACATAGAATACAAATTAAGTTGTGCATTTTTTGTGTAGTTTTGATAAATTATAGCGAAATCCAGACGTAGATAGTATAGTTTCGTCTTGAGAACTTCCCACACAGAATACATTGCAAAAATAAGAAATTCCGATTATAAGCCATGGAATGTAGCTTAGGGAAAAGCCGGAAGTCCTCCCATAAAAACGAAGAAACGAAGACGAATATTCAAATCCAGGCTTTACTTGGTTGATCCCCGTGAAAGCGAGTAAACAAAAGTTCCGGCTTCGGAGTCGTCTCGATTATCGAAAAAAGGGATCGAAAAGCGAGTCACAAATCTCCACGACCAAATATTTTTACCGCGATTATTTTTTGGAGTCAGCTGGATTCGGTGAAAGCCCTCAAGGCTTAATGAAATTCCCGTTCCATCAAATGATAGATGGCTCTTGTCGAGGTGGTCTGGAGGTCTATGCGAAATGTGGTCTAGGAAGGGGACTCGACAAAGATCAAACGGGCTCTGGATGATCGATGGATTCGACGATGGAATTTGGCATTAATAAACGAGAGAAAGTACAGTGAAACCGACGTTTGGACGGGTTTAATTTTATTGGGCCAGTTCTCAAAAAGTGGCCAGCGAATTATTCCTAAATCCGTGCCTTGAATTTTGAGAACGGCCCTTGAAAAAACTAGGATTCATTGAAACATGTAAATATCCAAAAACCCGCTCAGGAGATTCTGAGCCTCCTTAGCATTCCACTTCTGTAAAACGTGAGGTGGCTAAGCATATGACGACTTCAACCTTTGGGTAAACAAAATTTTAACTCGAATACAATGATCTGTGAACAGAAAGAGAACGAAATTTCAAGCATATACGATGACTACTTGTGATCAGTAATCACTGTAATTAGCTTACAAAAACTCACGATTTATGAGTAAAAGCCCAATCTATAGTAAAAGTGCTGCTTTCACGTTTGAATAAAATGATCCTCCTCGACGTTTTCCTCCCTCTCCATCATCTGCGGCTACAAGAGGGAATGATCTTTCCTAAACCTCCATCGTTAATCTCTCAGATTTCCTTGAGAGATCAAAGAATCCGAGGAATTCGTCATTACCGTAATTCGTCGATGATTTGTTTCTCCCCAGATAAGTGAATTACCTCAATATTAGAGACGTCTGAAGAGTACAAAAGGAAAGTAATTTGGAAAGTGAAGGAAGTGGAGGGAAAGTGAAATGGGATGAGTAAGAGAGGGAGAATTGATTGAGTTCTTGAACCGAGCCGAAAAATATCTGGAAGTGAGAGTAGGCGTCGAACAAAGGGTAGATTGCGTAACTGGTTGCTGTTGTAGTTGGCTTGGGACAAGATTAATTTAAAAATTAGGAGGAAAACTTTGGAAGAATGTTTGACTAGTTGAATCTAAGGCAAAGATCGTTTAATATCTTGGTAAAAAAAGTTTTTCAAGAATTCGTGTGTCCCTATGCCCTGCATGCAAAATTTTAGGAAAATGTGAGTGTCGCCAGTTGGGGTATGTTTCTTGCAAGATAAAAAAAATTTAAAACCCTGTTACACGATGGAAAAATATATGACGGTTTGAACCAAGGGCACTATGCCCCTTCATTATACGCAAATATGGAAGAGTTATAGAGCTACAAACCTCTCTCTCTCTCACAGTGAAAGGTAATAATCCAGCCTCGGAACGGAATCCCCATTAAGGTTATGGTTTGCGAAGAGTAATTGAAGACTCTTCAGTTGTTCCGTATTCAAATAAAAGCCCATCTTCCGAACGCGGTAATCCCCTCCATTTGTGGATAAACTTGTTTTCTCCACATTGTACATCAACAGTTCAAGGTCAGGTGTACCCTGGGAACGTGATTCATTTTACAAAGTAATCGTGAAATTGGTTTATTTTTTTGGAGGTCAAGTTAAGAGCGTCTGAGTTAATTTTCAGTGTTTTTTGCTGCAAATGGAGGGCAATTTGTAATGATTTGTTTACAGTAAAGGAGGATCAACTGGAATTCCATTTACTCCACTCTACCGACTTTTCGGGTCAAGACGGATCGAGTCAACGACACGTCGGGTCAACAATACGTTTATATAGGTAATCGAGAGTTATTTTAAAAATTGCTGCGGGCAAGGCCATTGCTGTGGGCAAGCCAAGGGTATACGGAGGCGTTGCCGAAACCCTGCTGATGTTGTGTCCAGATAGCTCCAAAACGATTCCAGAGATTGGTTAATGGACCTGAAGGCGAAGCGGATATGAGGACAAGTCGTCCTGGTCGATGAAACTTGCAATGGACTTGTCATAGACTGGTTTTGCAGTTGTATCGAAATTTCATTTTACAGAAGTTCTACTGTAATTCCACAAATCTGTTTATTGCGGGTGTCACGCCAATTTATTTTCTTCTACAAAAAATCAAAAAAATAATTCGTGTCAAGTGTCTCCCTGGCCGGTTTGGTCAAGTGTTTCCCTCCGTAAAACACCTACCGTATCTTGGCAGAAAAACGGCGGGTGTGCAAATTTAGAAATAAAATTCATTATTTTTTTGCATTCATTATTTAAAAACACTCCGTCGTAGGTTGTGTCCAAATATTTCGGCCAAATTTGCGTGACTTTTATTGCAGCTGCCCCTTCCTTCTATTCTTGGATTATTATTTGCATAGCTTTTGGGCAATCTGTTATTCGAATCAAATTATGATTCATTTGTACTTTTAGAGATCAGCCGATTGCGATTAGTCTGTTGAACATAATTTATATACACAAAAGGTCAGAATAAACAAACAAAAAAGGTCCTTTTCGATCCAAAGAAGGCCAAAACAATTACAATTCAAACAATAATAGTCAGACGCGTGGAGATCGCCGCTTTCACGGGGTTGCTTAATAAAAGACTCTTCAGGGAGAGATTTGTGGAGAAAGACTGGGGCTTTACCAATAAGTGATAAAGGCTTCTTTGGATGTGGAGAATAATGCCTGAGGCGTTGGGGTGTGGGATGACGAGTAATGGAGAAAGTTTGGACCCCAAAACGAAGATCAAACAACGAACTTGCTCACATCAAAACGACATGAATAATCTATTGACGTCATCCACGCCCGACCCACTCCGACGCTCCTCCAAGGACATGGAATAATTAGACAATATTATTAATAGAAACTCTGAATCTTTAAACCCATTCGCAAATAGTCAGGAAAATGAAAAAAATGGAGAGGAAATGAGAAAAAAGGAAATACCCGAGGCTGGAGTGGTTTGTTTATAATTTAGCTAGTCCTTTACAGAGAGGTGTAAGACGACTCTACATGGTTTTTGAGGTGTTCGTAACAATAATTTGGAAACTTGGGGAGATAAACAAATACTTAGACATCCTAAATGACAAAAATCCTTGTCCAGACGCTTCCTATGGCCGTGGATCGTGTTCGGTTACAGCTTGGGACAATTACACTTCTCGTCTTGGCCGTAAATCGTTGCCGGTAATCGTTTTATCGTTGGCCATTCATCAGATCAAAGGCGTTGCTGGTTTTCTTGATCGGCTGTCCATTCACCATCAGGCCCTGTTGTTGAGCAGCCTTCAGTTGTTGAGCCTGTAGATTCCTCTGCCCATTCATGGCCAATGAATTGAAATGGCCATTGTTTGGCCCTACGTCTGGCGCTGTGTTCGCGGCAGCCAACAACATTTGTCTGAACTGTCGATGATCTTCGCTGATCCTCTGGCGATCTTGAGTTTGGGTCTGGAGATTGGTCGGGAGCACTTGGCCGCTGATTTGTCGGGCCAACAACATGTCCGCATCCATCATGCCCGTCGATCCCAAGTTGATTCCATTCTGCCTGGCCTGGTTCTGAAGCTGTGCCATCTGCATTTGGAAGAGATTCTGCTGCTGTTGTTGTTGTAGCTGAGCGTTCGATGCAGTTGGCTGGGCTTGCGAGACCGCCGCAGCATGTTGTTGTTGCTGACTCTGCTGCTGTTGCAGTTGAATCAGTTGCTGCAGACTCTAAAAAAAGTTAATTTTAGATCGCGAAATCGGCTCTGGGAAATGAATTTATAATATTACGCAATCGCAAATATTTGCTTAACCAAAAAATGAAAATTTTATAAAAACAATTCCCGGAAGTCTTGTGTTTTGGTCAAAATTACTTACTGGATTGACGCCACTCTGCAGCTGACGCAACAATTCAGCCTCCATATTTTGTGGAAACCCAGCCTGAGAGGTGGATACGGACGCAGCTGGCTCGTTCTGCAATTTAAACTATATAATTTTGTAGAAGAAACATTACAGCACAATTTTAAATCATACGATTGAAGTACCCCAAGTGCGAAACTCAGAATTTCTTACATAGAAAACAATTTTTTGGCACTTGGAGTACTCTCCCCGTAAGTCTAAAAATACGTTTAGGCAACTTACATGTTGTCTCTGCTGCTGCTGCTGTTGTTGTTGCTGTTGTTGTTGCTGCTGTTGTTGCATTTGTTGCTGAATCAGTGCCAGGATTTGAGCATCAACGTTATTCGCGACCTGTCCGCCTTGTTGTTGTCCGCCCATCGCCCGTTGCCCCAGTTGTTGTTGCAACAATTGAATTTGTTGCAGCTGCGACTGGTTCTGTTGTTGTTGCAGCTGACTCTGAACTTGCGGTTGTTGGGCCTGTTGCTGTTGTTGTTGCAGGGCAGCAACTATATTTGCAGGCAATCCCAAACCAGCCAGTTGTTGCTGATTGAGTTGCTGTTGTTGAGTTAGTTGCTGCAACATCAACTGAGCTGCCGGATTAACATTCTGCAGATTGAGGCCTTGCAACAGGGCTGCATTTGCACTGGTCGAAGGTTGTTGGCCACCAACGGCGGCAAGAAGAAGTTGCTGTTGTTGTTGCAATGCCTGAAGGTTCTGCGACTGGACTGGTCGTTGTTGTTGCGCCAGTTGTTGCTGTCTGGACGCAGCAGCTTGTTGCTGAGCAACTTGCTGTTGCCTTTGTCGCTCTTGCTCCAGCCGTTGTTGTTGTTGCTGCTGCTGTTGTTGCAGGTGTTGTTGGGACAAGACGTTCAGCAGGTTCAACTGTTCAGCAGTCACCATTCCATTTGGTGGCAACAAGCCCTGCAGCATTGGGTTGGACAACAGCGCTTGTTGTTGCCGAAGTTGTTCTTGGCTTAGGCCTCCAAGTCCGGCTTGTTGCAGGGCTGCAGCTTGAGCGGCAGCTCCTTGGTTGGCAGATTGATTTGGCTGTGTTGGGGGTCGAGCTGGTTGAGCAGCACGGTTTTGCTGATTGGCTAGAGTTTGTTGGAAGGGGAATTGCGCTCTTTGCTGTGCTTGGTTCAGCTGTCCTAACCTCGCCTTCTCTTGCTGTTGTTGAGCAGAAAAGCCGGCCAAAACTTGTTGTTGCCTGAGGGCTTCAGCCTGGTTGTGGATGTTAATCGGCAACCCCATCATCCTCTGCAACTGTTGTTGTTGTTGCGTTAAAGAAGCGGCGTTCGCTCTCTGCTGTTGTGCTTGTTGTTGAGCAACGACTGTCGGGGCCCTCATCAGATTCGACGCTTGGCTAGCAGCGACTGATTGTTGCTGAGCCAACGAAGTCTGAAGTTGAGCTTGTTGCGACGGCTGAACAGCGATCTGAGGCTGCAGTTGCGGTGGTTGCTGGAAAATTAGGCTTGGCTGGGCCTGTGTGGGCTGAGCCGACTGAGCGGGCTGCGGAGTTCGACTGGGCTGCGACGTGGTTGGCGTGGAGTTTGCCGAGGAAAGCGGGACAAAGTTTGTCAGACGGTTTTGAGCTGAAAACAAACAGTTATTGGATATAAGGCTGGGTGCACAATTTGGGCATTGGTTAGTCAAAGTAAAATGCAATTTTCACGGTTGGCTGGGAGTGGCGGGGTGTGCCGAAAACACATTGCAAAAACATGCTGCTTTAGGGTCAGTGCGGTTTCAGGGGGGAAGAAAGAACGCCGCGGGGGAGCTTCTGAATAGAGCGAGGGGAATAAAAAAGCACATCTAACAAAGAAAGATGCTTGGAGAACATTATTGCTTTTTGAACCAAAGAAAACAAATTCTGAAGTTTACGGCCGAAAGGAAAATGATGGTTTACTCTTTCTCCCAAAAAAAGAAACCAAATTTTGTGCCCTTTTTTGGAAACCCTTTTTCGAGAAAACAAAGAATATTGTGAGTAAGAACACTTCGTAATGGGGGCAAAAAGTTCGTTCTTACTTTGATTATGGGGACTTGTCATGCTCGTTCCAGCAACAAGAGATCCACCAGCACTGGCAGGTGTAACGTCAGATCTTCCTTCTGTCTTCATCTCTTCTTTTCCTCCCTCGGAAGACGTTGATGGCTGTTCTTCTTTACTCTGGCCTTCCTTTTGATCCTCAATATCCACTTCGTCTGGCACTCGAGGACACGCCTGTATTTCCCTGGATCCATCATCCATTGTCCGATCCTCATCAAACAAATCTTTGAGAGTTGAAGCAACATCAACGTGAAGGGAGTTCCAACTGGCGGGCTTTTGATTCAACGCCTTGAAGCTTGCCTTATCAGCAATGGCCGCCGCATGCGCAATCTGGCTAGCCAGATTGGCGCTGGATTGGGCGGTTGAGGTTGAGGCTGAAGCACTGAGTTCTGTTTGAGATCGACCGGGCGTTGAAGGTGCTGGATTCGAAGCCAGCAACTTCTGCGAAGCCTGCGAAGACTGGGGAGTTCCGGGATTTGTGGGAGTCTGCGTTTTCTGGAGTTGCATCGAAGCCAAGGACAATTTGCGTTGCTCTTCCGCCTTGATTTGACCATTCAACGCCGACTTCACGGCTTGTTCTTGGAGTCGAAGCTGAGCTTGGAGAGGATTTAACCCAGCCGTTAGTCCAGCGCTAAGTCCGGGGTTCAACGCTTGGTTCAGCCCAGCCATAGGATTTAACATCGACTTCTGAGGGCTCTGCTGTTGTAGCAGTCGTTGTTGGTGCATCTGTTGTTGCTGACGGAATATCTAAAAACAGATAAAGTTAACGAAAAGTTGGCTTACTGCTTTCTGAGTTTCGGACAAACTGCTTTGATTGATGTTCTGCATTAATGCAGGGATTCCGGAGCTCATGTTGAGGAGGTTAGGATCGATGGCATTCATGGCGTTAACAGCCTGGTTCAACGTTTTCTCAAAGTCTGGAGCGCCAGGGAATGACATTCCGTTCTCTTGTTTCACCGGATTTCCTTGAACTGCGGGCGGCCGAGCCGGCTGTGCTGATTGGACTGGCTTTTGCTGTTGGGCTTGACCCATCAAGCCCATTCGTTGCATTAATTGAGGATGTAGACTGGCTAGACTTGCTTGAATTTGGGCTGCTGCCTGTTGCTCGGAAATACTGGATGCAGCTGAAGAAGCCGGAACCCTCTGTTGCATTCCCATGGGGACCAAATGTTGCGGAACCGCGAACCGAATATCGTTTTGCCCTTGGGCACCGAGTTGACCGTTCATTTGGTGGGCCAGGCCGAGCATTTGGAAGTTCATTTGTTGGAGTTGTTGGGGCAAGAGAGGGTTGGGCGTCGCCGTTGGGTTGGGCGGTGCCCTTCGTTGGTTTGCCAATAGCTGTTTCTTGTACAACTCCATCTGATCTTCCAGCTTCATCTGTTTGTTTGGTGGTCCACCATTAGCAGCAGCAAATGGATGTTGCGCTTCGGCCATTGATAACGACCGTTTGGCGGGCTGACTCGAATTCGAGGCCGGTCTTGCCGCTGAGCCGGGTCGTGACGGGCCATTCGAGGCTGAGGGAGTTCCGGCGGCACCAGGCGTGCCAGCCGACGAGCAAGGCGTACCATGGGGCTGGGCCGAGGTCTGCGGCTGATCTGAATGTCCATTCAGCGAGGGGAGGGGAGGGATGGCGCCGACCATACCCATCGAATCTGAGGGCTTTCGGAATTGGAGCATCTGCTCGAGGCGACGTTGGGCCACCAAGTCCGCGATCCCGATGCCCGACGCCGCCAGCAGGTTGGCGGCGGCGGGCGGAGCGGCGGACTGAGGCGCCTGTGCGGGCGCTGCGGCCGTCGCTGCCGATGCCGTCGTGGCGTGATGTGGCGGAAGGCAGGAGCCGGACGGGACGGCGGACGGCGCGCTGACCGTGGAGGCAAACGTGTTCGACAGGTTGGGCTGCCGAAGTTGGGAATTCTGCAAGAGAATTGGAACATTAAACACATATAAAAGGAATATAAGCGAGTAAATACTGCACTGTCCGTGTTTATATGCAAAATTCAATTTTTGACTCAAAAAAGTCGCCATGTAAAACAAAGACTAATCTCGCTGATGAATAATATCGGATTACTCACAAGACGTCGCCCTCACTCTCTAATTATTGTGGAATCATCAAACGGCGGTCAGAATTAGTCTGATAAGGCTAAAAATAACTGCTTATCGGCCGACGAACTTTTGCGGCCTTCTCCAAACAAGGGTTGGCCCCCCAAAAATGGGAAAATATGAAAAATTTATGGAAAAATATTGGAATCGAATATTCGTGCATAAAATGTTTAAATCAAACAGAAGAAGGGGCGATGTTTGAATAGAGGGCCGACGGACTCGAAAGACTGAGGCGAGCACGTTTATTTGAATAACTGAATAAATCGTACTGGGAAGAGGGGGACGAGAGAGGACGGGTCGATGTTTGTTGTGCTGAATAAATGCCCAGTACGTACGTGGGGGAGGAGGAAGGGTGATGTGAGAAGATGGGAATGCATAAAGATGAAGCGACCCGAACAACAATACGTTGTTACCTTTATATTTTAAGCTATGTACCCTCAGAATTAAGCCTCTTTTATAGCCAAAATCGGCATTTTCAGGTATTCCAAACGTCGTAAACAAAATAGCACGAGATTTTTTGGTATTACTAAGTTATTACCAAGTACATGAGCACTCGAAATGCAGAAGAACCGAGTTGTTTCACCGGTTAGACTGCGGGTGTTTGCAGTAATATCAAATTCACGAATAAAAACTTCGAAAGCCTACAAAGTCTGCATGAGTAAGTGAATTTATGATTGGAAATTAAATTAAAATGAATAAAAAAGTGGTGCCATCGAGGGATGGGAATAAAGAGTGCAAACAAGCACGAGGCAAGAGAGTAAGCGGTCCAGTAAACAGTTTACAAGTCGCTGTGGGAGATGTATGTACAGTAACCCTATTTATTTTGTTTACCTGTGCGTATTAAACCTTGCATTTTCCAGAAGAACTTAACTAGTCTCACTTACTTTAGTTTGAGTTCAAGTAGACCGAATAAACGATTACAAGTTACAAGCCATACTATTCAACGATGATTAACTGCCCTTTTAACTAATTGAATCATTGCACTTTGTTTGACAGCTGTTCTCATGGCCTAAGGCCAAATTCCAAACAATATTTTCTACTACGCAATTCTCGAACCCTTTGGCCATCATGCTCTTCCAATTCTTTGTGGGTGTATCTAATCAAATCATCGTCTCAGCCGCTGATTTAATCAGCATAAAAATCCGGGAGAGGCCGCGAATTTGATTAAAAAACATCTGTTTGAAATTCCGAATTCACTTCCGATTATTCACAATATTTTCGTGCAAAAAACTGTTTATTTCGGGGTTTCGCGAAACTTTAAGTGAATTTCAGAGTGCAAAAAAGTATTAAAATTCCGCAAAACGGGACTGACCCAAGGGAACTGGGATATTTGGAGGGTAAAATTGGATAAAAAGAAATTAATTTATAAACGGATTTACATCCTGTGCAAACGGGGACGATGAAATTTAATTTGGATAATTGAGTTACCCGGAAAAAACATTCAACGGACTTGTCAACGCCGATAAACAACAGAAAGAGCGCCTTGCGGTGGGGCGGCCAAAAACGCCGGCCTGATTACCACACTCCCCTACAAAACTCCATCTACCCATTCGCGGTAAAACTGTGTTCGTTGCCAAGACGACCCTCTCAAAACAACATGTTCGAAATGCGAAACAGCGACTTCGTACAAAGCCGACATTTGCAGAGGTAATACGACTTCATGGAGAGTACAATCAACTCCCTACAAGTCGGAAATTGTAGTCCCCGATTGTACACGTACAATCTTCAAAAATGGAATATTTACAACATCCGTCGGCTACAAAAAATGGTCGTATTTTGAGAAACCGACTTTTATATTGTACATCTTCTTAAAAGAAGGGGGTTTTCAAAAGGAAAGGGTAACAATCACAGTGAAGGGGAGATCTCAAAGTTGTTGTAGAGAATTGTAGGCCCACTACGAAAAACAAAAACTGATTAGAATACGAATTGAGGAAGTGTAATATGAAAAAAGCGTCATCTGACATTCGTATTGTAGCAAAACATTTTCCCTCAAATTATCCTCCAAAAAAACCCCGAAAGAGATGTTGCAATTGCCGGAGGGGATGTTGCAATCCACCCAAAATAAGACCGTCCACCGAACATAGGCCACATACGCAGCCTAGGGCCACTAAATTCGGGGCCTCTCGAGAATGTCCAAAAATGTAAAACCATGCTCTGAATCCAATTACCGGGCCCCCAATCTAATTTCCCGCGGCCCCACAGTCACGTCCATAACCCAATTTATTTGGATTCCGATATATTCAAATAGCTGCGCCCTTCCCCCAAATGCAATTACTCTGCCCTCAGGGCTTCTGGACTTGAGAACTTGCATTTGGAATTAAATTTGTGGGCCCGAGACAACAAAAAACTGGAAACAAAAAAGGGACAAACGCCGGCAAAAAAGTTCCTGCTGCATAATTCCCAATTCCGAAGGGTTTATGGGACTGTACTCAAAAAGAGCCATTGGGTTCATGGGATTAAGCGGCTTTTGTGTGGGGGGATAAAGATAAATTTTACGATTTGCAGACGATGATGTAATCCGAGGACCTGCTTAAGGGCAAGAAAGTGCATCATTTTCTCAAGACACTCTTTTGAGCCGTAATATTACGCCAACAATGTTTTGGACCAAGGTTTGTGTAATTTCAAAGTCTTAAAAATGCAATTTTAAGACAAAATTTTTTAATTACAAAACCTTATTTTCGAATTTCCCGCCAAAATCAAAGACTAGAAAAGCGGAAGGCAGATCTCTCTCTCCATAAAGTCACCCGTTGTAATATTGTAATTTACAGCCATTAAGAGTTCGAGAAGAAAAAAAGGCGATAATGAAGACGTGTTCTCGGTATTCCCACTCACAATCCGAGCGATTACTAGTTACATTTCGGAACATATTACAACTGGGAACGTGATTCAGCAAAGAATGACGAAAATCCAAACCACAAATTGACTATTTGCTGAATTCGGAGTGTAAAGTAAAAAGTGTAATCTTCAAAAATACATTGAGAAATAAAGCGCCTAAGGGCAAGCAATTAGTCAAAGATTGGAAGCCAATTCCGTTTCGCAAAAAAAAGGTTCCAAAACTGCAGATAAAAAGATGGAAAGACATCAGAAAACACACGATGAAAACATATTACACTGGACGCACTGATACTCCCGACTTTTCGAAAACAATCAAAACAGTCAGCTGAATCCGCGGGTTCCGCAAATAAGCCGGTTGTAATGATGGGGATGCCTTTTTTGTGCAATTTTCGTCTCACTGATACGCGCTTATCAGTCCAATTAATGAGCACATTAAACTGATAAACCCCGCTGATAGGGCTGTGCAAATATCGAAATCATCGGCGGCTTCGAGTGGAGGATAGGCAGGGTATGGGAAATCGAAAATCATGGGGTTTAAAGTAGTCTGAATTCCGAATTTCCATCCGACGATTAGAATCAATAAAATTTAAAACACGTAGATGGAGATGGGAAGAAAATTGGAGATGCATTACAACGTGGAAACACAAATATATACGGACGATGACTCTTGGCGTTGTAACGGCCGTCGAGAGAGAAAGGATTGCGAAATCAAAATAGCCCCTAAGGTCATTTATCAGTTTGCAAAAAAAAAAGGAAATTGCAAAAGTTAAGGACGTCAAGCGACAAAAAGGAAGCTTCCAAAAAGCAAATGACGTCATCAAAGTCATAAAAATGAATTTGCGAACTCCATTTTCCCTCGGAAAAAGAAGGGATTTCCTTGCAAAAATCACCCGCACCCTAAAAAACCCCCGAAACGCCCCATTAAATCGGAGCGATTGCGTAACAGCGATGAAATCACAAATCAAAAGCCGATAACGTCGTTTGCAGCGCCTTTTACAGCGTTCCGAAAGTCTGTTTCCATTTCCGTCCGCCTCGACTTGTGGCGTCAAATGTTCGCACTTTTGACTGTAAAGTCGGCCGGCCCCTCTCGCCCCACCTTCCTTCCCCTGCCCCGCCGGCCCCCACGTAGCAGTGTAATTGTTGTAATCTTACAGCGTGCAGGGCCGCGTATTTTTAAAAACTTTTTTTTTTGTGTGATTAATCGAACTTTAACGAATGGTTTTTGGGGGGTTAATGTTTTGGATGATTCGAGTTGACAGAGGGGTCGCTACTGGTCAGGGAATGGTCGGGAAAAGACCGACGGAATGCACAGAGGAAGTGATGGGAGCTGTCATCCAAAAACGGGAACAAACAACGCCCGAGGGCATAGTTTGTGTAAACTAATTAATGGAAAAAGGGCTATTCCTTTCAACATCAAAAAGTTGGGTGGAAAAAAGTTTAAAAAAGGGTTTAAAACAGTTTAAAATCGCTGTAATTCGTAGGAAAAAAGCGATAAACTGACAGTCACAGAGTCGAGATTAAAGAACGGTCAAGTTTTACAAAAATATCGCCCCCAAAGACGTCCATTGATCATGAATAATATCCAAAATATAGTCTATTTACCAACGGCCACGCCTTTGTATTAAAATAAAGCCCCTTAACTTCAAAAAGTTGTAATTCCAAAAGTTTGGTCGCTCACAAGATGCCCTGATAAGATAAGAAGATCACCTCAAGACTGTTTGTTTTCCATCACTTGTTGTATTTTTACAATCACCAAAAAAGGGAGAGAAAAGACAAAAAAAAGCTTTAAAAGGGCGACGAAAACAGGCGATTGATAAGGGCCGCTTTAGACTCTGTGACGTTCCAAACAAACAGCCAAATAATTGCCTCAGGGCAAACAGTTTCCGAGGGAAAAAATTTGGCAAAAAAATATTTTAGGCCGCAACAAAAAATAAGACTTTTGGAAAGAAAAATTTGCGGCCCAAAATCTAATTTGGAATAATTTTGGGGCCGAGAAATCGAATTAGAGGGGCCGGGAGAGTGGATTCGAGGAACGAAAATGAGATTCAGGTGGTTCTGCAGAAAAAGGGAACCAAAAATGGCCCAAAAGGATAACGAATTTACAGGGAAATAGAATTCAAAGACTGTTTACGGGCTTTCCAACACTTTCAAATTACTTTTACTCCCATTTTTGGACCTTTCATAATCTGACCTTTGGCATTTTTCGGAAGAATTTTTTGACGTAAACACGTGCATTATTTAAAAATAAAGTGGAAAAAGAAGAAGGAAGAACCTATGACACAAAAAGAAATTAATTATAGTCATTGGGAAGGAAGGGATCAGAGAACAAAAATAAAAAAATTTAAGATGAAAAACTATCAATTTCCATCGTATTTTTAGGGCCAAAAGTTGGGAAAGCAACAAAAACGGAGAGCGAAAAAAGTATTAATTTCTGATGAAACGACTGACGGATATAAATATTTCATTAGGCCGGATATCCCTGACCCTTTTCGAACCCGTCAAAAAGCACTAAAAACTTGTGCTGACAAATGAAAAACGATAAATTTTTGAGCAAAAAATGGGAAATTCAAAGGCATGACGTCATCGGAAATGAAAAAGTTTTAAACTGGCTTTAACGCACTCTCTCAGAAAAGTCACATAAAAAGTTTAACGAAATTGTAAAGTCCCGAAGAAAGTCGCCCAAATTAGTGGTATTTGCACTACGAAAAGGTAACTTTAACGCTGTAATACGGCGTTTTAAAACACATTACAAACGCGAAACTGTCTAATTACTTTACAAGAGAGGTGATTACAACCAGCGCCCCGTTTCAAACGAGACTACTTCAAACAGTTTTGGAAAGGATTAAAAAAGTTGAAGGTCATCCCAAAAGTCGCAAAGACGCGGTTACTTACAACTTAATACTACATACAATTAGACCAAACTACATCACAAACACCTTCAGACCGACGAAAAAAAACTCCGATAACTTCAAAAAAAAAACTTTTTACAAACTAAAAAGTTTTTTGAAAAAAGTTTTCCGAACGAAACAAGTCCAAGAGTTGCACTCTTCAAATTTTTTTTTCAATTCAATTTTTTTGGGACTATTTTGGTCTTTGAACGAAAAAAGTGAAGCGGAAGGGAAAGGGGAACGCTGTGGAACAAAAAAACATCGGACTCGAAAACGTTGTAGTAATTTTATTTGGCGTTTTCTTCGAATTGTGTCGTGCCCGCGGGGAAAGGCGTCAAATCTCGTGCGCATTAATATTTCCATGCTCTCTCGGGCACTCTCTTCCAAATAAGTGCTATTTCTTTTCTCTGGGCTCTCCTTAATTTCCCTAGTCATCAAAAAATCTTTTTGCCCGAGGCCTTTCTCTAATGTATCTTTGTTTTTAAGACTCTTTCGTCGTCATTTCCCGTGATTTCTCTGGCGTCTCTCCAACTTAAGCACTCTCTCCCAGCTCCTTTCATATGCCTCCATTCAATCGCGAATTCTATTTAGTTTACTCTGAATTCTATTTATTCAATTTTCTCTTTCCGAAAATTCGCATGAATAAAAATAAATTGAACTCTTTCCGCTTTAATGGAGGTTGTTTAAATTTTCGAACAAAACAAATATTTTGCGAGGGGAAACACAAACTTTCGTCAGCCGGCTGAAAGGAAATCGGCAGGGGAAAGAATAGAAAACGTCGGAGCAAATACGAAATTCGAACCCACGGAAAGTTCACGGAGTTGCAGAAAAGCGAGTTCAGATGGCCGGAAGGGTAATTGGAATCCGGAATCAGGACTTTAAATTACAATATATCCGATTTCGCCCACAAAAATGACACCTCCCATGCACCAAGTGTCATTTTTCGCCATAAAGTGATGAATAAACTAATTTTAAGCGCTTTAAAGGTGACTCTATACACTGTAACTAACAGAAAATGTAATTAGGCTCCTTTCTACGCTTCTTAAACCAACATAAACTCCATCGAAAAACTCCGAAAATTTTGCAAAACTGGCCTTTTTTGGGCGTTGGAATCAAAGACCCATCTCGAATCTCGCCGCTGAATAAATATCCCGCTCTCGGTTTAATCTTCTTTTGTTTAAATTCTACCCTTGTTTAAAAATCTGCACCAATTCAAATAAAAACACAGGCCTCTGATGTGTAATTTATTGAGTGTCCTCCTGATCGGGAAAACCATAAAAGATTTGCAAATTCAGTGCATAATCACTACAAAAAGTGATGGGCAAAGTGCTGCGACGCGCTTTTTAAAAGGTAAAACTCAAACTTAAAATGGGCTGATGGTTTCGAGAGGACAATATTGTGGTTCAACGGATTAGACCGGCAAATTCAACTCGAAAAAGAGGTCGAAATTTCCTCAAAATACCTCAGATAGCCTTATCAGCAGCGATAATCTCTTACGTGATTCCCGGAGCTTTGCATTGAACAACAACTGACTCATTTGCCTAATCTTTTAGGCCAACAACCCAAAAAAGAGATAAGACAACAAAAGCGGTATGTTTTATCCCCAATCAAGCATCCGTCCGATTTCATCACGACCACAATTCGATGGCCAAGAGATGGGACGGATCACGTCAGCGCCTTCAACCCAAAGCATCTGCATAAACACCACGGGAAAGACGTAATATTTATGCAGGCACCAACAAAGATACAACCGATGTATGCACGCGAAAATACGACCCTGCGGACACACACCAGCGCCATGAATAATTTATGCAGGCGTGTGAAGGGGGTCCGAAGAGGAAACGGGGTGGGGAGGATGGCCGGCCTGGGACCGGCTCACACCTGTTCCGAATATGGCCTCACAAAAGGAAGTGGAAGATGTTACGTTTTATGGGCGCCGAGTGTAATGTGGCGCGGTTTTTTGTGGACTCTCACCTTTCGGGAATATTTTCGAATTGAATTCGAATTTGAATGAAGGTCAGACCATTCAGATTCGAAGCAGCCCTCAATGAGATTGGCTGCTGACTTAATGACATGTTTGTATATCATATTAAACATGCTCCAGCAGCCCGTTCATGGCGGGCTTTAACTCGATTATTGACTTACCTGTAACAAGTCTGACACCTGCCAATAATCTCCGTTAATTGCCCGCAGGGCACGCGAATTAAACACGATTATGATGCCATGTTTGTTGGGCACGCAAAATTTAATCGCCTTAGGGCGTCGTAAAAACAATTGCAAATTAGTCCACGACACTTTCCCATCCCCATGGCTACAGGGTGCCCTGTCTCGCGGGGCCAATTTGTTCGTTCCGCTGTCCCAAAAAAGAACAACGCACGCAATTTGGTTGGGCCAGCAAGAAAGTTTGCCGGACACAATGGGAAAACAACAAAAAAGGGGGACAGTCTTGGCCATAAAACATGCACAAATGACGCATCGACATTTTGTAACTGTTTTTTGGACAAAAAACAAAAAAGTCTGGGGGAGGGGAGGGGAAGAAAAGAATCGGAATTCCATCAAAAGTCCCTGGAAAAAAGGTCAAAACAAAAGGGATCAAGTCCGCCGGTTTACAGCAGACTTTACAACGCGCTCAGAGATCGAATTCCGAATTGAAAGGCGTCCAAATGTCAGTTATGCAAACAAAACGAGGCGTGTAACCAAAGAGTAAAAAGTAACCAGCACCAAACAAACAATATCATTTCGTCTGATTGGCCTCGAAGGCCTCAAAAGCGCCCCACAAATCTTTAAACTCTTCAAACTGCAACTGTTCAGAGCTGGCGGTGCAACGCGACCTCAGCCTCCGAATTTCGAAAGCCGGCTTGTTTGAATAGTTGCGTAAAGTCTCGTTTCCAAAAACAACCCCATTGGGCAGAAGATTAAACAAGAAAAAGTTTGTGCAAACAATTCGTAGATAAGAGCCAAATAATCTCGCCCTTTTTCGTCGCCGAACAAACACGCGTCAGAGTCCACATAACCCCCAAACACACACACTCACCTCGCCAATGTTTATTCATTTCCAAAAAAGATAAAAAACACCGCCCTCTGGCCACTCTCCGCGTGCTGCATGCTGTCTAGCGGACAGCTGGAATTTCATCCCCTACGTATTTTTGGCTGTCGCGGCGCTCTCCATTTTTAGGATTATGACTCTTCGCTTCTCTGCGGTCTCTCCATTTAATCCGCTCTCTAATCCCCGGGCTCTTGCATAATCCAGAATCTCCCGGAGAAAGGTTACTGTTCCTCGTGGTATTTTAATCAAAAAATGAGACGAAGGGACCAAACCCCCCTAAGGGCATGGCGTTATTTTGAGTGAAATGAAATATTGTTTCGGCGTTTTTCGGACCCCCAAAAAACCCGCATTCAATCTCCCAATGAGACCAAAAATTGGGAGGGAAAAGATTTATCCGCCCGAGGGATTTCGCCATAAAAGGAGTGAAAGAAAGAGAAAGGCGATCCCCCACGTAGAGGATGGTGTCATCCAGAAGCGGGGAACAAATGACTTCCAGCCCTTGAACTGCGGTTTGCGGCCAACTAGGCAACAGGTACGGGGAGCATTAGAATGCATTTCCGGTGGGTCGTCCGGCCAATTTTCTCTTTTCAAAACGCTCTGTGACGTCGCCGGTCTCCAACGTTTTGCAAAGAATTGTCGGAAAACGGACGAATTAGGAAGAATTCCCCCCAATCAGACCCATAGATCCCGCTCCGGACCCAGATTCCACATTTTTTTGTACTATTTTCGGGCGGCGTGCACTTTGGGGGTCAAACAATCGCGAGAAAACCAACAAAAAAGGACCGAGGACACGTCACGGGTAGGGAATATTCACACATTCCTTTCATATTTATGAGTTTTATTTCCCCACAATAAGCCTGAGAAAGTTGTTGAAGGCTTTGGCGGGAAAACGGCGAACAAAAATGGGAGGGAGGCCGAGGGCGCGTGACAACAATTAGCAATATTTGGGGATTCTGGATTTTGCAACGCAGTGAATAGTCGATTAGAAAATGGGTTGGAGTGAAAGGACGATTATAGGAGAGGGCGTGAAAGGATTTTACTCCAAAATGCACAAGTTTTTGTCCTCAAAAGGCGAGAGTTTTGACCCCAAAAGTCCCACAAACAACCCGCCGTTCACGCTCCACTTCTCACATGAACATGCCATGTCTAAAGAAGCCTGAAAAGGCATTCCGACCAAATTACCACGACAGCAATTCGACTCGCGCACGCTTCGCCGAGCACGGCCCAAATTAGGAAGAACAAAAATAAGACCTTTCAATATTACATTCGGCGGAAATTGGGTCAGAAGTTGGGCCGCAAAATTGGCCGGAAATGGCGATGCAAAGTCCATGCAAAAAAGTGCAAGACCAACACTATTCCCGGCACAATTTAGTGCCGGTTCAACGGGTTTAGGGCCGTTAAAACAACGCATAAAAAGGCCCCCAAATCAGAGCTTAGAGAACGCCCGCGTTGAGGGGAAAAACCCACACTTTAACGACCAAAACCGGCGTGCAAAAGTGCACAACTTCGGAGGTCATGTTGAAAACACATTTCGTGGCCATTAAGGCCGGCCAGGCACAAGGAAGCCAATTAAAATAACTTTTGGCATGGGGCAAAAAAACACACGACGCCTGTCGGTGCTTTCGCGTCGCATTTCACTCAAACATTTGAGTAATTTGAAAGACGGAAGAGTCCAAAAAAGAGCTGTCACTCAACCGAAAAACGTCTTTCCGATGCGAACATTCGGAATTAAAATTCTCGGGTGTTCTTCACGTTCCCGACGAAAAACGTGGTGGGAGGGAGAGGGGAACGGAGCGGAATTGCAATTCGAGGGACCGTCCCAGAAAATACTCTTTAAGAATTCACGAAAAAACACTCGCAAAATGGAGGGAATACGAATTTAATTAAGCGTAGACGAGACTCAAGGATTTAATTAAATCCTGATGAAAGAATGTGGTAATTTTTGTGACATTTGCATGCAAAAACATGGCAACCAACTGTTGCCAAGGGGGTTCCCACCCTCCAAAACAATCTTTTATTCTGTATCCCACCAAGTTTTCCCAGAACGAACCAATTTCCAAATCGCTGACCAATTCTACGGTCGTTGTAAACTGCGGAAAAATTTTATGAACTCCGCCGCAAAAAAAAACAGAAGGCCTTCCGGATCAAAGGTCAGACGAAAAACGCGATGAATGACACACTAATTTCCTTCCTTCCACTCCCCGTGTTTGGGAGCTTACGAATGTCTGAAATATCCGAAAAAGGAGGCTCCATTCAATTGGAATATCGGTCGCTTATTCAATACTCACTTCCGAAGGGAAATAGAAAAGTGGCGGAACGTCTATTTCGAATGCTAATTTCGCTACTTGAGTGCATTAAAAATACGGCGGGCGATTAAAACACGCAACGGAAACAAACAATTTCGGGGCTCTAAAATTGGCCTCGAAACGGTTCCCTGAAGCCGATGGGGCGAAGCCGCGAGAAGCGGGGGGAAAGTGTTGGGCCGGAATTGTGTAAATACCCCCGAGTTCAAAGTCTAGAAACATTGTTTGGAAAACCGATAAGGTCAGCGGAGAGAGGGCGGGCAAACGTTGCGAAAATGCCTGAGGAAATATTGAATAGCCTCGGACAATGTGTTGCATTAGCTGCAGAACCTTGCAAGAAATGAGTTGAATCCATTAGACGAGTCGGATGACTGAATTCATATTGGAATTCCTAATAAATTTCGGAATGCGCGAGCGCCTTTTTTTGGCATGACCTCTGCTTTTTATAACACCATTTATAATGCAGCCCTTCCAGGAAATACGTGGTTGTTTTCGGCCGACACTGTAATTAAGATTAAAGGCCACGAGATTAAAAACGGTGCCGTGTTTCCGTTAATCCGCACGGCCCAAATTAATCCCGAGCCGATTACATTATAAACCTCGAATTTTGCATCGGATTTCCATTTCCCCTCCGGCTATTTCTAATCTAATCTCCGAGTTTTTGGCTCTTCCAAAGGAAGCGGATAAAATTCTCTGGAGGACAAAACAAATATTTACAAAATAAAATTTTTAAATCCTAAAAAATGATTACACAACGACCGTAACGACCCCCAAGTTTCGGAAAAGCGCGGGCGACGCTTTTGGGCTTGGAATAAGTGCCGACACGTTAATGGCTGATAAGAGCGCGGAACATTCAACACAACGACACATCAAGGTCAAGGCGAGCGCGATAAGAATCGACGTTGATCCCAAAAACAACGCTGTAAAGTGGGGGAATGAAATTATCGTACGAAAAACGGAGACGCTCTTATCGAAATACTATCTGCAGCTTACAAAACACGGCTATGACTTGTGAAACAGACCAATAAATTGCTTGAAAACAAGGCATCAAACGAAAAATATATTTTCTCTATTTTTATCCCCAACAAAAAACTGCTCCAAAAACATTAAACACTCGTATTTACCCCAAAATTGACGGCCTTTGAACTGGTCGTATGACTCCTGAAGAGACTCATCTATCAGGGTCATTTATCATGACATTTGTTTGTGGAATTTCCTGTACTTTTGGAAGGAAAAGGAGATCGACGATCTTACAAAAAGACACCGAATGGGTGGGTGGAAGGGGAAAAAGAATTCACGGCGCTTCCAACGAATCACTTGCAAAAATAGAAGTCGAACACTAAGATGGATTATGTGTCCACAAACAATTTCGAATCATTTCCTCCTCGACATAATCCCGGAATCATATTCTAATCGCCTCATTTTTAGTAAGGAGTTTTGAAACACAAGGAAAACACAGAGGAGTTATCAGTAAATAAAGATTGGTACAAAGGCGCGTTGAGCAAATAGACGAGAACTTTAAACTGAAGATCAGAGTCCTTCCACACCCACAAGCTCCACTGATAACGCGCTATCAGTGTAATGCCCCGGCGACGGCGGATTAAAACAAATTGATGAGAAAAGTTGGCGAAGAGGGAGTGGGGAAATCAGCGCCGGCTGGAAAACATGCCGACCTTGACGGGTGCGGGAATCTGCGAAGGCCATCATTATCGAGACAAGAATCGACGAAAAAGGAAAGGAAGGAAGGTGGAAAGGAGACGGAGGCAGCAGAGGGGGCGGCAGGCCAAAGAGGGCTTTCGACTAATAATCGAATTGCCGACCTTGAAATGCTCAGCAAAATAACCTTTCGAGTGATTTAATACATTTACGAATTCGAGAGTCAGCATCTAAAAAAGCTGACAAAAAAGATCAAAAAATGAAAAGATGGGGGAAAAGCGAAGGCGACGGAGCGGGTAATTTGCTCGAGGGGAAATTCGCATCATAAGCGGCGGACTGCCACGCCGTAATCATACACCCTCAGGGTATAATTTCAGGGAAACCGAGAGGACAGACATCCTGGGAAACAAACAAAAAATGGCTTCATTTCAAAGTACTCTTCTACTCATCTGAACCCTCGAAATGGCACGCAAGAATTAATCGGAATAAACACCGGTTAATCTGCTACAAGTACGTGCAACACCCGGCTAATCGACCAGCAAAAATTTTGGGTGTTCCCTCATCCGTCTCTAAACTGCCGGCTAATCCCCAAAAACATTGAATTTCCCGGACGACGTAATCCCCTAATCTCGAATAACAGAAAAAAACTCTGCTCAAAACATAAATTTCAAACGTCTGATTAGCATTTTTATGGCTTCTGAATCAGAATGAGAGAGAAGCCATTAGCAGCGTCATTTCGAATTTAAAATACGGCAATAAATAGAATTTCAGACTGGGGTTTTTGGGCTCACAAAATGTCAAAACTCAAAAAGGTGGAAGCCATAGAAACGAACGAAATATTTCGATGGAATAAGCTTCAGAAAACGGATAAATAACAAATTCAGAAAGCTTACGAAATGGGTGTTGTCAGCTGAATAAACATTTCAAATAACAGCTGGATATATGCACGAAAACAAAATCGCGAAATTATCATGGCTTCCTCCAAAACGGGTCCAAAATCGCAGGGATTCAAACGAATCCAACCTGACTCGGTCTCGAATTCCCCGAAAATCCAAAACATTGGACAGTGCAGTATTCCCAATTAAAACTTGGAAACCGACCTTTCTCTGCTGTCTCCTGTCCAACAAGTCTCTCTCTTTTTCCTTTTCCTTCAACTTTCTCTCTTTTCTCTGCTGTCTCCTCTCTTCTTTGGCTCTCTTTCTTTCATCATGCTCTTTCTTTTTCTCCAATCTTTTCTCTTTTTCCAATTTTGTGTTGATCTCGCCTCTGGCCCTTCTTTCGGCACGATCCCGTCTTCGTGCCCTCCGGCGTTCCTCACTTTCCTTGAGCCGTCGCTCCTTTTTGTCGCGTCTCTCCTTCCGACGTCGCGCTTTTTCGATTCGCTCGACCTCAGCCTGAAGAATGATGTAAATGAAAAATGATTTAAAATGCATGCGGTCAAGGTCTCATAAGCAATGCGGGATTCTGATCCCATAAATTATTTAAATTCCATCCAAAAATTATAAATTTGGGACCCAACTTGATTAGTAAGAGTTTTTTTATCCAGTTTTGGCCAAAGTCCAAGAATTTTTTTTTGTAGATGTTGTGAATAATTTATTTGGAATTACTCGACGTAACATAATTAAGGGAAGAAAGTAATTACACAAAAAAGCCCTCAGGGAATCTATTTATAGCCAACCTGGAATTCTAGAGCTTGCAAAATATTATAGAGTGTAATGAATCCGGGGGGAACTTAAAAAATTTTAAACGTTGGCAAAATGAAAGCTTGAGCAAAAAAGTTTAAAAAATTGGTTCAAAAATGCATTTTGGGTTACTGTAGTGATAAGTCATAAAAAATTAAACTTGAGTTCGCAAAAGTTTTGTCAGTTTCCCATACACTCACCTTTGATTTTCTCCCCTTTTTCTTGTGGGTTTTGGGAGCTGTCTTGATGATTTCATCTTCCAAGGCCTTCTTGGCCTTCTCTTCCGCGACTTCCTTTGCCCGGATATCGTTCTCCAATTTGCGGAAGATCTAAAAAAGAAAATAAAATTTTGTCAGCATTTGAGAAACGAATAAAAATTTTGTTTACAAGGAAATATTAGGTGTGGAGCTGCGGTTTGCATGAAACTTGGCATAAAAATTTAACCAAGGCCATGTAGCAGTTAGAAAGTTTCAGCTCAACAATCAACAAATCCGATAGATTTAATAATTTCTGCAGGCAATACGCTACTACAAAAAATTCAAAGGAGTTTTTGAATTCTCATCATTTTCCAGCCCCAAAATTTCGGTGATTTCTGCAAAGCATGGCCCAAAAATTTCCTCTTTATTTTAGCAAACTGCTACATATTTTCTACGTGTTTTATCAAGTTTTGAACCTTACCCGTCAACAAAAAAACCTTACTTTATAATCCTCCTTGTGTTTAAAAAGAAGAAAAGCAAAGTCGTCCATGAGAAGTTCCTCGAAAATTGCAGCCTTTGGCTCCACAATTGACATCGTTGGTAACGTGGGATATCGTTGCGAATAGAACTTTCTAAAGTTTGGGCAATGGTATCCATCGAATTCCTTGGAAGTGCAGGGTTGATTCGACTCCTCCGAGGACTTTTTCACATCTGAATCCGCAGATTCAAGAGCTCGATTCTCTTCCGAATTCACGGTTTTTACACTTCTAAAAATATTTTCTTTGTGAAAGAGTTATTTCAATTTTTACTGATGATTTTATGGTAAGTTATGGCCGAACAAGGCCAGTTTTCCCTAAAAGTAAAAAAGTGTCCATTTGAAGTCAAATGGAATGCAAAAAAAGCAATTACTTGTTGGACTTGAACCCATTTTCGCTTGAAGGCGAGGTGACACCAGACGTCGAGGAAGAGGCCGAAGAACAACAGGGAGTCGGCAGTTTATTCTCGCAGTCCTTTGGAATATCCGAAATGATCGGTGTGGCCAAGCGCTCAGCCACTGTGTCCCCACTCTCCATCAGAAATTTGGTACTGCAAAAAGTTGCACATTTACGTTTTGTTCATTTTAATTAAAGTTATGCGCGAGATTTTAAAAAAATGAAAAATCAGAGAAATATCAAAAATTATGCAAATTCTTAGAAAATAACGTGCTAAAATGTCTAAAAAATGCAGTAAATATAGGAACAGGACGGATAAAGCCGAGGAGAAAAGGCTTCACCCCCGAAAATAGGGTTTAATAACGCGCGAAAACAGCCGATATGCAGATATAAGAGAAGGCAGAGATTATGGACAGCGTAATGCGCGCGAATGCGGTATATAAATTTACTTGCCAATTGCGCAATCACCGAGCGCTAAAACTCAATCATTGTTAGGTAAATTTTTTTTTTACTTTTAGTAAACATATTTTTAAAATTATGCAAATATTAATTTAAATTAAAAACTTATATTTCAAATTGACCAAAATGTTTTGCAAACTTTGACTACTTAATAAAAATTATTAGTAATACGAAAATCGAGGATTTGGCAAGAGTGTAAAGCCGCTTTTAGATGCAAAAATGTTTTTATGGCCAAAAATATCTTTGCGAAATTTGATTGTAATCCATTTTCAGTAAAAATTAATCTGGAACTTGACTAAATTGAGGTTCCTATTTACTGTTATCGAGTTTAAAGATTGATTTCCTCAGAGAGAAAGAGCTTTCTTATCGTTAATTACTCCATCAAAAAAAAGAAAAAAGTGTCAAGAAACGGGAAAGATGTCATTGTGAAGCGATTTTAATCGAAATGACGTCTTCTGTCGATCACAGACAACGTATTCCAGGATTTCCGAGAAACATACGATCTCTTGGCTCTTGATCGAATTGTCGGTCCCCGTTATCACGCCAGTATTTATTACTTTTTTGTTTTTTGTCCCTTCAAAAACTTTGTAATGCTTTCTGGAGTGTAAAAAGTATCGAATTTCTGAATAAAATATTTCCGCAAATATAGTGCCGGTTATTTTTAGAGGCTGTAAAGTGTGGAAGGTTACGGGGTTTTGTTAAAACTATAGTTTAATATCAAAAATCTCCAACTGTAATCCAAAGCTTGTAGTCTAATATGAATCGATTGGAAAAAAGTTTGTTTTCCAAACATTAAAGTCATAAAAACGAGTGATTCACAGAGTAAACACAATATATTTTGTTCCCGTAACATTAAAAATTCAAAAAATTTGCCTAAATTGCCTTAAAATTGCCTGAGGGCAAGTTTGTATAAAAGAGGAAGTAACTCGAAAAAATCGATGAAACTGGGTAAATCTACTAAAAGGTAGTGTAGCAACAACATTCTCGGTTCAAATCCAGTCGCAGTGTGCGAAATTAGAACAATCTTTGAGAGCCAGCAACCTTATAAACAAGTAAAGAACTTCGTGAACAATTTTATCGAAAAAAGAGAAAATAAAATGAGACGGTCCCCTTTCAGTCGGATGAAGGCCTTTCCGACGCTTTTCTTCCCTTTTCACTGGACACTCTCTCCCTTTCTCTGACTCTCTGCCACTCTCCGCCGAACACACACTCCCTGATGATCGATGAATAAAAAATTTTTGGGAAAAATTTTTGACGAAAAAATTGTTTTTATGGAAGAGATCAGAGAGTAAAACCGAATGGAATAATAGGTTAATGGGGCAGGGATTGTGACAAGGAAAGGTCGATATTGTATTAGAATGGGTACACCATGTGAATTGCAAAAACATTTGATGATTATTAATATAATAATAATTACAATATCATTTCCTCAAACTTCCAAATCCTTTCCGATCTTTGTCTACTGCAGTACTATCATATGTAAGTGCGGAAATATAACTTGTTTTCCTGCGAATTCTCCAAAATCCCTAAGGAAACGCCCTTTTTTCGAGTCCAAGACTCTTTGTGTCCCCGTATAAATAGGTCCAAAAAAACTCATTAATTACGCAAAACCTTGAAGTCAAAAACAAGTTAAAAAAACTTTAATATGACCTGGAACTGTTCAGTAATTATCTCGCGAAATTGTCAAGAAATTTATGAGTAATGGGAGTTGTAATCTAGGAAGCCAGCGAATGACTAAAAGGAAAACAAAAAATCTTTGATTCCCTATCTTTTTCCTGTCTGAATTATCATCTGCTACAGTACACTGAGAGATTTCGAAATTATTTTTACACTAAATTTATAAAAATGCACTAAAAAAGTGAGCCTATTACTAAAAGGGCATACAAAAGTAGTGATTACAGTAAATAAAAATTATTTTTTCCTCATCCCAGCACTTTTGAATGATACAATTTGACTTCGTGTAATCCAAAATAACCAAATCGACCTCTCCATCAGACGTCGTTAGCCAAATAATCGTGTAAATAAAAAAGGGGAAGGCTCGGCTGTTTTTTGGAACGATCTTTGTGAACGCTGAGAAATGGAAGGGAAAATAAAAAACGGAGAAGTTCGAAGAGAGGACATAAATTACATTCCAAAAGCAATATACGAATGTTCCGCAATCAAAACAGAAGACAGAGTGACGCCTTTTTTATCAAAGATTTATGTACACTATATCTAGTTGTTACTATTACCATCTTATGAATCCACCGTAAACCTCCCGGTTGTCTGCCATAACCCCCAAATTTAACTTTGCAACAAACCCCTCCAATGCCAGTGTGTTACCACACTTCGTGGGATTAGAGAGTTGTATCCGAAAAGGCGTGTAAATGGGCCGCTTTCGAAACATTGCTTTTTAAAAGTGGTGGAAATTGGAGTGCAAATTCGGTTGATACAAATTGGAAATTACAAGTTTGAGAGTTTAAAAAAATTATGAAGGAGCATCAAGATGTTTGAAGATCGACGATAACTGTTTAGCTCACGCTTCTCAAAGGAGATTTTTATCTCAAAATCGCAAAAATTCAATTTATCACTCCATAGTTCCCATGGTCTTTCGTTTCCGGGGATAATTTGTACTCTTCCTACAAATTAAAAACCCAAAAACTTCCTATATCATCCAAAAAAAGTTGCCCACTAAATCGGACTAAATCATAATCTTTGAGAGTCACAGAGCAGAGCTAACCAAAGGTTTCAACAACTGGGCAAACAGTCTGAAAGTTGGAGGATCTAAAACAGGTGAAAAGAACTGTTTGGCTTTTTGCACCGAATTTCCTCTTCTTTATAAACCACTTGACATTTTTGGTCACGCCAAGTGTAATAAAATGTAATGGATTTAAAAAAAAAACATGCCCAAAAATAGACTGCAATACAAGTAAATTGACGATTGCAAAGAGTTACTGTTTGCCTACAGAATTACAAGTCTGAAGTCGGACAGTAAAGGTCGTGCTGAAGCTCGAGACTTCCCTATTTCAGAGCCGTTGGAATCAATAATTTGTAATAATCATTATTTTAATTCCCTTTGCACTATTTCTAATCCCTCGCGCTAATCCAAACGTGTCGTTGAAGGCATTTCAATTCAATTTGTAGCCCAAGACATACGGACGAAATCATGGCTAACGAAACTATTATTATAAATAGTAAAGCTGAAGGTTGGCAGAAATTTGTAAGATAGCTCGACACCATAAAAGAGCAACTTCTTTACGACCTTTTTGAAAATTTTCTCGCCTTTTTTATTTCGCCTTTTCATAAAAGGGCAAATGATTTATCAAATCCTTTGTCAGTGAATAGAATAATACTATCGAAATTTATAAAAAGGCAGACGGTGTTAACATTCAGCGTAAAGGGGAAGTGCTTGGCGGCACGAAACAAATCTTGCTCAAATTAGGCGTAAACGTCTTCTGTAGACCCAAATTTCACTCTCTGCGGACCTTGATCTCGCAATTTGCAGAAAAGGAAAACATATCTATATAATCGGTGATCCTTGAGGATCAAGATAGCGAGAATGGGGAGGGATGGTCAGAGAATTTTTTTTTGACTTTTCTTACCTTCCGATTCCTAAGCCGAGTTTATACAATACAATCCACGAATCCGGGGATAACGGTCGTAAATTATAAGTAGCCAACTCGGCCAAACCCCCTTTCTTTTGGCCCTAGCTTATATTAGATTCTCTTAACAATCAAAGTGGAGCAGAATTAATTGAAAAGTTATTTCTGACACCACTTTAAAGAAGAGATTTATTAAGAAGGGAACATTTCAATCCGTGGGAAAATTCCAAAAAATCTCGGGGAAATAAAAAAATCGCGAATCTTTGATGACTATTAGTCAAAAAGCGTCGTAATCTTGCTGTAATATGAATATCTCGCCCAATTGAAATGCAAATCCCGACCTTGACTTCTTTTTTGTCAACTACTTATCATTATTTAGCGTACCAATATTTAAAAAGAATTTAAAACAACTTTAATAAATCAAATTTACACTTTTTGAACCTGTTATTCCCGAGAAAGTAGTCTCTCCAATGGTACGTGTAATAAGTAACGAAAACATTTCATTCGGATATAACGGGATTCCCAGAAACCAAAAGAAAATGGGAATTTTGGGGGGAGAATTAGACAGTAGTAATGCTCGGATAAAATTAACGCTTCGAGTTTTTTTACAACAGCCATTGGAATCGAGCGACTTTAAACAAACAAAAAATCGTTTTCCAAAGCGACGAAAAAAGAGAAAAAGGTTAGCCCGAGGGGAAATACATATTGCACTTGTCATTAACGGCGTGCAGCGGAAAATAATCAAAAAAATATGAGTTAGTTTGTCATTTCTTGGAGTTTGTAAGCTGGGCAAGAATGCCTCCGTAAGCGATCTGTTTTTTGCAATAAACCGATAATTGGAAAGTAAACTTCTGGTGATGGCGTATAGGTCTTGCGGGAAGTTGGCAGAAATTACAATTACGATTTTGTAAGGAACATTTTTAGGCCACTGTAAGCTCATGATTATTTTTTTCGCCAAAAGACTATAACTGATAAAAGACCTACAAATTCAAAAATGTTCTATGATCTATGAGGGCAATTCGTTTACTCTAACCTTTTACTCCAAGCCAATTTGTAAACATACGGAAGGTCCCGTTTAAGAATACGCATGCCCGTCTACAT